TTGCAACTGCACAAATCCAAGTTTGAGTGCCGCAGCGACAGCTGCTGTGGCAAAAGACTGAGGCCAAATTTACAAGCCGTGACGTCGGATAGGGCGTCCTCTCATTTTTCCATATCCCAGTTTTTTTTTTTCCTTTTGCAAAACGCGTTTAGTATCAAACCATGTTGGTTTTGAAACCGTTCGAATGATAATAACACTCCAACTTCTGATCACACTGCCTTGTATTGCTAAAAGAACTTGACACTGCTTTTTTGAAGAGGGATATAGTAGGTACCATTCGATAAACGAGCACTGGAAGACGTAGAATCAGTACTAACTGAATTTGTTTGTTAGGTTTTGATAATTTTTTTGCCTGTTTGACGTGGGTGCTGCTGCCATTCCTTTTCTGCTGTCTCTGCTGTCTGCTTCTTGGTCTTTGTCTGGTCTCTGCTGGTGTTGCTTGTTGTTTGGTCTTTGTCTGGTCTCTAGTGTCGTTTGTTCTCTGGTTTTTCCATGGTGTTGGTGTTGCTGCTGCTGTTGCTAATATGGTCTTCTCTGGTGTACTGTGTCTGGTGCATGCTTTTTCTCTGGTCTATATCCGGTGATTGCGTGTCCTCTGGTCTATCTACGGTGGTGGTAAGTGGTAAGTGGTAAGTATCTTCTTTCTTCTGGTTGCAATGATATAAGACTTTTTTGAACGTTTGTATTATTGCTTCCTTTCTCGTGATAATGCATTTTATCATGATATTTACTTTGTTGCGCTTTCTTCTTCTTTCGCTGGTTACGTTGCCTCTGTGGCTTCACATGAGACAACGTTAGTCATTATGTTGCAGTGCAAACTTATACCACCATTGCTTTTGCAGTTTTGTGTGTTTGCGTTACTTTACATTCGACTATTACCATGCACTTTGCTCATGTATGCAATTTTGTTGCAACAACGAGCTCTTTTGAGCATCTCTGATGTTGTACTTGTTATACTTTTCTTTGACTCACTTTGTGTGGTGAGTATCCCTTTTTTGCCTACGTACTACTATACTCCTATAGTAGTATGTTCTTTTATTCTTTCCTTTATTATTTTTATGTTTCTTTGAAGCATACCTTTTTTACGTTGTGTGGATGTGCCTATCCCTGAAGCTCAACAAGACTCTATCCGAGGCTAGGAGGTAGATAGGCCGCCTCCACTTGGTTATCGCTACTTACTTTAGTGATGATTGAGGGTCTCAATGCCAGTATTTAAAGCTAGGTGGTGTAAGTAAGGCATGCTCTAGCACTTGGGGGAAGTTTGATGATAGCAGCGGCTATATTGCTATTATAGCGGCGCTTAAAATTTTGCCTCACATCAAAGCAGGGGGAAACTCTCGCAATTTTTTTTAGGTCAGCGGAGTTTTCAAGCAATTTGATTGGCTCAGAGGTTCAGGGACCGAAGGATTCTAGCTAGTTGATCTCCTATTGATTTATCATTTATCATGATATTATGTTTGTAATAAAAGGGTAGCCAAATGAATACAATATAAGTCCTTCGTTAATTAAAAGTATAAAATTAGGTGTAATCATTTGATCTAGCATGCATTAAACAGTGGCATGTGAGGGATGTCTTTTAAATTTATCATGTGAAGATGTTATACAAGTATTATTATTTCAGTCCAGTGCTGGTTAGAACGTTGTTACAACAACAGTATAAAAAAAGCTATAGTAGCATCAGTTCTCATGGATTTACAACTCGTATTAATAGCTCAGCCCCTGCCAAACTGTTGAAAACCCATCGCTCAAGGCCAACTTTTGCTACAGTGGCTCACATAAAATTTTATTTGTACATGGTTTTTAGTAATACCACCCCCTGAATTTATTTGATAGTCTCCAGCATCACATGAACGTTACCAAGGTGTTACTGCCATTGTAAATTCCAATTTGAAGGTTGAAAACCCAGGTTTTAGAGGAAGCATCGTAGGTGTCGGAACGAAATCTCATTTTTTGGGGAATAAAACTCAATTAGTGAAGTGATCGGGTTGAATTGGCAGTTGAACGATGCGTTTAGGATATAGATTATCTCTGATAGGCAAATGTATTCCATGTTGCATAATACAGGAGGAGATCTGAGCATGAGCAGAGATGTGTGATAGATCGCGATCTCTTTATTCAGAAGACAGTATAAAGGAATATGAGAGTGGTGCCATCAAACGGTTAGAAGTCTATATCCTGGTTCCTAAAATGTGGTAATATATGTCCCTTCGTCCCTGAAAGTGGGTTTCAATTCTGACAAATGCTCTTCCGTCAAATTTACCAGGAAGATCATTCTATCCTGGATCATCTCTGTTGGCTGTTCCTGACTAGTGATCTATGAGCGTTTACATAACACATCTTCTCTAACTTGTTCGAAGCTTACACAATTATCCCGCATTCAAGATCAAGGTCCTATTGCTGCGACACTGCCAAATACCTATAAATACCTCTGAAATTTACACTAGTTTTAATCCTCCTTCAAACTTGGAATAACTTAATAGATATATTCAGTTTTAATTGCATTTCCTCTGTCTATATTTCATTATTCTAAACACAAGCAATAGCTTTTCTTTTAATTCTGTTTTCCTGACATTGTCCTCGCTTATTATGTTACAACCAAAGTAGCGTTAAAAAAAACCCCTTTATATGTTTAGCAAGCCCTCAAAATGGGTATATAATGGTCCAGATATAAAGGCTCTAGCATCAACAAGGAACTTGGAATAACTGTTTCCTCTTTTTCTGTAAAATACGTAGTGTTGAGTATGTAGAGCTGCGGGAGTTCAGACACTCAACGGTAGTCGGATCCTTCATAATGATCAATATTGGATTTACAGAACTTGATGTATTGACTCATTGAACAATTAGATTGATTGATTTAGCTATAATGACTTTATTTAAGTAAGATGCGCTCAAATCAATTGATAAATCTTTAGGTTTCGTATCTGATTACTTTTAAAGTCTTCCTTTGATATCTTTCTTAATTATTTTTCATTACTTGTAACTTACAGATTCCAACAATAGGCTTTATATCAAGGCCGTTGCTCAAAAATCGCTAATTTCGGAAATTATCCATCTCTCAACGTCAACTTTTCCATCAGAAACTCAATTACACTCTCGTTTTCTTGCAAAATTTGGCTCTAAGAGCTTGCTATTTTTTAAGCTGTAGCGCCGATATTTCAAAACGTATTCTTGGATGGTTTCAAGCTCACTTTTTAACTGCACCTTATTGAGCAAAAGCGGCTATAAAAGACCTACTAACACTGTGGATTGACTATCTTGCGATATTTCGAGTTTGTTTCTGTGAATTCAATCCATATAGGGATAGATACCATACATGCATTACCTCTTACGACTTAAATATATGCAGATCACAGCGAATATTAGATGCATTCCAGCAAAGATTTCTTGTGCTAGAATCCGTTTTAGGTCGTCAGAATAGTCCCAAACCATTACTCTTAACTAGCACTTACTTCTTGATACCTTTGCTCAACTTTTTGAGGTCCAAAAAAACATGACCAAAAATCGACCAAAAAGCATGAGGCACCCCTCATGGTTTTCGTCGAAAATCAAACGATCGCGATTTTTGGCTTGAAAATGAAGACTTTTACTAAGGTATATATTAAATCAAAATGTTTCTCTCGATCCAAAGCAACTTCTGAAATCACTTTTATGAGGCCTTGATATGCAAAATTTTGACATTTTGGCCAAAAACCTCATTTCATATTTTCTGGAATTGCTCAATGAGTTCAATCTAAACATCTATTTTACTTAGCACCATTACATTCTCCTTAGAAAGCAATCCAGAAGCGCATTACAAAATCTGGGATGATTATCGCAAATTACAGTCGAATCCTGCTAAATAAGTCGAATAATGCCCAAAAAGCTTGAAAATCATCAAATCAGAACAGAATCATAAGCGGAGATAGAAACGTTATGGCTGCTGCTGCTGGCAGGATCAATCATGTCTCCCTTACAAAGGCCAGCGATATTTGTGAAGCTCCTAGAAGGTGCATTGCGCGAACAGCACCATAGCTTAGCTTAAGCACTTTTATTTCGATATGTGTCTCTATATCTGGACAGTAACATCTTCGCAAACTGCTCATCCCCTAGCGTAAATGTCCTAACGATAATTACATATCAAATGAGTAAATTTCAAGCAAATTCTTTCATCTATGCCCTTATTTTTTCACAGCATAATGGCCAACAGATAAGTCAATGATCGCACCTTTGGTAAACAAGGTGTCTTCTATTCACTCAAAGTGATACACAATTGCCATGCATAAACTCGTAGGGTATTGTGTCCAAGTTCAGTTGGTTTAAATCTATACAAAATACTAAATCAAATTAGTGAGAACCGTCTCCTCTCTGACATGCCGCAATGCCTGGTATTTATAAGCGGGCAGCACCCATCACCCAATGTCCTGGCATGCAAAGCTGTTCTCCTCCTTTTACTTATCAGCAAGGTTATGTCTCTTTTCTGGAATCACTGGCGATGTTATACATTTGATCTAAGAACTGTATGTCCCATTTAACATCCTTGACATTTAAAAGTTTTTTTCGCATTGAAATGTATCCCTGAGAATTAGTTCAACCATTTAGATCTGGCGGAGATCATTCAATTGAGTGTAGATTCCCCTCACTGTGTGTCCTTCATCTCTGCAAGAAGTGTGATTTCTTCTGTCTCGCTTTCAATGTCAAGGAATAGAACCCACCAGCTCACATAGGTCCAACAGTTCTAGTCTCAAACTATTACATTCCAGCGTGCCTTAGTCCAATTCACATCCAAATTAAGAAAAATATTGGTTTTCTATCCATGTCCATAGCACAACCAAACTAAGAGCATTTTGCCAGTGAATCCCGATGTCTGTTTTTGTGACTCGAGAAGCCAACAAAACTGACCATGTTTCTCTCAACCCTGGAAACCTATTTTTTTCTTTAGCTTTCCATTCTCTTTTTTTACTTTTACTTTGGAATATCCCTCTTTACCCTACTTTTTCTTTACATTTATAAACTAAATCAATATGGGACACGCTTCACAAGATCACTCCAGAGATCCTTGGTAAGTTTTGCAAGAAATCATACTACCCTGGATGTACATCCTCTAACCTGTCAACCTTTTTTTTTTTTTTTTTCTTTTTTTACAACAGCCCTTGGGTCATTCTCAATGATTTGGGTGGTGCTTTTGTTATGGGTGCTGTAGGTGGTGGTATTTGGCACTCTGTTAAAGGTGCAAAGAATTCACCCAAAGTAAGTATTTTTTTGAGCATTGGAGGCATTGCGAGAGAATCAAAGGAGAGAGACAGAGACAGAGAAAGATGCTTACATGTGTCTCATTCTTAGGGTGAACGTTTGACGGGTGCTGTCTCTGCCATGAAGGCTCGTGCTCCTGTTTTAGGTGGTAACTTTGCTGTTTGGGGTGGTCTTTTTTCAACATTTGATTGTGGTTTAAAGGGTATTAGACAAAAGGAAGATCCTTGGAACTCTATCCTCTCTGGCGGTTTGACTGGTGGTGTTTTGGCTGCCCGTGGTGGTGTCAAAGCTGCTGCTGTTTCTGCCGTTGTTGGTGGTGCTCTTCTTGCTTTGATTGAAGGTGTTGGTATCGGTATCTCTAGAATGACAGCCGATCAAAATAAGCCTGTCATGCCTCAGGTAAGTTTGCCAATGTGTGCATGGATGCACTTAAGGATGTCTAACTCATTTCTAATGTAGATTTAATGCTGATGCAATATTCTTATCAATCACAAGCGACCAACAAAACTCTAATAGATTTTATACATTTCCTTTTTTCAAAACTACCACAAAAAAAAACTACACACCCTTCTCTCCTTTGCAACAACAAAAAAGAAGAAAATTCTATCAAAATGTATATATTATACGTCTCTTCCCTTCTCGCCCCTCTCTCTTTCTCTCTATATTATTTTTATTTTCTGTAACAGTGCTTTATTTATCCAGTCAAGATACCTGGATATCATTATCATGGATTTTTTTATACTACAATAAACGATTTTGGATAAATGCAGTTATTGTAGATCAAAAGCACATCTTTGCCTCGCACATGTGTATTACTGAGATGTGGTTGTTGCTAGGCAGCTTGGAGCATGCATGTCTGGATTGAAATCACCATCACATCTGGTTCCATTGCTCCATCGCATCGATAACGTACCCAATGCCATCCTCTTACTATTCAACATTGGTGCATGTTTGTTGTGACTCTGTTGGAGCTGTTGTGAATATTTTGTCACGGAACCACCAATGATAAACTCTCCTCTTTCCTTACCTTGTTCATCTCACAGACACTCAATATGATGGACGTACAAAAGAAGCTGCCTCCATGGCTACCACTCTCTTTTGTATTGGCCCAGCATCTACTAGAACATCATGTACACCAGCAATATCTCACGCCAAGTGAACAATTATACTTTCAAGATACGCTTGTGAATTTCGCTACATGGATTGCCTTTATCAACCAAATCGATAAGCAGGAGGATGTGGATACAACAGCCTTCCGTGTCCGCTCAATGCTTTATGAGCAACTGATACCCCACATATTCAAAACGCATAAATTCTGCTGCAAATTGGTCTCATTAGACTCTTTGTTGGAGCAAACTCATCGACTTTGCATACCTTCCGCGTCGGAAGTGTCACAGGCATGGCACACTTTCTCTGAAGCACATGTATCAAAGAAGGACGAATTAATGACAGAACAAGATGAAACAACAGAAGTAACAGCAGCAGCAGCAGCAGAGAAACCAAACCATGATACAGAGGCATTGGGTAAATGGAAGAGGTCAAATGATGACTGAAATGTAATATTAATGCTGTCGCACAAAGTAGACAAAGCAGCAAATAACAACAATGAAATCAATGCAAACACCACTACCACTAATAACACTACAACCACTACCATAAATACTACCGCTACAACGAATGATGCTTCCAAACTGGAGGAAATCATCACAGCACCCGACAATGTGCCACTGCGAGACATTTTTCACTCGCTTGAATTGGACAGAGCTGCTATGATAGAGCAACGCAAACTAGAGGTAACGGCAACAGTGTATCATCCATGTGCCTGACTAATACCCAATCAAGGAATTCGAAGCCCAAGAAGAGCTCAACGAAGCAGAAGAAGCCAAAGAGAACGCAGCAGCCAAATCGGTAAGATGTCTATGCTTCCATATCAGTTGGCATTACTAACATGGTGCAGTTATCCATGTTCAATGCGGATGGCAACTTCAATTTAAAATACTTACTGCAAGGCATTGTTGCAAACCGGCAAAAGACACAGTTATCTGATCGAGAACTACAAAACCTGCTCTCTGATTTCAAAGGCCATCGCTCCAAATGGGCCAACGACGATCGAGTGGGTCAAGAGGAACTCTACGAAGCATGCGAAAAAGTGCTTGTTGACCTCAAAAACTATACGGAACACTCAACGCCCTTTCTCAACAAAGTCAGCAAACGCGAAGCACCTGATTACTTTGATGTTATCAAGAAGCCCATGGATTTAGGCACTGTCACCAAAAAGATGAAGAATTTGAGTTATCGATCCAAAAAGGAGTTTGCTGATGATTTGTATCTGATTTACGACAATTGTTTAGCGTACAACACCAATTCTGCCAGCGAGTATAGAAAACATGCCATTGCCATGCGAAGAAAGACAGAGCGATTGATGGCTCGTGTGCCCAACATTAGCATCAAAGAGATCAAGCCCGAGGTAGAGGACGAGGGAGACGAGATAAGCGAGGAGGAGGAGCATGAACCACAACACCGCGTGTCGAGAAAATCTGCGGGGAAGCACGTTTCAATTGAACGCAAGAGCACACCGATACAGCAGATGGACAGGCAATCTCGAGAAAGATCACTGACACGAGGATCCAGTGCTGCCCCCCTCTCTGCACTAGAGATCAGCGACATGGAAAACGCCTTCACACCAGAAATGTCAGGTACACCTCAGTACGGCGGTAAGCATGTCAAGGCAAATCAAACGGGTGAAGGCGACGACGAGAACATTGATCTGGAGCAAGAAGAAAAAAAGTTGAATGCCGAGATTGACGCTGATTTAGGAGAGTATCAAGATCAAGTGTGGCGAGACAAGACCAAGAAGACTAGAGCCAAACTGACGACAGACGTTGAAAAACAGTATCAGTTCTCATTTTCTGAAAGGGAAGCACTGATGCGATCTGGGCTGGACATGGAACGCTTTGCCATGATGGAGCACTTGCACGACAAGCCAGAAGCAGTGGTCAAGTTGGTGCGCTGTGAATTTGAGCGCTTTCTAAAGTGGACAGATCGACGATCCACGACAGCCACCCTGTATGATGATTTCGACCTGGATTCTAGTGATGATGAGAATTTAGATGCCTTCTTTTCCAGAAAGATCACCAAGCCAGACAAAACAGTGGACGATTCTACAAGGAATGATTTGTTTTTACCGGATTATGAGATTGCCAGCGGTATCCCAGAGATTGACGGCGTGCCTGAAGATGTAATTGAACCTACAGTGTCGTCTAATGGCAAGGCAATTGTGAGAAAGTCTTCTGTTGATCTCAGTCCCGAGGCGCTATTGGCTGCTCAAGGGTAGGTTGTTTGATGAGTGTTTTGGATGAATGATGGATAACACTGTTCATAAGTTATTCTGATGTCTCGCTGGATGTCTATCCTCAACTTCAATTTCCAACATATGGACTGACGCCTCTGATTGACAAGAGCAACAAGGCGTTGGAGCAAGTGCGTCTCATGTATGCCAAATGCAATGCGATACGCAACAATGTGCCGGTAATGTGAGCGCAGTCAATTGGATGTATCAGTTTGTACTCATCGTATGATGCTTAGATTTCTACATTAGCGTCTTCCATTGAGGAAGTAGATGAAGCCATTTCAGATTCCCAAAAGCAGCTGGTGCCTATGCCCTCCTCTTCTGCCAAGATACCGCCATTAGCTCTCAACCCAGAATCAGGTCATCAAATGGTGCAAAAAGTGCTGTCCAAGCTACTCGCTCATGCTGGTTTTGAGGGAGCCAAGATGGGCGCTTTGAATGTGCTGACTGATGTGATGACAGATTACTTGACAAACATTGGTAAAACACTGCGATCTTACTGGGATGACTATGGACACGATATGGATGGCGACGTAAGTCATTGACAGTGCTATTTAGGCTATGGGACGTTATCATTAATACAACATACTAGGAAATGCTGTGCCATACACTTTATGAGAATGGCATTTTGGATATATCAGATCTTGAAGGCTATGTGCATGACGATATTGAGAAGAATATACAAAGATTAGATGATGTCAAACGTAGATTGCAGGCCTCGTATCAAGACATGATTGCTGTAAATGTCACTCTTATTAAGGCTGTTTGTGCAGAACGTTAATCGGTATTATTATAGGGTCCTTCTGACAAACCAGTACAAGATGACGAGGCATTGCTGAATGAAGATGACACATTCATTACGTACAGTATACACATGTAGTAGGAATGACCAGCATACTGACACTCTATCTTTAGTGGTGTTTTTGGCGAGGATCTTGGAGAAGACTACTTTGGTTTTAAGAACATTGGATTAGACAGAGAATACAACCTAGACGCACTCAATGTAAGAAGGGAAAACCAGCCTGTCACCTGGTGGCTCATTACTCATGTTTTCTATAGATACCCACTCGACTTTGGTTTGGTAAAAAGGACAAATCACCCACCACGCATGATGCCAACAAAGAACCACAATACAAGTATCCACCGCCACCCAGCTTCTTGCCACTGACATCTGAAAAGAACGTTATTGGTCTATTGCAGCCCTATTTCGCAAAGAAGTTATCAGATCCTTCTGGCAAGCCACTGATAGAAGATGAGTACATTCCTAAAAGCAAGAATCGACCACGATACCCGCCTACCAACAAGACGGCAGCAGGCAGAAAGAAACTAGCTAAAGAGGCATCTTCATCGCAAGCAGATCACAGAAAGAACAAGCGCAAACGTCCTACCGAAGAAATTGTAGCTGAGAAGGCGGAAAAGGCGGAAAAGAAGCGACAAAAGATGGAGGAAAAGGCGCAGCGTATAGCAGAAAAAGAGCAAAAGCGCAAGCTGAGGGAAGAGCTACGAGAACAGGAGAAGCAGGCAAAGATAGAGGCAAAAGAAAAGAAGAAACTGATGAACAAAAAGACCAAGCAAACCAAAGCTGCGTCTTCATCCATTACGGCTGATTCACCAGCAGAAAATGAAGATGACGAATAAAGTGCTTTTATAATGGTTGATTATCTCTTCAATACAATCATGCCATTTCAGGCTAACAATACTAGATGTCATGTACCTAAGGGGACTGTCTGTGTATACATGTGCTATGATACTTTACGTGAGTTGCCTACAATCGTTGCCTGTCTTCATATCAGCTTTGCTAACTTAAGCACAAAGAATCACTTTAATTTGCCGCCGTGTAATCCGTGCTGCTGATGTACCACACATTAAAAGTGCATATAAATCTGTTTTTGCTATTTTACTCCTTTCTTTCCCCTTTTTCTTTATCTCTTTTACCATCATGTCGCCTCATATTCCGTTCCCTCTTCGTGAGCAAAAGGTCGATCAACATCAGCCCTTCCAACAAAACCTGAATGTCACTCTGTTTTGTCTTGATTGCAAAATCAGACCTCCTAATCTTGTAGAAGAGTTTGCATCGGGCGATCTGGTGTGTGGAGATTGCGGCCTCGTGTTGGGAGACCGTATCGTCGACACTCGTTCAGAATGGAGAACGTTTGCGAATGATGAGGGCGATGTAAATGAGTACAAGTATAGAACTAGTGGAAGAGGAGCCAACTGATGTATAAATTAGGACCCTTCTCGTGTGGGTGCTGCTTCCAATCCATTGCTTGACGGTGATCAATTGGATACCATCATCTCACGCAAAGACGGAGGTTCGGGCATATCAAAGACATTGAACAAGGTGCAAGGAAAGCAATTACAACATAAGGGAGATCGAAATATGGCCGCCATTTACAAAGATATCACAGCTATGTGCGACTCCATTTCATTGTCCAGACTCGTCAGCGACACAGCCAAGCAGTTGTATAAGCGGATTGAAGATGAGAAGCTCCTGCGAGGCAAATCAAATGATGTGATTATCGCTACTTGTATCTGCATTGCCTGTAGACAGGAAGGTGTCGCCAGAACATTTCGTGAGATCTGCGCTTTGACTCGAGTGCCCAAGAAGGAGATTGGACGTTGTTGCAATGCGCTCAAAACCAAAATATTGACCACAACCAATGTCGTTGAACCTGAGGATTTGATGAACCGTTTCTGCAGCAACTTGCGATTACCCAATTTTGTACAGAAATCCGGTGTTGATCTGGCTCGAACAGCAAAGCATTTGGGAACACTAGGAGGCAAGTCGCCCATTTCCATTGCCGCTGCCTGTATCTATTTGGTGTCTTACCTCTGCAAGAACCCAAGATCCACCAAGGACATTGCGCATGTTGCCGGTGTAAGTGAGGCAACCATCAAAGCAGCTTACAAAGCGCTGTATGCAGAAAAGGAAAAACTGATTGACCTCAATCCCATGAAGGAGTATCCCAACTGCGAAAACATTTCATTTGATGATCTTGTCTTGCCCTAAATTCATGCGAAAGATGGGTATCATCTGAAACCTCTGACAACCGAGACATTTGCTCTTTTTTTTTTTTTTTTTTTTCTTTAATTCGACAATAGCTTAAAAATACCCCAACCACGCATGATTCCATCTTTTTCCCTCCCTTCCCTATATTTTTTGTTGCTTCATTATATACACTTAATAAAATGGTCCAAGTTCACAGAGGACATCTTATACCCAGAGTGCATGCTTTTTATCCTGGGAAACGAATGCCTTTTTTATGTTGCTACAATCGGTCGTCTGGCTGGAGAATCCTATCCGAGAACTATGAAGAGTATGCCATTTATGCACGATACCCAACATAGACATTAACATCTGAAATAGACATGTAAAAGGTCTGCGGTCAGAGCAGTTTGATATCAATCAAGATGGAGGTAGCGAAAACTATCTGACATGCATCGCCATATCCGAGGTATTGCACTCAAATTTGCTATGGCTAACGGCAAACGAGTACTCACAAGGACTGATAGAATGGAGTCATTGCAATGGGGTCTGGCAACAAGGATGGCAGCCTGTATTTTGTGAGAGACATGTCTGCTGTAAAGGATGTAGAATCTGGACCGAGATTTATGGTAACGGGCATTATGTGATGCTACTTATAGAGATTGACACTATCAAAGCCTTTGCATAAAGAGGTACTAGGGGCGCCTATACACTCAATTGACTGGTCAGGCCATCATTTACTCGTGGGCACTAATCAAGGTGTGACAAAGCTATTTAGCATAGTCTTTGAGAATGATCAATTACAGGATTTCAGCTTGATAGGTCAATACGTCAGTCCACCATCTGAGGTACTGTAATTCAAAGAATCAACTGCCATACGTTGCATTGACACGCATTTTAGATCACCATCTACTCGCCATCCTACATTGCCAACTCGCACATCAAATCATCCGAGCTTTCGCCAAATTACTCTTCAAACGACATGGACGCATCCGTTCACGCATCAAGCCGGTTTCTAACAACCACTGTGAATCAGCTGTGTGTGTGGGATGCGCTGGAACAAAAGGCACCTGTATCACGTATCTATGCAACTGAAGCGCCATTGAACTGTGCAAGCTGGTCGCCCAATGATGCACACTCATTGATTGTGTGTGGTGGCTATGATCGAAAGCTGCTGATAGTAGACACTCGCATACCAACCAACAGCCATAATGGTGAGGTGTGGAGTGCAGACAATGCTCACGATAGACCTATTCGAGACGCCAAGTTCAATCCCTTTATACCCTACTGGGTAGCCTCTGCAGGTAGGCCTCCGTCTTGTTTATAATCGTCTTTGCTGGCATGCCAACATATGCTATTAGGTGAGGACTCTTTGGTCAGTATATGGGATATTAGAGCATCATACAAAGTGCCTGTTGCCAAGATTGATGGTAATTCAGGAATTGTTACCTCTGTAAGTAAGCGCTGGCAAGCATAAAAAATAGGTTATAGTTTACTCAAAGCGTCATGAATTAGGTCACTTGGTCCAACATTCGACCTGAGAATTTAGGTACAACAGCTTCAGATGGCACCATGCGATACTACACACTTTCGCCTGAAGCATTACCTATATGGGACACGCATTATCGTATTACTCGCTACGATCAGCAGGACACATTACCTATCGTACGGGAACGCAAGAAGGGAAACGTTTGGTTCACCAAAGATCAAAATTACAAATATGCCAATGCTCAATCATGGAAAACTGATATATGGGATGAGGGTGACTATGCTGAAGAGGAAAGATCCACCATGTTGTTGGCAGGTGCTCTTGGATTAGGTGAATGGGGTAGACCAGAGCCTGGTACCATCTATAAAGGCGAGGAAATTGTGGAGGCCAGAGGTGCTGTGGTGAAAGGTGAAAAATAAATTGAAGATTTGTTATTAATGTCAGTACTAATCAGGAGGTTGATTAGTGATTCCATCCAAATTGAGACCAAGCATGTACTATTCCATCACCAGTGGAGGACAATTGACAGCAAGCATTGTGAGATTTGATGCTGCTAGTAATTTAAGGAATAGGCATAGGTATTTAGCAGTACATCTGTTGTAAAGAAATCAATCCTGACAAGCTCTCTTAGATTTGATCCGGCTGAAAAGGACGCTTTGGCAGCTAAAATCGAGGATGACATTTACTGTAGACGCATTACAGATGCTCAGCAAGGTTTGGAACAGCTGAAGAATGCGCCTATCGACGATGAGCATACAAAAAGGTATTCTTTACTATAAGAGATGCACATGAATAGCTAACTTACAACGAGCTATCTAGAGAACGGGCGGAAGAGGTTCAATTTCTAGAGGATTGCCTAAAGCCTCGAGATCCCATCAAGTGCACAGAATGGCGATTCGACTCGATTCCAGACAAGTCTTCCAAAAGAATATCTCGTCGACTTTGGAATGCAGAAGACATGTGGGAGGACGCTATTCAAACGTTTAAAAGGGATCTCAAGTATTGGAGTTATCGTATTCCTCCTGGTTATAACACAAAGTACAAGTTTCCAGTAAGTGTTTGCCATGATACACACCCCACTAGAAAACTGACTCGTCCATCACAACATAGCTGGAATTTACTGCGCCTATTATTGCTCCACGCCTGGTAGAGGAGGAAGCAGTGCTGGCGCCCTTGCCACCCAAGAAGGAAGATCCTGCTCCAGAATACCTCAAAGTACCTGACGACATTGCCAATTCGCCTTACATATATGAGTCAGATATAGAAGACAACAACGACGGAGGCTCAATCATGTCAAACACAAGCAGTGTCCATAAAGGTGTATTCAAACCGCACGAAAGAGAAGCGTCTATAGATGATACTGCATCGCAGCAGCCCATCAAGGATAGACGCAATATGAGCCATGTTCCGCCTATTGTCACTATGCATGTGGACCAAGATCCAAACAGTGTTGAAGCATCCACCAATCCGTTCACGCCACCACAGAGCGCAAACAACCCAGTTCCACCTTCTTTCAGCACAAATCCATTCAAACCTGATGCTGCTGTGCACCCTGAACAATCTCCCTTGAAAACACCTAAATCAACAAACCCGTTCGAAACGAATGCATTGGATATGGATGGCATTTATCATCAACAAAGGTCGACGAATCCATTCGAGCATGAGTCCTTGCCTGAATCACCCTTGGCCGCTGGTTCGCAAGACCCACATTTGATGGACGATAATCGCAGTATACAAAGCGCACGCAGCGAGAAATCAGAAAAGCAGCATCACAAGCATCACAGCTGGCTATCCGGCGGCACTCATCAGCTGAATCTTACTCTGTCTCGCCATAGTGCCAACAGTGAAGAAAGACATCAGGAAGAGGAAGAGGGCAGTAACCTCAGCAAGACACTGTCTCAAAAGAAACATCGTAAATTCAATCCATTCAAGCGTATACTCTCAAGAAGCGGGACAGATAAGAAGGACTATTCACAGCAGCGAAACAATAGTGTGTCAACCGATGAGACCATAGAGGATAGCCATGCCAATACACTGCTGAGAAAAGACTCCAGTCGTAGAAATGCAATTCATGGTCCATTTTAGAGACAGTTATACTGTATATACTTGGTGTTTACATCATTAAATCCACTTCTTCCTTTGGTCCTTTTGCTTAAATTATCCTACAGTGACAACTATATGTTTCATAGTGAAAAAAATATTACTCTATTCGTAAAATAAACATAGCCTCAGCATAAACTTAATATCAAAGATGAAATAATGAAAGAAAACGAGGGAGAAGCAAGGGGATCAAGAATAGTATTCGGCATGCTGGGGAGGAAAGAAACCATTCCAACTGACATCTTCTTGTCTTGACTCTTGTGAGTCGAAATTGGTCTTGTGCGCGGTTTGAGCAATGAGTTCACAATGCCCAAGATGATGTATTTTAGAGGGATTGGTATCTAGCTTTATAATACTCATTATTTTAGAATGGAAGTAGAAAAAGAAGCCAAGAATCCGAAGCTATGGATTATAACACCTCTCCTTCCGCTGTCGCTGGTCCCCCCCCCCCCGACCATCGCAGAGTGATGGCACCTTAATCCCTTACGATGGCTCTCTCTCTCTCTCTCTCTTTGGTGAAGATAACTGCCAATCGTCAAGAACTTTGCTGTAAATGAGCAGCCGAACTATTGAAGACCTCACAGAATCTTTCGATGCCCGTAACGTATCAAATACTCTATGGATATGGCAAAACCGGTATAAAATGCAATTTATTCAAGCTATATTACTACTACTATTTTGGTAAGCCACGATTATAGGTGATGGGATCGCAAATTATTATGGTGATGTTTCTCTGCGTACTTTCTTGGAAATCATTGACGGCCCTTCCTAAGGAGAGCGAGCCTCACACGGGAAAAATGAATTAAGAAGAAGATCAAATTGAGGAAATCAAAGTGTGTCTCCAAGAAGAGAATCAAAAAAATAATGTATGTGTCATTATAAACTTTCATTTTAACCAATGGTTTTCTAGATATACAAAGAATGATTCCCTGAAGTTCAAGGCTGCCACATGCAATATGTGTATTCTTTTCTTTGTGTTCTATATGTAATTAGTGAGGCTTTTATGTATTCGTATTGCAATTTGATTATAAAAAACATAAATGTACCATATTCATGTCATCCCAGATTCATACTTATACCAACCAAATTACCAGTATCTGTGGCGTAATATAAGGGTTAGATCCCCCAATAAAGTAGTGTTCCAACTGTCATTTCATCAACTAAAATAATGGGTCCCTAAATTTATGGTGCTTTCCGTATTCCAATTTCTCTAGAAGTAGGGCCAACACTAAGACTTTTTTCCTTGTATCAGGGATTTTTCCCTAAATTTAGAGAGCCTTTGCACCGTAGTGTAGGATGCTCCACGTCTACATCAATGAGAAAAAATTGTATGCAAATAGAGGGCAATCTAGCATCACCACTTACCACTGGATAGTAGACAAAGCACGGCGATAATTGGTGCATTTGAGTCGTGCTTTCTCATGGTGAAAGCCGTTTTAAACGGCCAAAACAATCGCTCTCATCTAGCAGTAACTGGTTGACATCTTTTCTCAACTTTTTTGGGATCGTCGAAAACCGACCAAAAAAAAACCATGAGGGATACCTCATGATTTTTGTCAAAAATCAAACGATTGTGTTTTTGACCTCAGAATTAAAGGTTTTTACTAAGGTATATCTTAATTCAAAATGTTCCTCTCGATCCAAAGCAACCCGTGAAACTTTGTCTGTGGAGCCTTTGTATGTAAAATTTGAGATTTTTGCCAAAAACACAATTTCGTATTATCATAAATTGCTCAATAAGTTTTTTCTAAACACCTATTTTGTTTGGTTCCATTAGGTGCGTCTTGAAGAGTACTCCATAAATGCATTAGAAACCATGGGTTGATCATCACAACTTGCATAGTCGAATCTGCCAGAATAGGTCGAATCAAGTTCGAAAAATTCGAAAATCAACAAATCAGGATATAAATCCCGAGCGGCAATGGAATTTATTTTGGCGTCGGCTGGCTCGAAAAATCAATGCCATGGTTATCATGTGTTGTATCCAAGCTTAAAAAGATACAAATATAGTAATAAAGAGGATTTCTACAGACACTTGAAAAGGGACGTATAGAAATGACTAGACACTAAAAAAAAAAAAAAAAAAAAAAAAAAAAAAAAAAAAACTGAAGGCCCTTTATTGAAAGACATTACGGGATCCTTTTATACAAATCAACATCGTTCAATAAGCCAACCTTCCTTTAGCAACCAAGAACCAAGATAGAGTTCCTGCAATTCTTGTATAACACAGTACTTTTCAGGAAGCAGCCGGTTGTTTGGTCGATTGACATTGGTACTCTAGCTATTACAACAACGCAGCCCAATTGACCTTATCAGGTTCAAACCGTGAATGTTTCCAATCATCAACCACCCAACCTTTATAGTTCTTTCCGTCATTAAGAATGAGTAACAATGAATGTCTTGATCCGACCATAGCTGAGTAGAGTAGAACACATCTAGTCCAACAGGCTCAACATCATGGAGATCAATTAATGCTCGTAAAAGCTCATAGTAGGAAGGAAATTACGAACTGAAAATCACTACAGGTTATCCCGTCTACATATGGCGCATTGTATTACGCATCTTTAAATTTGTTAGATTTGATCTCCAAATGCAACTATACATGTCAAGTTAGCCACTAAATCTACATCGGCTTTGGACCATATTTATTGGCGTAGTGTGCTTATAGAGTTGATAATGCATAAATGAAAAGTAGGTCAGCGTGCGTCAATCAGTATCTCATGGGGTGCTTATGATAGAAAAAGAAAGTGCTATGTAATGGATTTTGTAGTAGTGGGTAAAAGGAGGGTATGTATACATTCTATATATTATAAAAGGCCTTATCGAGGGAATATTCTAATCTTCCATTCTTCCTTGTCATCAGTGGGCGTAGTAACATTGTCATGATTATTATCAGCTTCTTTAGAAGAGCTGGTGGCATTGATACTGCGTGATTTGCCGATAGCCATGTCCTCTACTACAAAAGGATTATTCTCATCCCTTGCCTTTTGTTCCTCGATTTGAAGCTTCCTTGCTAGTTCAGCATCGCGTTTAATTTGATCGTATTGAGACAAGTACATTTCCAACGTATCGGTATCAAATCCTAGCTCTTCGTTGTCTTCCTCTTCGCTACTGCTGATGCTAGCAGCTGGGGCAAAGTCTTCCTCCTCGTTGAATCGGCTAGATCTGCTCATGACAGACACCATATCATCAGCAGCAGGGGCTGTTGAGACGGTTTTGGTATCAGAGTCATCGCTTTCATTCACCTTCCAGGCTCTTGTCAGCAAATCTCTCCATTCAGACATGATAGATTCATCTTGCATCATGGCCTTCTCAGCATCAGCGTCCATGACAGTCTCAGGGAACATGTCTTCATCTTCTGCGCTTTCAGGTAGTGCTGCATCTGGCATTGATAATTTGTCTACAACAGCTTGATGAGGTACATCGGGCGCTTGACTCTCTGCAGCAGCAACTGGTGTAGAAGGAGGAGAGGGAGGCAAACCTTTGTACAAGAGACCCCAATAAGAGACCAATCCAGCAAAGAACAAGTAGGGCTCAAAGCTGCAGAACTTAAAAGCCAAATAGGCTTCGTAAGCAATAATGATCAGTGTGACCAAAAGCACTGAAATGCAAATCAAGAAGGCTGCGGGTTTAGCTATAAAAATGGATGTATTTAGTAACCAACACGTGAACCATTGTGTTTATATAAACAGGTACATACCAATCCATGGCTCCAGCATTTGCCTTAATTCGGTCAGTTTTTGCAACATGGTGTGGTAGTATGGCATGGTTACTTTAGTTGCCTTCTGCATGAAGGACTGCTGGTTACTATTTGATGTGGCATCGCTTGTGGGTGCAGCCATTTCTCTGGTCACAGCATCTATGCTGTTTTGTTGCTGATTTGGAGCGTTGATTTCCAACGGTGACTCAATCAAGGAGGAAGTGTTTCGTTCTTTGAGGGACAAAGATAGCTCAGAGGGAGCAGATGGATTTACGACATGCAAAGGAACAGGTGGTGGTTGCTGTTTAGGGTATGAGGACGGTAATAACAAAGGTACAGGAGGCACTTCTCCACCGCTGCTGCTGACAGTAGAAGACTTCTTTTGCTTTGTTGGTGCCAGTAATTGCATAGTGAATAACGATTGGAATTCAATCAGGAATTCAATGACGTGCTGCGAAATTTTGTACTGAACAGGCGTATTGTGATCCGGATGGCGAAGGATACCAGGACAGAAGACGGCAGCAAGATTGGAGATGCTCATCTTGGTTTCAGATGCACTGGTTGCAAACAGACTGAGTGTATCGAGTAGATAGAGCAGTAGATGTTGGTGTGGCGGTGGCAAACACTGGACCAGTTTCTGGAATGCCTCGATACGGTGTTCTGTGTTCTTGTAAGTGTTGTTGTCTATATTCGCCATGTTAGTTTGATATAGGTCTGCCGTCAACTGCACTTACTCATCACATCACGGAACTTTTGGTAGTAATCAAACGGGATAACTGGATCAGGCAGTTTGTTCAGATATCTTCTCAACACACTTGCAGCGTCATGTACCGTGTAACCCTCCCAGTTCAGATCTAATCCGTAAGTACTAGCGCTTTGATCAAATTGAAATTCGAGGGCATTGACCCGTTTGTAATTGCCAGAGATGCGAAAGATGCCCTCCGTTTCTAGGCCTTTACATAGTTGTCAATCATAGCCTCCATCATGGTACAACTTTATACAAACCATTCTTCTTGAGATAGGAGCCACATTTTGCCACTACAATGGGAATTGCTCCCGCCTTTGTGTGTTTGATGCCATCGTCGTCGACATAGCCTACTGTGGTTTTTGCGTATTTGATTGACATTTCAAGCGGTATGCCAAAGACACCGCCTTCATTATCTCCAATTAGGTTGAGGTAATACATTATTACCGTCAGTCTTCACTTACCTTTGGGTGAAGAATCTGGCCCAATTTTTTGACTGGCAGCGCCATTGGGTATTGTCACTCTCTTCAACCAGCCACGAAAGGACCTTCGCTTGGTTAATGTGTTTGTTGGGTTGCTGTTTGAGCGTTTCATTGGTATATAGAGTTGGAGAAGGAAAAGAGGAAAAATGTAACATAATCCAGTTTATGCTTTTAAATAAGATTTTGAGGAGGACACAGCTTAGTGTAACTAAATTACGTCAAGATAGTTTATTCAGGGAAACTTACCTAAACTCAAAATGAGTGTTTCTATCTTTGCTGAAAAACGATGTCATAAGTGTAGAGAGGCCATAATGATCAAAGCACTCTATGTCCATCAAATCAACAAATCGACCTAAACAAGCAAAACCGACGCCATGAGTGCTCAAGTAGCTCCATTTATGGCATTCATTCATTTATTCAGTCAAGAAGGCTCAAGTAACAGTTAATACTCATGACATTTCAGCAATATTTGTATTTGGTCTTCTCTTTTTTTAGCCATTAAAGCAATTATAGCCGTTGTCATTGAACGGTAGGCTAATTTGATGCAGGATTGATGGGTACGAAGGCGCAATATAAACAGCCAGGTTCCATCATGGCTCTTGCAAAGTAATACTAGTACTTTTTCTGTCGTTCTTATTCATTCATTCGATATTTTACGTCCTTTTAACGTACCTAAAGTAGGAAGAAGATAATAAGACTGGATATAGGTGTGCCTTTCTACATGTCTAAGTAGGCGTTGTCTTGGGAAACTAAAGTATATAGTGCCTTGGAGATGCAGATCAAAACGCGAGGGGGGGGGGATCAAAAGGAATGGAGTCGAAAACGGATAAGTAATGGCAGCTCCAAATAGCCTGAAGATTGCACGAAAAGACCTTATGTCGTGAGGTGGAGTAAAAGGAAGCTGCTGAAGCTATGTACGTGGGGGGATTCGATACCAAGTATTACGTGCATTCAGGCTTTTGGCTGCCATTTGCACCTCGCGACAAACGTTCAAGCGAAGAGCAGCGTTGCTGTATGTTTCCTTAGCAGCAGGCCAGCTCTTTGCGTTTAGGAAGTCTTTACTTAACTACAGATCAAGGTCATATGGGCAATTGAGGCCAAGCGATCCATATCCTCTGCCTTGGCTTTAGAAGCCAGAGAGTAACGTGTTGTGCTTGCTGTTTATTTTCTGTAGAAGCATGGCTATTCTCTGTACCGGCTTTGAACCCAGTAGCTTGTATTCTGCTTGCTAAAATCAGAGAAATACCCTTTTAAAATGGAATCCTCTGAGTACATAGGCGATCTATGTTTAGCACTATGGCGATCAAATGTTTTGTTTGGAAAGTGAGCCATACTAAACCGAGGTATTAGGATGCTGAAAAAAAACGATGATCTTGTGAGGTGAGAGCGCAGTTGTGAGATATTCATATTCGTAGAAATGTTAGTGACGAGCTTGAAGATGCCATCTTTTCCGCATAGTTTGTGATGGTTGAGCATTCACGTCCTTCTTTGATAGGTATTGAGAAAAAACTTTGAGCCGAGAATCGCTAGCCTATTCCTATGTAGATGAGGGAATACTAGATCGTCTTCATGTGTTGTAAATGTAGCAGGAATGCAGTTGTTCCTTGCACAGTTGCGATGTTTACAAGAAAGAGCTTCCAGCAAACGGCATGTCCCTCACAAAAGTGGAGTGATTACAAAAAGAAGTTAAGGAGCACAGAAAAGATTGAAATTTTCAACACAAAGGACTACACTGTGTTCGCAGATCTTTCGTTTGTAAACAGTACTAACCATCATAAGTAGCTCCATGTAACAGCCGAGATTATCATCTCATACAAACATGATTGCAGTGATATCACACCTGTATCTTCGATTTCATACCTCAAGAACCCAAAACCAGGCTCTGTCACGCAATATCTGCAACTTGATGTGTACTTCTAAACTCTAGGACTAGTATAACCGTAGTTGGTAAAGTTGATTTTTATACGTGAGATCAAGATAAGAAGCATACCGTAGCCTTTCGTCATTATTCATAAGCAACGTCTGTTATTACTGTGGCCAAATAAGCTTTTTGGAAACTTCTGGCTTTACGGATTGACGCACCCGTACAACATACTACCTAATGTCATCTGTTCAAAAAGGTTAGCAACAACACTTTGCATAGTCTTCTTAATCAAGACTAGCTTAATAAACTGCTTTTTGTTCTCATTAACGAGCGTTTGCTTCGTGGCAACATCCAATGCTGGTCAGTAATCTTGAATCAATTAGTTTGATCAATCTCCTGCCTTGTTCATGCATTTGAATGAACAAAGTGGAGCTAAGCATGTAGCCATTAGTGTTTTACAGTGTAAGGGAGCATCGCTCAACGCCGATGAGCACACAGTTACATAAGAGCAGTGCCTTATTTGATACATTATCAGATGATTCGATCCTTCTTTCAGCACATCCGTCAGAAACCAAGACCGCAATATTAAGTTTGCACGTCAAATATCAATGACCCTCTACATCTTCGAGCTCCTTATATCAATCCTTATGAACTGAGTACAGGCAATGCAGCGAGGTTCTGTTGTAGCTATTCACTCCTTTGCTTCCACGAAGGTCGTCAAGATACTTGTACAGGTTTTCTAGTATTTCTGTCGCGATGCCTCAACGATGATGGAGTGTATAGCATCACTGACATCCTTCTAAATATGTCAACAAATCAACACGAAAAGACATTTGAAATGTAAGCTAATTTGTATAAAGATGGTTTATTAAAAGTAAAAACTAGACTATTATAATGACATGAAGCATCTATAAATGATAAGGCTATCATTAGTACCTCTTGCGAAAACACACAAATTGCAACAAGAGTAAATGTTGAGAAATGGCATTTGTATCAGTTAGCAAATCAGATGTGTTTGAATCATTGATTCTCTCTTCAAGTTGTATAAGACAACGGCAATTCATCCTTCAAAGCCTTTTTCTCAAGCATCCCCACGTGTTGATTCTATTACTTACCATATCATTTCCTTGTCTGGTATCAAAGGATAAAGAAACGCAGAAGAAAAACTGAAAATTTTTCATCCATTTTATCTTGGAGTGATTTCCCGGCCGTCACTCATTTTAAACCCATTAGACACTTAATCAAAGATTTCAAGGCAGATAACGATGGTATTTTTATTATAATAATTTCTATGTGGGACATCTAGAGAGCTTCATCAAAGACCTTTTTGACTTCGTTGTAGACTTCTTTCACAGTTTGCTCAGAGTTGATCTACCAAAACATGTATGTTAATGATAATTTTGCTCCCCTTAAATCCAAGTTTGTTACCATGACAACAACCACGTACCTGACGAACTTTATTCTTCTTTTCAAAAGCCTCAATGACAGGGAAACTGGTTTCCTTGAATACACGGAATCTCTTCTTGATAGATTCAATGTTATCATCTACTCTACCAGATGTCTGTCCACGCTTAAGCAAACGTTCCAAGAGAGTTTCCTCTGAGCATGTAAAATACAAGACGAACTTGGATTCGACTACAGTTTCCTCAAATTTGTCGGCTTGATCCATCTTGCGAGGGAAACCATCAATCAAGAAACGAGTCTTGTTGTCTTTCTCGATGGATTCCTTCATGGCATTCTCGAGCAAAGCGATAGTAACCTCCATAGGGACGATCAAGCCATCGCGAATGTAGTTTTGAATGAGCTCACCATACTTGGATCCTTCACGCTTTTGTTCCTCACGCAACAAATCACCAGCTTTTAAACAGAATGAGATACTGCTTAATCTCTTTGTTATTTCGTCTTACCAGAGAGATGCACGAAATCATAATCACGCTTGATGTTCTCACATTGAGTACCCTTTCCAGCACCGGGCCCACCTTGATATAAACGTCAATTATTCAACATTTAATAAAAGCAAAGATGATATTTACCGAGAACAAACACAACAGTAACATCATTGGGATCAAAAGTAGTGGTAGTCATGGTCAAATGTAGGTTTTAAAGAAATTAAAGATGAGGAAAAGCAAAAAGAATTAGGAAAGCTTGTGTAGATATCCTTTTCGATTTAGGCTGCGTCCTAAATACAGCTTTAAACAGATGATGTTTCCTCTCTATGTCCAATGCTGGTAACGGGAGTGAGCGAGATAGGGTTTTGTTCAAGGACTTTGAGAGGCAATCATATGATTATTACAACATGGCAGTAGTACGAATACCCTGCTTAACATGATTGATTTCATTCATCTAATTGGATATATCTGTATTGAAACATTTCTATCAGACGACTTTCCATATTCAAGAAATGAAACCATAAACAAATGCGAGAAAAGAGAGGGAAAGTAGACCATCTTACTGCACACTGCATGTAGCCACTGCATATAGTAGATTAAATTTGAGATGATCCTTTACCAGATTAGAACAAAACAACCCCACTGGAAAAATTGCTTCTGAATGCAATAGACATCTTTTAGGACTAAATCCGAAGAAATCCAACAACGCATGTTTGATCTTAGTAATTTAAAGAAGCCCCCCAATTACAGTTTTAACAAATTGTGGATGCACATTCTTGTACAAAAAAGGTTGCTGCATCTGTCAATTTATGCTATTACGAATAGCTACATGTTGCTCAGCACCAACAGCAGAAAATTGTGCTACAACAACGACAGGAAATGTACAGCAGCAAATCAATGGATTTATTCAAAATATATATATAAAAAAAAAGATATATAAAATAAGCGACAATAAGTTATGATGTAAGGTATATTACAAGAAGAGAGAGAGAAGCATCTAGGAAGGTATTGGGAGAGAGAGAGAGAGAGAGATCAATCAGCGGAAGAAACTACCATAGTAGGTTTGATTGGAGGGTAAGAAATAATCTCTGTGATTGCTTGAGTTAATACTCAATCTGGTACCTGAATCAGGCTCAAATGGTTCTACTTACTGGCTTGGATACAGGGTGCGGTTGGTAATAAGAGGACTCACCACATTTTGGCCCAAGTAATGTTGATGAGAGTGTTGGGGAACATACCATTGTTGCGATTGCTGTTGGAGTGGAACCCATTGACCATTGGAGAGACGCATGTAGGGAATAGCCACACGGCTACCGTTGATAGTGGTATAGACATACTTGACTTCAGCACTGTAGTGAGCACCCATTTTGATAGATTTGATTTTGATAGTTTGTTTGTTGAATATAATGAAAAAGAAAAAAAAAAAAAAACTAAAACGAAATCAAGAGTGAGGTTTTTTATAGTGTTTTCAACAAGGTGATGTCAAATTGATAGGAGAAACGTCATGTCGTGTTTATTGTGCCTCTATACATGTCTATGCAACAAAGAAAGTTTGAAAGGTGTGTGTGTTCAATACACACCATCATGTGAGGCATTTTTTTTTCTATAGGTCTATAATCTAGCTTGCAACCAATTGCTTATGTCTCGAGCAATATAATCATTTTCAGAGTTAATCAGTCCTGGCACTTCTGTATTTATCTTTTCAATGGCTTCATCCACAGCATATTGAGAATAGGGCAACCCTTCCAGGGCAACAGAGATGGCGGCTGCAATGGTAGGTTCATGTAGGAGGTTGTTATTAGTGGAGATGTCTGCTTTGAGGATTTTGCCATGTCTTGAGAGTATATGGCATTTCTATTTGCAATTGCTGAGCATTCCAGCCTATACAGCACCAACCGAGAACTTACCACATGCCCCCAGTTAAAATTCGTTTCGATTGTATTGGTGAACTCTGGTGTTTGACCATAGATCCAATCCCAAGTCTTGAGCTCCAGTCTCGTTTCTTTTACTTTATTTGGAAGCACACTTTCCTGATTGAATACAATTGGCTATAGACTTCTGTTTAGTACATCTACATCATGTGTATCAGTACTACCAACAATCGCTTATTTACCTCTACGGGCATTCCGTCATTGTATGCAACCACAAATTCAGCCAAAACCGACTCACAAAATTGCTGATGATCTACCGTAAAAGAATAGTCTCTAAGGTTTGTCACTGGGGAGGGTACTGACTCGACACCTTTTGACACAATGCCCTTCTACAAAAACAACCGCATTTAGAGCTAAATTCATCCCATATGGGCATTCACGCTTTACGTTATTCATTCTCTTTTTAGACAAACATCCTTTTAACGTCTCTGTTTCTGCGTCAATCAACATAGTACCATGATGGTAAGCTCTGGTACTGGTAATTTTGTATGCACTGCCTGATACCTTGTGATTATCCACTACAATATCATGTCGTTCGTTGACGGAGGCGGGGATATCAAGTTGATTCAGGGATCTGGCTACAAGCTGAGCATTCGTCTTGCGCGAAAATGCTTCACGAGGCATAAAAATGGTGTAAATAGAGTTGCCCATATCCTATTCGTATATGTAAGTGTTTCCCTCCAAATCTCGGCATCACATTGCGTCTAATTACATGATACACTGCACCGCCTCCAGATCGTCTGCGTACAAGTGGAATGTTGTTCTCTCTCATGAATCGCAAATTGCACTCCTGGAATGGATTTTGATTTCTGCCTACTACAACGCAAGGCTTATTTCTCCACAGGTACAGTATATAGCGATCTGGTTTGGTTTCTCGTAGTAAATATTCTTCAATGGCTAAGTTCGTGTAAGCATCGTGGATGGTAGAAATGTAACAATCGACTTGATTGCTTCTAGGTTTTGAAGTAGAAAAGAGCCTTGTTGTAGGTCTAGCCAAAAAGGTTGGCTTGTAGAAGAATAGCGAGGCTCTCACACCGAATGTCATGTCTGTTCAAATGAAGAGTTTGCTTATTGCCAGAGAAAAAAAGCCCTGCTTTTCCCCCTCCTTTTGATTGCACATTTAAGACTTTTTTTTATTGATACGGCGTTTATAATTCTTGATCTCTAAGCGAGCTGTCTAATGTAAATGTCGCTGCTGTATCCTTCAATACATGTCTAAATACTCTATAGTGATGGTTCAGACTAGCATGTGTGTGTATCTTGTAATTTGTGCCGAGAGAACCAGTTTTGGAGGGTATACTGTAGAACACTCGAGAGACTCGAGAATGGACCAGAGCCATGGCACACCTAGATATGTATCAAATGCTTAGTTACCAAGCCCTCTTTACTCAGTTCATAACCTACATTGCACATGGTTCATGCGTTATATAAATATCATAGCCTGTACATAGATAAGCCGTCTTTTTTGTTGATTCGGCATCATCTACTGCTGTCATCTGGCTTGCGGTTCTTTTCATTCGCCCATGTCCTCCATACAATTTGCTTTCATTTTGTGCTACATGATCTATACCATTCATGACAGCATGATGAAGTGGATGCTCGGCTCTAGTATCACTCTTTTCAGCCATAATCTCATTCGTACTCGGGTCCACTATACGACACACCACCGTATGGTGTTGATTTGCCAGTATCGCTTGCATATGACTATGAATGATATCGATGTCTTGTTGCGTAAATTTGGGGTCGAGTCGAGTATCCTCTCGGTATGACATGGGCCATAGACGATGCCAAGCTTCATATTGCTGCCTATTCAATGGTGCGTATTTGGAGACGGACACTGTGCTGATCCTGCAATCTTCGAATTGATGTTCCTTCAGCATGTCCATCAGCTTGCCTTGGTCCAGTGTGCCCTTTTTACACAATATCACTTCCAACTCGAATCCTGCAAAGCAATAGTGTAAGCGAATTTGCTCTGTCTCCCCCAATTATCATCGCATCCGTGATGTATACTATACCTGATTCGGTTTCTGGTTTAGCTATGCGTCTAATCTTTTTGCAATGCTCTAAACCTTCTAATGATGGTAATTTCTTTTGTGCAAATCTATCAAGTGCGTCAGTTTCATGTTTTAAGCAACAAGTCATATGTCATTACTTTAAAATGGAATTGGTTTGTTTTGGCTCAACATGTGCCGTGTAAACGTCAATAGTCTCTAGGTGGCGTTCATATTCGTCTGCTAAAACTTCCTCAAACGGCCACTTTTCACGAGGGATAGACACCTCTTGTTGCGTTTTAGCTATCACAATACAATCAGCAATGCTATCTCTCGCTTGATCCGCTTACCTACCTTGCTTGGATTTGACACCCGAGTGCTGTTCTTTGTTCTCCATCAACAGTGAATAAAGCACCATTCTTTTGTCAAAGCAAAACTGCACTTTTATGTGTGGCTTGTGGCCATCCTATTTCGACGCCGCTAAATGCCTATCAATGCTTAGTGAGCACCCTTCCTCACAAGATCATCAGCAAATCAAGTACTTTATTTACCCTGATGTCTGCCTAACCAGCCATACTTAACTCATTCGAAGCAGATTCTAGACTCTTAGGTGTAGGATATAGATGTTTTTATTTCGTTGATTACATTAGCAACAGTTCCAGACTGTTGATCAAGATTAGAAAGGTATAATAAGCATGCTAATAAAGAATATATCATTATTGGAAGGCTGTCAAGTATTTGCCACCAATAGAATAATCGAAATAGCCTTGTTTTCTGGCTGTTTTGGCATTAGCAGCAGTAGCAACAGGCGACGAAGTTGAAGAGGAAGGAGACATTTTGCTGGATATGATTGGAGCTTTCATGGCTGGCGAATTAGGTATGTATCTATTGAACTTTTCCATTGGAGAAGGTGGCATCATTTGCTGTTGTTGAAGACGTCTGAAGGTTGCATAAGATTGAGAAAAAGGAGCGGATAAAGCGAATGACATGGGAGAGGATGGCTCATCAGAGAAGAGAGAGCCTGCAGACGTGCTAGTGGAAGAAGGAGTGGCGGCAGAGAATGAGGAGAACTCTACTTGATGATGAAATTGATCGTAGCTTTGTTGCGTGGGTGAGGACAGAGAGTGCTGGAGTTGCTGATGTGAATTTGTGTTATGTTGTGTTGCAGATGATGGCTCCTTTGAGTGTGGATTCTGCTGCCCTAACAGCATACGCTTGGCATTGATCATGATACGCAGAGCACGGATTTGTAGTGCGCTTTGGAAAGTGAGTGCAGCAGTTTCATAAACCATGCTTGCAGTGGAAATGGTAAGCAGTTGATGCAGTGCGTAGGTAGTCAATTCCAACAGTCTGTTCATTCTGTACATGTCTGCCAAGATCAGTAGTCGGCAGAGAATCTGAGGCTGATGCTGTTGTGCAGTGATGAGATGGTCGCTGTAGATGTACTGCAAAAAAGCGAGGGTCACTGCATAGCTTTCGGGAAACAAGAGGTGCTTTTTCTGTGTTTGGAGTGTGTCTGCCGTTGCTTTTGCTGTAGATTTTGTACTTTGTCCTTCCAGTAGCTGAGCAAATCCTGGCCATCGCTCGGCCAAAATGATGGAATTGATGGGTATGGCCTGCTGATCGGAGGTCCAGATGGTTAAATCAGTGATGCTAGGCTCATTAAGCATGGAAAGCCCCAAATCTTGAGCTTCTGACGAGCACGTAGAGCTGGGAAGGCAGTAGATACCGTAGGCTTCCAGATCAATTGTCGCAATATGATCAAAGTTGGTGCGTCGATAGCTATAATCATCCTTCAGATCACGCTGACCGTGTCCCAACACATAATACTTTTGATTCGAGAGCAAACCACGATTCCAAGAGCCGTCGGATAGATTGGAGCTGGTATCAATATGTGACCAAGTCAGGTTTGTCAAATTCAGTGCCCAGACCTGAAATCCTCGCTTGGTGGAGCTCAGGAACGTACCAGATACCACGAAATATTGGCCTACCAACTGACCTGTAGGGAACCGAAGACCAGGTGGCAGCAAGGAGCCTGTCATTTTTGCAGCATGATTACAGAATTCAACAACATGTGCTGACTTCATGGGGTAAAAGCTCTGCAATTCTCTAGTGAGATCGCTGAAATTGTAGTTGGAGTATACGCAGACTGGAGGTACTGCTTCTGTCTGTTTTTGCTGTTGTTGCTGCAATTCATCAGACTGAGGAGGGCTGTTCCAAAAGTAGTCAAATGTTTCCTTACTACCAAACGCAGTTGTGTTACTGGCATTTGACAGAGGACAGAAAGCAACAGCACGATAAGCGTCGTAGGGCCCATTCATAGGGCCACCGTGAACCCAAGCCATTTCCTTGAGATCAAAGACATTGATTTCATTGATGTGCTGATTTGCAATATCTTGGCCTCCCATCACAACGAGCTTACTTGAATCCCACACTGTTGAGAGATGGGCATAACGAGCTTGCGGTGTAAAGATGCTTGGTAGTACATTGATTTCAATCCAGCACATTGTATCGATATCAAACATGGACACATCATCCATGGCGCTCAATTGCTCATCTCCATTTGACATATGATGCTGCTGTTGCTGTTGCTGTTGCTGTTGCTGTAGTTGCCGTGCTCTCTTGTTGCCTGCCGTATTGCCCATGCCACCAAAGACGACAATGTATCGATCGAGGTAAGTGGAAGCTGAATGAAAGTACCGAGGAACCGGAGCAGATGCTGAATCTGGAGGAGCAATGTGTCTTACCCAAACCAGCGTTGGTAGATGAAGTATATACAGGTGGTTTGTCATCTGTCTTGTTGACGCTACTCTCCCGCCAAACACATAGATGTTATCGCCAATGATAGTAGTGGAAGCACCCACCAAGGGCGGTGGGATATCTCCTTTGGTTGATTTAATACTGGTTGTTAGATCTGCAATTGACTGACGGCCCATTGCACTACAGCTGTTGCTGTTGTTCATGGACGCAATATTGGGTGCCATTGCTGTTACCATGCTATCGCAGAGTAAAAAAAAAAAAAAAAAAAAGCGAAAAAGAGCAAGAGTCGAAAAGAAGCGATAGAACATGGATTTTACTTTTCTGAGATATACAGGATATGGTGGATGAGGATCAAATTTCATGGTAGCACTGCATTCAGGTTCTAGTACAACACGAGCCAGTAATACAAATCAGCAATTACCGCCGAACCAGTGAACGCATGGTGTCTAGTATGTACAAGTAGTACCAACTCGAATTAGAGTGTAACTTCCCTATTCAGAATCAGCCTACAATACAATCATTTTATATACTGACTGATGGATTACTAAAAGCACTATGCAACCGAATCAGATAGTGGGTTTGTACATGTAAAGTACTACAGAGTAAAATGACTTGTATGACTCTGGGCCATCCAGCTATTATATTTATTTCCCACAGAGATCCCTAATATTGCATACCTGCTTATGATATCAACCTTTATTGTGTTCACTTTCCATATAGTGCAATGCATCTGTGTTGATGTATTTAAACATATTATGTGTAACAGGTCGCAAGAGAAATTATAAGGAAAGGTTAATTCTTATTGTTTCCAATGTTTCAAAGTATATTTAACACATGTTACGTGGATGTTGGTATATCATTATGAAAAAACAGGCCTTTGATGGATGTACTTGCCCCCCCTAATTTCAAGCTAGAATAGCGTAAGAGATGATGAGTATGAATGTACTTTTATGGCTTCATTACCAAAGCAAAAGAAGTCAGGTGCTTTTGTACATGTAAGGTGCCACGTTGTGTTCAAAGAAGATGTTTGTTTTCATGCCATCTTTACAGCAAGATGGTTGGATGTCTCACAGAAGATGGCTCATTGTTCAAAAATGGGATTACTAGACTAAATAGGTTGTCTTGCGCTTTGTCCACATTTTATTTTGATGACTTTGTACAAGAGATGGCAAAGTTGTTGGTAATGAAAAGTGTGTGCCATAGAGCTCACCGGATGTGTGGGGGGGGGGGGGCACACTTTGTATGCTAGTAGCGAAGACACTGGCGGATTACTGCATTCAGTTCTACGCCTTTAAACGAGCCTCAACTCGTATACAACCAATATGACAATTTGTCTTGCGCATAATATACCAAGTGTCTAACCAGCTAGAATTAGTGCATGCTCATCAGAACATAATATATTTTTTGTACCTACACACTCTCAAAGACTTAAAAGGAAAGAGGTTTATCTCTTACAGGTATTTCGGTGAACTGGCGTTATTAGATGCAAGGCTTCAAAAGAAAATAATACCGCTAAAGATGATACTATGTAGTTCACCATCTATTTTCCATTGGCTTCAAAAGCATCTGTTATTGACTTCATCAAGGTTAGATTGAGTTTGCCAGCTGCCAAAATTAATTCCAACTCAGACTCGTAGTCTGCTCTCGGGTTGGCCAAATTTTAATGGTTTGCGACTTGATTGAACTATTCTGTCAGATTCGACTATATAAAATCTAATGAGCATCCAGCACTTCCTTAAGCTTTCCTGGAGTGATTTTCAAGGCGCATCCAACGGTACAAGTAAAATAGATATTTTGAATAAGCTTATTGAGCAATTTATAAAAATATGAAATGAAGTTTCTGGCGAAAATGTCGAGATTTTACATACAAAGATCTCTTAAACGCTGTTTCAGGGGTTACCTTGGGTCGAGAGAAGCATTTTGAATTAATACATACCATAGCAAAAGTTTTCGTTATCAAGGTCAAAATCGCGATCGTTTGATTTTCGGTGAAAAGCATGAGGGATACCTCATGCTTTTTGATCGATTTTTGTCCATGTTTTTTTTGGTCCCCAGAAAATTGAGCAATAGCGGCAATAAGTAACTGCCAGACGAGAGCAGTTGTTTGGTGCTATTTTGACAATCCAAAACGGCCTTGAACGCGAGAAAACGCGACTCAAATGCACTCATATTTTGCTGTATTAGGCACACTCTTGACTAAAAAAAAAGATAATATCTGTATGATATTTGCCCGTATATGAAGTAGCTACGTGTATATGGATGTAAAGAATCACATAAAAATCAGACCCACAGATGATATGAAGGGATTCCACGTGTAAGTGGAGGGTTAAAATGAAATTGGCAGTATTTTTGATAAGATGAGTAAGGAAAATCGGTAGCGCATAGGTTGATTCTCACAACCAAAGCAAAACAAAGGTAGAGAGCCATTCGAAGCGTAGATACACTCGTATATATATAATGTTTAATAATACACTACAAGCATATACGAAATATAGTCGAAATTTTAGTGAAATGGCAACATTTTATCTCGCACTGTATTGCCATCCCGTATGTTCGAATCCAAGACATGGCATGTCATTTTAAAATACCATAAAATGCTCTTAATAACATTGTAGGCCTCAGATGCAATCTTACCTGCCTGGTGCCATATAAAATGCGTATTCCAAAGCGAACATTGACATAACGAAAGACGTTGGGCAGTGCTTTCCTTACTGCCATGTGAGTGACGGTTACCTACTAGGTGTATTTGACTGATGAAAATCAACTGCAACTGGTATTTTTGACTTTCTGTATCTTTCATTATGGTAAATACTTCACGCGAGTTCATCTGCATCCAGCAACTCACCGTCTTGTCATTACACAGCCTACTACATATATTCCTACTATTGTTCACGATGACGGTAATGTTCAAGTAGTCCAGCAGATGGAACCACCAGCTCACAAACTCGTATATAGCTCATACTGATGGTGTCTGGGACGTTGCTTGGTCAAACCATAGCAACTTGGTTATCACAGGCTCTGAAGACAATACAATCAAATGCTGGTAAGCTTATATGCACATGTCAGTGTTCTCTATACATGCTCATGTACGCGTTGTAATCTTGATTAGGGATGGTGCATCAGGAGAGTTGAAATACACACTTGAAGGACACGCTATGGGTGTCATTTCCGTAGATGCCTCCGTGGACGGCACTCGTAAGTACGAAATTGAGTAGGGTCATGTGCAAAGAGCTTAATATCAAGCATAGGCCTTGTTTCGACTTCAATCGATTCCAACATTCGTATTTGGGATCTCGAAAATGAAGGAAAGCTCATCAAATCAATCACAGCAGCTCCTGTCGAAGCCTGGAAAGCAAAGATTAGTCCAGATGGACAGTATGTTGCCACTGGATCACACAACGGCGACATTAACTTTTTCAGCGTGGAATCAGGAGAGAAAGTAAACAGTTTACCCACCAAGAACAAGTTCATCATGTCAACTGCTTATGTAAGTGTACTTTTTTGGATGCGCAGACGGTGACATTAACAACGGCATCACAACAGAGTCCTGATGGTAGATATGTTGCAGGTGGAGCTGAGGATGGCGCTATTTACGTATTCAATATCGAGACAAATCAATTAGCACACACATTATCTGGCCATGCCATGGCTGTGCGTACACTCTCTTTTGCAAGTGACAGTAAAACATTGATCAGCGGAAGTGATGACAAATGTATTCACGTGTACGATGTGGAGCACGGTCAATTGGCATCCACCTTGACTGGCCATTCAGACTGGATCTTGTCTGTAGCTGCCAACCCAGATATCAGCAAGCAGCAATTGGCTAGCTGTGGATCTGATAAACGTATCAAAATTTGGGATCTTGCTTTGAGATCGGTATTGGAGACACATGAAGTACATACAGATCAGGTATTGTCATCTTTTTGCGTGTTTGAAATTAACTTCCTCGCCTAATACTTCCTTTGCATGATAGGTTTGGGGAATTGCATGGAATTCAGAGGGCACAAAGTTGGCATCTGGCTCTGACGATAAATCTGTAAAGTGGTTTGCTAGTAGCGGTTCCTCTTGAATAAATTGTGGAATGTAATATTAGAGATACAGTGCGACATTAGGTGTTGAGTGATATGGATGAGATATATTTGCGTGTCAAATGTCAGCTAACCAAGGTGTTGGATGGAAAGCAGGACATTTGGTTCTTGATGGGATGAAAAACGTTGAACATGTTGTCTACACTTGTAATTGAGTTGTGGTCTTCATAGCCCTAACCGAGTATATTAGTGTATATCTTCTTATCAATGCACATGCTAGAAATATCACCCCACTTCTAAAACGCAATTAAGCGATGGTTAAATAACAAGTTGACGCTTCGCTATAAAGGCATCCAACTTAACTCCGAGTACGGTTTCAGAACGATTGTATATATTACAAATTTTTTTAATAATCTAAATTTTCCTTTCCATTTCAGAAAAAAAAAAAGAATCAACTCGACATTGAATACATTATGGATACCAGCAATGTACCTCCTTTGACCGAAGAGCACGCCGAGTTTATCAATTCCACTGTCAATTCACTATACACAGTCATTGCGGCTATTCCTGGCTCTCATCATGCTTTGAACTATCTCAAAAATGCCTATCAGCATGATCCTTTTCGCATTGCTCTTGAGCTCTTTTTGGTGTTCTTTGCCATTCGATACATGATGTCTGCAAAATACAAGCCTCATGACAATGCTGTCAAATTAACAGACAAGGTAATACAATGATCTGTTTCCATGGTAACCAATATTTGCCTAATATATATTTAAAAAAGGAAATTGATGATCTTGTCGAAGAATGGCATCCTGAGCCTCTGGTTCCTTCCTTGTCAAAGTATGACAAGTTCAACATGGAAAAAACGCCCATCATTATGGGTGCTCAATCTGTTAAGCCAAAGATCGCTGGCTTCACTAAGCCCTTGATGAATTTAGCTACTACCAATTATCTCAATTTTGTTGCCTCTGGACAGATTCATGAAAAGGCTATTACCACACTCAAGAATTACGGTGTTGGCTCTTGCGGCCCTCCCGGCTTCTACGGTACTATTGATGTCCACATGGATCTAGAGCGAGACATTGCTCAGTTTTTAGGAACAGAGCAGGCCATCATTTACGCTCAAGGCTTTTCTACCATTTCATCAGTTATTCCCGCTTTCTGTAAAAGAGGCGATATCCTTGTCTGTGATGACAGTGTAAGTTTTGCTATTCAAAAGGGTGTCCAAATCTCTCGCTCCATTATTCGTTGGTACAAGCACAATGATATGGCGGATCTGGAGAGAGTGTTAGAGGAGATTCGCATGGATGATATTGTCCATAAGAAGCGTCTCACTCGTCGATTCATTGTGTCTGAGGGCCTCTCTGCCAACTATGGTGACATTGCTCCTTTGGACAAATTGGTTGAACTGAAGAAAAAATACAAGTATAGATTGGTTCTGGATGAATCGCAATCCATTGGCGTTGTGGGTAATCGCGGTGCTGGTTTGACAGATCTGTTTGATATTCCTGCAGCTGACATTGACATGATCGTTGGTTCCATGGCTAATGCGCTCTGCTCTTCCGGTGGATTCTGTGCTGGTTCTGAAGAAATCATTGATCATCAGCGTTTATCTGGCCTTGCTTATTGTTTCTCTGCTTCCATTCCTGCAATGCTTGCTGTTTCTGCTAGTGAAGCGATAAAAATCATCAAGGATCAGCCTGTTGCTTTGACAGAACTAGCTGAACGCGGTAAGGTTTTCCGTCAAACACTATTGCAAAAGACATTGGAGCCCTATGTCGACTTGTTCTCTGGAGACCCCGAAAGCCCTGCTCCCTTCTTCCATATTAGAGCCAAGCCTTCTTTCTTGCAATCACATTTATTAGACAGTGAAACCGAAGTATCTCGCGATGATGAAGAGTATCTGCTACAAGATGTTGTCGATGAATGTGCCTACCAAGGTGTTTTGATCACTCGTACAAAGTATGTCATTGATCAAGAACGTGTCTGTCCTCGACCCAGCATCAAGATTAGTGTCACTATCGGTTTGACCAAGAAGGAAAATGAAAAGGCAGCTGGTATTGTCAAATCTGCCATCATTAAGGTGTTTAGTAAGTGGAGAAAGTGAGCTTACTACCACAGCCTGATCTCGTTATTCCTTTTAATCTACAAATTACTTTTTATGCTTAATAATATCTTTCTTTTCTCTCTCTTTTGAGCTAATACAATACACGCATGCTACCGCTTGCAAATAGATTATAATCAAAACTGTATTAATTAGATTAGGGTTCACCTTGAAGTATCATACCAACCATATGAACACAATATTAAATTTCGCATTAGAACTTGTCTTTGGAAGAGCAAATTTGTAACGATTAATTCATTATATAAAAAAAAAGATGCACTACATAATCAGAAAATAGCATTTTGGGCAAGTGATGGCACTTTTTAGTTTGCCATCCCTTCATGGGGTATGGATAGCACTGCATTTGCCAGCCAAAACCAATTGAATTGCCGCTCGACATTTCTTTCCAGATTTGGTTCATTTTTGATCCATTTACGATTTGGTTGAACTATTTTCCGGATTCGACTATGTAAATTGCGATGAGCATCCCATACTTCCTAAGACAACCTGGGAGTACTTTTCAAGACGCATCCGATGCTATTATTTGCAAAAAACATTTTGACTGGGCTTACTGAGCAATTTATAAAAATATGAAATGAGGTTTCTGGCGAAAATGTCGAGATTTAACATACAAAGATCTCATAAACGCTGTTTCAGGGGTTGCCTTGGGTCAAGAGAAGCATTTTGAATTGATACATACCATAGCAAAAGTCTTCATTTTGGAGGTCAAAAACGCGATCGTTTGATTTTCAATAAAAACCACGAGGTATCCCTCATGATTTTTTGTCGATTTTCGACGATCCCAAAAAAGTTGAGCAAAGGTGTCAGAAAGTTAGTGCCGGATGAGAGCAATTGTTTGGTGCTATTCTAGTAGTCTAAAACAGCCTCCAACACGAGAAGCCACGGCTCGAATACATCCAAATTTCGCTGTGTTTTTCATAAACTCTTGCAAAACAAACTTTTATGCAACTGTGGTGTAGGACATCAATGCAGCACAACTTGAAGCCAGATACACAATCAAGAAAATTATTGACTCGGCCAACCCATAAACATCCTTAATAACACAAATACAACCATTGACTTCAAGGGTCTTTATCCTTTTAGGAATAAAGTGTAGGTTTTTTTTTTTTTTATTCAAGGGTTCAAATTCATTAACATGGCATATCATGCAATCTTTTTATTTTATATATTTGGGTTGTATTAAATGTTTATGTTTCATTCAATAGCTCATGTCGAAAATGACACATTCATATGACGCTCATGAAGAGAAATAGCGAATAGTTGATCATATGACGACGAGCGATCTGATAAAACCTCTTCAAAATGCGTGAGTCTAGTACCCGAATGTACAACTGGAAAGCAGGTACATGATTTGATACCGAGTATGCTCCTTTGCAGTGTACGATGCAAGCATCAATTTCAGTATTGCACCATGTATGATCTCTCCATAAGTTGAATTTACTCAATGAAATCCACTCACACTCATGTGTTTCTATTTTAAGATCTTGAATCTTGATAACTTTCTTAGTGATCGCCTTAAACTCTAGATGCATGTCAATAGTAAAGGCTTCAGGACATCGTGCATGAGCAGAACTACGGGATTGAGAGCCGTTCACTATAATAGCGCAAGTATTATGTAGACGAACTATTATCTGTCTGCGTTGCCAAGCAATATACGCATCATTTCATCCAACCTTAACAAGTAGTGATAGATCAAACAAACATCTTTCTATTTGGAAAGTCGGATTTAATTTGCTACATGTTCTATTATAACTGATTTTATACTGATCATGGTTGATTTGCCGAGATATTTTGCTTATTTGTATATTCCAAAAGAAAGAAAGGAGATGCTTAGAGATGGAACAACAAAACATGCAATGAAAAAACCAAATCAAACAATAGCATCTCTGCCCATTCGATAGCCGGAAGACGAAATCAGATATCAAGAATTTGAAAGATTCTATTCTTACTCTTTATGGCAAAAAAAGAACAAATCTTGAACAAGGTGGCACCTTGATCAGTTCAATCATATTTAATCGCCTCTCCGTTTTCGCTAATCTGGCTCAACATCTACGCATTTCGCGGGAAAATAAAAAAAAAGTGGTGAGTTAATTTTGAATAAATGTTCAAATTTAGATTCTCATTTATTGCAAACGACACACATTATAACAACAATTAACCGCTGGAATTCACACGGCATCGCATCAAGTTTCTCGCATCACCAGCCAGGGAATTGAACACCAAGGCCAGATTGCAAACAGCTGTATTCAGAGATAACATCTGGCATACAGTTTCATGGAAACGTTCTGTTGGAAAGTAAAACAAGGAGAAAAGAGGGGTATCAGGTTATAATTCTCCCTCCCAAGAGGCTAATTTGATGAGAAAATATAGGGGGGGGGGGGCTTGGATATTTTTGAGACATTGGATGTCGATCGAGCCACAGATAAAGAATTCCAATGCCTGACCTGATCAGCTCAGAGATATTAAACTTGCTCTCTCAATTAGTTTTAAATTTTTTTTTTTGCCTCACAATAAAGTTTAATCGACTACGCAAGTAATCAGCGAGGACCTGACATGTATTGTTACCCATTACCATGAGAAGTCAATTGACGATAACAAGCATGGTCTGTTGTAGTTGATTTCCGAGATAACAAACCTCAACTCCTTGTACCACAATGAAATGCATGATTCGAGGCGGTATCATTTGACATCTAATTCGATTACTGCTCGTCAAAAAAAAAACGAACCATCATTGGCAACCATTAGATTTTAAAGATTGCAGTAATCCGACAAGTCGACTCACACGCAGCAAGCTTGGAAAAGGGCTTTTCCATCTTGAATGTGTGGTATCGGATACCAAAAAGCCCACATGGCTGTATTTGTTTATACGCCCTTTAGCCAAATGTACATATCTGAGAGTTTTTCATAGAAATGAACCTGTAAAATGAGAATCATGTATGACAGACTAACACGTCTATGTTGCCCCCCCCCCCCCCTCCTCCTCCGTCATGTCATTGTGATATCACTTGGCGATACTTTTCTGATGCAGTATGCGCTTTCAACATTTGAGCGATGCAAATAACACGGTAGTTGAGTTTATATCGTTTGAAACCCATGAAGATTTCACAGAAGAAATCGATCAAGGTAGACCAAAAGATGACCTTAGCACGCGCATAATATATGCCATGCTAAAACTACACTACAAGACAGAAACAAAATGCAAAACTCACCTCGTAACGTTCACACGCGCAAATAGCGAAAACCTTAAAAAAATGATGAAGGGGCATGTAGCTGTAGTAATCGAGCATGTACACACAAACATACAAATAGATCCTATTGATAACCTGTTGCAAACCTTTCTATCTCTGGAGGTGATCTAAAAATCCAAAAAAAAAAAAAATCCTTGGACAAAAAAATCGGCTGATTTTGGACTCATTTCCTGTTCATCCCTCCCTCATCTTCACAGCCAGCAAACATGTTGCTGGATATCAGAAACAAGGGTTTCACCGAGCTGCTCACTAAAAAAAAAGGCCGCATGAAAAAGATATAAAATGATCCATCCCTAATCCACCTTTCCCAGTTTTTTTTTTTTTTCTGTATACTGTATACACATTAATACAAATCTTAAATATGTCTGAAGAAACTTTCACTGCCTGGGCCTGTAAATCCAAGTCTGCTCCTCTCGAACCCATGGAGATGACCTTCTGTCACTGGGATGAAGATATGGTCCAAATGGATATCATCTGTTGTGGTGTCTGTGGTACTGATCTTGTAAGTCATTCATACCCTATTCTCTCAATTGAACATGCTTATTCATGTTATTCAATAGCACACTGTCGATGAAGGTTGGGGACCTACCGAATTCCCTTGTGTTGTTGGTAAGTTATTCATGCAATTCTCTTGTCATTCAGCCATACTAACTGGAATGCTTAGGTCACGAAATCATTGGTACCGTCACCAAGGTCGGTAAGAACGTTCAACGCATCAAGGTCGGTGACCGTTGTGGTGTTGGTTGTCAATCTGCTTCTTGTGGCAAGTGTGATTTTTGTAAGAAGGGTATGGAGAACTTGTGTTCCACCCACGCTGTCTGGACCTTCAACGATCGTTATGACAACGCTACCAAGGATAAGACCTATGGTGGTTTTGCCAAGAAGTGGAGAGGTAACCAAGAATTTGTCGTTCATGTCCCCATGGATTTCTCTCCTGAAGTAGCTGCCTCTTTCTTGTGTGGTGGTGTCACTACTTATGCTCCTCTCAAACGTTACAATGTCGGTAAGGGTTCCAAGGTTGCCGTTCTCGGTCTTGGTGGTCTCGGTCACTTTGGTGTCCAATGGGCCAAGGCTATGGGCGCCGAAGTTGTTGCTTTTGATGTTATTCCTGACAAGGTTGATGATGCCAAGAAGCTCGGTTGTGATGACTACGTTCTCATGCAAAAGGAAGAGCAAATGGAGCCTCACTACAACACCTTCACTCACATTCTTGCCACCAAGATTGTCAACAAGTGTTGGGATCAATACTTCAAGATGTTGAAGAACAACGGTATCTTCATGTTGTGTGATATTCCCGAAGTCCCTCTCTCTGGTATGTCTGCTTTCGTCATGGCCGGTAAGCAACTCACCATTGCTGGTACTTTCATCGGTTCTCCCTCTGTTATCCAAGAATGTCTCGATTTCGCTGCCAAGCACAACGTCCGCACTTGGGTCAACACCTTCCCTATGGAGAAGATCAACGAAGCTTTCGAATTCGTTCGTCAAGCCAAGCCTCGTTACAGAGCTGTCGTCATGAACTAAGTTTCTTACAGTCCGTAACCTACTGCATTTCTAATCTTCATTCAATAATTTCAATTCATTTCCCTTAGCAATAAATAAATTTTGCATTAGTACATATAACTCATACTTGCCTTTTGATCAGATATAGTTTCACAAACGCATGCCAGATTTCATCTACAGTGAAACATTCATCGATCTTGACTCATTGAAATCATCCAAGTCATCTTGAGAGCAATCCTAACAGTTGGCTTACTGGCAACGATGATCTATCCATGTTGTCTGCCCCCGAGACTGGTTCGCAAGTGTCTTGCTCTATTTGCTTGCTCAATTGAGACTTTGCATGAAATGTGTCAAGCTGACCTTTGCGTGTGATATTGTCAATGCGCTCTGGAATTCTTTCAAGGTTTCAATGTTGGCCTGTTGATGCCCTTTGGTTCCGTGTATCCAATCAACGTGGTCAGTTGCTTGATACCTGCCTTGCTGAAGCTGTACTCTCATGCCATTTTCCTTATAGTGTACCATGTGGACGTCCGTGTCCTATGACGATGTTACATTTTGACCTACCGTGTAACTGCGCACGAACACACAGCTTCTAAAATCATGATGTGAGGATGAAGAAAGCGTACTCGCCGTTGTGCCACTAGCTGGCTGTCAATATCTGTGCCTTGCTGTTAATTTCAAACAAGAGACTAGAATCAAAGCAAAATTCTGTTATATGGGATTGCAGTTGGTATCGAAAGACTCTTTGATGATCTGTAATTGCTACTCATGGGCATTGAATCCTCAGTGATAGTACCAAGTCTGTCACTTTGATAGAGAAGCCCAACTTTTCATTCGTATCGCCAATGATCGGTGTATCATGTATAGAGAAGCATGCAGAGGATGGCCTTATCAACTACCGATGAACACTGTGCATTGAGGCGTTTATGTTGATGAATGGTCTCCCCCCCCCCCCAAAGCACTCCATCATGGCAGGAATGTTCATACCCCGCTTTCTATCAACAACGGCATTAAAAGTAAGTAACAGATAGTAAAGCTCCATCAGAGGGACAAAGAATTTGTTGTCGAAACGAGTGGTGAAAGACTGAATTCAGTTGCGAAATCGATGTCCATGTAGCCAATGTCAAATTTTTCAAACTTGGTGATAGCGTTGGTTGTTCTCTTCATGTTCCTGACAACATCGATCCCTTTGCCAATGGAGATTGGTCTTTACATGGGCTTGATTTGCCTAATCTCGTGCATGGATCCTAAGCAGAGCCATCAAAAAACCACTCAACCATTCTCATTTTTCGACTCACTACTGTAAGAAAGGTAAAATTATGTCCTCTTATTCTCAATCTCGCTGCCAATGCTCATTACCTGGCACATTACCGAGCTCATAAGCGATGACTCGCCAAACGGAGCGAAAAACGCAATGTTTTATACGTGTTATTTCAATGGCAAGTCCAAGCTTAGCAGACTGATAAAACCAGTACCCCTCGTTTACTGACAAGCATAGATACATGTCAACAAAGAATGCTTAGCTTTGTTTCCTCTTTTACTCATTGGACTGCTTGGATACCTATTACATCTAATGGGGGGAGGGGGTTCCTTTAGAAAGATGCCGGTAATAATGGATATATATTTATTGCTCATTTGTGTAAGGTAGGCTTTCAACCATGTCATCATAGGCGCATGGCATTTTATGTACAGTGAGCTTTATGAAAACAACCCTCTAGCCTCTTTGCTTAAATCATCGTTTCCTTGACTTGATAGCCATTGATGCCACTGATGTGCACGAGGATCCTCCGCTTCTGGGTCAACAGTGGCTAAAGTAGCAGATCGATGCAGTATATCTTCAGATCCAATAATGTAATACATGTGATAAGTCTTTGGTTGGATCTTGTATCGCATGTGAGATTTGACATGAATATCCAGCTGTTTGTCTTGTGCTGATGATGATTTCAAGTTTCTATGTAGATCATGTCAGTGTTGTTGCTGATTTCAGTCATCCTTTCGACTCTCTTACCTTTGCAAAAAGGACGGTTTCAATAGCAACTTGTTGATGCCTTCCGTATCATGCATCCAATCTACGTAGCTAGCCAAGTAATCCTCGTACGACTCCTGTTCTGTGGAGCGTAATGACATGTCATTCTCTTTATCAAGTAATTGAATATGCGCCATGTGAGTATCCGTGTCCTATTGTGCGATGCTTTTTTTTTAGCTCATTGTGTAACTGGATTGCGCACAGGCTACCAACTTACAAAGGTGATTTTGTACAGATTCTCCTCTGATTCTAGAATGCCCTCTGCCAGAGATCGATAGATGGAGAGTGTTCTCCCTGTAGGACTATCCACGGATTGTTGATCCCGACTGAATAATTTGAATAGCTCGTTAGATTTCCTGTCTGTCGAGATGGTTTGTATCTACGATGGAGAGATGAGTACCACAAGATAAGCCATGTGCGTTATACCTAAAAACCCTACCTGCTTGATCAATGTCTGTATCGTTCTGTCAAATGTAAATGCGAGGTATGCTTCAATACCAAACAAGTAGCGCACATTCTCTTCAAATGTTGCTTGGTCAATCTCTCCCTCAAAGTACTGATCCAGCATCTCCAACAAAGCATGGTAATATCCATGCGACAGGTCAATGTCCTCAAAACGATTAGGCACCAGATCCAGCTCCACTGCCGTCTTGTTGAACTTCTTTTCTGATCCACATTCAGAGCTAATGGCCTTCATCTTGTACAAGCGCTCATAAATGGTGAGATACAAGCGGAATAGGCAGTAGTAAGGTGAACTGCAAAAGAAGCTGTAGATGCGTTTCTGGTTGATGATTTCAGGTGCTGTAGCTGCTGCTGCCACTGCAAACAGATCGGCAGAATCCTCTACTTCCTCCATAGTAACATCTTCTGGTACAGTAACGCCATCTTCTCCCTCCGCCGTGCGAGTGTCTGCACTTTGTTTAAGCTCACCCTTGAGTTGTTTGCCTTGACTGTCTTCAGATGTAGCTCGTTTCAAGGAAGATGTACTGTCACTTGCTGCTACGGGAGACTCTGTTTCTTCTGTATTGGATCTACCAGGCTGGTGCTCTCTGTCTTCATGCCCGCTTGCTTCTACCTCTTCTTCCTCCGGCTCGACGCTTGACCCTAATGGCAATGTGTCCTTGACATGGAAGAACACGGGAATAAACGATCTCAGAAAACTCTTGACTTTCTGTTTGTCGACAGGCGCGTATCCACTTTGTTTATCCATAAATGAGCAAATCAAATGCGCAATGTCCTTGAACAGTGTATCGTCTCGAAATTCAAACTGAAATTGCACCAACTCTGTGGGGTTCTCCTTTTGAAGTGTTTCGATTTCTGTGACAAGACTCTTGGTGGTCATGGCCTTGCGATCATTTACTTTGAAAACGGGGCTTTGATAGTCCAACGAGCGGTAAAAGTTCTTGAGATCAATGTCTCTCCAAATCTTGTTCCAGTCTCTTTGTGCTCTTCGCCACTCTTTGTCCTTGATTTCAAGACGCCTCAGTACAATAGGCACCACAGTCGCTGGTTTTTGATACAGCATGTCGATGATCTCCGTGCCTCGCTCGTCGTCATAGATCTTTCGAATGATACGCTCGTAGATGGATACAGTGGGTCCGCCTAAGCCTGGCTCCAGTCGCATGGCTGTTTGTTCTTCAGGTGACATGCGTTGAATGCGTTCAGCAATAGGCTTCAAGAGTGCAATGGTGTTCAAGTTGGCTTCAATATTGAGGTCATATTCGTAGCGTTCCTCTTCACAGCGGTGCAATGCTTCCTCGTATTGGTTCTTCTTGGATGCCACAAATCCACTGTCTTCACTGGCCCAGATGGGATGTGACACGTACGCATCGTTCAGTACCTCCCAGCACATTTGATCTCTACCAGAACATGGCTGATTTTGCCATTCCTTGGACACCACACGGTAACTAGGACTATCCTCCGCAGCATCGCATTTGTTCAAATCGGGTTTAACAGCAGACACGGCAGGCTTCTCAATTGCTGGTGCGCTGGGCTCGTATCCAATCACATACATGAAGGTACCCATCAACTCCTTGTTGTTTCCCAAGAAGCCTTTGACTTGAGCTACCAGTGTATCAATATCCACAATCTCTTGCGTGTACAGGTTGAGTAATTTGAGGAATTCTTCATAGGAGGGTTTGTTGCCAATGTGCATTTTGATTCTGTCAAACAAATCCACCTCCTCTGCGGATATACTTGGTCTTTGAGGATCGAATAGACTGTATGAACCTGCGTCCTCCTCTTCTTGCATATACTGCTGTTGCTGATCCTGATAGAGCTTCGTCTTTTTGGTGACATGGCCCTTCTTTCGCTTATGAGCAGGTGCGCTGGATGGTGATGCTACTCTTTTGAATCCGATATGATTGGTGGAATGAGGCTCGTATAAAGGCGGTGATAGACGCTGGTCGTGAGTTGATGTTCCTGCTGACGATGTGATTTCAGGTAAGAATTGCTTGAATTCTTCTAACAAGTCGTCAGCGCCGTTGAACAAGTAGCGCACATGGTCATACACTTGTTCGATTGGTTTTTGCTCTTTCTGATAGGTCTTTAACACTTCAAGAAATTGCTTGTAGACGTTTGGATTGTTTGCGAATCGATTCTAATGAGGGGCATGGTTAGTATAAGAAGAGATAATGATATACAGCGCTACACATACCTTGATTCTGTTGACATAGTTGATGGCATGATTGAATTCCACTGGAGGTTTTTTATCAGCTGCATGTGGTGGTGGCGAAGTGGAGGACGATACATGTCTGGAAGAGGCGGAAGTGTATGGCTGAGCAGAAGCTGGTGCTGGTGGAATCATGTGCTGAGGTGAATGATGAGGAGGAACACGGGAAATGGAGGACACAGCTGAGGAAGGCGGATAGAGTCTGTTGCTAGAATTAAACGGCGGTGGTGGTGGTGGTGGTATAACAGAAGCCGTCTTGTGATGCATCTGTTGTGTTGATACGGTTTGTTGAGACGGCGGTGGTGGAGGTAAGTAAGTGGGTGAAGAAGAAGGAGCAGGATAATAAGGATGCTCTTGCTGGTGCAATAAATGCTGCTGTGATTGAGGCTCCATCTTTAGCATGTCCTCTGTAGTTGATGTGGTTGATGTGGTTTTATTGCCATTGGGAGTTGTCACAGTGATGCGATTAGGGTCTCTTGGGTCCACAGAGCATTCAATGCGGTATCCAGCAGGTAAAAAGGTGTTGAATCCAGAGATCAGGTGTGGATGCCCCTTAAACAGTGTAGACACTCGCTCAATGACGCCAGGTGTATCAATTGATTGGCTCTTGAAGTCTTTCATGATGTCTAGAAACTTGTTGTACACTTTAGGATTATCTATAAATCGATTTTTGACTTGATCTAGATAGGCCAACGCATCAACAACGTTTAATGGCCGATAACTGCCGCTGGATGGTGAGGAAGGGCTTGCTTCAGCACTGGTCCTCATGGTACCTGATGTGGTTGTGGTTGCTGATGCGGTGGAGATGGGCTCAGCTGTTACGTGTTGCGGTATATCACTGTACTTTGGCCTGCTTCTTGCTCCTATGGCAGAAGAAGATGATATGTGCGAATTCCCATTGTTGGCGGTGACTAAACCAGCGGCAGAAGCAGACGATGTAGTAGTAGTAAGTGTACTTTGGTAATTGTGATGTGATGAAGGAGGAGGTAGTATTGAGTAAGCTGAAGTGTATGGATGTTGATTCATGTGATTATGATGACCATAAGGCAAAGTACTCACGAGTGGAAGCGAAGAAGTAGGTACCGAAGGTCTCCTAAACGATGAACGAGCCTTTTAGCCATCGATTCACGACCAATGTTGGATCAACTCACCTCGGATCCGCCTGAGAAGGCTGGTTGGGCACTGTCATGATTTCTACGAATTATAACAAGCAGAGAAGAACAAGAACAAGGAAAGAGTGAGCGTTATGTTGTTTCCTTTTGAACAAATGGATTGTGCCCTTTTCCGGATCTTGAAAATATTGTGTTATTACTCCTCTGAGGGGAGTTGCTGCCTCTCTCTCTCGCTTTTAGTCACACACACACACACATATATACACACACACACACACACACATAAATACACAGATGATTCGAATCAGATGGCTGATAAACCTGGTTCAGTTACACACAAATTAAAATTTCATATATAAATCAAATCATCTGTAAATTACAAGGATATTTAGCCTCTTTTCGTTTTTGTTTAGTTGACTCGAGATGCACTCTCATCCAACATCACCAACGATCCAGAGATCGAACACACCCATACCATGGAAAACTCATTTGATGAAGAGCTATCATGATAATTACAGTGGCAGCAAGGATGATCCAGGTAAGCATGAGATAGATCATCTTTTCACTGTGCTGATTAGACTGATATGTGGCATACAATGTATATAAAGCGTATGTTTCCATGTGTAATATAAAGAGGTCAGGGGATATATCAATGCATTGCTTGCAATTTCGAGGCTTTTTAAAAGACGATGCTCGGTTCCTTAAATTCACATTGGCCATGAATGATAACATGTTGATGGGCGATATCAAATCTGATCCAAATGCCAAAATCAGCTGGTAAACTTTATGGCGCTTCTATAGCATATTAATGTACTAATATAATGGCCATCAGGACCATGCCAAAAACTAAAGAATACTACATTTTCAAGGGCAAATTCTACATTGCTTCATCGCCTATTCAAGTGACACGATTCCCTCCTCCAAAGATTATCGATGATGATACAAGCGCACCCGATTACTGGGAAGATCAGCGTATACAGCAGTGGAATGAATTAGACACTCAATCTCGCGCTACGTTTACATGGCCTTCCAGGGCAGAGACACCCAGAGCTGCTGATATTGCTTTTTCTTGTCAGACTCTCAGCACGCAGGACAAATCATTAGTGCATGATATAGCCATGGATAACTTTTGTTTGCTGGTGTACAAGGTGACGGATGTAGAGCATCTCGACTATTCAGTCTTTCCTCCTAAAAGATTGGTATGTGTGTTATTGAGTATGCATGAAATGGATGACGGTTTGCTGATGTGGGTTTGTGTGATCATAGGTTTATAAGCTATTAATCAAAACAAATGTATGGGATATTCAAGTAGCAAACCCGTAGTTGATCTATTGTAATTTTATAGCGAGAGTTGTACACAATAAACCCAAAATTGACCACTGTAAAGATCCAGATTAGCTTTAAAACGTTGACTAATCATGGTAGCTCATAAAACTGGCAGTATCCACTGTTTCAACCACTGAAATCATGCATTTCACTGTGGTTTTCGATTGAATGAAAGCCTTAAGCCACATGTCTGTGTTTTGAGAAAGTGCTTGTCCAGAACGAACAAAATACAGGTTTCAAGGAGCGTGTATAGATCAGGTTTATTTGTGTGATATATTGAGAGAAAAGTAGTTTTAACTATGCCGCAAATGTATGAAGAATTTAACACGCTATGGGCTGTTTAATGGCATCACTGAGTTCATTGTGAAGGGCTTACTTGATATCATGATTAAATTCCATGCTATCAACGTCATCTTCGCAATCGTCGCTGCTCTCTGTATCCTTTCTCTTGACCTTTAACGCCAATAAGAAATCAATGTTAGATCAAATAGATACAACACATTGTATGTATAACGCTTACCTTTTGATTTCCACTAGAAAGTTCCTTCATCTAAACATCAAGCCGAGCCATGAATATCATATTGCACTATACCATTTATACACTCAATCCACTGCCTACTTTATTTTCTGTCTTGATGCGAACAGAACGGTACTGATTACGCAGCAGTGCTAGTGTGGCCAGTTCCAATTCGAGCCCATTCAATACTTTCATTTTAGCCAGCTTCTCTTTCATAATTTGAATCTCTTCATCCAGCTGTTGAACCTCTCTTTTCTCCCCTTGAAGGGAGCTTGTCTTGCTAATGGTCATTTGAGTTTGTTTCATTACGTGTGTGCGAAAGAGTTGAATGGAAGGAATAAAGAGATGTGTCAAAAGCATAATTGCGCATGAAATAACAACCAAAATCCGCTTGTCCTGTAATGTGATCGCTTCAAGTAGCTCTCGAGGATACTAGCAAAATGGCTCTCATCCAAGCCCATAGTTGAGGCCAATGATCAAGGAATGCGAGAAGCAGAATCTTTCCTCTAGCATGGACATACACCCTTTCTCTCTTCGACTGCTCTGTCCTTGCTTTAATGTCTCATCAGATATCCTATATTTATGGACTCTTTGTTACTGAATCATCTAGCAATCATAGATTAGTGTAATATCCTGACCCCATTTTATTCACTTGTTGATGTAATGGTGAGAGTGGTGGACCACATACTTTCTGTGGTGGATCTCAAAGGAAAAGATACAGTGACCAAGATGAGCTTTCGGCAGGCTCCTCTCAATAATTTTTCGTACTATACTATACTTATAAAACAGACAGCACATGAACCTATGTAGAGAACATACAAACCTACGTTGATTTCTGGGAAATGCCTATAATTCTATGTAATTCATTCTGCCAATCAACTTGCTTTCATTTTCATTTAATTAAAAATAGGTAACGTTGTAATACAAAATGAATTGCAACATCACACCTACAATTCCCCCCTCATCACCGCCAATTATTGATCTTTGCCTTGCAGCACTGCCCCTGGAGCTGATTTACCCAGGCGATTCGCGTGCTAAAAGGTCCGCAGAAACAGTTAATGGCTTTCAACGTTTCTAAACATACAACTACGGTCCAGAAGTTCCTGGCAACGCAACAAAGCAAAGATCAACGACAGGTTTATATATGCAATATGACATATAATTTTGTTGTTTTTTGTTCCCCATATTGTGCTGACACTGACTCAGCGTGTCTATTACTATCAGCCATCTCTTCTTGTTAATCATGAGTGCCTAACATCGTGGATAGACTTTAAATCTAGTTTTATGGCTATATATATGGCATCTCTGTTGCGCATGACCATCAAAAGTGTCCTGCTGACCCAACGAACATTATTTTGTTTAATCTAAGCAAGTTGTTGGATCCAGATTTGCATAATATCATCGAAGCTTAAGTCTTAAAATTGCTGTAATCGCGTATTTCAAAGAGAAGTACCTTAACTTTCGAAGTAGAATTGTTGTACCAGAAGGGCTGCAAGTGTCTATAAAGATTAAGGTATTCTTGATGGGTAGATATGTCTGTGTTGTGCAACAACATGGACAAGCTATGATAATTGAAGTGCATCTCAGCTATCTAAATACTGAGGTTCACCAGATGTGATAAGCGTTTTACAAGATAAATTGCTACTTTGGCATTCAGAACTTAGTATAAATAGAATAACTCTTGTCTTCATCAATAAATCTTTAGTTTTTGTGTCTGATCTTATTCAAATAAGTCTTTTCTTGTTTTTATAATATCGAACATTTTTTATAGCTACAAATAATAATCCTTTTATTTTTTGTGCTTAACAAGAATAAAAGATTCCATCGCTTAGAAAATGAGTTTTATGCAATGTAGAACATCACAGGTATCAGACAGAACTTTAATTTATCTACTTCTTGGCCAACGCAACCTATTACCCCTTAGTTTTAGGTCGAATTCTGTTCAAATCTAGCTATTTTCAAGCATGAATAACTCATGCTACAAAGCGTTTTGAGCGTTTGGAATAGCACCAAACGACTCCTCTTGACCACGCTCTACTCACTAATGGTTTATCTCAAATTTTTTTGGGCCACTGCAAATTTATAAAAATCCTCATTTTTACATAAGTATCAGCAAGGGAAAATACTTGAAAATCAAACGATCGCGTTTTCACCCCAAAAACGAAGACTTTTCCTATGATACATATTAGATCAAACTGATCGTAAAGATAAAATGCAACATTGAAAACTCTTTCTATGAGACCTTCTTCATATGCTACATTTTGACATATTCGCAGAAAACCGGTTTTGAAACTTTCGCAAATTGCTCATTATTTTCAGTCTGAAAGCTCAATGTAATCAACATCATTCGATGCGCCTTTATTGACTCTCCATAATCATATTAGAAAGTTGAGTGTGACAACGACAATTTTCATAGTCAAATTTAGCAAAAACGTTTAAAGGATGTCAAATCAAGTCAAATTTGAATACAAAAATTGCAACTGCACAAATCCAAATTTGAGTGCCGCAGCGACAGATGATGTGGCAGAAAACTGAGGCCAAATCTACTGGCTGTGACGACGGGTATGGCGCTCCCTCATTTTTCCGCATCCTCTTTTTTTTTTCCTTTTGCATAACGCGTTTAGTATCAGACCATGGTGGTTTTGGAAACCGTTTGAATGATAATAATACTCTAGCTTCTAATAACACGGGCTTGTACTGTTAGAAGTACTTGGTACTAGTTCTTTGAAATGGGATACAATAGGTACCATTCGATAACGAGCACTGACATACGTAAAATCAGCATTAATTGAATTTGTTTATTAGGTTTTGATACTTTTTTTTGCCTGTTTGACGTCGGTACAGTTGTCATTACCTCTCTGCTATCTCGGCTGTCTGATTCTTTGGTTTACCATGTCTGGTTGTTTCTTCTTTGGTCTCTATCTCTGGCGGTTGCTTCTTTAGTCTTTGTCTGGTCTCTGGTGACGCTCGTTCTTCGGTTTTTCTATGGTGTTGCTGCTGGTGTTGTTGCTACTGCTAGTTTGGTCTTTCTTGGTCTGCTATCTCTGTTATATGCTTGCTCTTTGGTCTATTTCTGGTAATTGCCTGTTCTCTAGTCTATCGGTGGCTGTGGTAAATGGAAAGTATCTTTTTTTCTTGTGGTCGCAATGATATAAAGCTTCTTTGGACGTTTGTATTATTGCTTCCTTTCTCGTGATAATGCATTCGTAATGTTGCTTTGTTGCATTTTTTTCTTTTTTTGTTGGCTGTGATATGATCGGCTCAACGGATGCTTGCAATGTTGTTGCTTCTTATGTATGAACAACAAGCATAATGTACTACTATATATCTGTATTGCCGTCGTAATACTACTTTGTTATATGGTCGTGAATTGTTGTTTGTGTTGCCTCTGTGGCTTCACATAAACAACATTAGTCATTGTGTTGTATTGCACACTTATAATACTGCTGTTGCTCCTGCAATTGTGTGTATTTGTGTTGCTTTATATCCGACTATTATCATGCATGTTGCTCATGTATGCATTTTTGTTGCAATAACAGCAAGCTGTTCTGAACATCTTTGATGTTGTATTTGTTGTTATACTTTTCTTTTGACTCACTTTTTTGTGTGAGTGTTCCTTTTTTGCTTACATACTACCATACTTCTATGGTATAGTATGCTCTTTTCTTTTTTTTTCCTTTCTTCTATTATGTTTCTATGAAGCATACCTTTTTACGTTGTGTGGATGTGCCTATCCCTGAAGCTCAACAAGACTTTATCCGAGGCTAGGAGGTAGATAGGCCGCCTCCACTTGGTTATCGCTACTTACTTTAGTGATGATTGAGGGTCTCAACGCCAGAATCTAAAGCTCGGTGGTGTAAGTAAGGCATGCTCTAGCACTTGGGGGAAGTTTGATGATAGCAGCGGCTATATTGCTATTATAGCGGCGCTTAAAATTTTGCCTCACATCAAAACAGAGGGAAACCCTCGCAATTTTTTTTTTAGGTCAGCGGAGTTTTCAAGCAATCTGATTGGCTCGCAGGTTCAGGGACCGAAGGATTCTAGCTAGTTGATCTCCTATTGATTTATCATTTATCATGATATTATGTTTGTAATAAAAGGGTAGCCAAATGAATACAATATAAGTCCTTCGTTAATTAAAAGTATAAAATTAGGTGTAATCATTTGATCTAGCATGCATTAAACAGTAGCATGTGAGGGATGTCCTTTAAACCTGTTGTTATATGAGGGGAAGAAAGCCTTATAGGTACAATAATACTGTTTGTAATGAAATAGCCACCCAAACGCAACTTAATTGAAAACCAAAGTTCATCAAATAGCACTCATTCAAATTCATGCTATTTGGATCTATTAATGAAAGCGCTCAAATGTACATCAAAAACCCATTTAAAAATACTAAAGTAAAGATACACGCTTATATCGCACATCGTGTGAATGAATCACTCCTGATCACAGTGTATTCAATCACACCCATGATGGTCGTAATAAGTGATGGTATCTTTATCCAAATAGAATTAAATCAATAACAAGCATATTCAAATATGACAACTATGCCCTGCTGCCATAGTTGCACAATATCCCAGATAAAGGATTCCATGCTTCAATAACAAACATCACACTTTAAACCATCAAGGTTACATTAAATCATGCTATGACGATAGCTCACCCAAGCCCATCAAGGTTACTCAAATCGACCCTTATGGCCAGTGCTCCTGCATTGATTACCACTTTAAATCAAACATCAACAACATTTGCCAGATATCGCAATAGCAGCACCTATTGCTCTCTATCATCACTAATCCTACAAGCCAGATGCAAATGTATAAATACTCTTCTTTTTTTTTACTCAATTCCAGGATCTTCAGTTCATTTTATACACAAAATAAAATACAGTTGATTTCTATTGTATTTTACCTTTGCTTTATTTTTTTTTGTGAAATCCATTAAACCTGATTTCACTACACTGTTAAGCACAAAGAATAAAAGGATTATTATTTGTAGCTTATAAAAAATGCTCGATATTATAAAAACAAGAAAAGATTTATTTGAATAAGATCAGACACAAAAAAAACTAAAGATTTATTGATGAAGACAAGAGTTATTCTATTTATACTAAGTTCTGAATGCCAAAGTAGCAATTTATCTTGTAAAACGCTTATCACATCTGGCGAACCTCAGTATTTAGATAGCTGAGATGCACTTCAATTATCATAGCTTGTCCATGTTGTTGCACAACACAGACATATCTACCCATCAAGAATACCTTAATCTTTATAGACACTTGCAGCCCTTCTGGCACAACAAGTACACTACACCGTAAGTAGTACCAGGAGAACCTAATACTAGATGCCCCGCCAAACATGCGTTGTTTATGATTAATCTCCAACATGTTCCAATGTAATGGGTTGCCATCTTCTACCTCATATTCAAGATTTCGCATGTACAAAGGTATTTATTATTATCTCGAGATTTGGGCCATCCAAACTCAAACTTTAAACTACTTATGCCAGAGCTTTGAAAGTAGCATGTTCGTACAGCCAAATCTTGCGAGAAGAACGCTGGAAGACTACGATAGATTTTTCAATTCAGGGTATGCATATTCCACCACTTGAAAATAGCATCTCCAATATTCATTATCCCATGAACCAAGCTTTTCCTTTACGAGGCCCCCCCCCCCAAAAAAAATTGCTCAAAATGTTTGCATTTCAACTTCTTCTTATACACTCAAAATACTGGAAGCAAGTTTCACTTTTGAGGTTTGCAACGTTTCGTTTGGTGATAATGGTAGGAAGATGAAAGACAAAATTACGAAGGCAAGGCAATAGATATTTATTAAGCTAAAAGTAGGGGAATTGGGAATCGAAAAGTACTATGGTATATCCAAGCTACTACGTTATTTCAGTTTTGTTGAGACACCTTACATATATGATAAATGTAAGCGTTGCAACACGCTTAAATGCGAGCCCTGATCTTAAATGCAAAATGGCCACCCTATTTAAATTACATGGCATATGGCACTTTGAGCATAGGACCACTGCGATATAGGCTAAATGTTGCTGCTGTTTGACTAGAATGAAATACTCTCTATGGTAATAGTGGTATCATACATGATTTGATACAATATAAGGCTCAAGCGGCAAAAGAAAGAGAATCACAATTGAAACGCTTACGCGGGTAGCTCCACACTACTCAAGGAGTAGCTCAAATGTAGCTTTGAAGATTGGGCTCTCATCGATCGGCTGAACGCCCAAAATGTTCGGTTAGAGTTACAATAGAGGTAATTATGAGGCACAAATGTATGGATCATCTCCGAGCACGCGCAGCTAAATTTAAAGTTATGCATGCACGAAAGAGAGAGAGAGAGAGAGAGAAGCAGTGAAAGGATCAAACTCTATCTTGGAAACCCGTCGGAAAATTCTATGAGATGTCAGAGTGAAAGAGACAATCATCTCCTTTGTCCCGCCTACCATTTTTTCTGATTCAAAGGGCTATCAAGGAGACACGTTCAAAAAATCATGCCACTTTTTTCTTTTACAACTTTCCATGTTTTATGTAGTATTAAAAAAATGCATGAATCATTGAGAGCTAGCTAAAAAAGACGCGAATCCCTTTCATTTCATTCAAGGAGAAAGGAATCTGCTAACAACTCACGGTCTTTGCTTACTTTATTTTCTAAATTAAAATCCATATGATATTTGTGGTTATTACATGAATTTTAAATGCTATTTATATAACATTTGCACAAATGCCATCTAATTAATACATTGGAAAGATACTCGGCGATGCCTATGTATACTCTTTGTAACATGGGAAAGTGTGTTGTTGTGCAAATTATGCAGGATAACTTGTCTTTTAGAAATCTCAAGGAATCATCTCTTTTCAAAAACGTCATTTCCTTTTGCAGCTTTGGCCACGAAAGGTTAGTCATCTCAATGTAGATGTGCTACCCCTTGTCCACAAATTCACACTAAAATGCTTCCTCATCGTCACTTGCTCCCTCTGTGTATAATAATTCAGGAGAGATCAAAAAAGGGACACTGAAACAATCATTATTATTACGTTTAAATTTATCATCCAGGGGAATGATACAGCTTCTTTCTTTCGGTGCGATGTTTGCCAAAAGGCAACATTGCTACTGAGTGTAGGCAGCAACCTGGTTTGATTTCATTCAAATCACAAAGCTAAACACATCTAGTATTCACGCTCTTTCCCTCCTCCTCTCCCTTTTCCCCCCGATACTTTTCCAAGTTGACAAATACTTTACACTAATGTTTGCTTTTTTGAGGAGTCAATTAGAAGTTTAAAAGAATAGGGGAATGAGGGGAAGGGGAAGGGGAAGGGGAGGGATGTTTTTCAAAAACAAAGAGAGGAGCATTTGCTCACATATTAAATTAAATCTTAATGTTTAACCGACGAGTTTGTATACTTTGTGCAGACAGGAGACAGCCGAATGCTTTATCCAGCATACCTTGGCATAATGCTTTAATTATGGTTAGAGCCTACCGTGTCTTTTACGACCTCGACGCACAGATACATGTCAATTACCACTTTTTGCTCTGATAAGCTGGCTTTATTTTGTTTGTTGTTGATTTACTCACATCTCCTTACTTTATTAGTATTTTTTCGATCTGACACAACAGTAACAAGAGCCATGATAAACGCCCTTTTGCGCCATCGTTCTTTTTGATGCGGCATAAAGACTTATACCGCATGTGTCCTTCACAAAGGTTTAGCTCATATACATACATTTTGCAATGATGCATTGTTATAGTTTTCGGTTTTAGACCATAATTATGTACCCTGAGATGATAAAAATCATACGGATGTTTGATCAAATAGGCAATAAAAATGAGATTTATTCTATTCTATCCCTCTTTCTGTTTCTACGCCCCTGCATTGCACACATGAATCACTAGAAAAAATAACAGATACGGTGAATATAACTGTTTGGCCCCGTTAAAAAAAAGATGCGGCTCTACTAATATTGTGCGTATATAACTATTCAGCTCAAGCGCAATCAATTGCTCTTCTTTCTCTCTCTCTTTGCTGCTAAACTATATATTTGTATTTTAACTTTTGTTCATTTCGTGATATATAACCATCTTATACCCCCTCCCCTCTATATATCAACTGACTTTATCACGACATAACTCTATGCCCATCAACGAAAGCTTCTTTGGGTTCATTGAATCTACAACAGACGCTTTGCTAGTTTTTGAAGCCTGTCGCAGTGGAAAGTTACCAAAGATCAGTCGAAGATTGCAAGACCGAGAACGAGGATCTATTAAATCAGGCACTGTGTTTGTCTTTGATGAAAAAGAGTCTGGTAAGCTGAGGGATTAATGGCAATACAGTCGCATGATATCAATATGCAACATTAGGCATCAAACGTTGGACAGATGGTCTCGTATGGAGCCCTTCTCGTATCCTTGGAAACTTTTTGATCTATCGTGAACTGGATGGACGTGAATCGCTATATCAGCATAACCGAGCACCATTCGACTACGACTCATCGCATTATCCATCGTCATACGACTATGGAGCAGCGCAGAATGATTCAACGCAGCCTTTTGTAGGAGAGCTTTCCAACGAAGAGAGAAACAAAGAACGCAATCTAGTCGGGTCGCTTACAGATACCTACAAATTTCGAAAGGGAGGGCTTATTAAAAAGACCATCAGTATTCACCTCAACGGGTCTACTCAGCATTTGATAAGCTACTACACTCGATTAGATGTGCTGGAAGGAAGATTAGCCACCCCATCTTCTGTTTCAGACTTGTCTGACTTGCAGATCTCTCCTGATTTATTATTAAAGCAGAGCTTTCGTGTACCTCCTTCTGTAGAATTTGCCGAATCGCTGCTCAAAAGACCTAGCTTATCACCTACGTCGACCAGTTCAACTACTTCCACCGCAACAGCATCAACAGCCATACGCAGAAAGCTCTCCCATGCGACCATTGGTACCCACTCCTTTTATGAAACTCATCCAACCGCACGAGCCCCAGATGAAGAGTTTCCACCTTTATGTAAGTTAAACCTGCATTTTAAGGTTACATTGCATTTCCGCGTACAAAAAGGAACGTGCATTGATTTTTATTTCCTTTTTTATTACAATTAGCTGTGGATCATTCTCGAAGATCAAGTTTTGAATCTGGCGGTAACTCGAGGAAGTATGCTAGGACAAGTTTGGATACTCATCAATACAGAAGATCCTCTCTCTTTTTACCGTTCACTGATTCAAGAAGCTTGAATACGGACAAGATCTTATCATTCCCTCCTTTGCCTCCCCCACCGCGTCCTCCTCATTACTTGCACCATCATCATGAGGCGGCCCCTGCTGCTGCACCCATGAGCAATGACTACACTAGGTATGTACGCACACCTGAATGAATAGCTCAAAGACTAAAACCTCATTGGTATAGATCATCCAGCGGATCAAATCCACCATCATCAAGCAAGGCTCCCTTTGGTACCTCAGACTTGTTTTCCAACAATAACAAACTCCTGGATCAGCAGCAACAGCAAAGATACCAACAGCCCGTGGCCCCCATTGATACATTGACGAAAAGTTTATTCAAACAAGGTGCGCAAGATGCCCCTTTTCGTCTTCACAAACATTGCGATAGTAGTCCTCCTCCTTTGTCTTCTTTGTGCGAGCGTGAAAATGGCCCTTCGCTTCCCTCTCCTTCAAGCCTGATTTGGCCCTCTACTTTAGCTACCAGCCATACCAATGCACATCACCCATGGCAACAACAACAACAGCAACAAGGCTGTGATAGCAACAAGATGGCGTACTATCAGCGACCCTCTCCGCCGCCCCTGTCTCAGCCAAACACCACCACTACATCGCCTATGTCCATGGAGCCTACGAGTAACTACAATAGTCCACCAAGCATTTACCATCAGCATTTTCATTATCACTACGAAAGACAGTACAACCATGCCTCGCCTTCAGCCTCCATTCATCAGCAACTTTTCCCTTCTTCGACACCTGGTAATAACCTCTGAATTTCCTCATTCATATGCGCTGACTTCTCGTTCGGTAACTTTTATAATACATAGTTTTGAAAATATATACATAATTTTTGATATGGCAAATTCCTTCGCTTCACAACACTCTCATTTCTTTCTACATACACTCTCATATGCTCTATTCCCATTTTTTTTTTCTCTTGTATATCTCTCTTGTTCCTTTGTTTGGTTTTAATATGCTCTATTCCGCACACACACAAAAAGAACCCAATAAAATAAACCATATTTATTCAATGACCTAAGCTTTCTGTACAAGATGCGCTACAACACTACTGTAGGCTTTAGACGTTAGATATGGTAAATCAAGCCCCTTATTCATCAATGCAGAGCCTGACATGATGCCAGTAAAGGCAGGCTGTTTGGGATCTCTGCTCCAGATGCAGACATCGTACAAGGCGCACGCAGTAAGACCTCTTAATCGGATGGGGCGAAGAGGCAGCCAAAAAGGGCTATTTTGTCTAAAGGCCAGCACAACAGCCGTATTGTCCTTTGTAGTTTGTGTCACAGCAGTATATGCGGATGGCTTTGACGTAGGTACAACTAGCCAATCCAGTTGTCCCATTTGCAGCACATCTCTTAGCTCCTTGTACAATGATATCCAGCCTCTGTACTCTTCTAGCTCATTATCAGACAAGCCATTCAAGTTGGATCCAATACCCAAGGCACCCATGAACGAGACATGGAAACGGTACGAGATGGGGATGTTGGTAAATGGGTCATCGCTGGGCGAATCAGTGACCCAGCAACTCATGGCATTGGCAGGCATGATGAAAGAAGCGCCGTATTGAATGATAATGCGAGCATCAGGTCTTGTATTGTCGCTGGGCCAACATGATTCGGTTTTCTTTAAAATGGAGAGATCTGCTCGACCACCGCCGCTGCAACATGTCTCTATGCGAATCAATCCAGTGGCCTCCTTGACCTTTGATATCAAATGATTAAAGGCATTCACATGTTCAGTCCAAACAGCTTTTCCAAACTGAGATCCAGCCTCTGAAATAGGTCGATTCATGTCCCATTTAATGTAGTCAACGCCCGCTGACTTGACTGTAGATATAATTCTCTCTAGCAAATAGTCTTGAACTTCTTCTTTGGTGATATCGAGTACCAGTTGGTTTCTCTCTAAATGTCGTGTGCGGTCTGGATAATGATAGACCCAGTCTGGATGATGTCGATACAAGTCTGAATCAGGATTTACCATCTCTGGCTCAAACCATAAGCCAAATAGCATGCCCAGATGATGGACGTGATCTGCAAGTGGCTTCAAGCCGTTGGGGAATTTAGCACTGTCAGCAAACCAATCGCCTAGACCAGCATTATCTGAATTGCGCTTATGGAACCATCCGTCATCCAGTACAAATAACTCTGCTCCGAGATTCGCTGCCTTTTGTGCCATCTCCTTTTGGTTCTCGAATGTCACTCTGAAATCATAAGCTTCCCAACCGTTGTAGAGAACTGGAGCGACATCGTGGGGGTGTTTTACCAACAATCTATCCTTGCGGTCTCGAATGTGGTTTGTCAAACACTTGCGGGCGCCTGATAAGCCCTCTGCTGTGAAGCCTGCCACGAATTCCGGTAGTTCAAAGCGGGTATTGTTGAGTCGATGCTCAAAATCACGATCATTCATGCCGCCCGTAATGGCGACGTTGCCTCGAATATCTGTGTGCAGTTCAATCGCCCAATTGCCACTCCATCCCAGAGATCCAAAGTAGACCTCGCAATCATTGTGTTCACCATCACTGACCTGATCCTTGACAGCAAAATAAGGATATGCCTGCGCTGAAGGAATGCCTCGAGTTGACTGCAATACTTGAGATGTGCCTGGCTCCAGTGAATGCGTTTGTACCTGAGTTTCTGCTGCCCAAGCACCTGCCAATGTAACTAATTCACGCTGACAACTGCTTGCTGGCGGTGGTATATGCCAGGCTGCTGTATGTGCTTTAGTCAAGACGAGTGTTTCGTTTCCACCAGCATGAATAGTGGCTGAACGTATGATCAAATCGTTCTCTATATCCAATGCGTATTTGAGTTTGATTCTGCATGCCGTGTGAACTTTATCCTCCAGTGTAATGACGAGCTCTGTTTTGTCATCATTTAGTTCCCCATCTGTGTACACCAGGTCCAATTCGCGAGTCTTGTTTGATTCAAACTGAACACGAAGCAAGTCAGGCCCATAACGAAGACCGCCAAAGACAGGAAACTCTTCACAGGCGCTTGTAATGGCAGGATCTTGAGAGCTTCTTTCTGGCGCCAATTTGTTATCCAGGTCGATATCTGTAAAAGTGACTAAACGAGAGCCCCAATACAAGTTCAATACAAGGCCAGTATTGACATCGACGCCTATGGCATAGGAAGTGTTTTTTGTGGAAAGAAACCATGCATGTTTGCCCTTGTGATAAGATATACCTGGTTTTAGAATAAGCATATTATGTTGAAAAGTGAAAAAAAAGGAAATTAATGCAAATGGCAACCTATTACGCAAATGTAACTGTTGCGGGATTAGTTGTGTCCTTTTGGAGCAATCATGAATGTGTGACATTATTCATGAAATGCTGCAAATCATAATCATCAGGAAGTTGCAATTTCATATATTTCAGTGGTAAGTCCAGCTGCATGGCGTTATCAAATATAAAAATGCCCAACAAAAGCAAAAGAAAGTGCTCAAGCTAAGCAATAATCTTTTTCAGATTCATAATCCCCTTTTAATCAGCATCCCAATCATCGTTGTCATCATCAGAAAGACAGTTTGGTCAGCCATCAGCAGCGCCGCCGCCAAAATTAATTCAAGCTCAGGTATTTCTTGCTGTTCAAGATTGGACAGATTTTGTTTTTATCCTCTCAGGCCTTTTGGCTAAGATCAAGTGTGGAGATTTTGTTTTTTTTTCGACTTGATTGATCTATTTTGCGAGATTCGACTATAGAGATTGTGAAGATCACCCTACACTTCCTAACACACTCTTGTAGTACTTTTCATGGCGCATGCAATGGTGCCAAGTAAAACAGATGTTTTGAATAAACTTTTTGAGCAATGTTTAAAAATGTGAAATCTCGTTTTTGGTCAAAATGTTGAGAATATACATATACAGGTCCTACAAATAAATCTTCACGGGCTGCTTTGGATTGAGAGAAACATTTTGATATAATATAATATATACCATAGTAAAAGTCTTCATTTTCAAGGTGAAAAACGCGATCGTTTGATTTTCGTTGCAAACCATGAGGTACCCCTCATGCTTTTTGGTCGATTTTTGGCCATGTTTTTTCGGTCGCCAAAAAGCTGAGCAAATTTATTAGGAAGTTACTGCTATTCGAGTACAACTACTTGGCGTTATTCCGGTGGCTCAGAAAGGCCTACATGTCATGATATGAAGGCTTGAAGACTGTCAAATTTGGCTGTGTTATATACATTTGCGTGTCAATAGGCGCATTCTTGTTATGACACAAAGGCGTAATGACATTGTACGCATTAACCTAGATTCAGAGCATGCTATTATATCCAAATATTCAGCTGGAAATATTAGATGTGTTGTATTCAAAGATACAGTATTAACAAATTAAGATAGATTTCAAAAAAGGAAGACTATAAAAAGTAACCAGATACGAAAACTTCTGATTTATTAACTGATTCAAACGCATCCTATTTATAAGAGATCATTACTGATGAATCATCAATCTATCTTGTTGTTTCAACTGAGTCAATACATCGTATCATGTTTATCTAATATCAGTCAATTGAAGGATCTGATTCGTTCAATCAGCCATGATGATACGATCTGTAGCCATCATTATCCTTCACTATCAGAGACCATCATAATCGATTATATGATTCACTTCTGTGTCGAACCTAATGTCCTAATGTAGACAGTGAGAAACAATGTAGATCATGATCCGACTCTTGCTGAGTTACTGAATGTCCGCAACCGCTACAGACTCAACAAGATGGAGTGGCACTGTTGTATCGCTGTATCATCATAGCACAATGATACAGCTTATTATTAGTGAGATGATAGCGGTTGTAAGACACGATGGATATTTTAGACGCAATAGATAGTCTGCATCGAGTGGACTCTACATATACTTTTTAGTGCCTCTTTTCGTGCAAAGATCAATGTTGCTGTTGGTATACAGGGCAGAATTTAAAAAGCAGAAGCTCATTTTAGATGTTTTCAGGAACAAAGATTTGCGCATCAAGCAGGTAGGACCGACTTTGTGCACAGTTTGTATCGTACTCAAGCAGGGATAAAAACGCTATTTTTGATTCCAACCATCCGTTACTTGTTGTGATCAAATGAATCTACGCTTTATTGTACAGTCTCGTCGCTTTGATTTCGTGGATATACTTGTCTGATGTTCAGATTGATTCTAGATGTGCTCATGAAATCCCCAAACAGCTTCCAATCAGGTGTATCTTCGTATTGATTGTTGTTTGACAGGTAATCTGGTAAGCTGTCTTCAATTATCAAGGGCACGCCTGTTTCGAAAATGATAAGCATAAGAGATTGTAGTAGAAAATGAAAATGAAACCCACCATGAAATGCCTTTCTACATGGACCTGTCATAACCACAATATCGCCACTTCTCAACAATAACGGAACTGGCACAGTGTCTCTTGTCAAACCGCCAATGAGATAGATGCACGATTGACCCAAACTATTCAAGCCATGTTATTGACTTAAAAGATGCTCTTGCTTAACACACACACACACACACACACACACACACACACACACACACACACACAACGTACCTAAGAGATACCAAAGGTGCCTCCATATTCATTTCACTTCGATCCACATGTCCCATCAATGTATCTCGGTATTGATAATAGTTAATCACACCAGCCTCTGCATTGAAATCCTCTCCTTTGTACTGATTGATCCAACCATCATGGCCAATATTTTCTACAGCTGTTACTACGGCTTTTGTGAGATCAGCTACGTCTGCCGGAAATGGATAACGACGGTCGAGGTGGTATGTCTTTGTGGGCCAATGGTATTGATATCCCAATGTAATCCATCGCATTTTTCTGACCATGTCAGAGGGTGATAAGAGAGGCACGCCAGGCGCTGGTAAGGGATCTGGTTTGGGATCGTTAATGACAGGTGTAAAGTCGTCTGAGCATGCTGTGGGTGCCATTATAGGCGGTTCTTTTCCCTCTTTGTTTTCCATCACCTCCTCCTCATCATCATCACTGTATGTGCTGCTGGCATTTTCCACAACCACTTTTTTAGGTACATGATAGCCTGGATCTGTTGGTTTCAAAGTGCCGTTCTCCTGTGCTTCATAGAGAGGCCAAATGCCAGTTTCAGGTATAATGTAATGTGTATCCAAGTTGGATGTGTTGGGTGGTTTTGGATACACACTCAAGCATTGCTTAATTAAACTACGTTGAGCCGCCGGGGTAAATGCATTGGGAATGATAATCAGCCCAGGCACATTCTTCAATACGTAGGCGTCTCGGCATGGTGCCTCACATTGACCGAATACAGACGATAGTCGTCTGAGGTCGTCTGTCAGCTGAACAGGCACAATGATATTGCTATGATCCTGTATCTTTTCGAAATCAACCACTTGAGAAAAGTCGGGTGGAGGCACTCGAGACTTGAAATTGCGTTCAGCATAACGGAAAGGTGCTTGATTGACATAGGATGTGGACGTCTTCTTTTTCGCTTCAGCTTCTTTTCGTTGTCTCTCCCAAATCTTTTGCTGTCTCCTTGATTTGAATGTGATGTTTGTAGGTGCCATGTATTAAAAAAAAAAAAAAATAGCGAAAAAGAAAAAGAAAACGAACAAATGGAAAGCCACAGAAATTTTATTTTCAAGAAGGTGGAGGAGAAACAGCATCAGGTCTGAAATCGTAGCTGTAAAATGCCATTTTGAGGACCAAGGCGAAAATGGTGTGAGCCAGCAAGATGGCCAACAAGATAATGCGCGATGTTTTGGCGTCTGCTCGAGAGATGACAATGTACAGATTCTTGACCAGAAATATGGCAGTGACAACAAAGGCGACACCGACAAATGCCCATCTTGCATAATCGAAAGGAATGATGCACAAAAGCTATTGCTTCATGTTAGCAGAAGTTCGTCTGAATGGCACATGTACTCACAGAAACAGGAATCCAAATGGTCAAGCCATAGCCATAGTAATTGACGATTTCCAACAAACTAGGTTGGCATCCAAAATACTTGGTAGAAGCCCACACAAGCGCAGGACACAAGAATGCGTACATGTACACGACAACCACAGCAAAACTCAACAGCGTGAAATCATACACATGCGGTTTGCCAGCAATGTAAGCAGCCAAAGATCCAGCCAGTGATGAGCAGACAAATACGGAAAATACAACTGATGTGGCAATCCAGAATGGACCGTACAGGTCAGGTTGATTTTGAAGGGTATCTGCTGCATAATCTCCCACTGGATACATGGATTTCACACATCGATCAATCACTTGTGTCGTGTCTACATCAAAGAACTGCGCATAGTATTCTACAGACCAGATGGGCTTTCCGCTGATGGCGCTTCTTTGTTGTTGAGGGGAATCGAAAAAGCCAGTGTTGGAGGAGGCTGCTGCCGTTGCTGGAGGAGGTGGAGGTGCGGATGCATGGTTGACTAGATGGCATTCGGTTAGTCATAGCGACAAAATGGCTGTATGATACTGCGTCATTTACAAGAAGATTTGTTTTGGCTAGAGAAGTCTATGTGCTTCCTATCAGTTTTACATGATGCGGGTGATAAGATGGGAAACATACCTTGAAATTCTAGCCCATCGCTTTCAATAGTGGCAGGCTGGCATGTTATCAAACGTCAGTATACAGCATCGACTTGGCTCGTCTTTATGGGTACCTGTGAATAAGCAGCATCTTCCATGTCCACAAGGACATTGTATTTGTTGGACATAGTTTAGGTACAAAGAGGCGAAAGAGAGCAGGACAAACAAAAAAAAAAAAAAAAAAAAAAAAGCAAATGCGGCTATTCAACAGGTCTGTGTTATCAGTGAGGCACTGCCATTTGGTGTTTTGCTCCTGAAATGATGTATATCCATCATACAAGTAGGACACCATCATGATGGGATTCCAAGCAGGGCATCCAGTAGAAGGGCATGTTTTCATTTTATCGCCACTGCCTGATGTAGATAGACTATTCACTACTCCATAGGGCTCATGACGTGTCAAGATGTAAAGCTATGTCGTCCATCTAGCAGCCCAGAGTCAAGCACACGCCTACACACACACACACACACAGCAAGCGAGGCCACGCGCCCAAAAGGTAACTATTCATGCTGCGCTGTCCAACAACAAGGTAGGTGAATGTAATCACACGGACTGTACTTTGTTTTAGGTCATTTTTGGGCTTGAAAGTCGTACGGGATCCACTCTAAATTATACAAGATGTAAAGGGAGATGTGGGATTTTGGAATGTGTTGCGTGTCTATTTTTTTTTTCTCTCTTTTAAAATAAAAAAGGGCTTTATTGAATGATAAACCTCTTTCGTTCTTTTACTTTTAGTTTTAAACATAAAATGTAAGATGCTGCTTTCTGAATGTACTGCAGCGATTAACTCACGTTTGTTCAATTAGATACACCAAACCTACTTTAATCCGAACCTTGATGACATCCACAACAACAAACGCTGCTGATTGGGAACTCGAAGGAACCCATGGTAGCTACTGGACCTACACTCGCACATTAGAAAAGTCGGATAACGACGACCGTGATTACCGTCTCATCAAACTGGCCTCCAACGATCTCCAGGTGCTCCTGGTTCATGACAAAGATACAGACAAATCCAGCGCTGCATTGGATGTCCATGTGGGACATATCAGTGATCCCGTTGATCTCCAGGGTTTGGCTCACTTTTGCGAACATCTCTTGTTCATGGGCACTGAAAAGTACCCCAAGGAAAACGACTACAACCAATACCTGTCTGAGCATTCTGGTTTCTCCAATGCGTTCACAGGCGTAGAAGACACCAACTACTACTTTGAAGTCGGCCAAGAGCATTTGGAAGGTGCTTTGGATCGATTTGCCCAGTTTTTCATCAGCCCCTTGTTTTCAGATAGTTGCACTGAAAGAGAGCTCAAGGCAGTGGACTCAGAGCACAAAAAGAACAGACAGCAGGACAGTTGGCGCATGTTTCAATTGGAGAAATCACTCAGTAACCCCAGCCATCCCTATTGTCATTTTGGTACGGGCAATTTGGAAACGCTGTACGAAAACCCCAAGAAGAATGGGCAAGATATCCGTGCTGAATTGCTCAAGTTTCACGACAATTACTATTCTGCCAACATTATGAAATTGTGTATACTCGGACGAGAGTCTCTGGATGAATTGACCCACTGGGCTGTGGAGAAGTTTAAGGATGTGCGTAATAAGGGCATCGAGCCTCCTAGTTTCCCTGGCCATCCATTGACCAAAAACGAGCTCATGGTAAGTGGTTTTGTGTGTGTGTGTGTGTGTGAGCACTAGTTTAGTGTCTAACTTTAAATTTTGTTCTTCCTCTCCCTTACAGAAACAAATATTTGTAAAGCCTGTCAAAGATGTGCGTTCTTTGGAGATGACTTTTCCTTTCCCAGATCAAAGACCACTATATGCTGTTCAAGTAAGTGCAAATTGCTATGTATGGGCGCTTACTCATAGTGATTGCTCTTTCGCTCTCCTTAGCCTGGTAGGTATCTTTCGCATTTGATCGGCCATGAGGGACGTGGCTCCATTTTGTCATTGCTCAAAAAGAACGGCTGGGCAAATTACTTGCAAGTGGGCACCATTCACGGTGGCATTGGCTTCGAATTCATGCGTATCAGTGTGGACCTTACAGAACAAGGCTTGAGTATGTTTAATTGTTTGTATTACACACGTGTCAGCTTGAATCACTCACACATTCCCCCCTTTTAAGCTCACTACCAAGATGTCATTCTCACCATCTTTAAATACGTCAACCTCCTGAAAAAAGATGGTGTTCAATCTCGTATTTTTGAAGAGGTACAATCACTGGCTTCACTTGCATTCCGTTTCAAAGAGAAATACCCTCCCTCGCAATACACGTCTCGCTTGGCTGGATTGATGCAGCATGGCTATCCTGAAGCCTACATTTTGAGTGGCCCTAGTTTGATTCGCAATTACGACGCTCAACTCATCAAGGACAACCTGGATTGGATTCGCCCGGATAACTTCCGTATCATGCTCGCTAGTCAAACACCTCCCAATGGCATCGAATACACTGAAAAGGAAACCTGGTATGGCACTGAATACAATGTGGTTGATTTTGATGCAGGCTTGATTGAGGTATGTTTTGTTTGCAGGTCGTCTTGTTCCTTGAACTCACACTCTGTATATATATATAGTCTCTGAACAACTTGCAAGAGGACGAGGCTTTGGCTCTGCCAGCTGACAACGCATTCATCCCCACTAATTTCGAAACACACAAGAAACCAGTTGAAACACCACAAAAGCGACCTGAATTGATTGAAAATACACCTCTGCTGCGTTTGTGGCACAAGAAGGACGACACCTTCTGGGTTCCTAGAGCCAATGTGTGGATCTTGTTTAGATCTCCCTTGGCTTACGCTACCCCCACCAACTGCGTAAAGACTCGATTGTACACGGATTTACTCAAGGACTCTCTCAACGAATACGCTTACGATGCCGAAGTCGCTGGTCTTTGCTATAATATCGAGAACCAACTGGAAGGTATGCTGCTCGCCATGGGTGGCTACAATGACAAGCTCCCCGTCTTGCTGGAAAAGGTGATCCAAAAAATGAGAGATTTCCAAGTGGATCCCGAACGTTTCAAGTTGCTCAAGGATCAATTGCGTCGCTCCTACAAGAACTTTTCATTGGAGCCTCCTTATCAACACGCTCTCTATTACCTCTCCTACTTGACACAAGACAAGATGTGGACAAACGCTGAGAAATTGGCCGAGCTGGACCACATCACTGCTGAAGACATCCAATCCTTTTACCCTGAAATTTTATCCCAGTTGCACGCTGAAGCCCTTGTCCACGGTAACTTGCACAAGGAAGATGCCACTGACATGCTCAAGAACACACTCAAGATCCTCAACCCCAAATCATTGCTTCCCAGCCAATTGAACGGTCATCATAGTCTGGTCTTGCCCAAGGGATCCAAGTGGGTGTATCGTCGCGATGTGGAAGACCCCAACAATGTAAATTCAGGCATTGAATACTTGATCCAAGTCGGTAATGTCACACAGACTGCACTCAGAGCGAAATTGAGTTTATTGGCGCAAATTGCACAAGAACCCTGCTTTGATCAGTTGCGTACCAAAGAGCAGTTGGGCTATCTGGTCTTTAGCGGTGTTCGCAAGCAAACAGGCTCCATGGGCCTGCGCTTCATTTTGCAAAGTGAACGTGATACAATCTACCTTGAGAACCGCATTGAGGAATTCTTGGCCAAGCTTCGATCTATTTTGGAAAAGATGACACCTGAGGAGTACAAGGCGCAAGTGCAATCTTTAATTTCTAAAAAGTTGGAAAAAGATAAGAATTTGGGTCAAGAAGGCGGCAAGTACTGGACACACATTCATTCAGGCTACTACGAATTCAATCAAGTGGACACGGATATCAAGGAGTTGCGTCTGATTCAAAAGGAGGATCTATTGGCTTTCATGACCGAATACATTGATCCTCAATCGCCCTCTGTGCGTAAACTGTCGGTCCACATTCAATCACAAAAGACACCACCTCCCATGAAGAAGTTCAAGGTCAACATCGAATCATTGCACACATGCCTCGTCTCGCAAGGTGTCACGCGCCTTAGTATTGATGATGTTCGATCTGCTGTTGAGAAGGGCGATGCTGGTGAAGCTAGCATTGAAGCTAATTTGCGCAACTTGCTATCTGATGAAAGCAAGGCGGATGAATCCGTGATTGAATCCTTGATGGCCAAGCTCATGATTGCCATGCGTGAAACTGATACGACAGACGGCTCCTATGTTACGGTGGACAACCAAAAGACACAGCGCAGACTGTCTATGGTAAACGGCGAAGCTCCTGAAACCTCCTCGTCTACCTCCAGTGCTGAGGGCAAGACCGAAAGAGATCACACTCAGATCCCTCCTGGTAACAAGATCATTACCAACGTGATCGACTTTAAGAGTAGTGTAGAGTTGAGTCCTGCTGCTGTGCCATTGATTGAATTTTAAGCACTTGTAAAAAACTATATTATTCAAGTAACTATTATAATAAACAGCTACGGCTATCAAGACATGTACTATTTTTGAATGTTTATTTAGGATAGCAATGTCTTTTACCAAAGCATCTGTCTCTTGTATCAATTTCTAGCCGCTGCGGTCATCATTTGAAGAATAATGGACAAGGCTTTATTCAATGATCTCTGTATACAAGGGGAACATACTCTGGTTGATAAGCAGAACTTCTAACAACTTCACTCAAAATCTCTCCTTCCTCCAATATGGCGGTGGCATAGCCTTCTTGGAATGCCACTTCACAGACACGGGTACCTACATTAAGAGCAACCTCTCTCAAGTGGCTTACCCCAGGAAATAAGATGCCCTCTTTCAATTGTGAAGGTGTAGCCATATCAGCGATAGTACGAGCAGTTTCCAGGAACATGTTTGGGGTAACTCTACTTGCTCTCGATACAGTAATGCCCAATCCCAAGCCCTAATCAGAACAGTTGTTACATTACCATGTCATCAACAAGTATGTGCCCCATCAGACTGACTACTTACGGGAAAACTGTACGAATTATTGCACTGATTAGTTCTGCCAATTTTACCATTAGCTAACTGAACATCCTTAAAAGGACTTCCTGAGGCAAAGATGGCTCTACCCTCTGTCCACTTGAATGCCTCTTCTGCAGTACATTCTGCATGCGTATCAGGATTACTCAAAGGGAAGATGACAGGACGCTCGTGATGTTTGGCCATTTCTCGAACTGCTTCTTCTGTGAACACACCACGAATGCCTGTAAGTCCCAACAATACTGTAGGCTTGACCTTTCTCACAAGTTCTTCTAAACCCATTTGATCTCGGAGATCATGCTTGACATAGCAATATTGTCGATCGTCCAATTTAGTCGTGCGAGGTTGATATGGATGACTATGCTCCTCTTCAGAAGGAGGATTTACACCTGGATTGCCCAATAATCCGTACTGATCAAGCATGTAGATCTTTGAGTAAGCCTCTTCTCTGCTCTTCACGCGTCCCTGAGCCACCATGCAGTCGATGATGCCCTCGCATACGCCTACACCTGCTGATCCTGCTCCCACGCAGATGATACGTTCATTAGACAAGTCTTCCTGCGACATGCCTCTTGACTTGAGCGACGCCAGTATGCCTGCCAAGGTGATGGACGAGGTGGACTGAATGTCATCATTAAAGCATGTTATACGATTGCGATCTAGACAAATCAGTCAGTTATTGTTTGTTTGTTTTCCAAGTAAACATTACATTTAGCGAGCAAGTTATAAGCATGAGGGTATTTGAAGTCTTCGAATTGGATCAAGGCATCTAGTCAGGTAGGTTCAGCAAGTATATCCCTGAATTACAGCAAACAAATAAATACCTGGCCAACGACTCGTAACTGCAGTGACCCACTCATCAATGAACGAGTAGTATTCTTCACCTTCTAATCTAGGGTGACTCATACCAAGATACAGAGGATCGCTCAATAGGTCTTGGTTATTTGTGCCTACGTCCAATACGACAGGCAATACGGCTCTTGGTCTGATGCCACCAGCAGCGACATACTACAGTTTAGAAGGGTTACCAAACCACCCAAACAAAACCGACTTTTGTTATATATTGACTCCTTACCAAACTTAATTTTCCAATTGGAATCTGCATACCGTTGGCTCCTAAATCACCCAACCCTAACACTCTTGATCCATCAGTAACTACAATGACATCGACTTTATCATGTGGCCAGTTATAGACCATAGCAGACATCTGACCACGATCTTGACTTGAAAAGTACATGCCACGAGAGCGACGGTAAATGGAATGCGACATTTGACTTGCAAGTCCAACTAGAAGCAGGCGCACGTTAACAAAAAATATCCCTCAACCTCCTCACACCCATACCATACCTGTTGGTGTATAGATAATACCAGCTAGCTCTTCAAGATGCTCCATAATAATCTTGTAATACAAGGTTTCATTTCTATCATGTAATGCAGCCAAAAATACAAATTTCGCAAGTGGAGTTTCACAAGCATCAAGATTACGTTTAACTCTCAAGAGCTGTTTATCCATTTCTTGGCAGCGAGGAGGAACAAGACCACGGATAGAGAGACGCTCTCTCTCGGCGATACTAAAAGCAGTACCCTTGGATAGTAACGGGTCGTGAAGAATATTGACGCCTCGAGAGTGCATGACATGGACGTTCTTGTCATGTCGAGGGTCTGAGTGTTCATGGTGGTGGGCGACGTTGGCGTTGAGATACGAATACGGGCGTTGTTGAGCCAAAAGAGCTCGAGGAAATATACTGCTTCTTGCGGTTGTTGCTATGCGTTGTAGTGATAACATGTTTTTTTTTCTATAAGAGAAAAACAGAAAAGAAAGGAGAAAAAATGAGTGATTTAATTATTGAGTTATATATACATCACTTTTGTCCAGATTTATCAAGCCTCATCATTAACCCGATGTAAAACCATGGCATCTCCTTATTTATGTTTGTTTGCCTTTACGAGTTCTGGACTCAGATCTTTTGATTCTGCCATCTTGGGTAGATCATCAATATCGAATTCTACGACTCCATGTAGTGTGCATGCCACTTCTCCCCCGTACTTTACGCATTGTGCCTGAATGCCTGCTTTTTATCGACTGATCTCAGCCTTAATCTTAATTTCCAAATAAGAAAATACTAAATTTCCATATATGGTAGTAGACGTCGATCCCAATCTTCAAATTCAGATAATGGTCAAGGGATGATGTAAATAAATTTACTACATGGTTAATGTGCCTCAACCCATCTATGACACTAGGAGGTTAAGGTAAGTTTTATTTTTTTTCTGCAAAACATGCATGTAAGCCAAGAGAAATAATAAAGAAAAAGTGCATTTCAAATAATGATTATAAAAACTAAAGTATATATCGCTATGAACCAGGCCGTTTAGCAGGTAAAAGCGTTCGACTGTTTGCTGCCATTGCCTCCATTTCTTAGTTGCTTGTTCTCGACGTTCCTGCTGTTGTTGATGTTGTATTATTTTTAGACAATAAAGATTTTTTATTAGCACCACGTGGTGCTGTTAAATCTCGCCAGACAAAGCAGGAATTACCAGCCATCTGCTTCTTGGGTTTACGGCCCCTCTTCTTTTTGGGTATACTCAGAGCCATGTCCATATTTGTGCTTGTAAATGTGTTGATGCCATCTGCCATAACAGCTGTGGTTTCAGTCAAAAACTGAGGGGTATTTTGTTGAAATGAATTTGGCGAAGGCGATCGCTGTTGTTGTTGTTGTTGTTGTTGTTGTTGTTGTTGTTGTTGCTGTTGCTGTTGTTTAACATCCCATACTGTAGGCTTGATGAATGTCCAATTGCTTCCATTTTTTGTCTCCGGGCGAGTAGCGTTTGGTGGTCTACCACGTTTTCTCTTTGGGCCAAAGATAGGATGATGATATGAGTCTTGTTTGAGTTTGTCTTCATCATCATCTTCATCGTTATTTGAAGAGGAAGGAGGTAAATTCAATGTAGGGGGCTCGGATAGAGAACGAAATGTGAAGGGTGCAGCGTAAGGCGAAGCAGAGGGCGAGGATGTTTGAGAGGCATTTGACACAGAGCGGCAACGACGGGAATTAGCGTCAGGTGGAGGTAGTAAAAATGGGCCATCTTGAGTAGGTGAAATCAGTGGAGACCCACAAAAAGAAGATGTGGTTGAAGAAGGAGATGAAAAAGTCATGATGGGGCTTGATTGATAGGGTGACATTGGGCTTGTTGAGAGAGATGAAGTGTCAATTGTTGGTTCGATGATGTTGAGCTTGATCTTGCCGTTTCTTTGATGTTGGCGGTCCTGAGTTATTCGAATACTTGGTAGGTGCTGCTGTTGTTGTTGTTGTTGTTGTTCATGTTCATCATTGACTGGAAAGAGTGATTTCACTGAAGGTAATTTGCAAGAGTTCAATGTAGGAGAAGGTGGTTGGAGAAACACTTCAATCGATGGTGATGAGTTATTGTTCATATCGAAAATTGTAAGAAAAGAAAGAAAGAAAAAGAGCGAGAATGAATAAAGAGAAATTTTATAATTCAACGAAAGGGAAAAATAAAAATGGAAGTACAAGAACAGAAATGTAAATCAAATATACCAAATAAAGCATTTATCTTTAATAAAATGGAAACCAGGGAAACATTACCTTGTTCCAAGCAGTCCTTTTTTTCCATTTTGGACATTTTTTCTATATTTCTTTTTACTATTTTGAGTCATTTTATTTAGGGTGCTTTGAAAAATGTGCATTCTGTATGCTTGTTTGTTGATCTATCTGCATAATGTTCAAATTACTGGTTTGACGGTGAAAGCAACTACCTAACGAAATAGATAAAAGATGTTTAAATCCATGGATAAACTCGAAAATAAACCTTAGTAATCGATTTCATTGGTTTTTTTCTACAAGATCATTCATGTTCTGATGTGGTACAACGTAACGTTCACCATGTCAACAGGCGAGAGATCCATGAGAAAACTCAGATAGAGTGTGAACCGGGTAAATTACATTGCCATCGTAGCTTTTGGTGTTGTCAAGATATGATCCATGTTGATGACACTGCAATAAAGGGGATGAGCATGTCAAACGCTATGTGATCTGTTTTTTGCTGGCTCAACTAGTAGCGATTGTTGGCATTAGATTGCTCATATTTCATCCTTGGAATATCTATAGAGTGGCAGATGGCTGATCCACATCAATACGCTTCTGATGCATCGCCAAGCATATTTCATTCTCGTTGATAGTTTTTGTTTAGGAAAAAAAGGATAAAAATAGGCATTTGGGAGTTCCTCATGAAAAGCGTAGGCTTGGGCCAGTCAATCCCATTATAAGCGGATAAATGGATTTCTTTCTGTGAGCTTTTTTTGCTGCTGATGCTAAAATCCATGTCAAATTTAGCCGCTCCTGAGGAGGCGTATTTAAGGGTTTGCTAAATAAACTACATTAAATTGCAGATCATAATGTAAGATGTATATTTAGTTTAAGAGGAGAGAGGCACTATGGTGAAATTAATCACATTTTTATATTCTTTTTCAAGAACAATTGGATTAATTGGTGTTATTACACTTGCTCCTGGAATCGAGATGCACCAGCCACAGCTGCTTAGCATAATTGAAGTTCTGCAGTCTTTTGGTTTCAAGTACCATTTCAAGACCAACACAATCAAGATTCTTTTAGAGTCTCTTCCATCGTCTGGTAAGCATTAAAAACGGCTGAAACTATAGGCTGAACTACATGATCCATGCTAGCTTCTCTACAAGAGACAAACTTTGCTTCTAATGTTAATTTTGTAGCATGAAAAATTGCTATTACAATCGTCCCTACGCAAAGCACACAGAATTCCCTATGTAATACAAATCCATAACACCCTCGAAGATGCATAGAATTTAGCGTGTACTTTGTATTGTAAGCTATGGATTGGGAAACATCTTAAGTTTTTGCTATCAGTGTGACATACACTGGGTGTAGCATAGGTAATCGCGTCGATTAATCATGAAAAGAGGATATATAAACACTAAGATGGAGAATTGCCCAGACAGCGAGTTCAAGTACGTTACATTGCTCACATCCAAATTGCTCAAAGTTGTAGTTTAGTAAATGCACAAAATGCATATACGGAGTATCTCAAGATGTGTACACCCGATTATCATATAATGAATCTAATATATATACTGTAAAACATTCAAAACTCTATAAGGCAATACATAACCAAATTTGACAGCTTTCAAGCCTTCATATCTTGACATGTAGACCTTTCTGAGCCACTGGAATGACGCCAAACAATTGTACTTTAGCAGCAACTTTCTGACACCTTTGCTCAACTTTTTGGGCCAAAAAAAAACATGGCCAAAAATCGACCAAAAAGCATGAGGGGTACCTCATGGTTTTCATCGAAAATCAAACGATCGCATTTTTCGTCTTGAAAATGAAGACTTTTACTATGGTATATATTGAATCAAAATGTTCCTCTCAACCCAAAGCGACTTCTGAAACCACTTTTATGAGGTTTTCTTATGCAAAATTTCGACATTTTGGCCAAAACCCTTATTTCATATTTTCTGGAATTGCTCAATAATTTCAGTCAAAACATCTATTTTACTTGGCACCATTGGAAGTGCCTTGAAAAGTACTTCAAGAGTGTATTAGGAAGCGTAGGGTGATTATCACAATCTATATAGTCGGATGTCATAAAATAGATTAAAAAAGTCGAAAAATAACAATATCTGTCCAATCTTGAGCAGGAAAAAAAAATTGAGCTTAAATTAATTTTGGCGGCGGCATTGCTGCTGGCTGACCTAAATGCCTTTCTGTTGATGACAATGATGATTGCGATGCTGATTAAATGGGGATCATGGAATTGAAAGGACAATTGCTTAACCCAAATACTTTTTTTGGGGAGCTTTGCCTCATGAAGGTGTCTTTTGCAATGACAATATCTCAAAAAAGTCGCTGTAGATCTTACACAAGTTCTGTATTTACTTATGACCAGCTTTATGTCGCCATCTTATTAAGAGCATCAGCAGCAGTGAATGTTATGACAATTCTATTATCAGAAAATGGCAATTGTGATGTACAAATGCTGCATAATAAAACTTGAATTTTCTTTCATCTTGTCCCAATAAAAGGCTTTGTTTGATGCCAGCGTAAGCAAAAAGGATGCTGAAGGAGATACCTCCTCTTCTCCTGGATCTGATATAGCCTTTTTTTTTTTTTACTAACTAATAATTGGTTGTATAAAATCTAATTGATATACCCAAATGTTATAATATCTGATTTAAAATGTCTTTAGCGAGAGCCCACAGGGCGACGCCGATATCGAGCGTAGCGAGATAGATCGGCTAGTAATATATACTGAAATGAGTTGTACACTGTGTTGTCTATAAACATGTAAGCATTGAATTACTACAGATGTATAATTTGTATTTGTTTATCAAATGCGCACATAGGTATCCCAGTGTATTTCTTAGAGATAGACACTGATGCTTGTATCCGTGAACTTTCAATTTCAGGTTACCACAATACTCTCAAATACTCTTAGTAGCACAGTGCAAATCAGCGATTAAAAATAGGAAATCTTTATATGTGTTGTTAAATAACCTTTGAGTATGATGATGCACTAAATAAATATATAATAAGAGCCTGCTGCTTGCTTTAGTTTTGTTGCTGTTGCTTGGGCTCTGCAGTCTCCATTATGCTTTCAATTTGATGGCCATAACCCAACTGATTGACATCATAACCATTGTCTTGGAGTAGTTGACGAAACTCGTCATCCAGCTCTTTGGAACTCTTTGATGTATTGGGAATAAACAAAAGAGTCAAAGCACAGCCCAATAAACCGATGCAAGACCCAATGATAAACAGATAACCTTGTGCTCTAAGAGAATCGCCTGTAGTCTCTGTTAGAGCAGCCAAAATTGGCTTGAATACTTGAGTACCAATGGCAGCACCGGCTTTTCCAAGGGCAGCAGAAAGACCATACATAGTACCACGAATAGCGGTAGGATACATTTCAGCAGATACAAGAATAGTACAGTCGCCAGGACCGAATTCACCAAAGAATAAGAAGAAGCCATACAAAATGACAAATACAGGAAAGGCATTTGAAATGATTTGAGGAGCCAAGGCACCCACAATGATACCAATCACAGCCTGGATAAAGAAACCAGAAGCCATCAGCTTTTTAGGACCAAGACGATCAATAAATAAAGCACCAGCTGCAGCACCAAATGGGTAAAAGACATTCAAAACGATGTTCCATTGAAAGGTTTGCATTAAAGAATTTCCAGGTACAGCAACACTTAAGATGGTATCAGAAAAGATGCCAAATGAATATGATACAAAATCATAGAGAAACCAAATACCACCAGTGACCAAGAGTTTGGGCCAATACTTCTTGAAAATCAATACATAGGGCACCTTGCGGGTAAGTGCTTCCTTGGTATACATTTCGGAATTTAGCATTTTCAAGCGAAAGTACAGGACATTGAGAGGTAACAACAAGCCGAGACCAAGAGAGAGACGCCAAACGACTTCAAGCCCTCCTTCACCACAGATGGCTAGTAAGATGGCAGGTACAATAGTAGCCACAACAAAGCCAACACTACAATAAAGTCAGTATATGTTACAATGTTGTCTTAGAGAAACTTACTCGATGATGAAATTGCCACTAAGAATCAACCACTTTCCACGACTACGGCCGGATTCTTCAGCAGCCTCACCTGCGGTTACGCTTGAACAAGGATATTCACCACCAACACCAACACCTGTGAGACCACGGGCGATGATTAGCATCCAAATTAAACCAGTTGGGGTCACGCCACTGGAAGCAGTAGCCAATATAATGCCCTATTTTTAAGGTTAAATCATGCAATACAATTCAAATTATTGATAACAACTCACCAAACAAACGAACATTGTACACGAAATGATACCAAACTTTCTGCCTAACCGATCAATGAGAACACCAAAGCCGACTTGACCAACAATATCACCGATTAGCATGGCATTGCTTACTCGAGTAGAGAGACCATTTGCAAGCACACCTGCTCCATATATTTTCTGGAGACAGGCTTCCACAGAACCAATAATATTAGCTTGATAGCCATCGGAACCTAATGCAATACTTGCAAAGATTAAGGAGAGCTTTTGAGAAAACGACTTCTTTCTCTCGAGATCAGAATCAAAGCTGGGATCAGTAGAATCAACAAATTCAGCTTGAACAATGTCAGGCTTTTGCTTGAAACTCTCGTTGGTAGGTACAATTTCCTTGATCATAGTTTTCGACATAGCTATGAAGAAAGAAAAATTAAAAGGCAAAAGAGGGGAGTGGGGTATTTTATTACAAGATTAAGGGGCTATAGTAATGATTCAGTTGACTGTATTTATATAATAAATCGAGATATTCGGGTGGCATGAATCTTGAAGAGATTGACAAGTACGACATGTCTACTTTTTTGCCGAGATGTGGAGGAGATAAACTATCTAGCATGGTGCGCACAATTGATTCTGATTGGGATTATCTTCAAAATAGCCTTAACTGCTTGAAACGCTAAGCTACTCGTGGGTGAGATTGTATTGTCTGACTGGCTTTCAGACCTTCAGAGTTACGGTAGCACGGAGCTCTCTTTTTGAGATTAACCTAGACGCACGTGTGCTCGCTTTGCCTTTTACAATCACTTTAATTCTTGTGTGTATTCAAAAATATTTACCTATTTCGCAAATATAACCATTATCATTGAGTATATATTCCTGATAACGAGAAACGTGTAACCATCCTATTACCTTTTAAAACCTTATTATAATATTTGTATGATGCATGTTCTATTATCTCATGCACGAGTACTCATTGTATTGATATGCCAAAGCCTTTGAGTTCCCAACAAGGGTCTTTTGCTGGTACAAGATTAACAGCACGAATGTGCAATCTGTGCTTCGCATATCAACTTTGTTTGCGTAGAAATATGTGAATCACAAGTTATCTCTCGCTAGCGAGTACTACATAAAGCTTCTAATGCTGGCTTCTGATCTCCCAAAACGTCAAGATTAGTCCCATCACCGAGCGATACAAACTCTTGTGCTGCTTGCTTAATGTATTAACTGGAATGAATTACTCGTACCTAATGCTTAAATATGGCGAATTTCCTATCTTTACGCACAACATGATAGTACTTACTTCTAACATTACAATTATTTAACATGCATACTTGTTATGGATCGTTGGGCCATCAATATTATACAGATTACTACATTTATATGAGTCGTAAAACAGCATCATTTGATTGATTAACTTTCTGAAGTACTTTGAATGCTCTGGCGATCAAAACTGTATCAATTATGAAAGCTTTGCTCCTCTCTAAAAAGCTAGATTTCGCATGCTCGTTCCTTCTAAATCCACAATTAGAACAGCATGCAATTACCTTTGAAGAATATTAAACTAATTGAAGAGTTAAGCAGTTGTATAACAAGATCAAAGATTGCTTTATCACAACATTGAAGCCTCAACTTCATATAGTGGGCTGTTCATTAAATCAAATTACAAAGAGCTTCGTTGTAGGACAGACAACATGTAATGCAGCAATAATACGGGTGCGTGGTGTTGATGAGTGGTTCGATGACGGCAATTGTACTGTGGTGGGTAGCATCTCGAAAAAAATGAAGCGACAGATTACATCCTTTGAAAATTAAATTTTGTAATGCAATGTGCCACCGCACGACATTCACAGCAAGGTCAGACTGAATCGTAGACAAATCGAGGCAAAAATGACCAAAACAAATGAAGCATTATAGCAAATAGTACGTAAAATTATAAATTCACTAGTAAGTTTCGATGTACATCCATCTGCGTCCTAACAAAGCATTAAACTACTATCTTTGGGTATGCTACTTAATGCATACTATGATTCAACGTAGCTATCCTGAAACTTATGCAGTTTTTTATCAGTTAGATTGTACGACAGGTGTAGATGGGATGTAGTAGTAGCATAGAAAAGTTTAACAATCAGAAAAAATCTTCGATACTGTACTCGAAACTCTATCATATCTATAGTCATATATATTTAAAGAGCTCCAGAAACTCATTCAGACAAAAACGTATTTGATTTTCTCGCTTATTAAGCTATTGTGGTTCTACCAAAAAATCAGGACCTCTAAAATCATACTATATTAAATATAATGAGGAAACTCTTCCCGAAATGATCAGAGCTGAATCCTTCTTAACGATAATAGTTATTTACTGAAATCAAATTGACCTTGGTTTGGAGAGTAGTGAAAAGCTTTGTATTAGCGAAAATGTTTAGACTACTTTAGCTCTTAAGTTTACTGTAAAGGTAATGTCTGAATGATTTTAAATAAGTAGCTTCCATGTTCGAACTTGTGAAGGCCTTACTACAGTATGTTGCGCTAAATGGCACGTACTGTAATAAACGTTTATATCGGTAGATGAGAAATAATTTCAGCAAGCTTTTATACGTGTCTGAAGCGACATGCTTATTTATATTATCTAGCTATGAATGTATCAATGACATAAGAAATTAAGGCATAAATGCGGATAGGTTTACAGATAGAAACTCACAGCAGGCAAGTATCGCAGTCGCTTGTTTCTCTTCAAAGTCTCATGCAATCCACACATGCTCAATTAAAATAAACGATGAAGCTCATCTAGCCCTCTTGCAGTACTGAATCTTGTAAGGCTGGGTGAATGCGGCTACGTATTTATGAAAACATAAATATTGATTTGATAAACGACAAGTAAATTGATACAACTATGCATAGAATATATAGCTCCAACGCAGAGCTCTGTCCATATTTTTACCGCACCCTAACAGATCTATAAGATCACAATTTTATTATTAAAAAAATAAGTCCAATTCATCGCTAATATAATTATTGAACTCCGATTTTCAATTTGTGTTCCGATTTGGAATCCCGCTTATGTCCTGATGATGATGGTGCAAACCAAATTTCCGTAGGTAGCATAGTTGTTGAGAAATCCGTAATTTTAGAAAATGAATAAGTTTGAGTACATGCTACTAATAAAACTTTTTATATTACTATATAAATGTGGGATGTATGTGTAGTGAAAGTTGTAGAGGGTACTTTGTCAGAGTAGGGAATGTTTGATGTGGGGTTATTGATGGTAATGTGGATGATTATTGAGGAAAAATAAAGAAAATGGTCAAATTTCGAGGAACTGTACCGGTTGATTTTACTAAGTCAACCCGAGCTTGAAGCTTAGTAACTTTTGTTTCTTTTTCAATTCTCTATACAATGGTATGGTTATTATAGGATAATAAAAAAAGTTTTGAATATCCTCTGCTTGTAGCTCATAAAATATATGATTTTGAGCAAATATATGAAGGGATTGCACATCTGGTACTTGAAACCCTTACACAATAATAGATATGCATCTGCAATGTCGTTTCACTCATTATTGATTTGCAACATGTTTTGTTTTCTAGAGTTGCTATCGTTTGCTTCTTATTGAATTCTCAAGATACAAAATTGTTCTCAATTTTAAGGTTAGGAGCATCTAAAGTTAAGTTTTGAGATACTAAATGAGCAATACTGTGTAGCACAAAGAATGAATGGACTATAATTCGTTGTTTATAAAAAATGGTTGACGCCACAAAAACAGGAAAATAAAGACGTATTTGAATAAGATCAAGCACAAAAACTAAAGATTTATTGATGAAGACAAGAGTTATCCTATTTTTTTACACTAAGTTTTGGTGGATATCTGTTGAGGATATAGATCATCTCTGAGAGGCAAATGTATTAGGCGTCGTTTATTACATAAGAGGATCTGAGAATGAGCTGAGATGCATAGTAGAAGTGAGAGGTCTTTATTCAAGCAGCACGAAGGAACATGAGTGGTGCCATCAAATGGCTAATCTATATCCTGGTTCCTGGAGAGTGGTAGCCTATGGCCTTTCGTCCCTGGAAGTGGGTTTCAATTCCGACAAATGTTCTTCCGTCAAAGCTATTAGGAAGAACATTCTATCCTGGATCATCTTTGTTGTTTATCCTTGACTGGTGGTTCATGAGTTCTGATGCAGCACATCCTCGTTACTGGTTCAAGGCTTATACAATTATCCCGCATTCAAGATCAAGGTCCTATTGCTGCGGCACTGTCAAATAACTATAAATACCTTTGATATCTACACTAGTTTTGATCCTTATTCAATCTTGGAATAACATAATAAATATATTCAGTTCTAATTGTATTTACTCTGTCTATATTTCGTTATTCTAAACAATATCAAAGTAGCAACTTATTTTGTTGTATAACGCTTATCACATCTGGTAAATCTCAGCACCCAGACATATCTGAAGTGAACTAGACTAGATTCCCATCATAAACAAAACCCAAAATAAATGTCATCTCAATCAAACCATGCTACCATCAGCAGATAGGCATGCATAATAATAGTATTAGCATGATGATAGCAAGGGTTAAATGCTCTAAAATAAGAGATGACAGATACTAAAGTAAATGTCAAGGGTATTGTAATGTGTTGTAACATAAATATACCTAAAAAGGATACAGGCTCAACAATAAAGAGCTATTCTTTACGCATGATTCAAAAACCATATATTGAAATACCGTTCTTGATCCATCAGATCAACAACTAAATGACCCAACAAAAATATATAAAGTAATGGAATCACTGGCAACTACTAAACTGCTGCCAGATAAGAGATATAAACCAAATAATATAAATAGAGACGTAGAATATACATTTTATTGCACATTATCCTAATTTCAAATAAAGAAGGATTTTAACAGTATTCTACCTGCTTTTTTAACCCCCTTTTTACTGCATTTTTTACTGTTACAATCAATCATTGATTTCGTTATGTCGTCTGTTCTGTCTGGTAACTCCCCACTGTCATCTCGTGCTGGCTCACCTAATCCCATGGAAGAGGACGTCATCATGGAGGATGGCAACGCATCCTTACCTGCCTCAGTTTCTGCAACAACTGAACGCCTCAATGAGATGGATCTCGCGGCTGACCCGCATACAAACCTCGTTGGCACCCCGTCTCCTGCGCCTACTATATCCACTAAAGGTGAAGAAATTGTCAACCCTGACGCTACCTCACCACAACCTGCTCCACCTGTTACGAAGCCGCCAACGTTGACTGAAGTTCTGAAGAAGGTTCTACTCCAAAAGGAAAATGCGCAAATAGCATACTTGAAAGCTCTGAGCCATTCCAATGTCAATGTTGATGAAGCCAACCTACTCCGTGAAAAAGTAAACAATTTAGACAAGCATGTCAAAACACTTACCGATGGTCTCAAGGCTGCTGCTGCTGCTACTGCTGCTGCCACCAAGGCTTCCGCTGCCGCTAACTCATCGTCCACTGGCTTAAAAATTTCCAAGAGAGATCTTCCCAAATTCCAACTGGAGGATAACAAAGCTAAACCATTTCCACATGAGGAGGCATATCGTTCTGTTGATCATTTCCTCTCAGAATTCGAAAAAATTGTGTATTCTTCTGGCCAAGACATCGAAACCGTATGGCGCAAGTACATTCCCCTCACGTTGTCGTATGAATTGGATGACTGGATGAAGACGGTGGTCATGAAGTGCAATGTCTGGCACGATGTCAAGTTGGTTTTCAGCAAGAAGTTTGGGACAGTAGTTTCAAGAATACATAAGCGTCGTGCTGTGATGAATATGGAAATTGGGTTCCATGAATCTGTCGATGAATATTCCAATCGTTTCTTCCGCACTGTTGGTGAGGCCGGCTATCATCGTGATGATTTGACAATTGGTGATGTCTTTTTGTTGTCTTTACCCGAGTCCTGGCAGCTGAACATTTGTACTGTGCTCCTTTCAAATACCAAGAGACAAGCCTGGACTACCACGGAAATTCACAATGCTGCCGTAGATCTTCTTGGTGAAAAGACTCCCCAATCATTGATGCTAGGAAAGGACACCAAGCGCAAGTTTGGCTCTGTTGAACCCCCTATTGTTGCTACCTCTGGCTCATCTGCCACCACATCTTCTGCTTTGCCAAAGGCAAGAATGCTTGGTGATCGAAATCTGCCCAATAGGGCTGCTACCAAGAACCCTAACCCTTGCCGCCATTGTGGTCGCCCCTGGAAGCATGGCCATACTTGTGAAGAATATCGAATGGCCAAACGCCAAAAGGGCGCTGGTGATGGAATCAACGTATTGTCCGTGTCTACTACTTCTGATACTAAAGAAGAAAATGAAACTGACGTGATGACCCAAGCTTTAAAAGAAGCATATGAAAACGAAATTTACAAATGTAAGTCTAAAAAGACAAACGAAAGCAAAAACAACATGAAACTAATCACGCCTCTTCTATTAAATGGTAGAAGAATCATCGGAAAAGTGGATCCCAGATCGGATATTAGTTTCATCAATAAAAGCATATTAAATAAATCGTTTTCAAACATACAAACGTATAAAACAAATGGCTTTCTCAATTTCTTGTCTGTAAATGATGATAACAAGAACAGTACGGTAACAAGAATTGGTAAAACTGAACCTATGGAAGTAACTTATACAAACAATATCAAATTCGCTCATGAATTCGAGGTCATTAAATTTAATGATGAGTTGTCTACTGAATTTGATGTGTTACTTGGTGTCGATATTCTACCCAAATTGAATATCTACCTGCAAGGAGTAGCATATAAATTTCCTGATTCAGAAAAGGACAAAGAAATGAAGCAGTTTGAGGATATAAATCACGATCAACAAAACAAATTCAATCCTGAAAAGGCTGATTATGGTACTCCAAGCGAAAGAAAAGAATTGCTAGCACAAATTCAATCAGCTTTGGACGAAAACAGGGCTATCCCAAGTGATGCAGCATGTACAATGCCAGAATCAGTTGTAAGAATCAAAATTTCGGATCCCAGTGATTGTTTCGTTCGACAATATCCATTAGCGGTAAATGCAAATGCAGAAATCAAATCACAGCTAGAAGAATGGCTAAAAGATGGCATTGTCGAGCGTACCAAACCTGATCCAACCTTTCACTCACCTTTATTGGCTGTACCTAAACGTGATCCACTCACCGGGAAAACTAGCAAGCTTCGAATCTGTTGCGATTTAAGAAGAATAAATGCTGCCATCTCGGATAAAGACTGTCATGAGAACTTTGCTGTACCAAAAATAGATGAAATCTTCAGCAAGGTTGTTGGTAACGCTAATGTCATAAGTGTTTTGGATCTAAAGCAAGCTTATTTTGCATTTCCTGTATCACCAGAATCAAGACGTTGCCTCATATTTAGTCATAACAATTTGACGTACCAATGGACCAGAGCCCCTTTTGGGTTAAAATTCCTTGTAAGCCAGTTTGTCTATACAATGAGCGTTTTATTCGATGGCATTGAACAAGAGTTGAAAGATGAAGTAAAGAAATTATACATAAAACAAAACAAAGACACCACTCAAATTGGCAATGAAATCCAAGCAGGAGTCTGCCACTACTTAGACGATATCGTGGTGTATGCTAGAAACGCAGAATTTAATGCACTAATGGTTAATTTAGTGGTAAGGAGATTGAGTAGAGTAAATCTACGTATCAATACAGATAAATGTTCATTCTTCCAAACAAGTGTCTATCTGCTTGGATTCATCATCAGTAAAGATACCACAAAAATTGATACAAAAAGACTATCAAACATTGAGTCATGGGAAATCCCAAAGACAACGAAACAGGTCCGTAGTCTTATGGGTATTATCAGCCATTTAAGAAACTACTGTCCAATGCTGTCTAAAATAGCTGCTCCTATTGACAGTCTACGAAATGAGAAAAAAATCACTGCAAAATGGACATCCTTACATACTGATAGACTCCAAAGAATCAAACAAATACTCATGTCTAGTCAAATCCTTTATGCACCTAATCCATCAAAGCCATACTTCATGCAAACTGATGCCAGCGTTCTGGGAATATCAGCCTGTCTATTCCAAAAGGATGAAATGGGACGCATTAAGCATATAGCATTCGCAAGCAGATCTTTGAATAGTGCAGAACGAAATTGGTCTACTAACCGAAGAGAAACTGCAGCCATTGTGTTTGGTTTTGAAAAATACAAAGCTTTATTATGGGGGCACAATGATATAACTGTTTTATGTGATCATTTGGCCCTAACGTATCTTTTTACATCATCAACACTGAACAGCACTCTTCAAGGGTATCTGGAAATTTTAGGAGAATACAATTTCTCAGTAGCTCACATCAAAGGAATGGAAAACATTCTTGCTGACCGACTATCGAGATTGTACCCTGCCATAACCGAAGATGAAGAGCTAGCTGATGAATATGAACAACAGATTAAGAAACTACACAAGCTAATCCTGCTACGAAGAACTACCGGGAACAAAATCGTTAAACAAAAGGAAGTTCATTCCAAAGACCCCAATCTAAATGTCCTAGCGATAAAGCTCAGTAGCAAAGAATTTAAACAAACCACAACTGATTATGTTTGTCCACCTCAACAAGATCGTAAAAAGATCATCCAAGATGCACATAAGGTAGGACATTTTGGGATTGCGGCTGTGGTTAAGCACATTCACACTTATCATGGTCTTCATTGGAACTCCATCTATAAGGACGCCAAAGAACTTTTGCTGTCTTGTAAGGAATGTCAATTGCATAATATTGCAAAGAAAGGATTCAACCCAGCAAGAAGTGTAGTGTCGTATGAACCATTTGATTTCATTAGCATGGATATGATTGGACCCTTACCAGTAACGGAAAGAGGCAATTGTTATATTCTTGTGGTTGTAGACATCTGTACCAAATACATCATTGCTCGTCCTACACCAAACAAACAAAGTGACACAATCGCTAACATCTTGGTCTCAATCTATGGAGATTATGGTTTAGCAGTGAATGTTACCTTATCTGATAATGGAAGAGAATTCAAATCTCAACTATCAGAATACATCTATAAATCATTAAACATTGGCATGATACAAAGCACTCCTTACTACGCACAGGGAAATGGTCATAGTGAAAATTCTGTGAAAACTGTAACTGCAACACTAAGGAAAATGTGTGGGAATGACACCAGAAACTGGGATAACCGTTTGCCTATTGTACAACTAGCTATAAACATGAAAGTCCGTGATCGCACAGCAAGCACCCCTTTCAGCTTGATGTTTGCAAGACAAGTAACATTGGACCCTAAGAAAATTAATAGAAATAACAGGAAAGCATTGACACTGGAAGAGCTACAAAAAAGAGCTGAAACCATGAATGACATTGTCTTTCCTGCTATACAACAACGAACTGATGAATTGGCTAAAATATATCGCGAGAAATTCAACAAGAAACACTACATAATCGAAGATATTCCAGCTGGTACACCTGTAATGGTACGTTACGCAGAAGGTCGATCGAATAAACTAGCCCCGCTATATTCAGGACCATATATTGTGGTGCGACGTACTCAAGCAGGAACGTATGTACTAAAAGATGATACTAGCGAATTGCTACATCGTGAATATACGCCCTCTGAATTAAAAGTTGTCTCATTAGACGAAACAGCATTGGAAGCGCAAGTATATGAGGTAGAAGAAATTCGTGATCATCGAGTGCTCCCCGATGGCACATACGAATATCTGACCAAATGGTGTGGTTACGGTGAAAGAGAGAATGACTGGCTTACCCCTGATCTATTCTCCACACCTACTCCTATTACCAATTACTGGAAGAAAATGAAAGAACTTGAAAGACGAGAGGCATCTAGAAAAGAAATCAATGATACTTCAATTAAGAATACTATCAACAAATCTAAGAAACGCCAAACAAAATTGCCTCAAACAAATACTCGCCGCCAAAAACGTGCAAGAAATACGAAATCTAAATAATATCCTACCTAAAATATCTCTTTAAATATATATATATATATATATATACATAATACATAATTTTTTCCTTTCCAATATCTCTGATTTCATTTCGAATTTAAGTCTTCTAAATTTGCTGCATACCGGGTCAACGCAAATCTTGTTTGCGTTTAGCGGGGAGGCATGAAGTGAACTAGACTAGATTCCCATCATAAACAAAACCCAAAATAAATGTCATCTCAATCAAACCATGCTACCATCAGCAGATAGGCATGCATAATAATAGTATTAGCATGATGATAGCAAGGGTTAAATGCTCTAAAATAAGAGATGACAGATACTAAAGTAAATGTCAAGGGTATTGTAATGTGTTGTAACATAAATATACCTAAAAAGGATACAGGCTCAACAATAAAGAGCTATTCTTTACGCATGATTCAAAAACCATATATTGAAATACCGTTCTTGATCCATCAGATCAACAACTAAATGACCCAACAAAAATATATAAAGTAATGGAATCACTGGCAACTACTAAACTGCTGCCAGATAAGAGATATAAACCAAATAATATAAATAGAGACGTAGAATATACATTTTATTGCACATTATCCTAATTTCAAATAAAGAAGGATTTTAACAGTATTCTACCTGCTTTTTTAACCCCCTTTTTACTGCAATATCTACCTTAATCTTTATAGACACCTTTAACCTTTTTCTAGCACAACAAGCAACAACAAGGAACAAAAATTTAATTAAGATCTAGTTACAAAGGCAAGATCAATCTGTAAAAACATTGTAAAAATTAGATCTACTAGCTATCTCAAACTCCATAAACGCTGTACATTACTTTATAACTGATTTTTGCTCTTAATAATAAGTATATCAATATCAAGACAGTTGTTGTATCTGTCAGGTACACGCAGTTTTTTTTTTTGTGCAACCTTTCAGTTGGTATAAATCTGAAATCAATTTGCAAAATAATAATAAGCAGAAACAACGCTACATGCACTACATTATCAATAAATGCCTAAAAAATTGCTCATTAACAGGGTCGAACTGTTGACCTTGGCGTTATTAGCACCACGCTCTAACCAACTGAGCTAAACGAGCATGGATGCTTGAATGGCTCACTTGGTTAGAGCTTCATGCGGAAGCAGTGAGTATGCCGAGAGGTCGTGGGTTCGAATCCCACCTTCGCATCCATATTTTCCGCCTTTCTAACCTGGCATGTTGCTCGGTATTTGTGCTTGCACGTTTAGGTGTGCTGCGGTGCGTCTGGCCGGTTTCTACCTTGAGTCCTGTTCGTCTCCCCCGTCTTGCGGCGCGGCCATTGCCATTCCTCCCTCTGTTTCTCCTCCTCTCTGGTGGGTTTTGATGCCGTTTACTTTATTGGTCCCCTCCCTTTAGCAGCTTCCCTCAACCTTTAATTTAAACATGCTTTTTCCCGCCGAATCACTGTTAGTCTTGCAACATATGATCATACCGATTCCGCAGTTGACTACAATTGTAAATAAATAAAAATCCAATATTAAACTGAGCTAAACGAGCCAACTGATGAATATTGCAATTTAAAATTAGTACACATACCTGTAGTATATTTTTTTTTTAAAAAAATTTTTATCACATGTTTAAATCTACAATTGCTCCTACATCTGCTGCTATTGCTGAAGTTTATGACACTGCTTGCCATTCAGCACTAATCCTTACTGCGACTGAGATCATAGATCGTTATTAAGCGATTTTGGTATGGTATATTAGATATTTAGCTTTGGTAATGGTCCAACTGGTTTTTAGCACACAATGGACATCAGTGATCCTACTGAACAGCACAAATGATTGTAAAGAATATTTGTCTCTTTCTTTAACCAAGCTTTGTATAGAGCACACTGGTCTCCTGAAGGTGTAAAGACAGATTCGCTAGTAGTGAACGTTGGTGTTACTACTGTTTCTGGTCTGTATGCCTTGGACAGTAATACTTACTCTATAATGTATATGCGTGTCTTTGAACAAACAATACAAGGTTTCAGTAGTTGGATGATTGTAACATTTACTATAAGAAGGACAAATGAATGTGGTTTAAATACCTGTTAAAAGCTTTGTGTACTAAATTTGATGTTTCAATCATCATGCAGATTAAAGCATATACAAGTTAAATCATTTCAAAATTGAAAAATGCCGCTTGTTCTTTGCAAGATTACTAAAGTAATAGTAATTTAAACGAGAAAGTTTAGTCTATATTGCAGATAGACGTGGAAGATAAACGAGGTTATTACACTTGTCTCTCATGATTGTCATTTTTTTTTTTTTAGTAGACTAGCTGATGACACGCAGTCGTTACTATAGGATCAACCATTGAACGCAGTACTTGAACTCTCAATAGATTCTGAATGTAAAACCACAGGATTACACTACCAAACTCATGCTTTCACAAAATTACCCTACAAACAAAGCCATCTACAGATCCGAATGACAACCATCAACAACAAACATATACAACAATCCTTGCTCTTTTGGAATACTTTTTTTTTTTTTTTTTTTTTTTTTTTTTTTTTTTTTTTTAAAAGTCAAAAGCAAATGAATACATATGTACATCTAAATCAATACTTGAACGGAATGCTCGACACCTTTGTTCTTTTAAATAGGGATTGGACCCGTATTGGGAGCAAATGACGAAGCCAAAAGAGCCTCACGCATGAACGGCTTGAAACGAAGTAAATGCATGGCTTCTTCAAAGGAACACTGAAACAGCAAGCAAGCACATCAGTCGAGATTTCACTAATAAGACCAACATGTTGTATATTTACCCATCTGCGTTTGCGAAAGTGTTTTTCTGGCCAGTTGTCTAAAATTTCCTGCACTTCAAATTCATAAAACCAGACATTGCCTTTGACTTCACCATAGGCATTGTAATCCAAGAAGCTCCCCACAAGCCCTTTAATGTGTCCTCTAACGCCACCTTTGCGATTGTGATTAATAGCAGCCTTCTATACCAGTTCATGTCATGTACCTTCTTCATAAGTTTCACGTTCGGCAGATTGCTCCTTTGTTTCATCGCTTTCCCAACCGCCTTTGGGCTGTTCAAGTTTGGCAGTTGAGAATTTCTTTTGCAACATCAATCAAAATACTGAGACTTACAAGAACCCAAAGGCCTGCATGTTTACTGCTCGAGATAATCAGCACCTTATTCGTGGTAGGGTCGACTGCTATTGTGCCAGTAACCTGAAATGTGTTAATTCCAAGCGTCTTTTGACAGCTGCCAGAGATTGCTTACTTGGCGAACATCGTTTTCATCAAACACTTGATTATCTCTACCAATGCGAGATTCAGCAGGGAATTCAGTAAATGTCTTGTTTCCACTCATAATGTTATTTAAACTGGAAGAAAGCTGGATGAAAAAAACATTTGTAAAAACCATCTAAATAAAAACACACAAGGCAGCAGCAGTCGTCACTGAATATTCTAAAGTTTCTAGATTTTTTTATTGAATTTAATTCTGTATTTCATGCAAATAGTATATAAAGAATGGATAAAAAGAGGATTTGTTTGTTTTTTGTGAAGAGGAAAAAAGAACAAGTATATAATAATATAAAAGAACAAGGATTATGTAACAAGAAGGAGATAAAAAAGACGAGCAAAAACGAATGATGAATTTAACGACGATCTGTTGAACCCATACCACGCTTGCCACTGAACAAATGCTTGGGCATCTTGGTTTGAATCTGTCTATCAGCTTCACCACGCTTACCCATCTTGGAGCTTTGCTTTTGAACATTCTTCTTTTGCTTGTCAGCTTCCAACTTTTGCTTGACATTACGGAAACCTTCGCTAGCAATTTCTTGTGCTTCAGATTCACCACGGTCCATGGCACCAGCATCTCTGACAGCCTCATCGGCAATAGCTTCGTGACGAGTACGCTTACGGCTTTCAGCAGCAGATCTCGTACGCTCAGAGGCATCAGTGCCATCAATACCCATACTAGCAAGTTGTCTGTCCATTTCGCTCACAGTAGTGAATTTAGCAGCAGCAGTCTTGGGCAAAACGGGTCTTGTTCTGCCACGAGCAGCACGATGAGCTTGAACAATCAGCTTCTTGCGATCACGGATAGCATCAGCAGCAGTACGAAGCACCTCTTCATCGTCATCCAAAATTTCTTCATCAGATTGATAGAAACCTTCAGCCTCCAAACGCTCTTCTTCTCTCTCCAAAGCCTCCAATTTCTCTTCAATCTCGGGATCAATAAAGTCAGCAACGTTATGACCATCAAGGAATTCGGGAATGGTATCGTATTTCCACTCGTCATCTTCCAAAAGATACTTCTTCTTGACATCGACATTATACACACCGGCACCACCTTGCTCTGCTTCGATATCCTTCTCAAGTTTACGGCGGTTGGGATCATTGGGATCATACTTGACACGGGTCTTGGTTTCAGCAGGAATATTGGGAAGACGAGCAATGTTGTCTCTTTGTTGAGGTTGAGCCAAGTGAATCTTGTTGATGACATCGTTGATCTTGTTGCCCTTCATCTTCATTTCAACACGAGCAGCCAACAATTTGTCACAGGCGCTGTTACGGACATTCATGACACCGTCATCGTTATAGCAAGACATGGTCAAAACGGTAGCATTCTCTTCGTTGGCAATGTCTTCGATCCACTTTCTTTGCTCCTCAGGGAGATCCTCAGGCTTGACTTGATCAATCTTGTTGATGACCAAAACGATGGGCTTGTTGGCAAAAAGAGGCTTGATGTTGTTGAACAGCTTGACTTGATCTTCAACACTGTAACCACATTGTTCTGAGAGATCCATAAAGTACATGATGCAGGATCTTAAATGAGCCATAGCAGTAATAGATTGCATTTCAATGGTATTACGCTCCTCCAAGGGGTGATCCAGGATACCAGGAGTATCAATGACTTGCCATCTCATGTACTTGTAATCCATATGGCCCACAAAGAGAGACTTGGTGGTGAAGGCATAGGGTTGCACATCCACCTCAGCACGGGTGATCTTATTGATGAAGGAAGACTTACCGACGTTGGGGTAACCACAGATCAACAGAGTACGGGTGTTGGGATCAATAGATGGAAGACGAGACAAATGCTGACGAACTTGCTCGAGATAGGCCAAACTGTCCTTTTGACGTTTCATGACGGTAGCCATTCTACCTAAAGCAGCCTTCTTGAGTTGCTTACAACGATAAAGTGAATCACCAAACTTCAGCAAACGAACATAGTCCTTGGCAACTTGATCAATCAAATGACGGGCAGTGTTGACTTGACCAAGGGCAAGCTTGTAATGGTCTTTATCGTACAAGACGTTCATGAGATCAGCATAGAAGGGATGGATATCCTACCACATAATCCATCAGTTTACCGATCTTTCCCCACCTCTATCCCAAAACACAACTCACCTCCAACTTGGGGAATTCGTCCAAAATGTTCTTGAACTTTTCATCGAAATTCTCTTGCGTAAACTTGACCTTGCGCATGTAAAACTGTCTAATACGGCCAATGTTGTAATTCTTGTGAATGACAGTGGGAGTCTTTCTTTGAGTTTTGGACAAGATAATGTCGACAAAATCAGAAGAAGTAGGCACAGGCTCGATCTTCTTGAAATTATAGAGTGAGGACATGGTTGATAAGGGTTAATCACAGAAAGAAGAGGTCCAAGATTTTCAAATCAAATCAAAAAAAAAGTTTTTTTTTCTTCTCGATTTCCTTGAATTATCTCCAACAGTCCCATGAAGCAGTCCGTTCCTTATGCCCTTTGGTGGCTCAAGTAGTCGAAAAGGGGAAAGATTATCCTTCTCATCGAATCAAAAGGCCTACTTGTGCTTGAGATGCCAACAGGTAGAAGGGCACTAGGGTTCGATGCACATGCCAGCGGCCTCAATGACAAAGTTTGCTCAGTTCTGGTCATCCATGTCCAATGGATTTGACAGCCTCACATGTGTCCAATGTATGGATCATCCCTTGGCATGTCTTGATCTACATGTCAAGTACATGGAGTCAATCTGATACCACGAGGTAAGCAACATGCTGTGCTCTTGGTTTTATTGGGGGCAATGGTCATTGAATTGGCCGTTTTGCATTTAAAACGAACCTTCAAATGGATTGAATGTACCCCAGCTGCCATGTGGTAGTCAAATTAAACTGAAACTGCCTACTATACATAACAAGCTACTTTTAGCAATCCATACTGCAACATTTAATTAAATGCCACCTGTTTGTAACTGCCTGGTAGTTGTTTGTTAGAGTCAGCATTCAGTGCAAACATCCAGAAAAAAGCTTGATTTATATGGCAATGATCACTGCTTTTTTCGGGTGCCGCATAAAGCATTTGTACTCAATATCCTTTGAGAAATCACTTGTCCTGTAAGATTTTTGTACAAAAAAAAAAAAAGCATAAATACATAGATTACATGTCCATGTATACGTTAGCTACTTTAAAGTTTGAGAGCGTGCCCTGTTGAAGGGCTAGGATAGCATATAAGGAAGTCAAATATTGGCTGAAAGGAAAAAGAGTAATGTCCATCGTCATCCTAAAGTCTATAGAGTATACACTGAATATTGGCTGTAAAAGAACCCAATCTGATTAGCCATTTCGAGATGTAGAGCTGCCTCATCCACAAGTTTCGAGGTTCTCATCAGTAATTTAATATAGAGAAAGAAACTGATCTATCTGTTTTATAGTAAATTCAAATCATCTGAACTCCAAAAATATATATATTTATAACACAAACCGAAAAAGATGAGCAAGAAACAAATGTCCAGAAATAACATTTGCCTGACCTGAAATTAGTAGTAAATGGAGTATATGGGCGGAAAAGTCTAGAATTGGCACATTCTGCTGCTTTTAGCTACCTTGAGATTTCAGTGTCCATGCAATCATATCTCAAGATTCAGGTTCCTAGAGCTACATCATCAGTAGATCTTGCTGCAATCGATGTCTACACATTGCCCATCACATAAATAAAGACGGGTGCGATTTGCAACAACATGTTTATAAACCAAATATGATATTTTTACCAGCGTTCAAGCGGAGCATGCTTGATTGGTTACAAATCAATGAAGAATGAAATCAGGGCACTTTCGTGTGGAGGGTCATCTATTCAGGAAATCCCTTCTCTCTCTCTCTCACTTGCTCTCTCTCTCTCTCTCTTTTCCTTTTTTCTCTTCTTTACCAACAACCCAAGTAAATATCTTTCTTCTCACTCACTTGATCCATTCATTCAACTCTCCAGCAACACCTCTAGAGGCTCTCATCACTCGCACACATTTGAAAGAAAACCCCTCCCCTCACCCTCCTTTCCTTTATTTTTCCTATTTGTAAAATTATATATACATCAACCTTTGAAAAAACACACACACACTCTCTCTCCTCCTCTCCTCCTCCTCACTACTATATAACACATACAGTATGAATCCATCAGAAACCCAGGTTCAGCCCAACATGATTACTACAGCAACATCGACAGCAAATACGACCACCATCAACTGTACAGCTTGTCATCAACAGCTCGAAGGCAACTTTGCACGCGCCCTGGATGGTGCTTTTCACTGGAACTGTTTTCTTTGCATAGTAAGTGCTTCCTTCGCTGCATTTGTTTGATCTGATGTGTGTATCCAAGCGCTAACATGTAGTAATAAAATCACAGGATTGCAATGAACCAGTGGCCGAAAAATTCTTTCCCATCGAATTTGAAGACGGTATTCAAAAACCACTGTGTGAAAGAGATTATTTCAAAAGACTCAATTTAGCCTGTGATAATTGTGGAGACGCATTGCGAGGATCATACATCACAGCAGTTGGAAAGAAGTTTCATTTGGAGCATTTCTGTTGCAGTATTTGCTCTGTGGTCTTTGGTCCCGATGACTCTTACTACGAGTACGATAACAATGTGTATTGTCATTACCATTATTCGATCCAGTTTGCCATCAAATGCATCGGCTGTGAAACTGCTATCCTCAAACAATTTGTAGAAATCAATAGAAATAACGTAGATGAACATTGGCATCCGGAATGCTACATGATTCACAAGGTGAGTGCTGTTAGACACCGTTTTGCAGTATTGTCGTACTCACTCGTCAAGCCTAGTTTTGGAATGTCAAATTAGCACAGTCTTTTGGACAAGATGATTCCACCACAACTCTTGGTAACTGCCAGCTGTCTACAATAAAAACGCCCCGTTAACCCGCTTCATTATCTAGATCTCAGCCTAATGACCTCTGACGAACTCAAGGAAACGCAGACTATCATGGAAGAAAAAGTGTATCGAATTTGGACAGTGTTATCAGCATTCGAAGGTAAAGATCAAGTTTCATCCAGTCCTCTGTAGTCTGTATCTCCATGTTGGCATGGTACTCCTACTCTTTCCTCCTTTTTCTTCTTTTTGTAAGCAAACCCCCCTGAATCAACAACGACTGACACTGTATGTTTCTTGATAGAATCTGCTGCTGGCTGTATATCAGATATGCTGCTACATGTCTCTGAGGGAAGCTATGCGGATGGTGTTAAAATGGCAGACTATTTTGTGACACATGTCGATGTTTTGTTTACTGCCATTGACGATCTCGCTGACCATTACCACAAACAGACCAAGGAAGAACTGTTTTACGACCGAGAATCCAGCATGTTGTGCAAAAAGGTATCCAATTTCTTCTCTCTTCTGTCTCATACACAAGAAAGTGGTCTTCGTAAAATTGGCATCACACAGGACTTGCTCTCGCTGGTGACTGGACTGGCTCATTATCTCAAAGTGCTGATCCGCATCGGCTTGACAGGCGCATTGAAGCTGGAAAAGAAGAACGACACCAAATCTGTAGCTATCAGCCGTTTCTTGAGTCAGTTGATGGAATTAGCAAACAAAAAGCGTCAATATTTGCATGAAGCGGATTACACGATATCATCTGATCTGTGTCAGTTTTGTAGAAAGGCTTGTGAAGATGCTTGTTTCAGATACAAGACGCACCTCTGGCATGATCAGTGCTTTGCTTGTACACAGTGTTGCTCTCCACTTCGACTGGAATACAAAGATGCCTGGATTCAGCAGCAAACCTTGACGATTACCTGCAAAAAGTGTATTTCTAGCAACAAAGACGGTTATTCTCAAGGCGTGGAATATGTGTCCAAGTTGAAGCAGTCGTCCTTCTTATTGCGTGTGGCATTGCGACGCTTGTACAGCTTGTTGAACGTGCCAGATCCCATGGTGGCATACTATGGCCAGCCTGTTGAACAGTCTCAGCATCAGCACCAGCAACCTCTCCAAATACAGACACAGCCGCCTCAACAGCAACAACAGCAACAACAGCAACAGCAACCACCTGTCAAGCAGCAAGTGCCAGCTCAGCAACCACCTCTGCCTCAAGTGCCTCAAGATGCTCACAATGAAGAGATCCATCTGAACGATATCAAACGCATGAAATCCACCCACATGAATCGCAAGATTACCAACTCACATCGTGTAGGTAAACGCTCCACATTGATGGAGACGCCCAGCCCAACCACCGCATTCGTGACCAACAAGACGGATGAAAACAACAGCATCCACAGCAGTCGACCTCACAGTTTGACATCTTCGATAAAGCGATCCTCATTGAACGAGTTGGAAGGGGATTTGTCTCAAATGAGTGTGAGCAGTGCAACTCGATTATACACACACAAATATACCAAATCAGTACCCAAGGCCAAGAGTTTCTACTTTGCGGAATTGGGAGCATTACAACACTTTATGCTGAAACACATTGCCGTGCTTTACCTGGATGAGATTCTGAACGACCATTTTACATTGGAGGAGTTGGCTGATTTGATTGACGATAGAAAGAACTCGACCTTGTGGGGTAAGTTCGTTACCAGCTTAAAGGCGGGTGGTAATAAAAAGGTGCCTCGGGCCAAAGGTAAGGCCGATCATGCAGTTGGTTTTGGGGAAGAGCGTTGCATTGACGTGTCATGATAGAGGGAACGTTTGGCGTGCCTATTGATACGCTAGTCGAAAAGAATGGTATTGAATCCAATTTAGGCGTGGGGCCTACGCGCATCATCAAAATCCCATCGTTCATTGACGACAGTATTTCAGCCATGAAGCAAATGGACATGTCTGTGGAGGGTATCTTTCGTAAGAATGGTAATATCCGTCGACTGAGAGAGCTGAGTGAGGAGATTGACAAGAACCCCAATTCTGTGCAATTCTTGAACGAAACACCTATTCAAGTGGCCGCATTGATCAAAAAGTTCTTGAGAGAGCTGCCTGATCCGTTACTGACGTACAGATTGCATCGACTGTTCATTACTGCCCAAAGTAAGTAGAGAGCCTGTGAATGTTGCTTCCGAGTAAGGTGATTAACCCAGTGTAGAGTTGGACTCGGAAGCAGATCGAAAGCGTGTGACACATTTGGCTTGCTGTCTCTTGCCCAAAGCAAATCGCGATACCATGGAAGTCTTGTTCACATTCATGAAATGGGTATCCCAATTCGCTGATGATGCTGGGGGAGGTGGCAGTAAAATGCACACAGCCAATTTAGCCACCGTCATTGCGCCCAACATTCTGTATTCCAAGAGCAAAGACCCCATCAAAGACGAATCCTTCCATGCTATCGAGTGCGTCACGATCATGATCCAAAACGCCGAAGAATTTGCCACTGTGCCTGAAGATTTCATCCCCTTATTGCAGAATCTATCTTATGAAGAAGGCGACATGGAGCTGAACGTGCGACACATTTTGAAAAAGTGCGAAGTGGTCATGAAGATGAGACGATCTAAATCTGCCGCTGCAGGACTCCCTGTCCCACCTCAATTGCCAAGACAGCACTCTTCACCAGCGACAGTGACCACCTCAAGCAGCAGTAATGCTGACTATCCATCCTACCCTCCCATGGAACAACCAGCAGAAACAACACAGCAACCACAGACACAGCAAAACTATTACCTGTCATCATCACCACAAAACACTGTGTTTGATGAGCCCAAAGAAGGTCTTGCTCCACCTACAGTGCCTCCCATCATCCGATCTCAATCATCCACTCAATTGAATGCAAATGAAGGAGGCAATCTCTTGGTAAAAGAACTGATTCAGTAGATTTCTCATCTATATTATAAATATTCCCTACTTGAGTGCTGTATTGTTTTGACATAGCAACTCGCACACAATCTATTACAATTTTCCATCTTAATCATATCTCTATATATAATAACACAACTCTTGTAAGCTTAACTATTACTCTGTTCATGTTGTTTTACATCTGCAAATGTTTATCAAAGCTTCGTGTCGACTGTATATTCGAGAACTTGCCTCAAGCAGAGCCCATCGTCCGTAGAGCTCGTGATTTGAAGGAAATCAATTTATACAGCGGCATAGTCGACGAGGAGAACAACTAGTCAACCAAAGAATGGCTTGATTCGATAAAGCAAAACACACAAGCCTGCTTATGGCCATCGCTTTCTCAATCTATTACCAACTACTATTGACTTAGATTTGGGAGATATCAGTGCAAAGACTGATGTCTAACAATATTGCAATACGCTCGATGTAGCCTTTGATGAAATAAGGGCTTATATCTAGAACGTAACTGATTGTAGAGTTCGTCATTGCTCTTAAAAAACGCTGCAATACAATTAAGGTCAACAATTATCATTGCACTATCTAAAATGGCTTGTGAGGGTCTCCATAAAATAAATCATCAACGTTGATACTGATAAAATCCTTTCCTCAACAGCTTTAAACACGTAGATGCCTTCATACTAAGAAATACAATGATTGCTGTTGTTGCCAGCCAAACCTGGCTTAGTCTCCGCTCAGCAGTATGTCTCAATTGGTTGATTTTGATTGATTTTGATTGATTTTCGACTTGAATTAGCAATATCAACAGAGAACTGGATAAGCTGTCCAAAATGGATAGTATTGATTTATAAGACCTCATAAGATACAATATGGCAAGTCACTTTACCTAGTATACACTTGATCCATTTATACAATGATTTTATTAACTATTTATTCATAACTACTTAATAAAACTTTCATTCCATACAAAAAAAAAAAAAAAAAAAATTCGACTTGAACAAACTATTTTGCTAGATTCGACTATATGAAATGTGATGATCACTTCATACTTCCTTATGGTTTTTTAGAGTACTTTTCAATGCGCATGTAATGGTGCCAATTAAAAGAGGTGCTTTGAATAAGTCTGTTGAGCAATCTATGAAAATATGAAAAGAGGTTTTTGCCTAAAATGTCGAGATTTTACATCTAAAGGATTCACCAACAAAGTTTCAGGGGTTGCCTTGGATTGATATCTTCATTTTGACTTGATATCATAACATAATAAATGTTCAGTACTTTTGCACTTTACAATCCTAATATGGAACCTGAGTTTCAAGGCATCTATCAGACCTGGCTCATATCATCATAACATAATAAATGTTCAGTACTTTTGCACTTTACAATCCTAATATGGAACCTGAGTTTCAAGGCATCTATCAGACCTGGCTCATATCATAACATAATAAATGTTCAGTACTTTTGCACTTTACAATCCTAATATGGAACCTGAGTTTCAAGGCATCTATCTGTCCTGGCTCATATCATAACATAATAAATGTTCAGTACTTTTGCACTTTACAATCCTAATATGGAACCTGAGTTTCAAGGCATCTATCTGTCCTGGCTCATATCATAACATAATAAATGTTCAGTACTTTTGCACTTTACAATCCTAATATGGAACCTGAGTTTCAAGGCATCTATCTGTCCTGGCTCATATCATAACATAATAAATGTTCAGTACTTTTGCACTTTACAATCCTAATATGGAACCTGAGTTTCAAGGCATCTATCTGTCCTGGCTCATATCATAACATAATAAATGTTCAGTACTTTTGCACTTTACAATCCTAATATGGAACCTGAGTTTCAAGGCATCTATCTGTCCTGGCTCATATCATAACATAATAAATGTTCAGTACTTTTGCACTTTACAATCCTAATATGGAACCTGAGTTTCAAGGCATCTATCTGTCCTGGCTCATATCATAACATAATAAATGTTCAGTACTTTTGCACTTTACAATCCTAATATGGAACCTGAGTTTCAAGGCATCTATCTGTCCTGGCTCATATGAGAATAATGATTTTACAATCAATCAACAAAAACCACTGTTATTTCTACCCTCTTTCCTCTGCTCAATGCTGTCAATGTTTTATTTGAGCGACGTCTCAGAGCCTCAGAGATTTCATTACTTACTGCAGACATTTTATGCAACCCATGCATTGTCAATGTCCAGACTAACGTTATTAAATATAGAATGCAATAAAATATCATTATGAACGATATAGAAGGCAATAAAATATCATTATAAACGATAGTGCTATGACCTTCCACCTACTTTCTATACGCTTCGAGGGCATTTACTACTGTATTGCCTTATGAAAAGGGCATGAGTTTTCCAGCTGGCCCTACCAGCCAAAATTAATTCAAACCCAGAATCATAGTCTGTTCCAGATTGGACAAATTTTGATGATCCTGGACTCGATCGAGCTATTTTTGCAGATTCGACTAAGTGAAGTATGATAATCACCCCATGCTTCCTTAAGCTTTCCTGGAGTACTTTTCAAGGCGCTTCCAATGGTACTAAGTAAAATAGATGTTTTGAAATCACTTATTGAATGATTTGTAAAAATATGAAAAGAGATTTATGGCCAAAATGTCGAAATTTTACATATCAAAGTCCCACAAAGATAATTTCAGAGGTTGCTTTGGATTGATAGAAACATTTTGATTCAAGATATACTATAGTAAAAGTCTTCATTTTCAAGATGAAAAATGCGATCGTTTGATTTTCGATGAAAACCATGAGGGATACCTCATGCTTTTTGGTCGATTTTTGACCATGTTTTTTTGGTCCCCAAAAAGTCGAGCAAAAGTGTCAGAAAGGAACTGCCAGATGAAAGCAACCATTTGGGGCTATTCTGACGATCTAAAACGGCCTTGAACGCAAGAAAATTCAGCTCAAATGCACTCATACTTTGCTGTATTAGGGACACTAAGGACTAAAAAGTGGGAATACCAGTATGCTGCTTGCCCGTATATGAAGTAGCTACGTGTATATGGATGTAGAACATCACATAAGAATCAGATCCACAGATAATATGAAGGGTTACTATGTGTAAGTGGAGGGTCAAAATGAAAGTAGCAGTATTTTGATAAAATACGCAAGAGCAATCAGTAGCACGAGCTGCCGCTGCGCAGGTTGGTTCTCTACCTTTGCTACGCTTCGGTGAGAACCATCCGAAGCATAAACACTCATACGATTAGTGATTACATATCAATCAACAATCAGGGTTCCTCTTCTAACATTTTAGCTATATTAATTTTGGGATGTTAGCCAAAGGCCCGCGGCAGCGCGAGCCGTTTGAACGTAGGTTGGTTTCCACCGAAGCGAAGCGTAGGTCAGGAAACCACCCGAAGTGCTGAAAGGCTCGTCATAACATAATAAATGTTCAGTACTTTTGCACTTTACAATCCTAATATGGAACCTGAGTTTCAAGGCATCTATCAGACCTGGCTCATATCATCATAACATAATAAATGTTCAGTACTTTTGCACTTTACAATCCTAATATGGAACCTGAGTTTCAAGGCATCTATCAGACCTGGCTCATATCATAACATAATAAATGTTCAGTACTTTTGCACTTTACAATCCTAATATGGAACCTGAGTTTCAAGGCATCTATCAGACCTGGCTCATATGAGAATAATGATTTTACAATCAATCAACAAAAACCACTGTAATTTCTACCCTCTTTCCTCTGCTCAGTGCTGTCAATGTTTTATTTGAGCGACGTCTCAGAGCCTCAGAGATTTCATTACTTACTGCAGACATTTTATGCAACCCATGCATTGTCAATGTCCAGACTAACGTTATTAAATATAGAATGCAATAAAATATCATTATGAACGATATAGAAGGCAATAAAATATCATCATAAACGATAGTGCTATGACCTGCCATCTACTTTCTATACGCTTCAAGGGCATTTACTACTGTATTGCCTTATGAAAAGGGCATGAGTTTTCCAGCTGGCCCTACCAGCCAAAATTAATTCAAACCCAGAATCATAGTCTGTTCCAGATTGGACATATTTTGATAATTTTGGACTCGATCGAGCTATTTTTGCAGATTCGACTAAGTGAAGTATGATAATCACCCCATGCTTCCTTAAGCTTTCCTGGAGTACTTTTCAAGGCGCTTCCAATGGTACTAAGTAAAATAGATGTTTTGAATTCACTTATTGAATGATTTGTAAAAATATGAAAAGAGATTTATGGCCAAAATGTCGAAATTTTACATATCAAAGTCCCACAAAGATAATTTCAGAGGTTGCTTTGGATTGATAGAAACATTTTGATTCAAGATATACCATAGTAAAAGTCTCCATTATCAAGATGAAAAATGCGGTCGTTTGATTTTCGATGAAAACCATGAGGGATACCTCATGCTTTTTGGTCGATTTTTGACCATGTTTTTTTGGTCCCCAAAAAGTCGAGCAAAAGTGTCAGAAAGTAACTGCCATATGAAAGCAACCATTTGGGGCTATTCTGACGATCTAAAACGGCCTTGAACGCAAGAAAATTCAGCTCAAATGCATTCATACATTGCTGTATTAGGGACACTAAGGACTAAAAAGTGGGAATACCAGTATGCTGCTTGCCCGTATATGAAGTAGCTACGTGTATATGGATGTAGAACATCACATAAGAATCAGATCCACAGATAATATGAAGGGTTACTATGTGTAAGTGGAGGGTCAAAATGAAAGTAGCAGTATTTTGATAAAATACGCAAGAGCAATCAGTAGCACGAGCTGCCGCTGCGCAGGTTGGTTCTCTACCTTTGCTACGCTTCGGTGAGAACCATCCGAAGCATAAACACTCATACGATTAGTGATTACATATCAATCAACAATCAGGGTTCCTCTTCTAACATTTTAGCTATATTAATTTTGGGATGTTAGCCAAAGGCCCGCGGCAGCGCGAGCCGTTTGAACGTAGGTTGGTTTCCACCGAAGCGAAGCGTAGGTCAGGAAACCACCCGAAGTGCTGAAAGGCTCGTCATAACATAATAAATGTTCAGTACTTTTGCACTTTACAATCCTAATATGGAACCTGAGTTTCAAGGCATCTATCAGACCTGGCTCATATCATCATAACATAATAAATGTTCAGTACTTTTGCACTTTACAATCCTAATATGGAACCTGAGTTTCAAGGCATCTATCAGACCTGGCTCATATCATAACATAATAAATGTTCAGTACTTTTGCACTTTACAATCCTAATATGGAACCTGAGTTTCAAGGCATCTATCAGACCTGGCTCATATGAGAATAATGATTTTACAATCAATCAACAAAAACCACTGTAATTTCTACCCTCTTTCCTCTGCTCAGTGCTGTCAATGTTTTATTTGAGCGACGTCTCAGAGCCTCAGAGATTTCATTACTTACTGCAGACATTTTATGCAACCCATGCATTGTCAATGTCCAGACTAACGTTATTAAATATAGAATGCAATAAAATATCATTATGAACGATATAGAAGGCAATAAAATATCATCATAAACGATAGTGCTATGACCTGCCATCTACTTTCTATACGCTTCAAGGGCATTTACTACTGTATTGCCTTATGAAAAGGGCATGAGTTTTCCAGCTGGCCCTACCAGCCAAAATTAATTCAAACCCAGAATCATAGTCTGTTCCAGATTGGACATATTTTGATAATTTTGGACTCGATCGAGCTATTTTTGCAGATTCGACTAAGTGAAGTATGATAATCACCCCATGCTTCCTTAAGCTTTCCTGGAGTACTTTTCAAGGCGCTTCCAATGGTACTAAGTAAAATAGATGTTTTGAATTCACTTATTGAATGATTTGTAAAAATATGAAAAGAGATTTATGGCCAAAATGTCGAAATTTTACATATCAAAGTCCCACAAAGATAATTTCAGAGGTTGCTTTGGATTGATAGAAACATTTTGATTCAAGATATACCATAGTAAAAGTCTCCATTATCAAGATGAAAAATGCGGTCGTTTGATTTTCGATGAAAACCATGAGGGATACCTCATGCTTTTTGGTCGATTTTTGACCATGTTTTTTTGGTCCCCAAAAAGTCGAGCAAAAGTGTCAGAAAGTAACTGCCATATGAAAGCAACCATTTGGGGCTATTCTGACGATCTAAAACGGCCTTGAACGCAAGAAAATTCAGCTCAAATGCATTCATACATTGCTGTATTAGGGACACTAAGGACTAAAAAGTGGGAATACCAGTATGCTGCTTGCCCGTATATGAAGTAGCTACGTGTATATGGATGTAGAACATCACATAAGAATCAGATCCACAGATAATATGAAGGGTTACTATGTGTAAGTGGAGGGTCAAAATGAAAGTAGCAGTATTTTGATAAAATACGCAAGAGCAATCAGTAGCACGAGCTGCCGCTGCGCAGGTTGGTTCTCTACCTTTGCTACGCTTCGGTGAGAACCATCCGAAGCATAAACACTCATACGATTAGTGATTACATATCAATCAACAATCAGGGTTCCTCTTCTAACATTTTAGCTATATTAATTTTGGGATGTTAGCCAAAGGCCCGCGGCAGCGCGAGCCGTTTGAACGTAGGTTGGTTTCCACCGAAGCGAAGCGTAGGTCAGGAAACCACCCGAAGTGCTGAAAGGCTCGTATGCCATAGTGAAAGTCTTCATTTTTGAGGTCAAAAACGCGATCGTTTGGTTTTTGATGAAAACCATGAGGGGTACCTCATGCTTTTTGTTCGATTTTTGATGATGTTTTTTTTAGTCCCAAAAATGTTTAGCAAATGTGTTAGTAAGTTACTACTGGATGAAAGTGATTGTTTGGTGCTATCCTGGCAGGCTAAAAAGGCCTTTAACGCGAGAAAACGGGACTCAAATGTTTCCAGATATTGCTGGTATTTGCATAGATTTAGGTAAAAAGAGCTAATGAAAGTATGCTATATGTCCTTACATGACTTATCTCCATTGATACAGGTGTGAAGCTTCCTAAGAGAGTCAGACCCGCATTTACATTTTGTTTGTGGAAGGTCTCAGCAATATTGCACAATAGGGTCTGAAGTCAGGTTCGTCTGCTTTGCACTTCACACAATAATCCATTTGGTGATCTTTCTTTAGTAGTACAGGTGCATGTTTAAATGGCATTAACAGCGTGTTTGGTAAGAAACTCCAGTTTCTCAAAAGCAGAACGTCATTGATCATATCCTGTAGATGTATCCATATTGATAGCACTTATAGTAACAGTGTTTTGCATGCACCATCATCAAGACATTGCACAGAGCTAGATGAATAAGCTCGATTCCTGGGTTCGAAAGAGTTGGAGCATCAAGCACAAAGCACTGCACTATACGTCTAAACTAACACAATGCATGCAAAAGTGATCTATGCCTAACGCATACAAAAGTGATCTACGCTTAACGCATGCAAAAGTGATCTACACCGAACGCATGCAAAAGTGATCTACACCGAACGCATGCATATACTGTACTATTACTATACCCTAAGCAGCAATTAAGTTGAGTTCACAATGCGTGCAATGCACAATTGTCAATTTAAATCTAGTTTTCTAGCTTTTGTATATAAAGCAACAATGTCTTTACCATGCATGTTATATGTGTATCGTAATCTGATTTGAATCAGCTCTGCGCCTTTTCGAAAGGAGTGGCCCAGGCTAACTACAAGAAGACAGGGGCCTCATAATATGCCACAGAGCAAGAAAACAAGTAGATGCAGAGCTTCTATGCAATCCTACGGCTTCCAAAGACATGGCAACCGAGCGATTTATCAGAACGCATGACAATGTGCAGTCTACATGCTTTTAAACCATCCTTTTGATATAAATGCAGCTATTTTTTATATTCTTTTCCTATTTCCTTCCAACAGATTAATTTATCCTGACAACATTCAGTACTATGCGTTCTAAAATCATTGTCTTTTTGCTTAGTATCACTTTGGCTGTCTCTGGTAGATGCCCAAATACAAGATAAAGCTTGGATGACTAATTTTTATATCGTCTGGTTTGCCCTGCAGTGAATGCTGCTGCACTACTTGACAAAAGAGAGATATCTCCAGCTGCTCAAGTTTGTATTGACAGTATCAACTCTTCCGGTAATAAACTTGCTGAGACCAGCCCATCTGTAAGTCATCTCAAGTCTTCACTACACAGCAAATGTATCCACTAACGTTTATTATCAAGATTGATGCTTTCAGCAGCCAAGATGGCTACACAGGTGCGTACGCCATTCATCAGAAGGAGCAACTCATTGAAGCAAGTTTGAAGAAGGCTAATAATGATTGCTGTTCCATGGATCCTATCTCTGCCGATGAGTTTGCTGCTATACTTGGCGTTGTAACCAAACTTGTGCCTGATGTTGTCAAAGTCTTAGGTAGCATTGTTAGCAAGAAGCTTGAATTTAACAACCTTGCTCTTGCCACTGCTTTGTTGAAGAAGGATATCAAGACAATCAACACTTTAACAACATCTTTGACGACATGTTTGTCGAGCAAGGTATCTATTCTCGATAGTGTAATAGGAACCGCTCTAAAAAAAAAGAGCTTGATATAGCGTTTGCTGCAGTTGAAGCTTTATAACTTTCACAATTGACTATCCAAATAAACAATTCTTTTTGATCCTTTAATTGTAACATGTAGCATAATTTGCTGTAGTAAAGTTCGATAGAGCAGCGTTTAAGCTTTCTGCTGCATATTATCACTTGAAACACTCAAACTATTATCACTACTCATAGGATTTGCCACAGTAGCAGGTGCTGTGTTCGTTCTTTCTTCAAAAGCTGTTCGCCATTTGCGGCCATATACTTTGACTAGCAACACAAATGTAATATTCAGCACACTGATTGCAGCCAGAATAGTAAACACTATGCCTGAGCCAGCAGAGCGCACACATGAAGTAGAAAAGATGGTAACAATTGCACCCAATAAAGACCTTGCACAATTATTCAATGAAACAGCACTCGCCGATCTGCCGGGTTTACTATCGACATAGTACACAGACGACGGATTGACGGCAAACATTTGACCTACAGCATCTGGAAGGCATAAATTTAGGATATGCCTAGTGTGCAAAAAGCCAGTAAACTTACAAACAAATAGACCTATCAGTGGCCCATAAACAGCCAAATGCTTTTCTGTGGTCCAAGCGTAAAGCAAGTAACCTGCAGGAATTAAGACAAATGATGGATATACAGCCTTTAATCGCAATTCTGGGTAAACGTTTTCTGATCCAAGTCTATTGCGAAGGTCCTGGATGATCCTATCAGAGTAGATGCCACTAAGCACGGAACCACATATCATGCCCGCACCCAAGCAGAGGTAGCAGAGACCCACTTGCCATGCGTTGTAGTTATACAGTGTCTCAAACGTAACCGTGATGGTGGGGTTCTACATTAGTTGCATTATTAGGTGATGAGACGTTGTATCGAGTATGACTTACCAAAAAGAAGAGGGAAGCAAAGATTATTGAACCATATAATGTCATGATTAGAATCGTTGGATCGCCTAACATGACAATCATTGGAGCAAATGCCATGCGCAGGTTCTTAAACACGCTGGATGCCTTGCCTTCTACTACTTTAGGTCTGGTCTTTCGCACTGTCTCTGGGAGGAAGAAGGCTACCAAAACTAAAACAACACCACCTATTAAGGCATCTTTGTATCAGCCTGTGCTTCCAACAAATAGATACACGCAAACCTACCAACTATTGCTGTAAAGTAAAAAGTAGATTGCCATCCAAGAAACTCACAAAGAAAACCACCTATAAGGGTCCCCAAGGATGGACCTAATAGTGGCCTTTTATAAAAGTACGTCAGCAAAGCAGTATTCAAACAATATTGAACTTAATACTCACCCAATAAAGAAGACACCATACGCTTTTCCGCGATCAGCGACATCAAAGACATCTCCAATGGATCCAGCGCCGAGTGTCTGCCCTGAACTTGCCCCGCTGGCTTGAAGAGCTCGAAATACAATCAGCATAGCTATGTTTTTAGACGAAGCACAGAGGATGGAAGCCACTATGCCGATAGATACGCTCATGATATAGACTGGTCTTCTGCCGTACGTATCACTAATGCTTGACCAGAACAAAGGCTACATCTTGTGAGCCTTAGAACTCAAAAGGCTTATACAAAAGAACTTACAGTGAGGCCAGCCAATGCAACATAAGCAGACATGGTGGCATTGATGCCTTCGATGGATACATTTAAATCTCTTGCCATTTGTAGAATGCCAGGTAAATAGATCAGAGTAGACAGTGGACCATAGATACCGCCTAATGCAACAATGAATACTATTAGCTTTTTCTTTGCCAGAGAGTATTGTCGAGGATCATCCGCTGCGTAAATGTCGCCTTTTAGCTTGAAGAGTAGCTTTTCAAATGTGCTGCCTTTGTGTGGTGGTGCTTGATCTATTGTTGCTATGCTGTGTATGATGATGCTATCATGATCTTTATTCGTAAAATCGTCTAATGATTTATCGATGACTTTAGCGGTCGTACTATCCATGTTGATTGCTTGCTTTGTATGACTCTGTGGCTCAAACTATGACATGAATGCATCGAGTACTTTTATAAGACTCAAACGAAAGGTGTAAAGAAGCAAAAGAACGTCTATTTCCCGGGCAATGAATTCGCTCTACTTTCATGATCCCCGACTTACCCCACATCTAATGACATTCTTAAAGTAGGATAATGCGTTTACATCGAGTTACACACTGCCTTTGCCCTGGTTTATGCATGAAAGCTTGACGTGAAAGAACAACCATCGGCTACTGCAAGATCCACCAGATTGCATCCAAACGTCAAGTAGAGCCTTGAGCTTACACATTCCAAATATACCACTTGGTAGAATTCGCAAGTATATCTGATGATTGGTACCACCTGCCATTGTTACACTATACAATACACACACATTTTGTGTCATTGAAATGGCTGTTTACGAGACAATCATGATATCAACCGCAAAACTCGAGAGTATCACAATAGCAAGCGCAAATACATAGCATTAAGAGTTTCTAAATCAAGTATTTAATGGATGTTGTATATATAAAAGTCAATTTATAAGTGATTTTTTTTTATTAGAAATGACAGAAAGAAATGTGAGATGATAAAATAAAATACAAAAAGTACAAGAGAGAACAAGAATACTAGGGGATCTATTTGTGGTAGTTTGATTCGACAAAAGGCATCTTGGTGACAACAGCCTTTTGTACCTTGTTTCTGACCTTGACGTCGAGTTCAGTACCCTTCTTGTGAGATCCGTTCTTGACATAGCCAATGGCAATGTTCTTCTTGAGGATAGGAGAAGGACAGCCAGAAGTGACAGTACCAATGACTTCACCCTCCTTGTTCAAGATCTCGGCACCACCACGAGCGGGAGCACCTTCAACAATAAGACCAACACGACGACGAGAGACACCACCCTTGATTTGAGGCAAGATGTGTTCGGCACCCAAGAAACCACCAGTTTCACGACGAGATTTGGCTAAAGAAGTATGTCAAGCTCTTGCTATTCCATTACACACATCCACACACACACACAACTTACGAATAGTCCATGTCAAACCAGCTTCAACAGGAGTAGTAGTTTCATCCAAATCGTTACCGTACAGACAGAGGCCGGCTTCAAGACGAAGAGAATCACGGGCACCGAGACCAGCCATCTCGACATCGGGATGAGCCAGCAACTTTTCAGTGATGGTGACAATCTCCTCAGTAGGAACAGAGAGCTAATATACATTCAATTAGATCATATCCATCTCCAGCACTCTGCCATACTCAACCTACCTCGAAACCATCTTCACCAGTATAACCCGAGCGAGCAATGTGGCAAGGAACACCAGCAACTTCCATATGCTTACCGTGCATGAAACTGAAATCAGCCAAGCTTTGACCGACCAAAGTCTCTAAAGCAGCAGCAGCCTTAGGGCCTTGAATAGCAATCAAAGAGTGATCAGTAATGACATTGAACTCAACCTCGCCACCCTTCTTTTGGAATTCAGCGAGATGCTTGCGAATGTGAGCTAAATCCTTATCAGCACAACCAGCGTTGGAAACAACGTACAAACTGTCTTGATGTTGCATGACAATAGTGTCATCAATGATACCACCTTGTTCGTTGGTGAAGACGGACAAAGTACCTTGGCCCACAGGCAAGTTTTGTAAATCGGCAACAACAAGAGTTTCAAAGAACTTGTTGCGGTCTTTACCAGTCAGACTATTAGGCATTGAGATCAGCCTTTTGCTGTCAAGACACTTGATTTGAAACTTACCGAGATTGGAGCATGTGGGAAACATCAAAAATGGAAGCCTTCTCACGGGTATGATGATGAGAAGCCAACATACCCATATTAGAGTATTGAACAGGCATGGCATAGCCAGCAAAGGGAACCATCTTGCCACCATGCTTGACGTGGAAATCATACAAAGCGGTCTTTTTAATAGGCTAATCATACAGTTAGTAATTTTCCCAGGGGAGGATCTCTAATTCAAATACCTCGCTATTGGCAGCAGCAGCATAACAGCGCTTTGTCATAGGACGAGTGACAATGGAAGCAAGGGTGGAGCGAGATAACTTTGTAATGAGCATGATGTTCTATGTGATTTTGTATGGAAAAAGGGAAAACAAAAAAGAAACAAGAAAGAGAAAACAAAACCAGATGTTGGCGTGTTTAAATAGAGAGGAAGGGAAGGAGGGTATAATAATTTTGAAATCTAGTTTTTTTTTTACGCATCTTCTATAGGTCATAAAACTTGACTCGGTGGAAAATGAGTTGGCCTCTTAAGGTAAAATATAAAGTTTTTCTTTTCCAAATGTTTTTTATTTTGAATGTTAAACACTGTTCATCCACTTTTTCAAGTCTGCGAGTTTTCGGTTCAACTGTTCTCTGTCACTCTCACTTTGAGCGTATTTCAGCTTGATTTCAATCACAAGAGTTTCCATATCTTGTAACTGATCTTGCAGTTCCGCATTTTTCTGATTCAGGCTTTGATTTTTCAAGCAAAGCGCCTCCATGTCAGACTGCACTTGGTTCTCGATTTGGCTTGGAATCACATCCAGCACTCGTCGTAGTTCAACCGCTTGCTGTTTTAATGCGTCATTTTCATCATGCACTCGCGCTAATTCCAGCTTTTTCGAAATCAATTCTTCTGCGACCAGCGCATGTTGTTTTTTCAATGTGTCATTCTCCGTTTCGACTGATCTGTTCTTTTCTGTTAGATGGCGGTTCTTTTTTCGTAGGGACTCTATCAGCGTTGCTTCTGTATCCGCCTTGGCTGTTTCAATTTGATAGTCTCGGGCCAATTTATCTAGCTTGCGATGCGATATCTTGACATCAAATGACTCGCATAGTAGATCAGTAATGTTGTCCTTGTACACTGTCAACATGTCGTCCTTTAAATAGGTCACTAATGCCTCAAAATCCAGTGACAGAATTGTGCATTGATTCTTGTACAAAAGCGCAAGGCCTATGCGAAACAAGCAATCCACACCTTCAGTAAACAGCGTATCATAGATTCGATATACCACATCCAACGGGAACTTGTAAGCGAACAGTGTCAAGAACCATTGCGAGGCATACATGTTGGAGCGCACACCTTGCTCGTTGAAATGTCGATGAATGTGGGGCAGGTGATCCAGCAGTAATCCATCAAACTGGTATAGTCTTTGGCGTAATAGATCCAATTGAGGCGTGTAATGACCTCTGAGATGATATTTCTGCATTAGTTGGACCAAAATGCAAAAAGCTTCTTCCTCTGGCATCTACACACATCATCAGGCTTTAATTACTGAGTCCTCCTTTTTTCTGAAATCACTTACATGCAGCAGTAATGGTCCAGCTACAAAGGCGATGCCTTGACAGTAACCCACTTCAGGATCATAAATGGAATATGCTTTCACCACATTGAATAATGCCTCTTGACCCACATGAGATTGAAAAAACGGATGCTGAGGAAATGTACGATGTAGATCACGGGTGATGGCTTTTTCATATACAGAGTCCTGCTTTAATAACTGGATGTAATCGTCTTGGAGTCCATTGTCAGTCTTTTTGGCTAGTACTGGCCAAATGGTGCCTCTCAAAGCGGATGGAATGCCATGTTGTACCTGAATCGATAGTAATTTGAGATTTGATTGGTTGAATTGAGGAAAATCTGAAATCACTCTGGACCAAAATTCTAAAATGTTGTGTTTAACATGTGTTTTCTTGATCTATTGTACGAAATCATAGTTACCCCAATCGATAGCTTCGTCTTCTGCTTCTTGGCATTCTTGTTCTTCGTCTTCAGTGATGGGTGGTGTCAGTAATTTCTCATCTTGCTCTGAATCAAAGGAACATGTATCATCGTCGTCTGAGAATGTAGCTAGTTTGTTGATAATCTCTGTGTCATCATGGTGTTTTGAATTGTCGATGAATGTGCTTACAAAACGAGTAACTGTAGTGGTAGTAGCATTTGCCGTTGCTGAAGTCATGGCGGATATATGTATATAATTCAAAAGTGAAAGAGAAGAGAAAAAGAGAGAATCTCAAAAGCAATTAATTGAATCAAATATTTATAAATAAGTTTTTGTATTACTAGATTCATGTCGCATACAAAAGCACTAAAAAAGGCGGGGGCTGTGATAGCTAGCCATTTTGCTGGTCCCTTACATTTGGATAATCTCCAATTGAGTCCTTTCCTTGACAACCAATTTAGATATCCATGACAACCAGACCCATTTTCCCCTTTATAAACTATGACATTTATTGTCCCCTTCAAAGAGAAAAGAAAAAAAAAAAACTAAATTTACACTTGAAATGATGCGTGTTTTGAATACAATCAAGGTAATGAGGTTTGCATCCTCTATACAACCTGCTTAAATTGGAAATTACTCGTGATTAAAGCCGCTTTTAAACTTTTTCATATAGGCGGCGCACTAATGAAATGATATACATTTAATTTGAAAATGCCAAATGTGAATAGCAACAAACAACAATGCCATTTATGTGATTCTCTGTACATTTTCTTGTCCATCGTGGTGGCGCCAAGTATCTACGTATACATACTATTGAAGCAGGGCATCTAACTCGTGCTTTTATTAAATTCAAGGAGTTGAAAGGAGGGGCCTTTTTAACAAACAGGTTGTTGTAAATGCTAGATTGCAGAAATTCAACTATTATTAGGCAATTGTTATACGGCAGGTGGTGGTGGCTGATTTGAGTTTTGATTCTGTAAATGACTTGTCGAATTGAATTCATGGATAACTTTCTCCGTAACATTGATACGAGTAACAGCTGTATTGCCTTGAGCAACTGGCGCCACTTTCAAGTCCTCGTTTTCAGCCTTAAATCCATTGTCTATCCAATAAGTGCTCAAGTATTTCAGTGGGCCTCCATGTGTAACTACTAAAACTGATTGATATTGCTTCTTTTGAGCATCCTCAGTTATGAAATTCCAAGCGGATATGGCTCTAGACCGAAACGTCAACTCGCTCTCCCCATCATGGTTGGAAATAAATTGATCCATGCTTAGACCTTGTTGTTGGGATTCGGAAAACAAGTATTTGAGTGGTTGTCGAGATAGCTTACCGAAATCTCTTTCACGCAAGATGGCTAGATACTCGATGGATACATCTGGTGAGTGATGAGCCAAGATGGCAGCCGCTGTCTATACGCATGAGGCGTATTGAGCTATTTTTATATATATATTGACACGCTCATGCATGATCAAAGTTTACCTGTTTACAGCGTTTCAGATCACTGCAGTAAACATGGTCATACGATGCCGCTTTGAGACGTTCGCCACAACATGCTGCTTGGTTTAGTCCATTTTTATTCAGCTCTGTATCTATACACATACGTGTCATGTCAGCTGGGTGTTATTTAGGCACGACGTGTTTGTGAATATACAGTATAGGGGAAAGCCAGTAACAAAATTGGCTGATTTTAAAAATTGGGAAAACTCCACAGCATAATCTCGTTTTTTCATTTTCCTTTTTTTTTTAAAAAAAAGTCCTTGGAGGAAAAATCCCCAAAGGATGAGTCTCTGAAAAAGAGGTGAGTCTCTGAAAAAGAGATAAGTCTCTGAAAAAGAGGTGAGTCTCTGAAAAAGAGATAAGTCTCTGAAAAAGAGATAAGTCTCTGAAAAAGAGATGAGTCTCTGAAAAAGAGATGAGTCTCTGAAAAAGAGATGAGTCTCTAAACAAGAGATAAATCTCTCTAAACAAGAGGAAAGTAAATTCTCTCAAAATGAATCCAACCTCTTGTCGAAGCTGTTTCAGAGTAACAAATCAAGTCAAACTTCAGGGAGATGGTTTAAATATGAAAACGCCATTGCAAGTATACAACATGCTGAAAGAAAAAAGCGCAATTGACCTACTTCATGTTGCAAAACATGACGCATCGAGGTAGGTAACCATTGGAAGCAATAAACAGGGTTTTTCTCTTACCTTTGCTGGAGCGTTGCCTTCTTACACTTTTCCAATCATGTTATGGCCTCTGTTTTCTACAACACCCATGACTCCACGGGCTTGAATATTGGTGGGTTGGTTTGTACAGTGAAAGCAACAAACAAGAATGGCATTACCACAACGTACAGCCAAGTTGATATGGTGCGTTTCTTGCCTACGTCTCGACCACGAACAATCATCCAACCTCCAGAATCAGCCTCTCTACCTCCAGAACCAAGAAACCCACAGCCAACAACCACAACAAAGTGGAAAAGGTACGTAAAACCCAAAGCCCAATGCATAAATTTTGTTGGATTTCATATTTATCATATTTACTTGATTGCTTAGAGTCTTTGAAGAAGGTTTGAAGCTTCTTGAAAATGAACACGCAACAAAGAAGGCTCGATTGAATGAATTGGACAGTCGAATTAAGGAACTCATGGAGAAACGTCAAAGCATTTTGTTGGGAATTGAAGACTTTGAAAAAAAAAAAAGGCTCGCAAAAGAAATCATCTCTTGAATGTCCTCTGATCATCCGTCTCACTTTGAACATTATTACGGGAATAAAAACGATGCTTTGGATATGAAGATATTTGGAGTAAAAGGTTTAATTTGCCCTGTTAAGAAGACGATAACTATTATTTATGATTGAAACAAATAGATATTGGGAGTGTTTGTGTGGTGAATGTAGATGAGAGAGGGGAAAAGTGAAATCAGCAATTATTCATGGGGCAGCTTCCTCTTCGAAACAGCATGAATGTCCTCATTACATATCTGTATATCTTCATGTACAACATCTTCCTTAAATGTCTATTTTTATGACCATCCTCCTACTGTTACCCATACCTAGTGTCTATCCTTGTTCACATTACAGCATTATCAATCTCATTCCTTATCTCTTTTTTTTTTGCCTGAGTTGCATTGATGGCCATGTTTTAATGATAAAAATTGTATTTGACTTATTGAAAATATTGTTAGATAAAAACAATAAGGCTAAAACAAAATTCAAAATTACTGATTTATTAAATGAGATGTGTAAAGGTATAATGTAATTCAATTAAGCATCGTGTTATCAATTGCAATGAATTAAACCTCTTTTTATCTTTCATATTCGTATTTGAACGATAGTTTGTTTAGCACTAACAAAGAAATTGAATTTTGTCTCTCAATGATTGTATTTTTATTAATTTTGAAATGCCAAATGTGAATAGCAGCAAACAACAATGCCATTTATGTGATTCTCTGTACATTTTCTTGTCCATCGTGGTGGCGCCAAGTATCTACGTATACATACTATTGAAACAGGGCATCTTGCTCGTGCTTTTATTAAATTCAGGGAGTTGAAAGGAGGGGCCTTTTTAACAAACAGGTTGTTGTAAATGCTAGATTGCAGAAATTCAACTATTATTAGGCAATTGTTATACGGCAGGTGGTGGCGGTTGATTTGAGTTTTGATTCTGTAAATGACTTGTCGAATTGAATTCATGGATAACTTTCTCCGTAACATTGATACGAGTAACAGCTGTATTGCCTTGAGCAACTGGCGCCACTTTCAAGTCCTCGTTTTCAGCCTTAAATCCATTGTCTATCCAATAAGTGCTCAAGTATTTCAGTGGGCCTCCATGTGTAACTACTAAAACTGATTGATATTGTTTCTTTTGAGCATCCTCAATTATGAAATTCCAAGCGGATATGGCTCTAGACCGAAACGTCAGCTCGCTCTCCCCATCATGGTTGGAAATAAATTGATCCATGCTTAGACCTTGTTGTTGGGATTCGGAAAACAAGTATTTGAGTGGTTGTCGAGATAGCTTACCGAAATCTCTTTCACGCAAGATGGCCAGGTACTCGATGGATATATCGGGTGAGTGATGAGCCAGGATGGCAGCCGCTGTCTATACGCATGAGGCGTATTGAGCTATTTTTATATATATATTGACACGCTCATGCATGATCAAAGTTTACCTGTTTACAGCGTTTCAGATCACTGCAATAAACATGGTCATACGATGCCGCTTTGAGACGTTCGCCACAACATGCTGCTTGGTTTAGTCCATTTTTATTCAGCTCTGTATCTATACACATACGTGTCATGTCAGCTGGGTGTTATTTAGGCACGACGTGTTTGTGAATACACTTTACCAACATGGCCTTGCAACCAACGCTCATTGTTGGCGTCTGTATTTCCATGACGAACCAAAGTAACTTGTAACGGCATTGTCCAAACAAATGAAAGAGATGCAAAATGACTAAAGATGCCTTTGAATCTCCTTTTGTAGGATCATTTTTGCCTTGTTTGATATTGTAGGCCATTGACATGGCATATCAAGGATGAAAAAGATATTACTGCAGGACAAGTCTGGCTCCATAGGTTGCCATAGCAACCTGTACCTTGATTTCAGGTACCAAGCATGTTGATGAGGATTTCATGAGATGTATACCATTACATTTTGTGTGACTTACGGTTGAACATCAGAGTGAAACACGATGCCCTATATAAACGCGATTGTTTTCTCCTCTTACTACCAAACAACAAATGGCAGACCAACAACAACAAGCTGGTAAAAGGAGCCTTTTGTCTCGTCCATTGGACTTGATATACTTTCTCTACTTTGCCAGTCATATCCCTGTTACCTTAGCTATCGATTTTCAAATCTTTTATCCCCCTCAATGGGTTCCTCAAGTACTCAAGGATGCTTTGAAATTCTATACTGAAACTTACAAAGATCCCTTCATGGGAAGCTCAACTCCTGTATATTGGTTTTTGAGCTTCGTTGTATGTGAACTGTTTGTTCAGTTGCCCTTCTTTTTCATGGCATGTGCCGGCCTTGCCAAAGGTAAGCTGACGCATGTTGAATAGGATTGAGAAGATATTGACATTTGCTTGTAGATTCCAAATACATCCGTCTTCCTCTTGCCAGTAAGTGACATGGCGTGAGACTGTCGATCAAGGACTCATTGATTGCTCCATAGTTTATGGTGCACATGTTGCTACCACTGTATTGCCAACCATTGCCGAAGTTCTATTCAACGAAACATTGAACTTGAACACCACTGAACGTCAAACATTGATTGGATTCTATGCACCTTACTTTATCTTGCCTCTCATTATGACAGTAGATTCATTCATTCGCATCAACAACTATCTGAAAGTAGATGTCTCTGCTAAAAAGACTCAATAAATCGGTTGACTCTGTACTATTACTAGTGAATGTTAATTTCTGAATACCAGCAAACAATGGATGTGGCAGGATTCAAAGGGGAGCATACTGTAGAGGGGACGATGCAGGTTTATACATATATTTTACATTGGATATCAGAGGATTAGCATTTGATAGCTAGTTCTTTTCATCTTGTTTCAGCTCTTCCTCCTCTCCTGAGAAAGGGTTTACTGGATATATGTTGATCATAGGTGGCGATACTAGATTGTTGATTTGTAGACGAACATCGATTTGAGAAAACATGCTGATTGTCTGCATACACGTTTCTTCGTCCAAAATGACAGATGGTATCAACGCACCAGCGTCCACAACTTTGTCAGGATTGGGTTCCTGCAGCGTCATTCGTGCCAAACTGTCCAGAGGATCTCCACTTTCATCGACCTCGTCGTCGTCATCCTCGCTGCTGTAGTCGTCTTTTGTAACTCGCTCTGCGTACATCTTTTCCTCGTTTCTCATTGTGACAGGAACACCTCGTTTCCAGAATATATTTAATGACAGCTTTGTCTTGTCAAAGTCAAAACGAGATACCGGCAAGTCCTTCAAGTGGATGCGTTTTTCAAGGCCGTATTCAGGCACACATACTTCGTATGTTTCCTTGGAGGTAGTAATGACATCCGCTTTTGTGTATACAGGGCCGTTGAGTTTCTCAACCATGGTCAAGTATCTACATAGGTAAATCATAATGTCGCTGTTTTGTGCATTCTTGGCGCCATCCTTCTTAGTGTTGCATTCAAACGCTATTTTCTGCAGCATCTTTTTGTTGTATGGGCAAGGCATTGCTACATTGAGATGAAGCTTATCAGTGTTGCACGTGTCGTTGAAACTAATTCCCAATACTCTACCTTTGTGGTTATTGTCATTGGCGAGGGCAGTTTCCAATATGCGGTGCACAATCACATCAGCATAACGACGGATGGGCGACGTAAAGTGAGTGTAAAAAGCCTCATTCAAAGCGTAATGATGGAATTTGGCGATATCAAGAGATCCTGAGCAAAAGTACTTTGCACGTTGCATAGTTCGAATAGCCAAGATCAAGAGCACATCTTTGACATCTTGATTGTTGACACTGTCAAAGGACGACTGGAGGGAGCCAGCACTATGGCCATCGAAATTGAGGCCAAGCACCTCTGTAACCTTGATAAATTCATTCTATTATGCACGCATGTCAGTAGTTGTTGCTCGTTTGAAATAATCAATATCAATCTTACCAGTCTTTTTGACAGTGGATACTCGTGTCTTCTTAATAAAGCTTCGTCAGGAAACGATTTTGCGATTTTGTGAGCAACGCTAATATTAGCAAGCAACATAAACTCCTCAATCAAGCGATTTGCAGCCTTGGCCTCAAACTGGGAAAATGAGATAGGTTCGCCCTTATCGTCCAACATAAATTGCAGCTTGACAGAGTTCATGGAAAGAGACCCACCGTCGTATCTTTGTTGACGCATTTGAACAGAGAGGTTGTGTAGCATTAGAATGTCGTTTGAGATGGCATAATCATCATGGTTGCCAAAAATGTCGACATCGACCGGCAAAATATCACCTTCAATCACTTGCTGAGCATCATCGTAAGCAAGTTTTGCACAGGATCTAGCAAACAGAGTTGATACACAGTTCTATCGCTTTGAATTCATACGTCTTACTTTATAATCGTCTTTCCAAACCAGGTATCCACAGGCTTGCCTTGCTCGTTCATCTTCCAGATAACAGAAAATGCAAGCCTATATTCGATATTCTTGTGTGTCAATACAGAGTCAGTGTCTGCACTCACAGCTAGTAGTATACCTTTCAACACCAGGATTGAGACTACAAAGCTCCTCACACAAAAGCGACGGCAACATAGGGATTACCGAATCAACAAGGTATGTACTCGTGCCGCGAGCTCTTGCCTCTGCATCAAGGGCGGTATTGCGCTTGAGAAAGTAAGAAACATCCGCAATATGGACACCCACTTCAAAGAACCCATCCTCCAGCTCTTTGATATGAAGAGCATCATCCAGATCCTTGGCTGTGGGGGGATCAATCGAAAACACGCGCTCGTTTCTCAAATCTCGTCTCAACGCGTACTCTTTCTCAGGTATCGCCCAAGGTATAGGTGGCAGACATCCAAGTGCAACTGGCGTGAATCCAGTATCGATAATACAATTGTTGGTGATACTGGCTTGTCTCTCTGTGAACAAGTCGCCAATAGGCCCAATTTCTCTTTCAAATTTACCGCTTGGGCGTCTGTCTGTTATTTGCCACCGCAAGAGCGAGACCTATACATAAGTACATTGATATGAGGATTCAATGTATGAATGCGCTACCGCATGCAGATTCCTACCGAGAATAAATGTGTCTTGAAGTATTCTTCATTGGCGCCTAGTTCTCGGGGAATATCTCGGCCTCGAAGTTTGAATATGGGCACGCGCCGATCAGTTGGCTTGAACCAAGCTATCGCAAGTCCATTTTGCTGCCTCTCTTTAGCGTTGCTTTTGAGTTCATCCAACACTCCTGGTTCCTCTGAGAGTATAGTTCTATGCAGAGAGAGAGAGAGAGAGAGAGAGAGAGAGAGAGAGTCAACTCCATCTGGTTGTCCTCATACAATCGGAGCTTTAGATGCTTACCCTGTGTAGGTGGCATGGGGCGCCCTCTCCAAAATACCAACAACATGACCACAGTATACTGGCTTGTGGTCTTCTCCATCAGAGTCTTCTGCGCCTGCATCTGCTACTACTGTCTCTTCTTCCTCAATTGGATCCTCAAATTGCTCGGGCACCTTTTGATCTTGCTGCTCTTCCTGATCTCGCTTTGCCTTTTGACGCTGCAGATGCATCTCCTTTCTCTTGCGCCGACGTTCTTTACGCAGCTCCCACACCTCCTCAACATCTACCAACTGCACTGCTACAAGGTCCCCATCCATGGCTCTGTTTTTGTCATGAGCACCTCCAATGTATATATCAAAATCAAGATCGTCGGACTTGACATAAGCATCTATTGGATTCTTGGTGAGACACATAATGCCTTGGTACAATGTACCTTGTTCAATGCCTCTTTCTATATCCAAAGGATTCCAGAAGGGCAGGAAGAACGTTCTTTTGTTATGTGAGTTTCTGTCCCAAGGGTGAATATAAGGTGGCGCCGTTCTCTCTGTGCCATTGGATTAGCACATGTCATGTTCATAAATGCATGAGGGGGCTTACTGTTTGCTTTGGGCTCCTTGATTTCGTCAACTGGAGCACCAATCACCCAATCTTCATCGTTTGAATCATCTTCCTGATGCCTAGCATAATGATTCCAAGCGTTTTCTTCGTTCTTTGTAACTGAAAAGTCGACTAAATTAAGAGTTATTTCTGGCGCAGGTGGCTGCTGTTGATCTGCCTTTGTAACTACAGGCGTAGCATCAGGGCTGTTCTCCATCTTGGTCTCAGCATGCTTGGCTTTAGGCCTTCTACGTCGAGGTTTGGGCACGATATCGTCCATGTGTATTTTTGGTCGATTGTTGTTATTATGACGTTTCCAGTTTTGAGTGCGAAGTGTGGGCCGTTGTTGTAATGATTCCTCTTGATCAACGGGACGTCTTCTCCAGTTGTCTGAATCATCAGCCTTAGATATTGCGTGAGTCTAAAACACAAGCAGGGGATTTAGAGTGAGAGACACTTGATGCGCCTTTGCTATAGTTACATTTGTGTGGCCATCCATTGCTCTGATGTTTAATTGAACAGATAGTGTTTTAAGCGAGAAAGAAATGCAACAATCTTGTGTTTTGTGGGCCAGGAAATAAAGCAGTCGACAGCAAGACTCAACAACAGAGATGATGATTTAAACTCACTACAACGATTGCCAAAGTAGATGCATAAAACACTTTCAAATATACTGAAATTGCTGTAGTGGATTCATATGGGCGCGTCTATCAACATGTAACTGATGAGCGCAAAGAATGTCATGTTGACATTCGACAGCTGACACACATCAATTTTAGGGGGGGGGGGGAAAGCCCTTCGTCACACCAGAGTGATGAGAAGGCATTGAGGGCAGCTATTCATCAAGGCCCAACATCGATTTTGTCTTTTACATTGTCCTGGTAACGCCAATCTACCGGCTGTTGCTGGCTGTATCATCTCGGAGAGAGAGGCTTTGAAAACGATTTATTCATACATCTTCTATATTCTTTAATCTTTGTATGAATAAGGACGTGAAAATAAGCGCATCATTCCAATTAGACTGGCGATTGCTGGTCAAATCCCAAAAAAATGGAGTGTGAGTGGGTATAATGCGAGAAGGACCCAACTGGACGCTGGATGCTTCACGCTGTGCTTGTCGGTAATCATCTACTTGCGTTTGTGAGAATAGCATGTCGTCTAATCTTGTCATGGCATTCATTCTCGACTCTTCAGAGGACCAAATGTTGGCAGCGTTCCAGTCTCTTTCATTCAGCTTGGTGATGCGCAGCTTGCGTTTGGATTGCTGTAAGGATTTGGATATGGCCAGTGCAGTCTGAAGTTCGTCGTCTAGTTTATCCTCTCGTCGTTGATTTACTTCAGGTACGCGGGATGCATGAATGATGACCTGATTGGAGAAATCCTCGTCTTCCTCATGCATGTCATGGATATAAGCCGTGAGTTGATGTTCTGGTATTTTTGGTGGCAATGGTGATGATGCGGATGATGCGTTTTCTACAGGTGTAGTTGCGGTTGCTGTCGTTGCAGGCACAGGCATATGGCCCCATCCAATCCACTGCAATTTCTTGAGCAACTGAGGAAGAGACATCTGATTTTGCCTGGCACATTGTTTGACATGTACAATTTTCTGCTTGAGCGTGCGATTTTCAAATGGGTCAACTTCATGACAGACTGGACAGAGCTCCAACGTGCTGAGAAAAGGTACATGTTGACCAGCAAACATGGACTTTTGGTGTTGCTTTTCCAGCTCATCGGCGGCATCAAGACACCTATTGATATGGACTTGCCGTCTAGTAGAGTTGAAATGTGTTAGATTCTTGCCGCAAAAGACACAGTCGTCAAATTCGAGTTCTTGTTCCAGTTGAGGTGTGCTTTCAATGGATATACACTCTTCCACATGCTGTTGTCGAAGATAGCTTGATTTGACAGATGTTAGATTCTCGCTACATATAGGGCAAGCATAATCGTCTAGGCTATTTTCTTTTGACGTTGAGCTGCTGTCTTGAGGATTGCCATTTTGAGTGCTTATGCCTAGCTCTGGTGGTATCGTTTCTTCATCCTTTATGATGTCGCAGAGTAGCGGTTCGTTTCCACATTCTAACTTTGGTTTTTCGAGGCAGCAAGCTTTTTCTGATTTGACCTTCTCGTCTTTGGCAATACAGTCTTCCGGCTTGATGGTATTTACAGGTAATTCTTGGGACAATGGTTCTGGCTTGATGTCGAGTAACAATTGCTGCGAAGCAGGGTTGCTACGATTGCCAGATCTGGACAGAGATAGAGGCGTCTTTCTCTTTTTAGAGGGGTAATTTGGATCCGAAGCAAACAGTCGTTTCAGTGACAAAGAGCAATGCGATTGAGGAGGCGGGTCATTTTCCATGTTGACTGACTATATTGCAAACAATGAACAAGGGAAATGCAGAATATGCTTCATGAGTATAGCGTACAACGGAGTTCCATGCTTGCTTTGATTCGTTGTTCGACTGGTCCGGGCAAAAAGGTTTTTCGCTTTACGTGGATTCGAGGCCGCAAAGCCAAAAAAGCAAATCCAATCATACAGGTGTAGTGAAATCCTCCTCTTCTCTTTGACAGATCTTCAGCAACCATGGTCAAGTTCATCAAGGCTGGTAAAGTACGTATCAGAACCAACATCGATCGATTTAGACAGATGATCGACCACCATGGATGGATGCACTTATCACACATGCCAACCATCTCCATGATTTCCACTCAAAACTCAGTTCTCACACATCATTGTTACATAGGTTGTCGTTATTTTGCAAGGTCGTTATGCCGGCAAGAAGGCCGTCGTCGTCCGTAGTACGTATTACAATACAACAAGAAAGAAAGGAGCTGTGCATGGAATGTATGTGCTGCTGTGTGCTGTCTGTATATCGCATTGAATCAACATTCGGACTCGATCACATTTGAACACGAAACTACCAACAATCAGAGACACTCGCCTTTTGACAGATTGAATTATCTGATCGTTTGCACCGCCATCACCACCACCACCACCACCATTATGTCAGAGCACAGCACACGTACATTTCATGTCGGCTCTTCTCATACTATAGACAGTACATTAGATTCTAACATGCCATTTGCTTCCTTTAGACCACGATGAAGGAACCAAGGATAGACCCTATGGTTATGCCGTCGTCGCTGGTGTCGAACGTTCTCCTCTCAAGGTCACCAAGGCCATGGGTAAGAAGAAGACTGCCAAGCGTTCCAAGGTCAAGCCTTTCGTTAAGATTGTTAACTACAACCACATGATGCCTACTCGGTAAGTTTTGTAGAAAATTTGGACTTTAGAGGTGGTAGATCAGGATGATTAACAACAGCGTCGTATAGTTACGGTTTGGAATTAGAACAAATCAAGGGTACTGTCTCTGCTGATACTTTCAAGGAGCCCACTCAACGTGAAGATTCCAAGAAGGTCATCAAGAAGCTTTTCGAAGAACGCTATCAAACTGGTAAGAACAAGTGGTTCTTCAGCAAGCTTAGATTCTAAGCAAAATCTATATTTACAAATAAATATATATTCTGTCATCCCTTTCTTTTTACGAATTGTGAATAAACTGTGAAGAAAACATATCTATTCCTTGCCCTTGACGCTTATGGTTTTCTACATGCATGTTGATCTGTGGATGGTGTCGACTTTAAACAGTGGTGTGCACGTTTTCTTGGACAAGACATGCACTATTGGGAATATGTACCATACTGTACTTTTCTTTAGAGTTTAGAGTCAAGCAAATCAGCCAATGTCTCTGATAGTATGCCATGGCTAAAGGATCACTTTACATTTGACAGGCCATTACATAGCCTGTAAAATTCCTGTTTGTTTCCATGTAAACAAATGCACAAATAGATTTTCAATTCGGGAATCAAAACGCCTATCGATGCCATTGTTCTCCCTGAACTCGATGCGACTCCAGCGTTTACTGCTATCACACTTCGCTTTGATCCATTGAACCAGAGTTGATTTGTGATTGCCAAATTATGAGGTCTAACTTCCTTGAACCGGACACTACCAGAGAACAATGATATACGGGCCGGAAGAGGATCAAACTACCAGCGGATTGGCAAATTTGCAAACAGACGCAACAATTAAAAGTGTCAAATCTAATTAAATGAATGAAGCCTTCTCTTTCCCTGCACATACAAGTATGTATACATCCATCGCTATACTATCCATCTAGTACTAACCATCCATCGTATAGCTATGTCTCGTGTTCCTTCAGTTCTCAACCCCACCGAGGAGGATATCCAACTCCTTTTGAGTGCTCAATGCCACATTGGTACCAAGAATGCCAACACCCGTATGGCTCCTTATATCCACAAGCGTCGTGCTGATGGTAAATACGATCTGTTTACTCAACAGATGGCCCAGTATACTTATATTATCTCAATTGAACAGGTATCAACTTGATCAACATTGGTAAGACCTGGGAGAAGCTCATCTTGGCTGCTCGTATCATTGCTTCCATCGAGAACGTAAGTGAAATTTTTTTTTATGTGTGGGGTTCATTTGCGATTGTGGATTCTGATGTGTCCTGTGCTTGTATAGCCTCAAGACATCGTTGTTGTCTCTGCTCGTCCTTACGGTCACCGTGCCGCTCTTAAGTTCGCCAGATACATTGGTGCTGAAGCTATTGTTGGTCGTTATACTCCTGGTACTTTCACCAATTACATCACCCGTTCTTTCCGTGAACCTCGTTTGGTTATCTGTACCGATCCTCGCTCTGATTTCCAAGCTATCCTCGAAGCTTCTTATGTTAACGTCCCCGTTATCTCTCTTGCTGATACTGATGCTTCCCTCAAGTTCGTTGATGTTGCTATCCCCACCAACAACAAGGCCAAGCACGCTATTGGTTTGATCTACTGGCTCTTGGCTCGTGCCGTCCTCCGTCTCCGTGGTACTCTCGACTATGAGACCGCTTGGGACGTCATGGTCGATATGTTCTTCTACCGTGATCCTGAGGAGATCGAGAAGGAGAACGCCGAGGCTGAGGCTGAGGAGGGTGATTTCGCTGCCTCCGCTGAAGCTGCCACTGGTGAATGGGCTGTTGAGGGTGAGGCCACTGAAGGTGTCGCTGGTATTGCTGCCGCTGCCGACTGGTCTGCTCAACGTACTACTGACTGGGCTGATGAGACTGAAGCTCCTGCCAACTCTTCTTGGGAAGCTTAAATATAATCTTGTTTTTTTTTCATAGAAATAAAAAAAAGGTCTTAAATGTAATACTTTTTTTTTTTTACTAAAATATAAATGAATAAGGAGTCTTTATTTTTGTAAGGAGATGTTATCTTTTTTTTTTAGTGTAGATGTACCTTTTGTTTGGATGATGTGTATTAAATAAGAAAGTAAAGCTCTTGTAACACTTGAAATATATTAACTGGACAACAAAGTTTTTTCTCTTCTTTTTCCCTTTCTTTTTCCTTCTTGATTCTTTATACTGAACACATTCCTCTCCTTACCATTTCATAGAAAACTACTACTCAAATCATGTCTAATAACAACAATGATTTTGGGAACCCTCTGAAAAAGTTCAAATTGGTGTTTCTCGGCGAACAAAGTGGTATGGTAGATGGCAGTTTCATAGAGCAGTAACATCTCATTCATCAGGCGACCCTAGTGGGAAAGACATCGCTCATTACTCGGTTCATGTATGATACATTTGACAATACGTATCAGGTAGAAAAACATGAAATCAAGAGAGAATTCAGGGGCTGAAATTGAATGGTTTGTTTTCAGGCAACTATAGGTATCGATTTCTTGTCAAAAACCATGTATCTCGATGACCGAACTATCCGCCTTCAGCTATGTAAGACGGCACAGTGGATATCTACATGGCCTGTATTAATTGATTGTTATTTTGTACATTAGGGGATACTGCTGGACAGGTAACTGATGCCGACAGGAAGGGATTGGTTACATGTAAATTAAACTGGCCTGTTTATTTTACAGGAAAGATTTCGTTCTCTGATCCCAAGTTATATTCGAGATTCCTCTGTATGTGTTGTTGTTTATGATATTACCAGTAAGTTGGTTTGTGTAGTTGTGAGTATTCAGGGACAGCCGAACGAGTAACCGAGTGTCTTGTTTAGATCGAAATTCGTTTTTAAATACTTCCAAATGGATTGATGATGTGAGGGCTGAGAGAGGAACTGACGTGATCATTGTGCTGGTAGGAAACAAGACTGATTTGAACGATAAAAGGTAAAATTTGGGTGTGGTTCTCTTCATGCAGTATGTGTGTATATATGGTAATGTTGCTGTTATCAATATATAGACAAGTGACAGTGGATGAAGGAGAGAAGAAGGCAAAGGAATACAACATCATGTTCATAGAAACTAGTGCAAAGGCCGGATACAATGTGAGTTTTCCGTAGAGGTCTCTTGACAACGTTTATTCTAATGAATTGGTGTCTATAGGTAAAGGCACTGTTTAGGAAAATTGGGCATGCATTACCAGGAATGGAGAGCCAGTCTGAAGATGGTCAACGAGAGACGTGTAAGTGGTGTGGTTGATGTCGAAGGTATTTGCTGAAACTTAACGTGGTTTGTGTAGTGACCAAGGTGGATTTGACGGATACATCAGCTAGAAAAGAGGAAGTGAGCTCATGTGCATGTTAATTTCGTAGTTGCTTTCATTTATGTACACAGTTAATTTTCAGGAGATGTGTTCTCTTACATACTATTCCATTTCTTGTGATCGTGCAGGATTTACCCTTTTACTAAGCCATTAAATGAAAATAATTTTGTTTTGCTAGCAATCATGCAAAATCCTTTGCATTTAGTAATACTTCCAAGCAGAATAAGCCAGTAATCTCATTCGAGAATGACATGCAATCTTGAAAAGGGTGGCAAATTTGCGTTTCGAATTGGATTACATTTGAATGAGCAATTGCGAACGGTTACATTTACTATATTTTTAAAATGTTTGAAGAAAGTTGTAAGGCTTAGTAAAGCTGAGCTATATTACTTTTCTATTTCGTCGCAATCACTTTGTTATAACTTCAAGAGCATCGATTGCATTGATAAAAAAAGGCATCAGTGATTTTGCCACCAACCAGCAACCAGAGCAAGTAAAATCTTCGCTCAGGGTCTGTTCCAGATTGGCCAGATTCTGAACAAAATCGACTCAATCTGTCTATTTTGCTGCATTCGACTATATGAAATGTGGTGATCATTCCATGCTTCTTAATTCATTCTAGAAATACTTTTTAAGGCGCTTCTAATGGTGTAAAGTAAGATAGATGTTTGGAATAAACTTATTGAGCAAGTTCAGAAAATATGAAATAAGGTTTCTGGCCAAAAAGTCGAAAATTTGCATATAAAGATCCCACAAAGATGATTTTAGAGGTTGCATTGGATCGATAGAAACATTTTGATTTGCTATATACCATATTAAAAGTCTTCATTATCAAGGTGAAAAACGCGATCGTTTGATTTTCAATGAAAACCATGAGGGGTACCTCATGCTTTTTAGTCGAATTTTGGCCATGATTTTTTGGTACCCAAAAAGCTAAGCAAAGGTGCCAGGAAGTTGGTACTAGATGAGAGCAACACTTTGTTGCTATTCTGGTTGGTGTAAACCACTTCTAACGCGAGAAAACACGGCTCAAATGCATCCAGATTTCGCTGTGATTTTACACAGTTTCCAGTAGTAAGAAGCAATACAGATATGCTGGCTACACCTACCTGAATTGCTCCCGTAGATAGAGTTACGAAGCATCGCAAATCAGTTGGATCTACTGCTACAGATTGCTTACGGAGGGCTCTCTTGTCATAGTGATGAAAGATTAAAAAGCAAAGTCTCAGTAGTACATATTAGTAAATTAGTTGGACATGCTTCTTGCAAGAACCTGCTATTGGGCACGAGGGCTTGAATTGTTTTTTTTTGACACTAAGAATGTGAACTTATCATAGATCAACGCCATGGATGCATACAAGTTCGCTTGGCAAACCATGTAGGCAAGCCTGGATCAGAGTCGGGCCCGCTTTTACCTTTGGTTACCATTCTCGGTGATCTCGAAAAACTCTACATTTATAAAAAATTGATGGGTTTCCTGAAACGCTATTAACAGGCATGGATCTGTGAGGGAGACACTGCATATTACAAACAAACTACACATAGAGCTTACGTCTGCTCCCAAAGCGGCTAAACCTGCCTATTGCTGTAGCCCTCAAACGTAACTGTATATTATTTGTCTCTCGGTAAAATGAATGTTGGCATAATGATATACTTTGCTGATCCTGTTGTCAAACATTTGCCGATCAGTCAAACGTGGAGTGAAACCAGAATGTATGTCTAGATCGTCGCTCCACACAAACAAACAACATCTTCCACAGATGTTTCAAACTAGGATACTCTTGGCAGAACGATTCCCCTCCCAATTACGCACACTGTTATTATATGATTTAACTTCCATCCAAATTAAGAGGCGTGCCACGAAATCGGAGCAGCAAAGCCAGAAATGACACGACTCTAGCCTAAATTTAGATGTACAACCATAAAACAAACAATAAGCAAGAGTACAGATTCTTGATTTAAACATTAAACGTGGATCGTCAACATGTCTATTGTACCACATCACTATTGCTTTACGCAAGCAAGGGCTATTCTTTGCAAAAAAAAAAAAAACCTTTACATTTGATGCCATCCATTTCGGATTTATTGCTGTCTCCGATTGTGATGAGAAAGGGCCAGGTCCGTGAATTCGAATCTATAATTAAGTTTTGAATCTGGTCTACCATTTCTTTTTTCTTTTTCTCTCTTTTTTTCAATTCAACAGCTACTACGAAAGAAGATGGTACGTGCAAACCTTCATTGAGCCGAAAAAATCACTGATTAACGCAATCTTTTACAGGGCTGCTGTAGAGGCGATAAACCTAAATGGAAGCGAGAAATCGTTCCTGATCATAAATTTGAAAATGTTGATCTCGATGCATTTTACAATCCATCTTGCTGTTCTCGCTTTGGATACATGTTTGTTTTTATCCTAAGTCTCAAATCCTTTGCAGTCTACGTAGCAGATTTATGGACAGCTGGTAAGTAGTAACAATAGCAGCAGCAGCAGCAGCCCCAATTATAGTAATTTTCATTAATGACAATGATATAGTATCACTTTTGGTTATTGGACAAACGACAGTGACACCTGCTATTCCAACCGAATACTCCAAATGGATCTTTTTTGCTTGTATCATGGTCTCTTTTCTCTTGCTGCTATGGGACATGCTCAAAGCTCGTCGTATACTCAAGACACATGACATTTCATTCGCTTTCACGTCAGTCATTGCCAATCGCTACCTGTCCATGAAAGATTACCGTTATTACTGCTTGTTTCAATCCATCAATTCCAACAGCAAAGGGATCGACAACTATGCCTTCTTTATCTTTTTTCAACTCAAGGGCTGGAAGCGACTCTTGTTGGCGGAAGCACCTCGTCAAGTCATTAACGTAGTGACATTGGAAGCACTGGCACCTGAATGGCTCAAAATTCACAACGGATCTGTCAGCTTTGACAACGAGGTGTTGGGTGAAAATTTGCTGCAACAAATCTTGACAGGCACCATGGCATTTTCGGTACTGGTCTTTGCCATTTCATTCATCCTGGTTTGTGTTGCTGCAGTGTTGTATATTCCTCTGTTTTGTCACATTCGTGGAAATCTGAAAGAGTACTGCTGTCATAAAGTAGATAAACGCATCAGTGAAATTCTGCGCAAACAAGGCCGCCGTCCAGCAACAAGTGCAACAGGTAACAGTCGTGCAGTGGCACCAGAGAGCGAGTCTTTCATTGATGAAAGCGAATTCTACAAACGACCCTTGGCTGCTACAACTCCATCATTGCCATCATTTGCCTCACCATCCGCTTATGAGTACGAAAAGGCATCTTATTTTCAGTCTCCCATGATGGCTTCACCTGGTTTACAACATCAAACAAGTACGCCTCTCAGTGAACAACGTCTGTTGAACAATAATGATGATGGATATTTCGATGAATATCAGAGTAGTACGGACGGATCGGGTGTAACTATCAATCAGCAATATCATCCTCGACCCGTGGCACATCAACTGCCGTATCAAAATCGCTCTTATGGCTACTATGCACCGTTAAATGATGCCAGTTCGCAACGCACACACACAGCCAACAATAGCCCTGTGCCATCATCCACATGTTTAAATGGGCAGCGTTATCAAAAGAGAAACTATCCTCATGGCTATTAAGAAAAGCCCTCCCAAATCAACATCCTGCCGTCTGTACATATATACTTCATACTTTTTTTTTTTTATTCTTCCACAAGCTTAATAAATTAATGCATATTCCTTTTGATATAAGATATATTTGATTTTATTTAGTGTTGCCATTTCAAAAGACAGGTTACCAGAATGCACACCTAAAAACAAAGAAAAAGAGGTTTAGAGTCAAAAGTCCTTATTACAGCACACAAATACATACCAGCCAACATAACATTGACAGAGATTCTCTAATGAAGTTGCTTGTTGAATCAATTTTTCAACTTGTGTAGGGACATCCAATGTCACTCGAGGGTTAAAATCACGACCAGTCAACTTGTTGGATACTCGGTTCACGACTGCAACAGCTCTTGAGTTTAGCAATTCAGGGCCTTGCGGGTTTTCTGCCATTACATGTTAATAAAGAGTCCATACACTGAACCCAATGTTTATCTTACCATTAGCCACGGCTTCCACTTCAATGCGGTTCAATCTTCGACTGACAGAAAAGTTGCGATGACCGTCATCTGGACCATCTTCGTGTGCATGTGCCATACTCTCCATACCTCTCATACGATCAGCTAGTTTATACACAAGATTAGCACACACAGACACATGACAAAACGATCAAGGACTTACTTTGAGCGGGACTCTGTGGTTGTGTATTCAACAATCTCCAATTGATCAAGGGATCATACACAAAGGCCTCCAATACAGCCATCAAACTCTCCTTGTTATCGCGCAACACACGCATGACGTGCTCACACGTGGTACGGAAATTACCTTCAATACCACTGACTTCCATGGCCTTGACCAACATACGCGTTAAACGGAAGGGAATCTTTTCAGGGAACTTTTCACGGTGCATGGCTACTTCAAAACAATCACCAAAATCAATATGAACCACTTTACCAGTGACACGATGCAGCATGAGATTGGAAGGATGACGATCACCAAGACCCAGGATGTAGCCTACCATGGACATGACAGCCAAAGATCGGGTATAGTTGGTACGTCTGTCCAGCCATGCTTCCGAATTGCGACTCTTGAGCCAAAGCACATTGTATAAATCTTGCCCGCTTGTCTTTTCAAAGGCGTATTGCAAGACTTCCACCTTTTGAATCACGGTTAAATTGTCGTAATTGGGTGCCATTTGCAGCATCAAGCGATGTTCCAAGTTGAGTAGGATCTTTCTACTGTCTCTGTAGTCGCGAATTAGTGTGTGCAGGGTATCTGTCTCTGTCACCCAACCAATGAGACCTGAATTGGGAGAAAGTGGCACGGCTGGGTAGCGCTGAATGTTCAGATGACGTTTGAAGGTCTCGGCATCATTGGTAAGCAATGTGTTGACCAAGCCAAACAGTTGCATCACACGTTCATCTTGACGCAAATCTTCGTGGCCCTTGAGCAGATACATGTAGTCTTTGCCATCACTGCCCACCATGGTCAGCTTTCTGGGTCTTTGTTTGGAGGCAATGACACTCAAGTTGGGGTTGAACTTGACAATACGAACAGTAGGTTCACCACTGCGATAATAACCAGGCACACAAAGCTCCAGGTTGCGCGCTTCCAGCAACTGGGGTGAGATGTATTGCAATTCCAAGCTGGTCAATTGAGGCAACTGTCTGACAATGCGTCTAAACACTTGATAATATAGCTCCCAAGCTTGGTTCAAATTGTTGAGGTCTCTGGTCTCTTGGTAACGATGACACCACTCCTGTGCTTCCTGCAAATCACGACCAAACGCCTGAACAAACGACTCTTCACGCATGGTTTCAGGCCCACGATCTAGCATTTGATGCAGAGGCTCCAAGGTAGCAAACATGGCTTCCACATTGCGATCACCAAAGTAGAGACGAGACGCCTCTTCAAGGCCCTCGTGCCACATTTCATGCCACAAAATAGCGACTCGAATCAGTTCTTGGCTGACCATCAGGGCCTGTTCTACGAGCACAGCACTGTGCATACGCATGCGGTCCATAATGACAAAGGTGGCTCTTCGACGAGGGACACTCTGAGACTTGGAAGCGACGGTCAAGGAATAGACAAGGGCTTGAGGATGCTCACGGCCAATATCCGTCAGCAGCTGGTGAATCAACAGACGCACGGTTGCGTTGGGAGCATGAATACGCGCAATCAGTTGAGGAATGACTTGCAACCAGACATCAATACTGATGGTGCCAAAACCTTCGCCGATAGCAGCGCTGACTTCTGCCTGATAGCCATACTTGAACCACAGTGTCAAGAGACGCAATGTGTCTTGCAGCGAGTTTTCCTTGGACAAGGCAATGGATCTAAAGAAACCTTGCACTGCAGGTACAATGTGATGGTTGAAGATTTGTGCAGGTAGTTGATCTGGATGAAGTCGTTCGTGGTAATCAATGATGTCAAAGTTAGCCAGTGCCCATGAGTGCCATGCCTTGTACCAGTTTTGATCAAAGCGAGTTGCCAGCAGGAAAGAACACAAAATCTCGGGGATAGTCTCCTGGGAGAGCTCATAAGACAGTGCACGTTGCCATTCGCCTTGACGCAAATAGCATCGACTCAGTAGACGCGTGTATTCAGCAACATCGTCCGTGATACGACTGGGATCAATGGGCATACTAACCGCCATTTCATCTGGATTCAAGCCAAGGTCTTGTGTCTTTTGAGCAGTGAAATCACGCAAAATACTCAGAGCTCTGGCACGGATGGCAGGGGCTCTTTCAGCGGGTGCAATCGAAGCAGAATCCCACATGTGCTTCAGCTGAGCATACACAATCTTGGGATGAGGCGTGCCTGAACCATCGCCGTCAGCTTCCATCAGACTACGCAACGTCTTTTCAGACAGAGAGAAACGGCCACTCTTGCGACACAGATTGGCAAACTTGATCCACATTTCCATGTCTTCTTGAGGCGAGATCACCATGGTTCTGACACGAAGAATGCGTTGCCAGACCTCCACATTGCGCTCACAGCCCTCCAAACGCTTGACCCAGGTACGTCTGATTTCTCCTTGTCGCTCAATGTCGTTGGCTGATTGCTTGTAAATGATCATCTCCTCCAATTCAGCCAACATTTGCACGCGCACTACAGTGGCATAGGCACGGTTGTAACTCTCGCCCAACAGAGCCGTCAGTTCAGTATCCAGCAAATCACGCGTCTTGTCAATGAACTTTTCTGCTTCTGCGTATCTGTTGCGATGCATGGCTAGAATGGCACGGAAAAAGGTGCGATCAGGGCTCTCTGTTTTCAAGAGTGCAATGTACTCCTCCATCTGTTCCCATTGACCTTGACCCCACGCAGCAGCAGCAGCAAAGGGCGCCATACTCTTGCGGTTATCCAGTGGTGCGTGAATCCATTTCTCTTGCGCCAGCGCAGAAAGCTGATCCCACTCACCCAGCGCATGCAGACATCGCATACGACCCAGCGTGATCTCCATGGAATTGGGGTTCTCTAATTGTTGTGCTTCATAAGCGTCCAAAGCATCTTGGTATCTGTGCAGCTTCTCAAACCAAGACACTCTGCGTTCCAGACCCAACGAGTCTTGAGCAAATGTCAGGATACCCATTGCTGCGTCAGGCTGTTGCAAGAGGTTGTTGATGGACATGAGCATCTCGACTGCTTCAAATGATTGCTCAATGTGGAACTCAGTTTCCTTGTAGTGCAGGGCTTTGGCATAGGCGTGGCACTTTTGAGCATAGACAGCCAAGGTGCGGATATCAATGGGCAGCATCTTGTTGTCGTGTTCCATGAATTCAGCCAAATGCAGCAAAATCTGAATGATCTCTGGTGGGATATTGGGCGCTTTGAGAGCCACTTCGAGCGATTTGACGAGCTCATCCACGTATTGATCGTACAGCTCGTTCCAGCAAGAGACAAAGGCAGCGTTAAACAGCTCGCGAGCAAGAGGTGTGTATACAGACGCTAAAAAGACACAGGCACGGAGCGCGTGTGAGGGCGATTGCTTGAGTAGCTCTACACTCAATCGACGAATCCATTCCATCCAATCCTCTCGCGTAGATCGTTGTGATGCCTCCCAGGCCTTTTTGAGATGCTGTTGATTGACAGGTTGTTTCTTGGCCGCACTTTGATCTACGGAAGGTGTTTCGTCGCCCTTGGCGTCTCTGTCGTCAAATGCCTTGCCCAGCTCCTGAGGCAGATTCTCGCCCTTGAGCAGCTTTCCAATCAGCAGCTCATAGTTGGCATGTGAGATGCGATGGCGTGTCAGCACTTTGTTGATCACAGGGATAAACTTGGTATAGTCGGTGCCCAGTTGAAAGACAAGGGCACACAATAGATCCATGGCGACGTTTCTGGCTTCCATTGGCAGCACCGGCAGCACACGCGCCAGAGGGTGAATGATGCGAGAGGCATAGTCAAACATGTTGACCTTTTTGCAGAGCGCTGTGATGGTGGAAATGGCTTGACGACGCACAGAAACAGGCGCATCAGGCTTTTCAAAGAATTTGACAACAGCAGGGATCACCAAATGCATGTATTCCTCAATATTGGCACCAAACACAACAAAGGCGTGCAACACTTTGATGGTAGGCAGTCTTCGGTCAGTATCATCGCTGTCAAAGATTTGCAGCATGTGAGGCAGCAAGCGAGGCAAGTAGACCTTGAGTTCACCGTCCAATGCCTTGGCAATGGCTTCAATCAGCGAGATGATGGTGATTTGAATCGTGGATAAAGGTGTCCAGTAGTCGTCAATCAAGTCAAAAATGTCCTTAAGGTAGTTTCGAATATGCTGCTTGACAATGGACACTAAATCGCCCAGTTTGTGAAAGTAGAGTTCCAGCATGTTGGAGGACGATGTGCGCATCAGAGACAGGAATCCAGGAATCACCAAGGGCAAGAACTGCACAACTTTGAGGCCCAGTGTCTTGAAGATGAACATGATGGCATCAATCACAGCGTAGTGGTGTTGGCTCAGCGAGGGATCTCTTAGAATCTTCATCAGTGAATGCATCACCACTTGTGGGTAGTAGTCTTCAGATGAGGGTCCAATGCCCATCATGAGCAGCGTCACATCGTTGCTTGCCAACTTGGGATCAGCCAATTCCTCACTGGAGTTACCAATGGCATTCATCTGTAGTGTAGAGGGTCAGTATATACATGACCTGTTACGCTGACAGTGGCACACTTACCTTGTGTTTGTAGGGATCCAGGGCACCAAGAATACCCATCAATTTGACCGTTTCTCTTCTGATGGTGGGGTTTTGCTCCGTCTTCATAATGTTGATGAGAATATTCAACAGCGCTGGATACTTGGTATAAGGCTCAATCACAAAACCTGTGTTGCTGGCCAATTGACCCAATGTCTTGAGAGCAGCATCACGTTTGGCACTGGAGCTCTGATCTTGCAATGTTTCCATGATCAAGGGCATCAGTTCATCTAAATGGGGTCGCATGTCTTCACCACTGACAGCAGCCAATTCACCCAACGCACCCAACACAGCAGACACGACACCCGTGGAAGGATCTCTTGCTTTTGGTAGCAATACTTTAAGCACAGGTTCAATGTAGGGCTTTGTGAGTCGCTGAGCTGCTCTGACCAACAAGGACACCAAACGAGCTGATTCCTCCTTTTGTCGACTCACCACGGAATACTCCAACTCTGTCAATAGCTGAATCAATGTCTTTCTCAGCGATGGCATGACATAGGCTGGATTGAAGGTGGTCAATCGGCCAATGATGGTAATGGATATCTCTCGAATAGCGAATACTTCATCATTGAGAGCGATAAAGAGCGACCTGACATTATCTGCTTGTGCTAAATGACGATCAAAGCGCACATCCAGCGACGACAACACGGTTTCTCGAATCACGGGATCTGGATCTGCGATACCGACTGTCAGTAGCTTCTCCAGCACTTCACCCACGACTTTGATGGCGTGCGCACTGGTCTGGTTACAGATGGGATCACGCACAAACAACTGGCTGCAAGTAACGGCAGCTGCTTTTCTAATCTCGGGAAGATCGTCGTCCAAATAATTCACAATGCAATCGCGCACAAATTCGTTTAGTACGTGGTTGGAGAAATCAAAGGAGCCCAATGTCGTCAATGCAAGCACAATGGTGTCGTTGTCTTTTCCATCGCCTAATCCATTTTCTCGCAGTGGTCGCTCAACGGTCTGAATGATGGTGCGGTTGGTAGGTGCTCCAGGCTGTTTGTATGGCTGTCCACTGATGGTGATGGAAATGACATTTAGCAAGCGCTCTATAGCAGGAGAAAAAGTGAGTGAGCTGCCTTTGTTTTTCTTATAGAGATATTACCTTGGATCACAGGTGATAATGGCTTGATACGATCTGCAATATTGCTCAATGCTGCCACTAATGGCTCGGATAAGCCACAGTGAAACATGAGGTCCAACAGATCATGCAAATACTTGGTCAATGCCTGTCCAACAGCAGTAGCCAACATGCTGATACATGTAAAGATGGCTGATTCGTTTTCCTTTCTCTGACGTCTGGCATTGAGGCAATGTCAGTCATTTGCCATGTTATACGATTCTTGTGGTATATACATACCCTTTCATCATTAATGCTTCTTTGATACACGTTAGAGTGGCATCCAAATAAGGACTCATGTTGCTCTTGACTTGAATAGCGACTTGTCCAATGGCGATAAAGGCTATCAAAAATCGCATTGAGGAAACTTGCACATTCATCAGCCAACATGAGTATACCTACCATCTCTCTTTTCGTTGCTCTTACGAAGCAAGTTGAGCAAATGACTCATGGATTTGTGCAAATAGAGTTCGGAAAATGTTGCTGGATCATAGCATGCGAGTGTTGGAATGATGGATACTACAGTCTTTCGAATCAACGCATCACGAGCATCTTTTAAGCGCAATGTGATATCGCACACATCTTTGTACATGTCTGTCATGAACTATGCCACTGTTGTGAGTACCCTTCCCATCCGACACAGATTACCTCGCACACTTACCATGCCAGCATGTAACAAAAGCTCTCTCATCGCCAATAAACTACCGTGCGTAGCTTCTGGACTATTCATGCGCAACCCACGATTCACTTCCTCCCAAATTCGAGCATACCACGTCTTTCGCATGGGTGTTTCACGCTGCTGTACGATTTCCAAACACTGTGAAAGACAATCAGCTGCATACTCACGAATGACATTTCTCGAATCTCTTAATGCCACCCAGATGAGGTCCAGGATACGAGGCACATATGCATAAATTAACGTGGGTGCGTTTACTGCTAATTCCCTCAGCACCAAGACGGCTGCTAAACGACTGCGATCCCCTTGAAGCCATTCCAGTGCATGCTCGACTTGTGTATCCACTAAATCCGCAGTGAAGGCTGATGAACTGACGGCTAAGCGACCTAACGCTTTTGCAGCTGGGACCATGATTTGTTGATCATGATGGGGTAACATGTGTTGAAGATAATTATGGAAACGTGTAGCATTGCTTTCTGGCTCTGACCCAATTAAACGGTCTATGTAGTTATGATTTAGTCTTTGTATCTGTCTCTCTGTTTTGTTTGCACGATAACATACCTATACCAATGATGGCGCCCAGTTTCTCATTGTTGTCATTTCCATGAGTCCAGTCAAAGAATCGTTTGTTGATGTCGTTTGTAAAGCGGACGAGGTTCTCTTCTGATAGCTCTCTTGAAGCCGTTGCTGCCTATTGTACATCATTCATGAGTCTTCAGAGTGTATAAAACAAATAAGTTGTATCCTTACTGTTTCACGAAGTTCATCTGCTGCTTTTATACGTCTATCTTCGTGTCTAGTAGTATCCTAGGTTTAGTAAACCAGCCCACAGCTCTCTCTCTCTCTCTCTCTCTCTCTCTCTTGTACTCTATTTACTTTGATTTAAGTTCACTGAATATTCTGTTCAGGTTTTCCTGAGAGTTGAGCATAGCAACTGTGGCCATATTGAATAATGTGTGGATGGATACTGTTGTTGTGTCTGTTGCTCGTTTGTTTGTGTTTCTTTTTTGATAATAGTTGAAGAAATAGATGAAGAATTAATGTAACAAGTTAAATCAAGGAATAAATTGACCCCTCCTCCAGCAACAATAACAAGGGTATAGTGTCTCTTGTAAATATCCTTTCGTTTATGAAATGGAAGAAGAAGAAAAAAAGTGCTTACACATACAAAAGAAAGGACTTGTATTTCGGGTTGAACAGACCAATGGACGTTTATTTGAGATGGTCAACAAGCTTGATCTTTTAGATCTCCTTTTACATTTAAAGAGATAAAACGACGTTTTTGCATAATCCATGCACTTTTAGTGAGTCTTTCATGAATTACACTGTGTGGCCTTGGAAGAGATGGGAGGGCATGCTGTGCTTTGGACATTGGATAGCAAAATCATGAATTAAAAAAGCAGCCTGACATACAGCGTGAAACAAGGAATGAGTGGATATAGTAAAATTTATTTAAAGCTATTGGACTCTATCCTTGTTGCGAGCAAGGTATTCTTCAACTGTTTCTGGCTTTCTACCTAAAAGAATTTCAATGATGGGTGTGACGGACTGATTGCTCTCCAATCCAGCATGGGTCTGTCAGATCCAGGGCCAAGTTATGAGGAACCCAGCCAGTAGCTAACAAATTGTTGTATGATTCAGTAGCACTGATTTGTTGGTATTTCACTTGGGTTCCAGTAACACGAGAAAGAGATTCCACCAACTGACCAGAAGTGATCACTTCTCCCGTAAGACTTTATACTGCGTCAGCATGCTTGGCGGCATCTTCACGCAGAATAGTAGCAGCGACAACTCCAATGTCGTTGGGAGATATGTAGCCCTTTTGGAAATCAATAGGGGCCGTGGTCAAGAGAGCCTTGTTGGCGACAGGACGATGATCACGAATGATGTTGCTTGCAAACCAAGCAGGACGAAGCGTGACAAAGTGTCCACGATTGGGAATATCAAAGATGGCCTTTTCAGCATAATAGTGGACTGATCCGATTGTGCTTGCTCTCCAACCGAGATTTACAGCAGAAGTAGAGATATCGACGACTTGCTTGACACCAGCTTCATAAGCGTATGTTGCGATCGTCTTCTTAATGTAGACAGTAGTATCCAGACCTTGAGCCAAAAGTAAGAGACGAGAGTGTCCCTTGGTACCTTCCTTAATAGGACTCAAATCACTGAAATCGCCTTCCACGACCTTGAGCAAATCACCAGTGTCAGGGAACACAGTAGATACCTTGGCCACGTTGCGAGAGAATACAGTGACAGGGACTTGGTACTTGAGCAACGCCTTGACAGCGGCAGATCCGACATTGCCATTAAATCCGATCACGAAGACACTTTCATTTGTTGTAGTAGAGGACATTTTGGTTTTTGTTGTTTTTGAGTAAATTCTTTGATATAGATAAAATGAAATGGATCGATGAATTGGTCTCTATTTAGATGGGTTTAGCAGTAAAGCACAATACATAACTTATATACACAACATCCCCGTTTGAGAACGTTACGAATGCAAATTATCTCGATTAAGCTACATGCGGAAAAAGGGCACAGTCGTGAGGTCCGTGTAAAGCGCATCAGTTGATGAGGACAACTAACCTGGAGTAACTTGAAAGATTGCAATCCAAGATGCAGATTGCGTTTGGCTTGAATTTGGAGATAATCGTCATATCTGCAAACATGGTAAATATCTTGATTACCGATCAACTTTGGAGCTCGTTTACTGCTCAAGGCCTCAAAAGTCCAGATCTGTGTACTATACAAAACGAAAGGCTTAGTGCACAGGGGATCTTAGAGAATTGCCTATAAGAAAATGGTACCATTCTTGATGAATCAACTTAATAGGGCTTACTGCACTCTTGATTTTTATGAAACGTTTTATTGCTTGGATCTCCACGGTGTAACTCTTCAGGGGCCTTTCGGAATACATTATAACGAGCCACCTAAACGTGGGTTGGCTTCCACCAAAGTGAAGCATATGTCAGGAAACCAACCGAAGAGTCGAAATGCTCATCGTAACATAATAAATTTATGGCCCCTAGACACTTTCAAAGCCCAAAAAGGAAAAAAAAAGTTGATCTAACCAGTATTTCGATAGAGAGGCTATGTAATCTGCCACCTACTTTCCGTATGCTTTAAAGGCATCTATTATTGTATTGCCTTCACAATAGAAAGGGCATTGAGTCTGCCAGCCCGACTCAACTAGCCAAAATTAATTCAAGCCCAGAATCATAGTCCTTTCTAGATTGGTCAAATCTCACTAATCTTCGACTTGATCGAACTATGTTTCCAGATTCGACTATATAAAATATGATAATTACCCCATGCTCCTTTAAGCTTTCTTGGAGTACTTTTCAAGGCGCATCCAATGGTACAAAGCAAGATAAATGTTTTGAATAAACTTATTGAGCAAGTTCAGAAAATATGAAATAAGGTTTCTGGCCAAAAAGTCGAAAATTTGCATATAAAGATCCCACAAAGATGATTTTAGAGGTTGCATTGGATCGATAGAAACATTTTGATTTGCTATATACCATATTAAAAGTCTTCATTATCAAGGAGAAAAACGCGATCGTTTGATTTTCAATGAAAAGCATGAGGGGTACCTCATGCTTTTTAGTCGAATTTTGGCCATGATTTTTTGGTACCCAAAAAGTTAAGCAAAGGTGCCAGGAAGTTGGTACTAGATGAGAGCAACACTTTGTTGCTATTCTGGCTGGTGTAAATCACTTCTAACGCGAGAAAGTACAGCTCAAATGCATTCATATTTCGCTGTGTTTTGCATACATTCAAGTAATTAAGGGCAATATAAGTATTATATCAGTTCTCATACACATTGTTCTCGTCAATACAGACGTGGAGCATCGAATAAAAGCCACATCCACAGTTGCAGGTCGTTTATTGAGATTGTCACCTGATAATCAAAGGTGTCGAAAAGTAATTTAATGATATATGTTGAGGGTAGGATGCCCGTATCCCCATCAGGTCGTGCATTCTCGATCTTTCGCGAAAGTGGCGTGTGATAATTCCGATAATTGCGTAAGGATATGACGTTTTTGTGAAACTAGTATGCAGTGTGCTCTCGTCTTGTTGGTTTACATGTATACATGCTTCTGATGAAAGGCTTGTAGCATTGTAAGGCTGTGATGAAGTAATACACAGTCGGATCAAATAGAATAAGGTAAAACATAGCTAGCATGTTCGAGAAGGTAGTTGGAGGTAACACGCTGTGATGGAGGTGTTATTTTTAGCATGAAACCTGCTTACTTGCACAACCCAAACACGATAAAAAGAACCGAGTTATATTGGATTTTTCTTTCATTTCCATCTCTTTTGCTTTCATACAACTTTTTTTCAAAAAAAAACAAGCATGTCGACTATAGTATTATCAGAAGACAACCTCACTTTGGATGACTTTCTCCAGCTCCAATCCTTGTTGAATCATGAACAAGGTGAATGTGAGAAGCATATTGAAGCGTGCCAGCAGCACCAACAGCAACAGCAACAACAACATCACCATAAACCTCACGTCCATCCTGTCCACCATCACCATGCTCGCCCTGTCAAGTTCCGTCGTGCCATCAGCTCTGAAGCAGCGCATGAATCTCAACAGGAGAAGCAGCGTCTTGCTCAAGCTTTACTGACATTGCAGTATCTCAAGGACCAATACAGACGCCAACGCGCCGCAGAAATCCAAGCTTACCTCAATGAATATCGTCGTCAAGCTTTGATTAGTAGTATCTTGCGAGAAGAGGAAGAAAGATATTATCGTCAATGCATCGCAGCTGCTTTGGAGCAGCGACGTGTAAATCTACTCTGGCAACAATTTGTGGAGGCCAAGAAGCAAGAGACGTTACTTCAGCAACTGCAAAAGCAAGAATTGTGCGAGCAGTTGGAGCAGCAACAGCAAGAGCAGGTGCGCGAAGAAGAAGAAGAAGAAGAAGAAGAAGAGGATGAGGAGGAAGAGGAGCAAGATGATGATGGCTACTCGGAATATCACTCTCAACAATTGGCTAATCTGTTGAAGCAAATATTTGCTCAGCAACAGCAGCAGCAACAGAAGGAATCAGACGAAACAATGTCTCCATCTCCCGCTCCCGTGCCCGCCGCCAATGTCAACGTTAACAGCAAGTCGAAAGACGATGAGCAAAAGTCCATGGCAGAGGTTTGGAAATACCTTAATGAACAAAAGGCCGACTCCGAAACGCCTCGAAATGCATTTTTGTCCTCAGAGCAAGACCGGGTATTAGGCTCCGGTGAGGCGTCACCACACCAAGAAGAGCAGACTGTGGAAACGAATCCACAAGATGAGCAACAGGAAGCAGAATCTATTGGTAGCCCTGCATCTGTCTTATCGGATGAAGATCAAATTAAGGCACTACCCCCTTTGCAAGATCATGTGGTGACATTGCAAGACTTGATCCAAAAGCTAGCCGCAGAGCCTGTCCTTGTGGGTGAGGAATACAACAAATTCGATGCTCCTCCCGCTCCATCTTTGAGCAAGGACGTGCCTTTGAAGGAACGCACCCTGCCTACACCTCTTGATACTGGCAAGGCCACTGCAAACGACACAGCAGCAGCAGCAGCAGCAGCAGAAACAGCAGACCACGGCAAGGACAAGAAGGATGTAGAAGAAGACAAGGCAGAGAAGCCATTTTTGCCTCAGCACATCTTCACCGAAGCTGAGCCTACCCCTACACTGGAAAATATGCCCAATACACCACTGGACAACGCATCTATCAAGGATGAGTCTCATTTTGCTGATACAATTGCAGCTGAGCAACAGAATCAAGAAATACCAGCTGATCCACGCAAAGACAAGGCCAACGAGGAATTGGATCATATCTCTGACCAATTGTCTCATAACAGTGATCTTGTCCAACGCTGGAACTCAGTGTTATCACATGCAAGCAACCTTAGCTTTAGTAAACAGCCTGAAGGTACATTACTGTTGACTGCATCTACAGATGCTAATCGTCAATTCTTGGGATCTGAGGACGAAATCATGCGGGTAATGCTAAAATTGGATTCGATTGATTCATTTGGAGACGACGACATTCGACAAAAGAGAAAGAAGCTTGTCAAGAAATGTGAACACATGTTGGAGGAATTGGATCAAGTCAAGAAAACTCAATGGGAAAAAGTTGTTTCCTCCAATAAACAGGGCCACACCAATCGTCGCCGCCGCAATAAGAAGAAGAAGCATCACAGAAAATAAGGGTATATTTGCTCATCTTGGAACCAGACTCGGTTTTTTTTTCCTCGAATTACTATATATACTTAACAAACAAATTTTTTCTTTGGTTTCTTTTTTCTCTTTTCTGTAATAAAACCATGCCTCTTTTGAAAAAATTGCCTTATGCCTTGTCTCATTTCCTAGGCTACAGAGGACCAGATCATGATTTGAAGAAGATCCCTGTTTGGAGAATTTATTTTTGGTGCTTCATTGCCTCCTGGCTGGGCATTGCAGTGGTCGAGGTCATTTTTGCTTACGGCCCCTCATTTCAAGCCCACAATACACCCATGATTGTCGCATCATTTGTGAGTGTCTGACAAATGTTTGCATGGTCGACAATGGAAACTAACCTCGTTTTAGGGCGCTACAGCAGTGTTAGTATACGGTGTGATAGAATCACCCTTGGCACAACCTAGAAACGTTATCGGTGGTCATATCATTGGAGCACTGACAGGTGTAATCATTTCGCAGTTGTTTTTGGGCATTCAAAAGAACTGGGCATCAGAGGGTCAGTACACTGCTGTGCAGTGGGTGGGTGGTGCTACAGCCATGGCCATCTCATTATTAATAATGCAAATCACCAAATGTGTGCATCCTCCAGGCGGTGCGACGGCTGTGATCCCAGTAACGACACCTTCTTTTCTCGAGATCAAATGGTTTTACATTGGCGTCGTAGTCTTATCTGCTGTCATCCAGGTGTTTTTTGCCTGCTTAATCAACAACATAGATAGAAGATACCCAGTGTATTGGTGGGCACCAAGCGAATTACCCATCAAAGTGAATCCAACAGAATTAACCGCAGTTTTATCCCTTCCAACATCAGCGCATGGGCCAGAAGATGTGGTAGCCGACAATTTGACAGTAGCAGAAGAAAGCAGATTAAACTCGTCAACAGATAACGATAACGATAAAAACAATGGCAACAAAGTCGCACGAAAGTACCACAACTCCTCCTCATCCTCCTCCTCTCTCACTGCATATGAAAAGAACATTACTGTAGATCAGGCCATTTTCGCATTACAAAAACACGCACAACACTCAGATACCAAGTACATATTATTCACCTCCAATGCCTTAGTTCATTCTCCTGGATTATCATTAACAGATAGTGAAAAACAATCCTTGGAAACAGTAATGCATAGATTAAATCCTCAATAATAAAAAGTTTATTTAGTTTGACCTTGTAAAGTAACGACAACACGACGCGAGCCACCAGAGTTGCGATGTTCACACAAGTAGATACTATGGGAAAAAGGAGGGGTTACTATATCAACGGATGCATGAATGAGAGAAGAATGCTTTACCCTTGCCAGGTGCCCAAATTGAGTTTGCCATTTGTGATAGGGATGTTCAAGGATACACCAACAATGCCAGATTTTAAATGTCCAGGCTATACGTATACATTATTGGCGTGTCAGAAGATAGAAAAAGGATCAGGCCCTCTGTCCACTTACCATATCATCAGGACCCTCGGCTGTGTGAATGTAAGGGAAGGTCTCTGGTACAATCTTATTCAAACCCATTTCCATGTCTTTTTGTACATCAGAATCGTAATTTTCATTGATCATCAATGAAGCAGAGGTGTGTTGTACTTTTGATTGTTGGTAACTAGAGACAGGAGTGTAACATGTGCTTTATCAACTTACAAAAGACATTGGCCATGCCGATTTTATAGTTTTTCAATTCAGGTAGTTGACCTACGATCTCCTTGTGAACCAAATGACAGCCTTTTTTCTCCAAGGTGTTAGAAGCGCGATTCATTTCGAGCATGCCGGGCTACTGCTTTATTACCTCTTCTACGCTCATTTAAGCGAATTTCCTTTTGAACCCAAGACATGTTGTATATGTAATATAAGTAAAAAAAATACAGAAGAAAGCGTAAAGAACAACTCGCAAACTAGCTAGTAGTGCCAACACCCTTGAGTGACCGAGGATTTCAACGTCATTTCACCATCAATCTCCAAATTTTCCTGGGTTCACTTGGCAAGCTTCCTTTCTCGGTAAATATCCCTTATTTGAGACGATTTGAGGTTACCTGGATTCCCAAAATGTCATAAATTTACCATTAATCGAACGGGAAAGAACTTTCCCGTAATAGGGTATATAACATCCATCTTTACTTGTAGATTTTCCTCTTCTTTTTCTACCTTTTCCTCCTGCTCTACCTTTTTTAATACTAGACATGTCCTGCTCTTACCGATTCATGGATTCATCATTGCCGCAATTGCCCAACGATAGGTTAGCATATAAGATATAGTTCACATGGATACAAACGGCGAAACTGAAACCGTATCTTCTTCAGGGACTATGATATTATATTAAGGCAACAGCCAGCAAGAGCTAAAATCAGCGTGCCAAATGAAAGAGATAAAAGATCCATAGAGCCACCACCCATTGTACAAATGCAATGGATCAATTTCTCAGACGAAGAGAAAAAGTAAATGACATTGGGAAAATACCAAACTTGGATAAATTATAGTAACAAAACTACACCTAGACAATCACTGCAGAGTCCATTCTACTTTGTCATGGTGAACATTGTTCATGCTGAAGCGCCAGATACAGCAAGCCCATTACCTACTAGAGAGTACTTGTCAGGTGCCACGGTATCCTCATTGTACAGACTACGAGACATTGATAACACAGACGGCGGATTCTTTGTATTTGGCGATTTAGCAGTGAGAAAGCAAGGTTACTTTCGACTTTATTTTAGTCTTTTTGAAATGATAGAGTAAGAGAAGATTTCAATTACTTGTGTGTAACAAGTTTTTCTAATTAGATGCTTAAAAATAGTGGTATAGTTGAAAATCGCAAGAATATTTTATCCAATGCCTTTATGGTGTACACAACAAAGCAATATCCAGGCCCAATGGAGTCTACATTTCTGTCTCGTGTATTCTCAGATCAAGGTGTCAAGATCAGAGTGAGAAAGAATCATCAATTATCAACAACATCCACATCAACGATATCGCCATCATCATTCAAAAAGAAAAGGTAAGGATATATATTTATACATTATATCCTAAAAGAGTAAAAATTCAATTTTATGGTTTGTAGTAGGACCAACGTTGCGGCTGTAGCACGTAAACGGAAACATGATAACGACACAAGTATTTGTCATCAACCCCTAAAGAAAGAAGTCTTATCACCACCCTCCTATGCATCTGATAACGTTGTGCATTTTGGCAGATGGCAATCCTCGCTCTACAAATGCAAATCAACGCCTTTACCAAACAGCAGCATGACTACAAACAATGACCATGCCAGCAATACCCCTCCTTCACCTTCCATGACCTCATCTCCAACCCTTTCCACTTGTTCATCATCAAACAATAACATCTATTTACCCCCTATTTCACAACTATCCTCTTGTAACATAACACCTATAGCTGCCCCTCCTTTCTATCAACTACCACCACTACGAGAAATTATGAACAATAAGCATTCAGGTGAAGCCTATACTTCTTTTCCAATTGACACTTCATTCTTCAAATAAACAGACATGAATCACATGGGAAAATCTTTAATGATTATCAATTTGTGCGATGTCCCCCCCCCCTTTGTAAACTTTTACATTTCGTACTTTAGTTAGCATATGACAAGATCTACATTTCATCAGCGTGCTTCTTGGCATACAATGGTGGAATCCATCTACCCTTGTAATTTAAATGATATCACGGCCATTTCAGGCACCAAATGTGATTTTTGCGGCGATGCAAGTACCCTGAATCATGCTTCAGGAAGGTTATGCACTTGAGCTTTAGAGAATCAAATCACAGGTTTTTGGCAAATAAGTAACAGCGAATTTATTGTTTAGCACCACTCATACGTTGGTTGGGCTTTTGCGATTACTTGATATTAGAGACGTTGTATCAAACGGTCTGTTAGAAGCCCTACGCATACAAAGGTGTGCCGTCTCTCTTTTACGGCCGGGAAATCACAAGAAATTGATAATATTATAAGCTTTGGGCTATTCTTGCACGCAAATGCATCTCTCTAGAAAGACAAATTGTTTGTTATACCTCTCGGCTTCAAGCGAAGATGATAGCTCGTTATTTTCGCTTCTTTAAGCTGTTGATCAAAGCTGGACTTAGTGCAACATTGAGAGAAAACGCATATTACAATAAGGATGTGAGATAGGCTTCCAGAAAGGGATAATACAGCGCATGACCCACTGTGCTCTTGGCCTTTTTTTATAGTTTAAATATCGCGATCTACGTATAACTAACTCTATAACATCCAGGATTGCAGAATAATGCAAACTCATTTATTCAAGTGTGTGCATTTTTGGCGTCTTTACAAGCAGCATATTTAGCGCATATTTGGCCTTACAAAGATGCTGCTTAGGCCGTAATCATCGCTACAAGACTATATTGCTGACATGGGTGATCTAATGTATATATATACAACGGTTTCAAACATGAGCGAATTAATGGAGAATTGATCCTGGATGCTATTTGGGATGAATTGATTGGGTAACGTGTTTAATTGTGACCATGTAGGCAGATGGGTTAATGCTTCGAGATATTCAGTAATTATACAAACAAAGAAAAGGCTCCTTTATCATTCTTTTCCTTCAATACAACCAAGTCGTGGTAAAAGCAACTAGCAAGACACGATGGAAGACATAATCGATAAGGAAATTACAGTGCTTGTCCGATCCCCGTCTCTCAACGAGACATTGGAAGTGAAAACCACCTTAAATGCCACTATACTGACACTCAAGAAGTCGATTGAACCTGTTCATCCTCACCACCCCAAATCAGCCAACCAACGCATTATCTACAGTGGAAAGCTTCTGAAGGATACTGATATATTGGCTGACATCTTGAAAAAGAGTGACGAGGAGGTTACTCCCACCTTTCATCTTGTGGTTAAACCGTCCATTGACGCTGTTACTTCCAATTCTCGTGCCCACACACCTACTTCTCATCCTTCTTTTCCTCAAGCCTCTACTTCAACGTCTTCTACAAGTACATTTTTCTCAGATAGAGCACCTCAAAGCTCCAACTTTCAAATGCCACAGTACCAGCAACAACAACAACAACAACAGCAGCAGCAGCAACAACCAATGTATCCATCCTCGTTGCCTGGAGGTTATCAAGTTGTGTCTATAAAGTAAGAATTCCTTCTGTAACAAGGTGTAGAGCAAACAACTCATATGCGATTTCTTATGTAGTGGGCAATACTATCTGGCGCCAACGCTAGTCCTTTCTCAAAACCTATCACCTCAGCAATTTCACAATACCCAAATGCCATTACCACACGCTCAACCCCCAGTGTATCAGCAGCAAGCAGATGCCAATGCATTTGTATCTCCCCAATTTCCACCACAAGCACAGCAGCAGCAGCAACACAATGTACAAGAGCCTATCGTTCAGCCTTACCTTAATCAGCTTCCTCAGCAGCAACAACCACAGCAGAATAACCCACTTTTTAGAAGAAATGGGCCTGTTCTTGCTCAACCAGCTATTGCGCAACGAGCAACATCCATTTGGCTTGCATTGAAGCTCATTGTTGTGTTATTTATGCTGTGCCAAGGAGCAAGCATCGAGCGCATCTTTGTCTTTCATGCAATTGCATTTGTCTTCTTTTTGTATCAAACGGGTAGATTGAGATTTGTGCTGCGTCGAGTTCGAGTAGAGGACTTTAACAGATTTAGACCTGGTGGCGGTGGTAATGGAGAAGGATTGCAAAGACCAGCTGGTGCGCCTCGTGGTAATGGCAATCCCCATGTCGACGGCAACCCAGAAGGCACCTCTACTTCGGTCAATAACAACAGCGACAACTTGACGCAGAGAAGACAGGATGGTGGAGAAGGGTCTGGATCAAGCCAGGGCAATGCTTCTGGTTCAAGTGCGACAACTGGCACCGCTGCTCAAACACCTGCCAGACCCCTTACGGCTTTGGACGTCTGGAAACGAGGAGCCTATACATTTTTTGCTTCATTATGGCCTACGTATGGCGTTGATCCCCAGATTGCTCAGGCATTTCAGAATGAGAATAACAACAACGATCAAGAGTAATAAAGAATTCTAGAATGTGATGAAACAATGCAGCGGTTAGAGAGCGTGAATTGCCTCTTTGTAGGGGAGGAGGAGGGGGGGGGATTTGACAAGGAGTATGAGTGGAGTTTAGCAACTGCCTTACTTCAATTCGCATCCATGCTTGATTGATGACTTTCTCAAATGATTTGACATGCGTCAAGCAAGCTTGGATCATGCATTGCATTGCTTGTTGCTTGTGGTTGAGGTTCGCATCATCCGATGTCACCAAAAAAGAGAGTCAAAAAGAAGAATGATTAAACGGCCTCCTTTTAGTTTTTTTTTTTTTCTTTCCCTGCATTACCACAAAATCAAACCATGGACACACAGACAAAACCCAACAATAATTTTATACACGAAGAACCAGTACAGGCCAAAAGAAAGCCGATAGCAGAATCCATCAGAAAGAAGCGTAAATTGAAAGAGTTGCAGCACCTGAACAATGATCAGCTCTCATCCTCAGAGGACGACCTTTCCGATATCGATTCAAGCTTGATGTCCAATGACACCACGACAGCCAAACTGAAAAAGATGCACCACAAGAAGAATAAAGCCACAGCAGCAAAGAAAGAGATAAGCCTATCTGACAAATACAAACTAGCAAAAGCACAGCTTCAATACATTTCAAGGGAAAACGAAATGCTATGCGACGAATGGGCCTCCACTGAGAAAATTCTAAAGAAACTGAAAACCGAGAGAAAAGTGCTATTAGACGCACTTGTCAAGAAGAGATACAGGGACGAGGACTGATCCAATAGTTGCAATAAAAAAAAAAGAAGTGCTTTTAATACGATGAAGTTGATATTATGAGGATGTATATTATGTGGGTGTTCTATGTGTGGAGGATTTATGCAGATTTTTCTTGATGGAATTCTTTTGCAAATGTCTCTGCAACAATCAATGGGAAGACAAGCGTGGCATCTGCGTAGATCTTGCAGGATTTGCTATCAGCGCGGATTTTGCCCCAAGAAACAGCCTCATCAGGGCGAGCACCGGCATCACTACCATCGAATTCCTGGCCAGTATTGATGTAGACAGCGTAATCAGCACCGTTTCTCATCAAATTAGCGTTACAAATGTGATGCTTAATCACACCACCACCCAAGATGATCATGCCCGTCTTTTTAGCGAATACAGCTTGGTTGTTCATGGCACGGATATCAGCAGCAATGTCCACAATCAATCCAGGGTTTTTGTAAGAGTGAAAGTAGATCATGTCGCCCAAGGAACCATCCGTGATAGCAGGACAGAACACAGGGATCTTGTTCTTGGAGGTCCAGTAGTAGATGCTGGACTCATCATTGATCTCGTTACCAAGACGCTCAATCATGGTAGAGGGAGTCCAAGTGATGCCTTGTTCCTTTTGCTCCTCCAACATCTTGTCAAAAATAGGGACGACCCAGTCCTCAAACTTACAGTAGTTGTTGTTGGGGACCAGCAAGTTGCCAATACGATTCAGTCCCTTCTTACGGAGATCACTGCCCTTCAATGCAAATTCACCGAGGTAAGTAGGAGCAAGGCATTTGATGAAATCTTCCTCGACACCACCAGCAGAAGCGACAATGACATCGACCATCTTGTGCTGAACCAAAAATCTGATAATCTCACGCAAGCCGGATGACACCAAGTTGGATGTGTAGCCCAAAAAAATCTTACATTTGGTCTTTTTGCGCACTTCAGGGTCGAGGTATTCTGGTGCTTCATCGGGAAGAACTGCTTCATCAGAAAGACGCCATTTTCTCTATTATTACTGTTTAGATGCTTGTTGTAGGGGGGGGGGGGCTGACATCAATTCATCACAGCCTGCTTACCATTTCCTTGATGATTTCCATGGCCTCACCAAGACTACTGCCTTGGTACCCAATTTGCTTGTAAGAGCCTAATAGTTCTGAAAGCGATAACTTCTTGTTGAAATCAGGGCCCTGGATGAGAACAGATCCTTCGGGCATTTCAACGGATTCCACAAAAACTGCATCCAAAGCACCAGTTGGTTGTGCTGCTGCTGTGTTGTTGCTTTCGTTATTCGACATTTGTAACAGTAGTGAAAGCTGGAGAAGAGGAAGATGTCAATTAAAAGTTTTTCGAATTTGATATAAAAACGGTATTGCAGGGAGTCACATTGCTAAAGAGAAACCCGGAGGCCAAATCTGATAAGCACGCTTTGCAATGCAAATAAGGTTGCAGCAGAAGATCTTGCTAATGATTAGAGGCAATGGGCCAAGCTACTAAAAGGTTGAGGTACAATACATGGCTGGTGCTGGGCAGGTTGAGCAAGGAAACATGTATTTGGGTCATGAAGCTTGCTATTATGTACCTGTCAAATGAATCGCATGGAGAGTGACAGCAATCCATCATCAGACGCAGTGGCCTTTCAATGCTTCTTCCTGCCCAAACACAGTACTAAATGACAATAAATGCCTGCTGAATGTAATCTCTCAATTAGCTCGCTTCAAATCACATCGCAAATGAGATGGCGACTGTCTTGATCATTCTGCACATGAGACATCCGTTCTGTTCCAATTCTTCAATTTCAGGTACTGACTAGAGTAAAGAACCTGAGGCACCCAGCTACAGTATCCAACGTTATACTGGCATTGATCTGAACCGAGGACCGACGTGAGCTGCGATGAACCTCTTACCCAAAACTCCATGCATAAATATAACCATTTGCTTATGAAATTCATCTTCTGATGTTGAATCTGTAAAGCGGGATGCGTAAATGCACTTGAGCATGCCACAATTTTGAGTTGTAGAAGGCAAATGTTGATTCAAGATCGGTGTCGGCCAGTCTCTGTCCTGGCTAAAGCTAAAGATCAGTACAAGACATCTATTCTATAGCAATCTTGGCATCTCACTGGAACATCGCATTAGGCCGATCATAGAAGAGGTCAAAGATCATCACTCCAGAAGACATCTCATTTGCGACACTCCTGTTGGTTTCGAAGCGGGGTCAAAGCAGGCATTTTTCAACGACATTTCCAAGCTAAAAGTCGCTCATCGCATCGCATTTCACCTGGATTTTGCAACTGCATGTAGCTGTAGATGCTTGCTATGATCTGAACTCAAGATATATCGAAACATTCAGGGAGATCATTGCGTATAATGATCCTGAACATCGTTTTCGTGACGTTTTCACGGACATCGAACATCTGACATCATCGAACACAGATGTAAAAGGCTTTTTTTCGCAGATTGTTATTTACTTTTCTTCTTCTTCATACCATTAAAAAACTTTTCCCCTTTTTTAACGTACAAAGAGTGAGTATTGACATCATCAAATGATGGATCTTGTATGCAGAGACATGCGTATTAACATTTTGTCTGTTTTATTAGATACATACACAATAAAAAATGAGTGAATACTGGTAAGTTCTTTCAAGCAAATGATTGAAAACGTAATGTCTTGACCAACATCCAAATTTCAGTCCTGTTTATGCACCCTTCTTCGGTACTATGGGTTGTGCCGCCGCTATCGTCTTCAGTTGTAAGTATATCAGCAAACGAAGAGGCATCACATCAGAATGAACAGGTGCAAAAATGTCGCGCTTGTTTACCTCGGTGCCTTTCTCGTTTTAGATGCTATTTTGTTACACGATTTTTTTTCTAACGGTTTCGTTTTGAATGTATATAGGTCTTGGTGCTGCTTATGGTACTGCCAAGTCTGGTGTTGGACTTTCCGCTATGGGTGTCTTGCGTCCTGATTTAGTTTTGAAGTGTATTGTTCCTGTCGTCATGGCTGGTATTTTGGGTATTTATGGTGTCGTCGTATCTGTGCTTTTATCTGGTGGTCGTAAGTGTCATCATCCTTGGATGTTTCAAGATTTGATTTAGCGCGTTTTTTGTATCCTGGTTCCCCATTTCGCTAACACTCTTGTCATCATATGTAGTTGCCATGAAGCAAACCCTTTTCAGTGGTTTCATCCAAATGGCCGCTGGTCTCTCCGTTGGTCTTTCTTGTCTTGCTGGTAAGTTGGAATGATTTGCACATGACATTCTAGTAGCCTAATGTCATCCCATAGCTGGTATCGCCATTGGTATTACTGGTGATGCTGGTGTTCGTGCTACTGCTCAACAACCTAGAATGTTTGTCGGCATGGTAACTATTTAACAAGCAGGGTGTGTGGGATGGTCGATCTGATTTTCTGATTCACTTTCTATAACAGATTTTGATTTTGATTTTCGCTGAAGTCTTGGGTCTTTATGGTCTTATTGTTGCTTTGATTCTCAACACCAAGGCTTCTGGTCAAGAGAATGTCTGTATCTAAGTTGGTTGTATAAACGATAAAGAGAAAAAAGTAAAATAACGAAAGCAAAGAGAATAGAAGAAGAAAAAGAAAATTTGGAGTTCTTTATATTCCCCTTTCTTTATTATTTTAACTATCATTACATATAGTTTATTCCTCACTCCCTTCATCTCCATCCATATATCGATTAAAGCTTTTAAAAATGACACGCCAGATCAGTTATAATGTTGATCTTAATCGCGCAACATGTAATGTATAGTATATTTAGTGCTGAATGGACATGATTCTACTAACAGAGGACGTGTTCACGACTTTCCTTTGAATCAGTAACTTAATACAAAATAATGTCTTGTAACTGTTTTGGTGTTGCACTGCAGTGAGAGTTCGCAGAGTTGATTACTCACACAGCACAGTCATGGCATTGGAGCTGCATCTTCATAAAGCTTATTTAGCGAAGATGCACCTGCAACCTTTGACTAGTTTTCTTTTGCTCCTTTTTGTACGAAAATATACGTATATCTCTCTTTGTATCTTTTTTTTTTTTACTATAATAATAATGCATAATTTTAAAATAAACGAGTAGAACTGAACTGTATGTAGCACCAGTACTTCGCTGCTAACAAGATATTGTTGTAAAGCAATACAATGAAAATGAACCCAGGCTCTAGTTCTCATGATTAAACGTACGGTCTGTTTTCTACTAGTTTGGGAAATACATTTTGTATCACTTGCTAGTGTGGTATTAATCGATGCGCATTCCAAAAACGGCGAGTTACATGGCTAATACAGTATAACTCTGTTCGGAATAATTTGACAGAGCTTCTGCCTAAACGTCGTAAGATACAGAATTTTGAGAAAAAGCATAATAAAGGCACCATTGATTTGGAACGTATATATGTCACATCATGATAGATCCAAAGTAGAGCTAATAAATGGAGGTTGTTTTTTTTGGAATACGAGACTTTCCCGAGATATGACTAAAATTGTCTTGTTGCAAAATCATTGATTTTTGATGAAAATTTGCCTGTAGTAGCAAGGGAAAAGTTTGGGTGACCTTTTTTTGGTCAGGAAAAGATTGTCAATATTTCATGATAGAGTCATGCCAGAGCTTCGAGCAATAGCTCATTCGATAGGAATTTTTTTGCTCTACAATGTTTAGTAATGCTTAACAAAATGTTTTGATGACAGATACTGATAAATCTTTTGAAAACAGTCAAAAAATCGCAAAAACAATCGCATCAAATATCAGGTGAACAATATACACCAAAGACTTGATATGAATATCATTGTACTCTCCTAGCAATTCTCTACAAGTTTTATATAAGTTTGAAGAGGTGTTTACTATCAAGAAACGCGTACTTTTAAGGTCGATAGATTTTGGAATCCTATGGATCATCATTCAGAACAATAGAAATTGAAGCTCCGTTGACCTTCCACACGTGCATATACCACATATGTATGAATTTGACTGAACAATTTAAAAATCGGAGTGTACGAAAAGGGTCATATTAACTTGCTAGTTTCGTTATCAATAGATACTTGACATGTTGAAGAATCTTGCTGTCGAGACTAGACAACTGTAGCTTGCTTCATTCGATAATAATAAGATTTCCAGTTTAAAGTTGTGTAATCCCTCTGTTGTGCCAGAAGGGCTACAACTGTCTATAAAGATTAAGGTATTCTTGATGGGTAGATATGTCTGTGTTGTGCAACAACATGGACAAGCTATGGTAAGTGAAGTGCATCTCAGTTATCTAAATACTGAGGTTCACCAGATGTGATAAGCGTTGTACAAGATAAATTGCTACTTTGGCATTCAGAACTTAGTATAAATAGAATAACTCTTGTCTTCATCCATAAATCTTTAGTTTTTTTTGTCTGATCTTATTCAAATAAGTCTTTTCCTGTTTTTATAATATCGAACGTTTTTTATAAGCTACAAATAATAATCCTTTTATTCTTTGTGCTTAACAAGCTGGCCTGAGTTTTCGCATTTATATCGTAACTGCTTTATTTGAGCCTTAAAAATGTCACGAACAGCGCTCATCGTATAAAACTTTGCCTTTTATGCAATGAAGCTCCTTTAAGCTATCAATGCGAATTTATATTACTTACGAATTTGACAATGCAGTTTCTCAATTCTTAGTTATACGCCAATTTAGGACTAAATTTAGTAGTTTTCAACCACAAATATCTTCTGTTACAAGCCGTTTTGAGCGCTTAAATTGGCATCAAATGATTGCCCTTGATTACCATTGACTTACTGATGCTTTATCTCAAAAATTTTTGGGTCATTGCAAATCCATGGAAATCCTCATTTTTTCATGTGTACTAGTAAGGGAAAATTCTTGAAAATCAAACGATCGCGTTTTTCGCCCGAAAAATGAAGGTTTTTCTTATAATACATATTAGGCCAAGTTGATCATACAGATGCAATGCAACACTGGAATCTTTCTTTATGAGACTTGTATATGCTAGATTTTGACATATTCACAGAAAAGCTGTTTTCATCTTTTTGAAAACTGCTCGTTATTTTCTGTCTAGAAGCTGAAAGTAATCAGCATCAATCAATGCGCCTTCATTGGCTCTTTATAGATGCATTAGAAAGTAAAGTATAACAATGCCAATTTTAATAGGCAAATTTAGCAAAAACGTTTAAAAAATATGAGATCAAGTCAAATTTGAATAGGAAAATACCCACTGCACAATTTCAAATTAAAGTACAGCAGTTATGACTGCAACCACGGCAGAAGACTGAGACCAAATCTACTGGTCGTGACGTCGCATAGGGCGTCCACTCATTATTCCATACCTCTGTTTTCTACCCTTTTTGCAAAGCGCGTTTATTATCAAACCATGTTGGTTTTGGAACCCTGTTGATTCAGAATAACTCTCTAGCTTCTGATGACACAGTCTTATACTGTTAAAGATACCTGATACTGCTCCTTTGAAGTAGAATATGGTAGGTACCATTCCATAACGAGCACTGGAAGGCGTAGAATTAGCACTAATCGAATTTATTTATTAGGTTTCGATAATTTTTTTGCCGGTTTGACGTGCGTGCTGCGGCCGTTGCTTCTCTCCTATCTCTGCAGTCTGCTTCTTTGGTCTCTGTCTCAAGCGGTTGCATCTTTAATCTTTGCCTGGTCTCTGGTGTCGCTCGTTGGTCGGTTTTTCTATGATGCTGTTGTTCCTTCTGGTGTATCTGCTAGTGTTGCTGCTGGTGCTGCTGTTGGTGTTGTTGATAATCTGGTGTTTCCTGTTCTACTGTCTATTGTATGCTTGTTCTCTGGTATATCTCTGGTGATTGCCCATTCTCTTCTCGTCTATTTGTGTTGGTGATAATTGGCAAGTAACCTCTTTGGTCTTTGTTTGGTCTCTGCTGGTGGTGTTCGTTCTTTGGTCTTTCTACGGTACTGGTGTTGCTGCTGCTGCTGCGAATATGATCTCTCCCGGTCTACTGTCTTTGGTGCCTGCTCGTTCTCTGGTGTCGTTCGTTCTTTAGTTTTTCTATGGTGCTGGTTTTGCTGCTGCTGCTGCTGCTATTCTGGTCTTTGTTGGTCTGCTGTATTTGGTGCATGCTCGTTCTCTGGTCTGTCTCCGGTGATTTCCTATACTCTTCTGGTCTATCTGTGGCTGTGGTAAGTGGTAAGTATCTTTTTTCTTTTGGTTGCGATGATATAAAACTTCTTTGAACGTTTATATTATTGCTTCCTTTCTCATGATAATGCATTCATGATGTTTTCTTTGTTGCGTTTTTTTTTTCTTTTGTTGGTTGTGTTGCCTCTATGGCTTCACATGAATCAACATTAGTCATTATGTTCTATTGCAAACTTATAATACTACTGTTACTTTTGCAGTTGTGCGTGTTTGTATTGCTTTACATACGACTATTACCATACATGTTGCACATGTGTGCATTTTTGTTGCAACAACAACGAGCTGTTCTGAACATCTCTGACGTTGTATTTGTTATGCTTTTCTTTAACTCGCTTTGTGTGAGTATCCCTTTTTTGCCTACATACTACTATATTTCTATAGTACAGTAGTATTTTTCTTTTCTTCTTTCTTTTATTACTATGATGTTTCTTTGAAGCATACCTTTTTTACGTTGTGTGGATGTGCCTATCCCTGAAGCTCAACAAGACTTTATCCGAGGCTAGGAGGTAGATAGGCTGCCTCCACTTGGTTATCACTACTTACTTTAGTGATGATTGAGGGTCTCAACGCCAGAATCTAAAGCTAGGTGGTGTAAGTAAGGCATGCTCTAGCACCTGGGGGAAATTTGATGATAGTAACGGCTATATTGCTATATAGCGGAGCTTAAAATTTTGCCTCACATCAAAACTGGGGGAAACCCTCGCAAAATTTTTTTTAGGTCAGCGGAGTTTTCAAGCGATTTGATTGGCTCAAGGGTTGAAGCAACAAAGGTCTACAATTAGTTGATGTTCTGTTGTTTTGTTATTTAATAGTATGATATTATCTTTTGTAGTAATAAAAGCTTAATCAAATGGAAATAAAAGTGTATGATCATAACTCTAATATTCTTCAAAATAGACACTGTTCATGTCTCAATGAAAACAATTCAGTAAAAAAACGTTTGAGTTTGTAAACAATACCTAGGTAGATATCACAATTGCACAGTGATTTATCAGAAATATATTATTTATAAGAAAGAGCGTGAAATTAATCAGGTAAAGAATATCGTATACTACATTGGAAACAAGAAGGTTCATATACTATTCCAATTGAGGGGTTTGATGTGAGGATAAGGTATTAGATGGGTTGATTTGGTTGATAGGACGGATAATAGATCCAACAATCTATTCTCCTGAACATGCCATGATACGGATCGTAACTGAATCCTGTTTCATGTCAAAGTTTATGATCTGATGTGATCTGTGCTTGAACATATTGTTTCTACGCATTTGGAGATCCGGTTTAGGAATGATACATCAGACCTTAAACAAGGTCGATCAAAGGTGCAGAAGACGAATTGTCATACCATGAGCAGATGCCTTTGGAAACCAAAAACTGAGTTCAATTCGGTTGAGTAAGCCCTAAGAGAGACACGCTTGTGTTTTGTTGTAGTTGAGCAAAGCATTTGAGGCTGCCGTATATCTTTGTAGGTGTTCCTCGATAGCAGAGCATTCAGATGGGTCGTTCAGGGTGACTAGGGTGTGGTCGGCATAAGCAAGGATTTTGACTTGAGGGTGAGGTAGACCCAAATAGAGGGTCTGGAGGGAAAGAGAAGCTTTCGATACGGTTATCATTGTTGAAAGCTCACAGAAAGGAATCAAAGGCGATATTGAATAATAGTAGAGGACTTAGTGAATCACCTTGTCTAAGGTCTCGTAATAGTTGTGGTAAAGGAGTGGACAGGAAACCGTTGGCGTTACGTTGGATCATTGTGGTCGAAAAGAGGTTCAAGATAGTTGTAATGAGTGTCCTAGGGATGTTGAAAGCCTGCATTATGGCATCAAGATAGGAAAAATGGATGCGATCATACGCTTTTTCTTAGTCTAGAAGCAGCGCGAAGGAGGGCAACTTGGACTTGGTGACTATCGCTTGCATGCATTGGGCTCGAAGACCTTGTTCGACAATGAACTGTTTGGGCATAATGCCCATTTGCTGGATAGAGATCTTGTCAAGAAAATCGACCATCGAGCGAACATTGAGGAGACGAGTGAAGGTTTTAGCATCCGTATTGATCAGAGATATAGGGCGTCAATCCTTCAGGTACGAGAGGTCACCTTTCTTGAGGAGTAGAACCAAACTTGTTTGAGTCCTGGAAGCAGGATAGAAACGATGAAGTAGTGCATCATTGAACATACGGAAACGAATGGCAACTGTAGCCGAGTGGTTAAACAAGAGTCACGCAATCTGACAAAGGATGATATATCATTTCTGTTAAGCACAAAGAATAAAAGGATTATTATTTGTAGCTTATAAAAAATGTTCGATATTAATAAACAAGAAAAGACTTATTTGAATAAGATCAGACACAAAAACTAAAGATTTATTGATGAAGACAAAAGTTATTCTATTTATACTAAGTTCTGAATGCCAAAGTAGCAATTTATCTTGTACAACGCTTATCACATCTGGTGAACCTCAGTATTTAGATAGCTGAGATGCACTTCATCACTTATCATAGCTTGTCCATGTTGTTGCACAACACAGACATATCTACCCATCAAGAATACCTTAATCTTTATAGACAGTTGTAGCCCTTCTGGCACAACAATGAACAGTGGGAAGAGGAGGAATTTGAAAGTCAGAGTCTTGGGAGATGGCAGAGGCACCAATTGATTCGGTGGCCCGCAAAGTTTGGGCTTCAAAGGAGTGGGGTTCCGGACGAGGAAGATGTTGACTGATGATATCTTGGGCAGCATGGCTAGATACCCATCCCTGATGGATGAGGTACTTGGCAACGCGGGGAAGGAGATGAGGAAGGATGAAATAAAGAGTGCGGATGCAGCGACCCTGGTAAAAACATTGGCGAGTTGGATACGGCAATCCTCAGAAAGGTCTTGGTACTTACGATCTGCAATGTGATTATGATCCAAAGGGTCGAAGTTCTGGATCAAGGGGGAGTCAATTTCCTGAAGCTTCGACTGAAGCTCAGGAAGATAAGCATCACGCAAAAGGACACCAATGGTATTGCAAGCAAGAAAGAAAATATCTAGGACGCGAATATTGTCGATCGAAATTTCCGTGCGGTTCATGCGACGAGATCGAGGCAGGTAGACAAAAATATACTAGCCGTTTTGAGTGGAATCGCGAGTAGGTGGGTTGAAGGTACGGTGCAGGGTCTGGCGCTTGCTGGCGATGGTGGCCCAAGTGGTTTTGGGTTTGGGTTGTTGGTGTCTAAATGGATCAAGGGCATCAGGCTTTGGAGTGAGACCAAGGTGATGGGAACCATAATTGTCTTGATGATTGGGTTGAGTGGTGCAGGCGGATTAGAAGTTGTTATGAGAATTTTTAATGAGAGCTACAAGGTTGTTGAGGCGATTCTCAAACTGGTCGAAGCGGTTAACCAGGTTGAAAATCCGTTGATCAGTTTGTTGATTGAATTCCAGTTATTGGCCCAAGGGGGAGGAGAACCTCTGCAGGGCTGCTAGGATACTGTAGTTGCGTGGATTAGTGAAGAACATTGATCTTTGTTTTCATACTCTTTATAAAGGGTTGGAGATTCGATGGTACTAAAAATTCAATAAGGTGAAGTTCTGAAAATCCCCAGCTTATAGCTCATAAAATATATGATTTTGAGCAAATTTATAAAGGGAACGTACATCTGGTACTTGAAACCCTTATATTATAATGGATATAACATAGAGCTATCGAATGGCCTTTGTTTTGTGCGAATTCAGTGAGTATTTGTCGAGATATGGCCAAAAAATGGTATCATGCAAAATCATCGATTTTTCTTCAAAATCTACCTGTGATGGTAAGGAAAAAATTAGGTGACGATTTTTTGTTCATGACAAGATTGTCAATATTTTATGATAGTGTTATGCCAAAGCTTCAAGCAATAGCTCATTTGATAGGAAATGTTTTGGTCTACAAAGTTTAGTAATGCTTAACAAAATGTTTTGATGACAGATACTGATAAATCTTTTGAAAACAGTCAAAAAATTGCAAAAACTATCGTATCAAATATCAGTTAAAAAATATACACCAGACACTTGATATAGATACCATTGTATTTTCCTCGTAATTCTCTACAAGTTTCATATAAATTTGAATGGGTGTCTACTATCAAGAAACACGTAATATTAAGGTTGATAGATTTCGGAATCCTATGGACCATCATTCAGAACAGTATGAAGACTGGGCTATTCATATTTTAAAACACCGTCGTTTTAGTATGTGGCTCAATTCGAACGAAAAAATCGCTACCTTTGTCAAATATAATGTCTCAATTACATGTGACGGATTGATAGGTAAAGTGTTGGCGAACCTTTTAGTGAAAATTGCTCTTCCAGCTACAATCTCTGTTATGACATGTTCAGAATATTATTGGATTGATTATCCTATCACCCAAATAAAGCCATGTGACATCTTATCCTCACACCAAACTCATCAGTTCGAATAGTATGTAAATCCTTTTATTTCCAGTGTAATGAATATTCTTTACCTGATTAATTACATACTGTTTTTCTAAATAAGTTATATCTGATAAATCAAGTACACTGGGTACCAATTCCTTAGTACCGAATGCCTCGCTAAGCGTGTATCGTTTATAATTAATTTCAGACATGAATCAATTTCATGTGTTCAAAGAAAGTTGGCTTGGCTTAGTAGACAGAATATCTCTTCGTCATAACGGGGTAGTAGTAGATCAGAAGTTCGTGGTAAAGATGATTTATTTTCTGTTTTTTAAAGACGTGAGATGTTGCGACGTTAAGAAATGTATCTGTAAACGTCTGTAGGAGATAATGTTTCAAATCAGCCTCGGAATCATCCCATTTTTCTTTTGTACTATTACTTCTCGCAACAGATCAATATCTAAACCTAATTTCAACTCAATGCAATACTATTCAATCCCAAATCACTTATCAAATCTATACAGAACAATCTTGAAACGACTAGAGCTCTACTATACAACACACCAATATAACTTATTTGCATTATTTTCTAAAAGCAATCCTAGAAATACTAATCAGGAAATAGCGTATATTTCAGGAACAACAAATCAAATAGCATAAAATTACACCGTTGGAATCAGTTATAATTCATTTGGGCAATCATGCAGTCATCCTATTTTCAACATTTATTTTGCAGTTGTTAGCCCAGATCATGAACTCTTTGATCTGATGGTTTTCATTTCTATTGTCTATTACTCATTTTCGATTATCCATCACTCATTTTCTCCCTTTCTCACTATTAAACTCTTAGACTTCAAATTCCAAACTTTTTCAATCTTTCATGGCTTTTACATATATTTATTCCAATGTCTCAGGCTCTTATAACCAACCGTTTATCACTGACTCCACTGTGTATTCCTAATCAAATTCTCAAAATGAAAGTCCCACTTCGATATTAATAAAGAGCAATCTTCTAATTTAAGCTCTGACCTTGAGCCCCGGCCACCTTGTGTGAATCAAGATTTTCAATCATCTCCAGGAACTCTCAATAAACAGCTACTACTATTCGTTACTGATGCTACTATAACATGCTAATGTCCTTTTTATTAACATTATGCATCTGAAGGGCATCAACATCATGGACAGGCTATTAATACCGCATGAGGTTGAGTGTCAGACGAGTTGTCATTTATGCAACCCTTCCCCAATCAGATTTGGTGGGCATAATAGTAGGGGATAGTGAGAAGCCTTTAAAAAGTCGCACACGGTTTATACAGGACTCGCGTTTCTTCTTCTTTCTTTATATCTGCAATTACCTTCTAAAAGATGATCAATCTGTTATCCTATAAATTCATCACTGGCTGCATGAGCCCACTGGTGCTCAAGACGTCGGAAATATCCATCTTGAACCCTATAGAAACGATGGTAGCAAGTTTGATTTTAGGATCAGTGACTTATGTATACCTGTTCAGCCTGGCAAAATCTTCAGAAATACTCTCTACTGCCAGCATTTACGACACATCTTTCGTATCCACCATCTTGTACGCTTCACCAAATGACATTTCTTTTTCGCTATTGAAACAAGATCTTTTTTTACCAGCAGCGTCGATATCGCGTATTGAACTCAAGCAATTGTCCATCGCCTCGTCTGATCCTACAAATGAGCACAACATGAACGCCATCATGCGTTTTCATGATTATGTTGAAGTCACTCCACTCAATTTCTCGGATTTAGGTCATCAAGAAAAGCGGATAATGACATACAAAGACCATTTGTGCTACAATGCTTCCACAACGTGTCCTACATACAAGCCGTTTAACACTGACAACAGTGTGGTTTTATCGTATGTGTTTGATCTGAACAATGATCAGCGTATCAAGACATCTCATTTATGGGATCAAAAGGTAATGGCATTTTCAATGGACAGATTGATCCCCATGGCAACACAGCATCATTACAACGAAAAAAGTATCAGCACAGTCGTTTGGTTAATTAGAATCATTAAGAATATTGCTAGAGATACCGCCATCCGAATGAATGTAAGGAACGGTTATATTGAGCAAAATGTGATAGCTAATCCACCCAATAGAGCGCTTCCAAGATAGATGTGGTTGTAGTGACAGCAGGCTACATTATGATGGCCTTCACTTTCTTATCATTGTATATCAGAATGCATAAATTGGGATCAAAATACACTCTAGGTAAGTACATACTATCGAAACGCCCAGTGTTATCAAGAAAAACAAACAAAACCATTTTTTTAATCTAACCTTTTAGCAACCACTATATTCATGTCGGGTTTCTTTTCATTTATGCTATCTCTGGCTACCGTGTATAAATTGGGTGCACCCGTCAGCCCTGTTTTATTGAGGTAAGTGCGCTTTATCAGGGCATTCTGCAGGACCTTTCTCCTAATACAACACATGCAAGTGAGGCAACACCATTTCTGGTAGTGACGATAGGGTTTGAGAGGCCATACAAACTAACAAAATGCATATTCGAGCAAGAAAGCAACAATGCAGACAATAGTAATGTGCTGCAAATCATCTCACGCTCTGTGGAAATGATGGCACCAGCTCTCATTCGAGATGGACTATTGGAGGTTATGGTATTTATGCTTGGCGCCAAATCAGCATTACCTGGATTACGGGAATTCTGTCTGATGAGCGCATTTCTGATTGCTTATGACATGATGCTGATGTTTACTTGGTATATTTCGGTCTTGTCATTGAAACTGGAGGTAACAAAAGAGGCAGTACAAAAATAGCAAACAGCGAATGCTTATTATTATCTACAGTTACGCAAGATTAAAGAGACAACCTCTGCCTCAACATCCATCGCAGACACAACAGCAGCAATTAACGAAGCTGTTTCCTCCTCAAATTTGAGCACTGAATCCCGCCATGCTAGAAACAAGAAGCCAGCAATCATCAAGACAAAGCTACTCATGGTAACGCTTCAGTCACTCGCATAGATTATAGCATGGACACTAACAAGCGAGCACTTGCTTTTCAGATCATTGGCTTCCTCACAATGCATGTATTCGAATTTTGCTCAACACTGTCCTTTTCAACATCCAGAAGCAACACACATTCCTTGCCTCAAGTGCCTGTTATAGGACCTACTATCGAGCCAGTTTTGTCCTGCATTTTGAATCAGCACAGGTTGTCAGGATCAACAAACGGATTGCTGCTTAAAGTATCGCCAATGATCCATTTCCAGCTATTAGCACAATCGCACTTTCAAGGACTTCCACCTGTGAAGAGCTTATTAGCCGAGATTTACAACAGTTACAATGTATACGCTCAAGATCCTGTGATTAGTAAATGGGTTGTTGCTATTCTGATGGTGTCTATTCTTCTCAACACCTATCTGTTTGAAATTGCCAAATACAATAGACAAACAATGCAACGAACTCATTTGACCCCTATACAAGAACATAACTCCGTACACACCACCTCACCTAGAGTGAGCTCTGCTATTATTCCATCACCTTTGCCCAGTTCAAATTTGACAATCAGCAGAGGCTCCTATCAAAGTACAACTATATCAAGACAACGGCATAAAAAGTTCCAAAAGCATCAGCTGGGTATACGCACAGTAGAAGAGTGTCTTCACATCCTCAAAAACACAGATCAGGGCGCATCAAATCTTGCTGACGAAGAGATTATTTTGCTGATTCAACATGCTCATATCGCTCCTTACGCCCTGGAAAAGATATTAGGTGACCTAGAGCGCGCTGTTCATATCCGCAAGACTGTGATTTCTCGCGCTTCCATCACACAAACGCTGGAATCAAGTGCTTTGCCAGTGGCAGATTATGATTATGACAAGGTATTGGGTGCTTGCTGCGAGAATGTGATTGGATACATGCCGATACCCGTGGGTGTGGCTGGCCCTATGATGATCGATGGCGAGAGCATACATTTGCCTATGGCAACAACCGAGGGCTGCCTTGTTGCGTCTGTTGCGCGCGGTTGTAAAGCTATCAATGCCAATGGTGCTGGAGGTGCAAGTACTGTATTGATCTCGGACGGCATGACTCGTGGTCCCTGTGTCGAGTTTCCCAATATCATAGATGCTGGTCTCTGTAAGCGTTGGCTGGATCACGAAGGATTTGATGTAGTAGCGGAGGCTTTCAACAGCACATCCAGATTTGCTCGTATTCGCAAAATGCAGGTAGCAATGGCTGGTAAGCTGCTTTATATTCGGTTCTCTACAACCACTGGCGATGCGATGGGTATGAACATGATTTCCAAAGGCTGTGAAAAGGCACTCTCGAAAATCACAGAGTACTTTCCTACTATGCAAATTGTATCTCTCTCTGGCAACTACTGTACAGATAAGAAACCAGCAGCCATCAACTGGATCGAAGGACGCGGTAAATCGGTCGTGACAGAGGCTGTGATTCCAAGCAGTGTTGTACAAAAGGTGCTCAAGACAACAGTGGATGCATTGGTCGAGTTGAACATATCAAAGAACTTGATAGGATCTGCTATGGCAGGTTCAGTGGGTGGCTTCAATGCGCATGCAGCCAATATCCTGACTGCCATGTACATAGCAACAGGACAGGATCCAGCTCAAAATGTGGAGAGCAGCAATTGTATTACCTTGATGAAGTCTGTCAACAATGGATCTGCTTTACACATCTCATGTAGTATGCCTAACATTGAAGTCGGGACGGTAGGTGGAGGCACGATATTACCTCCACAACAAGCAGTGCTGGACATGCTTGGTGTGCGAGGTCCTCATTCAACAAGTCCTGGTAAAAATGCTCAAAAGCTAGCGAGAATTATTTGTGCTACTGTCATGGCGGGTGAGCTGTCGTTATGCGCAGCCTTGGCGGCAGGACATTTGGTCAAAGCACACATGCAACACAATCGAGGATTGGCTGCTGCTGTTCCTGCTGCCAATTACAAGAAAAAAGCACCAAAGACCCCAGCTTCTACACCAAGTTTTTCGCTTTCGAGGCAAAATACAATGGCTGGAGCCGAAGATTGCATCTTGTAGAGTGTTATAATGTAGATATTGATTGTATCTCGCAGTTTTCTAAATAAAAATGTTCAAAAGTGAAGTATGAGCAATTGACATAGATCAAACCCGACAGTCTATGCCATAGTACGTATGCCAGGTGTATAACGCACTTCATTTTATGCTAGAAGGTTTCCTTGGACAGATAGCTGCAATTGGCGCCCCTTTTTTTTTCTTTCTCTTTTACAAACAAGACGAGCATACAAGTATTGCCTACAGATGTATTGCTAAACATCTTCAATTGTGTGGATAAAATCTCACACCGTGCAATATACCAACAAAATCTCTCAAGCACCTTAATATCTGCACCCCAGCATATTCTGTGATGATAGGTATGCTCTTGTATGCTTTTATTCTGACAAGAAAAATCTTCTGCAACTGTTATGAACATTGTTGATAGCCCATCAGTCAGGTTTTACAGGCTAACGTATCTTGAGGTAATATCAGTACTTCACCTTAGTCTTCATTTTACAGAAAACCTGAAGTTCCTAACTGTTATGGGTCTGATTGATTGGGATTATAGTGAAAAGTTAAGCGAATTCCAGCGCCTGGGTGACCTTTCAGTAGCTGGCAATCTCAGTAATGTGGATAATCTGAAAATTTTGGATCACTGCCCGAAAGAAACATATCAGCCATGATTCTATCAAACAACAGCACGCATTGAGCGTTTTGAGAATCACTGATGATGGCGAGTGCTCATCTGAACTGCTGGAGTATATGCATTACAAATATCTTAATACCAATAGTATTGAAATCGACTATCGGTTAGAAGGGGAGTATATTGCAAGAAACATGAACCATTTCGCTGTAATGATTGAAAGAATTCAAGAAAGTAGCTTTGTTTTTTCTGTTCACGAAAGCATCTCGTTAAGAAATGCCACCAAGTACCTGATGGTTAATTATTGGACCATATCTATTAATGGATTTGAATGAAAATGACGCTATGCTACGTCAAAATATTACAGTGAATTAATAAATAGTAACGTGTTTCAACACTATAGCATCGCAATCGGAATCGCCATTTAAGCTACATGCATTTACTCTGTAGCTTAAATTATTTAATGTGTATGGCAGTGACTGTAGTGATAATGACCAGCAAACTTAACAAAATGCCTTGACGCAAATGGCTGCTCTCCATCATGTGCGATACGGTACCGCAAAGGCTATCTTAATATATATATACGTTCAAATCCAAGTGTTACTATGAGGGACAAGTAAAAATTCAACGGTACAATGTGCTTAGTGCTTCTCTTGCATCATGGTACCGTTTGACAAGATTTGCATTGAGCTTTAGTCAATTGCGAGTTATTAACCGCAATTCATTGACATATGTAAAGAAAAGGAATCATCATTTGACGTATTGCACTAAATATCAAGAAATAAACATATTTAAGCAATAGATCACATGAATGGTAGCTATATTTGACTCGAATATTGATTGATTTCTCTTTATTCACTTTCCATCTCGTTTATAAATCATACTCCATGACAACTTCACCAAAGCCTGCATCGTTCAAAATGAGACATACATTTGGTACCTGTCATGCCTAAATGTACCTGAGCACCGCAACTAAATGGCCATATACATTAGATGCTCGTTTGAGAGAATCCAAGCGCATTCTTAGCAAGTATCCCGATCGTATTCCCATCATTTGCGAAAGAGTAGAAGGCAATAGCATTGCAAGGATGTGCAAGCAGAAGTATTTAATCCCATCCGACATTTGTCTCGGTCAATTCATCTACTCTATTCGAAAGAATATCAAATTGTCTGAGGAGAAGGCAATCTACATGTATATTGGTGGCAATATTCCAACTGTATCAGGTATTTAGCTTGATTTATACACATACGCAGGAGTGATAAAATGAACGCTCATATTCTCATGTAATCAATTAGAGTCTCTGGCCAGTCTCTATGCACAATACAAAGAAGAAGATGGCTTTTTGTATCTAAAGTATGTACTGATACTGATTTCTAGTCTTGGACTCACACACATCTTACAGTTATGCTGGTGAAAACACCTTTGGTTGTGCCTTATGAGCTATGCATAAAGATACACTCCATCATCCTTATGTACAAAGTCACAAGCGAACCCTTCCTTCATTGTTTTTAGCATTTCTTGTTCATCCTTCATTTTGTAAATAAACCACATTATGAAAGTAAACCCTAAATCATTGAAAGCTGAATTCAGCAGACTGTTTGAATTGGAAACCTCCATTGAAAAAGACAGAAAAATCAATGAAAAGAAGCGCAAATACGAGCATGTGCAACTCGAGTCAAAATACAACACAAACACTCTGTCAGAAATCTTTCAAGATCCAGATTTATTAGCCCGTATATCTGAGGATGCGCACAAGATTATGCAAACAAAGACCCTGAGGCCGCCTCGCGTGCGAGATGCATCCGACATCATCATATCCAGAAAGCCTCAGGCCAAAGATGTAACAACTGCTCGAGTTATTGAAGAGGATTTAGCCACGCAATACAGCGCAATAGAAAAGAATCTCAACAATGAGGAATATGTGAATCCATTAGTGCCCAAGCAGCGAAGATACATTGCACATGAAGAGCACAGCGAACAGGCGTCAGCCATAACTTCACAACCACAGACGCTTACACAGCCCTTTCCTGATCCCATCAGTGTTAGCTTGGAGAGCTTAGCGGCTCAAAATGTAGAGAATACCAACAATGAATTGATCAACATGCTTGATGAGACGTCAAAACTGATCAGAGAGTCTCCACTGAAAACTGTGCGATCAAATCACCTGTATACCCTGTTACCGAGACAAGCTGATATCAATGCGTACATTTATGTCAAGGACGACGTAAGTATATATACATTGCTAGATGTCCGTATATGATATGCTCACACACGAGTTGGATACTTAGTACAATCAATCGCCAAACAAGGAAGCAAGTCGCTCAATCGATGATACGCTAATCACCATCACTATATTCAATCCAGACAACCCGCATGTCAAATTTCAAGAGATTGAAATGCTGGGCTCTCAAACACTCTCCAATCTACGAGATGCCGTCTACTGCCAATCCGATTTCACATTAAACAGGAACCACAAAAACCAGAATCCCAATGAAAAGATTGTGAATACAACCAAAACCAAGCTCTCGCCATCTGTGATTTACATGGACCATGCATTTTACATTGACACTAGAAACAAAAATGATATACCAGCCGATTACTACGATAATTGGATTGACGCATGGCTCACCAAGAAGCAAGTCAATCAAGATGTCTATCGCTATGAAACAAAGAGCATGGAAAAAGCAAAACTAGAAAACATGACATTGGAGCTGCACAAACCCTTTGCTTTTATACATCAAGACACTTGCGAGCACATGATGATGATCGATGATGTGCGAATAATTTCCAGCCACGAATTTGGATCCAAAAGCGACTTTCCTCGCACTACTCGAAACCTGCGTTATGATCGATTCAAATGCTCCATGTGTGCAGTATACCCAGCCACCAAGATCACCCATGAAGATATTGTTAGTGGATTTTCGCCGTGTTATTTCTGTGATATCTGCTTTGAATCCTTTCATCATGGTGATACCAGTGTCAATGTTACTGAATACAGTGGCACACCAGGCAGAGAAACCAAATCTGCAAGACTCTCCAAGAGTCACAAGCATTGTCACAATTAAGCAGAAGAAGCACGCCTTGGATGTGTCATATTGAATCATTTGATAGTCTAATTTCAATAAACTTTTCTGCATTAATCTTTGTTTATATCCTCAACCACTACTATTAGCAAAATGATGGACAAAACTCAAGGCACAGGTAGATTGTGCTACTAGCTGGTCTTTCTCTCTCCTGCATTGACTGACCTTGCAAATTGTAGTCATCCGAGACAAGAAATACGAAACATTCATTCAATGGCTGCAAGAAAACGACTTTCCCAAGACAAAGCTGACACTCGCCAACTTTACCAGTAAGGACAAGAGCAGCATTTTGGCCGAAAAATACTATATTCTGAGCATGTTGTATTAGATACCGGTCGAGGTATGATGGCAACGGACGATATAGAAGCAGGCGAGGTCATTGTGTCCGTGCCTCGCAAATTTTTGATCACAAATGAAAGTGTCATCAAGACGTACGGCTCAAACCATGCACTCAGCTCACATCAGTTGCTAGCATTGCATCTTGTTGTATTGAAAAGAGACAAGCAATCTTGGTGGAAAGCATATACAGATCTTTTACCGATACATTTCAATACCATGCCAGTCAAATATACACAGGTACTCGTAGATCATCTGCCTACTGCTCTCAAAGATGAAGTGCTGCAACAAAAAGAAAACATCCGCAGCGATTATTTGGCCTGCGTTGCTTATCTGAAGACACATCCTGATATTTTGAATTCATTGCAGCCTGAAGAATACGAATGGGCATGGCTTTGTGGTAAGTTTTTCGACGCGGTTTCTTTGTAGAGCGTTGGTGTTCATTCAACTACAACAAATTAGTCAACACCCGATGTATTCACATGACGAAAATGGATCATACTACAAAGGGTGGCAACATTGCACTCGCACCCATGCTCGATTTCCTCAATCACACGACAGAAGCAAGAGTAAGTCAGGTTCGCAATGGTTGACGCTGCGGACTCATCAGTGTCTCGAGTAGATTGAAAGTGGATTCAATGTGCGAAATCAGTGTTTCGAAATCAAAACACTGACACCCTACAAAAAGGGAGAACAAGTGTACATCAACTATGGGCCACACGATAATTTAGCCATGCTCAAGGAATACGGATTCGTCCTATCACAAAACTGCTACAATTTCGTCTTGTTGGATCATGAAGTGTGGCAGCTATTCGATGAAATTGAGTCAAAGCGAGGTTTGGATGTCAAGAAGCAAATATTAGAAGGCGCAGGCTATTCTGGCGATTACTCTATCAAGACAGAAGAAATTTCATTCAGACTGATGGCAGCGCTAAGGCTATTGGCATTGAACGGTGCTACAGAACCGGGATTTGATAGGCGGGTGATGGAATGGCACGATGTGGTAATGGGGCAAACAGATATCATTAGCACGGAAAATGAAAGAAAGGCACTGATCATGTTGCAATCCATCTGCAACAAGGTAGCCAAGCAAGCCGAAAAAGAAATTACTACATTATCGGTAAGTGATTATTGGCAGCGCAACATGGACATCTAGCTCATCATTTTATGTGTGAAACAGCACATCACAGAAAAGCATCCTGAGGCAGAATTTCATCCTTTTGCATTGTATTTCCTTCGACAGATTTGGAACGAATCCAGCGAAATTATCACAAAAACATTAATCAGCGTGGCAGAGAAATTAACTGCATTGTAAAATAAAAGACATAGATTTATTTATTGCTGCAAAAATGAAAGAGTAGTCCTATGATGCATCGGTTGTGTGGAAAAGAATGCTGTAGTGGCAGAATCTAGTTGCATTGTTAGGACCTTGGTGTAACAGAATGCTTGCAAGTATAGTGTGATTAGCGGCCAATGGGTCTTGGAGGACGAGGAGGAGGTCGAGGAAGAGCTTGCTTGGCCTTGACTGTTTGTTGCATTGTTGATTGATTTTTTGATGGTCTTTGATTTTCACGTGTATTTATACTTTTTTCGAATTATCTGCTTCATTGTATAAAAAGGTTGTCAAACAAAACATGGCTGATGACGATAGGTCAAGCAATGCTCTTTGTATTTCAATAACAAGTCTACTTCCTGTTGGATATTGTTGATTGCGGCGACTTTAATATCACTTGACCTACTATAGTTTCTTTGATATGGAAAGATATTGTATGAATTTTAAACCACCCAATATCGTTTTAGTAGTGATGCGGTTGTCATTTTCTTCAGATTCCAATTAAAGATGTCGGTATCGGTATGTATCACTCGAGCTACCTACTAGACTAATCTTTCTCCATTGGGGTATATAACGAATGAATGTCATTATTCTATTTTTTTTTTAATTTCTTAATATTACATCCTGACAAGTCATCATAATAACATGATAAACGCTTAACCGCTAGGCGCTTTCAAGGCCTTGATAAAAGGAACTGAGCTCACAGTATTTTGGTAATAACCCAGGTGAAACGGCACTATCAGACGTAGAATTGCGCAACAGAGGCAGAATAGTCCAGTCATCCGAAGCTGTAGTGTTCTTAACTTCTCCCGTTTGCATCGCAATTGTCAATTATCTTCACGGGAAGGCATTTTTGCCAGCAAAAATACATTTAAACCCCGTATAAATCTTGCTTTAGATTGGTTCAATTTTGTTTAATTTCGACTTGATTGAACTATTTTGACAGATTCGACTATAAAATATGATGATCATCACATGCGTCTTTAAGCTTTCTTGGAGTGCTTTTCAAGGCGCATCCAATGGTACTAAATAGGATAGATGTTTTGAATAAACTTATTGAGAAATTTGTGAAAATATGAAAAGAGATTTCTGGTCAAAAAGTCCAGCTTTTACATAACAAGATCCCACAAAGATGATTTTAGGGCTGCATTGGATCAATAGAAACATTTTGATCTTATATATATCCATATTAAAAGTCTTCATTATCAAGGACAAGAACGCGATCGTTTGATTTTCGATGAAAACCATGAGGGGTACCTCATGCTTTTTGAACGAATTCTGTCCATGTTTTTTTAGTCCCCAAAAAGTTGAGCAAAGATGTCAGGACGTTAGTACTACTCGAGTACAATTGTTTGGTGCTATTCTGACAGTCTAAAACGGCCTTGAACGCAAGAAAACGCAGCTTATGCACTCAGATTTTGCTGTATCAAGGACACTAAGGATTAAAAGGGTATAATATCTGTATGATACTTCCCCGTATATGAAGTAGCAATGTGTATATGAATGTAAAGCATTACATAAGAATCAGATTCACTGATAATATGAAGGGTTTTCATGTGTAAGTGGAGGGTCAACATGAGAGTAGTAGTATTTTGATAAGATACGCAAGAGCATTCAGCTGCGCAGGCTGGTTCTCACAGAAGCGAAGGGACGGTAGAGAGTCATTCGAAGCGTAAACACTCGTACTTTATAAAGAAAAGTCTACACGAATAAATTAGAGGTATTTGGGCCACACCACACACAAAAAAAAACCCCCCTTGTATTCCAAGACAGGAATGAGAGAGAATTTTACAAGATACACTCAATTATCAAGAGACGTTGCTTAGCATCCAAGAAACTGGCACTGATCAACAAAGCAGTGATGAAGAAGATGCACCATATTACAAAAGACAACGAGCGTCAGTGGTTGATGATCCGTTCGATTCGATAGTTGACATCATTGGAAGAAACAAGCTGTACAGATTTCGCCCTGAAGACCGAGTTACACTAGACAGCATAGTTGACACCTGTTGGGAAACACATGCTCTAAAATTGCTCGATTCTTTTATGACATGCCCAAAATTTCTATCAGCACAACGCATTGAAGAAATTGGGTGTCTTTGACCAATTTAAGGTAAATATATGAATATCCTAGGGAGGTCAGCTAGCAAAGCTGACTATTTGTTCTTTTATTCAAATAGATCCCCAAGAGGATGTTCAATAAAAGGATCGCAAACGCAAGTATTTACTACAAATCAAAAGAACAATCTTAAACATTCTATTGAATCCCTTATGGGGATGTCAATGTCGACATAAAAACGAAAATCTCAAGCCCGAAGCTACGAAATGAGGCACAGAAACAGATTTCAAATATTAGTGATGCAAATGTCTACTGAAGGCGTTGTCAGTTTTTCGGGAGAAAGAGGGTCTTTTTCTATCTTCTTCACACTGCTATGGAGCCTCCTTCCCTCTCCCCAAAGAATTACAGAGAAAGAACTTTCTTCTTTACATTGAGCTCTAAAATGAAAGTAGCTGAGATGTCAAATGAGATATGGCCATTTTTCTTCAAATGGAGCCTCTCTAATATCACAGAATTTTTTTTTTTTTTTTTGCTATTGATGTTTATTGTTGATGCAAATTGAGGTTGCAAAAAGCGCAATTTGGGTTAGTCAAATGCGAAGATTGGCATGGTCAAAAGCGCAAATTGGGTTCTACCCAAAAGAGTCAATTGAGAACTTCAAAAGCGGAGCCACCGTACGACAAAAATGCCAATAAAAGCAGGTCATTTTTACGTTTATACATTCTTTTTCACTTTTCTTTTTACTTGTCCCAACCACAACCAGCATGCTTCAAGAACTGCCACTAGAGATTCTTACACAAATTGCAGAATTTATTCCTGTAGGGGACGCAGGTGAATTTGCAAGGACCTGTCGTAAATGCTACTTTGCAATATTACCGCACATTTGGCATCAACTAACGCTCAACAACACTGTCGAATTGAATATGCTGGCAAAGCGTTTGCAATCCAACAATTTATGGGCACAAAGAGCGATTCGATTTGTACGAGATGTATCGCTAGGCAGTGATGATCAAATCAATCAGCCGAAATTCTCATCCACATTAGCTGCTTCCATGTTTGGTATCGCAAGCACGCCTGACGCACAAGCTGCTGAACAAGCAGAGGAAAGTAAGCGAGTTACTCGTCGTGAGCGTATTGGCGTCTTTGGTAAAAGGCTGCTTAATTTGTTTCCTCATCTATCCAACCTTGTTTTTGATTTCACCGAGGCGGCCAGGGATTTCTATTCAGGTGGCAGTGGTGCATCTTCATCATCAGCAGCATCGGCAACCGGGACATCAGCAACCACAGAAGACACAACGCCAAGGGAGCAATCAAAAGAGGATGGCGATGAAGAAGACGTGGATGATAACGCAAGGCTCCCTTTTTCCGGCTCAGTTTCGCTTGTGAATTACAAATCTGATCATTCAAAATTCATGCATTACCTACTGGCGCCATTTCGTCGCACACACCATTTAAAACTCGAGGCATTACCTGTTGTGTCACTATGTGATGACATTGATGAGTCTATTCTGACCAACGCAGACTTACAGAATCTCGCTACATTGGGCTTGACGCATCTAAGGAAACTGGAATTATCGTATCTGGATTCGGATATTCGCCTGGAGACAATGAAGAATTTGCTTGAAAGCATGCCTCATCTGAATGAATTGGATTTGGAGTGGATCTTTCCGCCCAGTAAAGATGATTTTATAAGGTTGTGCCAGGTAGTCCAGGAGTACGCTCATTTGTATCCGACGCAAACAAACAAGAAGGCCAGCGTTTACAAGGTTCATTTTGCTTGCAAGGAAGACGAAAATGAGTAGCACCAGTAATTTTTTTGTATTCTTCTCTTTGTACATATTGTGTCTAGATTCCTTGTATCTAATTTCTAATATAAATTTCCCATCATTGTATCTATTTCTGTAATAAAAGCCACGGCCTATTCAATGTTTTAATCAGATTGACTTTGGGATGATAGAAATTGAGTAATTTAAGCGCTATTTAGGCCTTCCTCCGTTGTGTCATGGCCATTAAACGAGCAGCGTAAACGTAGTTGGCCAGCCAAATCGCTTTCAGATTGAACTACTATCCAGAGTGTAAAATTTATACAATGCCTCATGTCTATATAGACGAATGCAATACACCTCTGACTATGCACCAAGTAATGCTTTACATTCATATACACATTGCTACTTCATATACGGGGAATTATCATACAGATATTATACCTTTTTAATCCTTAGTGTCCTTGATACAGCAAAATCTGAGTGCATAAGCTGCGTTTTCTTGCGTTCAAGGCCGTTTTAGACTGTCAGAATAGCACCAAACAATTGTACTCGAGTAGTACTAACTTCCTGACATTTTTGCTCAACTTTTTGGGGACTAAAAAAACATGGACAGAATTCGTTCAAAAAGCATGAGGTACCCCTCATGGTTTTCATCGAAAATCAAACGATCGCGTTCTTGTCCTTGATAATGAAGACTTTTACTATGGATATATATAAGATCAAAATGTTTCTATTGATCCAATGCAGCCCTAAAATCATCTTTGTGGGATCTTGTTATGTAAAAGCTGGACTTTTTGACCAGAAATCTCTTTTCATATTTTCACAAATTTCTCAATAAGTTTATTCAAAACATCTATCCTATTTAGTACCATTGGATGCGCCTTGAAAAGCACTCCAAGAAAGCTTAAAGACGCATGTGATGATCATCATATTTTATAGTCGAATCTGTCAAAATAGTTCAATCAAGTCAATCTGGAGTATATACTAAGAGTCTGAGTTGAAATTAATTTTAGCGGCTGATGGGGCTGGCTGTCAAACTCAATGCCCTTTTCATAATGAAGGCAATACTACAGTAATAGATGCTTTTGAAGCGTATGGAAAGTAGGTAACAGATTACATAGCATTATTTTTAGCCATGCTATTTTCCTTGCATTCTATACTTAATAACGACAGTCTATCAAAATACTTGTTAGATCAACTTCTTTCCTTTCTGAAGCTTCGAAAGTGTCTAGGGACCATAAATTTATTATGCTACGACGATGAGCCTTCTGACTCTTCGGTTGTTTCCTGGCCTACACTTTGCTATGGTGGAAGCCATTCTACGTTCAGGTGGCTCGCGCTGCCGCGGGCCATTGGCTAATATTGCAACATTAATAATAGCTAAAATGTTAGAAGAAACTTGATTGCTGATCGATAATGATTTAATATAACATCTCCAATCATATATAAACCATGCCTAACAAATGCCTGGCAACTCAGTTTCCATATCAGGGTTGTAAAAGTGTTTAGGGATTAAAAATTTATTTTGTTATGATGATGCTGGATGGATTATCTTATGCTTTATTATTGTAAATGCAATGCCATAAGAGCAAAAACAGTATATCGAGTTGCTTATAATAGGAAATGCAATGTTGTAAGATCGAAATCTTACTTCTTAATGAAAATGAGAGGTTTTCCTTATAAGCTACTCGTGAATCTCGGTTCAAATCGCACATTTGACTGATCAAATGCAGATTCGATAACATCCCATACGGATTTGCAGTACACAAATGTCATTTCCTTCTTTACTTCTGCAGGGATGTCCTTGATAATGTCTCGTTTGTTGGCGACAGGCAATAGTATCTTTTTGATGCCAGCACGATGGGCTGATACTACCTTCTCCTTGATACCACCTACTGGACGCACTTGGCCCCTTAATGTTACTTCGCCTGTCATGGCTGTTGTAGTGGGTACGCAGTTACCCGATAGCAGTGATAAGAGACATGTTACCATGGCGATGCCTGCTGAGGGTCCATCCTTTGGCACAGCACCACTGGGCATGTGGATATGAAGATCAATGTCTTGGAATACATCTTTCTTTGGCGAGGTTGTTAATTTCAGTGCAAATGCGTTGGCCTTCACCCAAGATACGGCCAATTGCGCTGATTCCTTGATCACATCTCCCAGGGATCCCGTCAGCTTCAATCTACCAGTACCAGGCATGTGATTTGCTTCAATTATCATGATACCACCATTACCGCTGCCAGAATACGCCAAACCTGTAATCACACCGGGAATCTCCTCAGATTCAACCTCCTCATTTTCAAAAGGCTCAGCCTTGTGTACCAAAGATAATCAGTACAGATCTACACACTTACTACCCAACACACTTACGCCTAAAATAGCCTCCAAATCATGCACATACACCATGCGATCAAACTGATCCGCTTTACTGGACTCTTCCAGATCTGCATACTCTCGACACTTGTAGCGACATATATTTGCTATCAATCTTTCCAGTCCTCTGACGCCGCTTTCTCTGGTGTATTTCTCTGCCATATACAAGACCACATTCTTTGGTATTTGTAGTCCCAAAAAGGACATGCCGTGTGCATCGATTTGTTTGGGTATCAGATGTGTGGTTGCAATGTGCAGTTTTTCATTGAATGTGTAACCGTCGAGTTGAATCACCTCCATTCTGTCTAGCAATGGGCGAGGAATGGTGTCCAGTGAATTGGCGGTAGCGATAAAGAGCACTTGCGACAGATCATAGGGTATGTTGATAAAATGGTCTGTGAATGATGCATTTTGAGCGGGATCAAGCACCTCCAACAAAGCGGCAGCTGCATAATCTGTTAGTGGTGGTGTATCGTTACATAAACTATGCAGAAATTAAGCCTACCTGGGTCACCTTGATTCGAATTGGTCACCAGTTTGTCAATTTCATCTGAAATACATGCCATAAGACATCATGAAACATAAAAGCGTGGTAGAGCGACTTACCCAACAAGAAGACTGGATTCTGCACTTTGCATTGACGCATACCATGAATCAGTAGGCCAGGCATAGCACCTACGTAGGTACGACGATGACCCCTATTCATAAGGCTTTTCAGGAAAACTCTGTTATCTCCATACAACACCACCACATACCTGATTTCCGCTTCATCACGCACACCTCCCAGCGCCATGCGATGAAATCTTCTGTTTAGAGCTGAAGCAATCGATTTTCCCAATGTGGTTTTTCCTACACCTGGCTGTGGATGCATTCAGAATTGCACAGCAATATCTGTTTACTACAACAACTTACAGGACCAACAAAGCAGATAATGGGTGGTGTGGCGTCTTTCTTGACTTTGAGCACGGATAGATATTCTAGGATTCTCTTCTTCACTTGATCAATGCTACATAGGGCCCTGTTTGAGTAAGGAGTCATTGCAGCAAAGATGGGATACTTACCCGAAATGATCGGCATCAAGTTGGTCCCTGACACAATTCAGGTTTAATTCTCTTCGTGGCGTATCTTGCGTCGACCAAGGTAGATCACTAATGTACTCGAGGTAGGTTCTCAGAATGGCTGAATCGGCAGAACTGGAGGGCAGTTTTCTTAATCTATTCAAGTCTCGTCTGACTGCAACAACAGCATGATCTGGTAGATTGTTGGTATTCAGTTTGTGGACTAGATCAATGACCTCGTCGTCGTCTTCAGAACAGACTTCAAAATGTGAGTCGGATCTACCAGTCGCACTGTCTGTTGTATCATTGATGTCGATAGAGTGTAACTGCAAAATAGCTGTTCAGTGGATATAATACACTGCAACTAGTGCTACCCTTACCTCCTGCAGTATGTAAAAATTTCTTCTTAAATGATCAAATATCATCTCATCCCCCTTGTTCTTTATTGTGCTGGTATTGATCGTCTGTTGTGTAGCAAATATTTAGTATTATGCATAAATAGAAATTCCAGTTAATGTAATTTATGTACTTTTTTTTTTTATTTATTTACCTGCAAATAAGAGCTTACTGCATGATGCACTTGATGTAGCCTTTGCTTCACATCCACCGCCTCCAATGCACGCAGCTTATCGCCAAGAGATGAGTCCGTCAGATAAAGCAGCAGGTTAGCTACTTGCGATACATGGCTTTTTGCCAGCAGCTGGTTGAATTGATCCAATACATGGCGCGATACGCCAATCAGCTTCAATTTGGAAATGTACATTTGGCACAGCGAGTTGAAGATGTGTGTCTCCTCTGATTGAATGCTGTTGTCCTTGTCGAAATAGTGCTCCAACACTGCTTCATAGAGACATCCACCATCTGAATTGGAAATGTCTCGAATACGAGATCTACAAACACCTTTAACTTTGATGGCATATTGATCTGGAATGGACGTATCACAGCTAATGACTTGTGCCACGCAGCCGTAATGGAATAGCTGGCTCAGATCAACACTGGAATTCTGCTTTTTATCCTCTTTTTTGAATGGCACGCAAACAAAGTAGGATGCAGAAGACATTCGGAGCAGAGTTTGACCTTCTGTTGGACACACGTTCAATGTAGTGATGATGGAGGGCAGCAGGACGTAATTAGACAGTGGTAAAATTGGCAATGTTTGAGGAATCATGGTGTAGAAAGATTACCAGGAAATGAAAAAGAAGAAAAAAGAAAGAAGAAATTGAAAAAAGTGTTGATAATGTACATTTTGCTTACTTTTTTGTTATTTCATATCAAACGGCTTAATTGTTCATTGCTGATCCTTCAAGGTACCAAATACCCCCCCTCCCCCTTTTGTCAAGAAGCAAAGCTGGCTCGTGACTCGTGAGTAACCCAGAAGCAAGATATAGTTTGATGACGGACTCTTTAAAATGGTGATGGTGTGCCTTTTCTGCCTTTGTTTACATCTCTTTATCGCAAGCATTATAGAAAATGGGACTCTTGTTACGCTCAATTCTCAAGACACATCAGCAGGTGCGTCCGGTATCCTCTGTCCAATGGATCGCCCGTAGATGCTATTCGGGTGCATCTGACATTACAGCCAGCGCAATGGTGTATTCTGATTATGGACAGCCATCCCAAGTATTAAGGTAAAAGTGGCAGTTAATGGATTGAACAACAAGCGTGCTCATCGAAAGCGTCATCTCGTCTAGATGGCATTCATATCGCCTTCCCGCCTTGACATCAGATACTGTCCATGTCAAATTCTTAGCATCTCCCATCAACCCAGCTGACGTCAATATGATTCAAGGCGCTTATCCCATCAAGCCGACATTTCAGCAATTGGGTGACGAGAAACTAGCTGTCGGCGGTAATGAAGGTGTGGCAGAAGTCATTGCTGTGGGAGATGGTATTGATTCTCTCAAGGTGGGAGATCAGGTTGTTATGGCAAAGACAGGATATGGTACATGGCGAACACATGCAGCCGGTCCAGCTTCGGATTTCCAATTACTGCCTCATGCAGACAATGTATCCACTATTCAAAAAGCAACCATTACAGTCAATCCTTGCACTGCATACAGAATGCTGAAGGATTTTGTTGATTTGAAGCAGGGTAAGCTGTTGGTGAATGAATAGCGTCTACTTGTAGTGTATTCATGCAACATGTACAGGCGACTATGTCATTCAGAATGGTGGAAATAGTGCTGTCGGCCAAGCTGTCATTCAGATTGCAAAAGCATGGGGCTTGAAAACTATTAATGTTGTGCGAAATAGGTTTGGTCATACAAATGCTGCCCCCCCCCCCTCCTGAGATCATTTGACTAATTTATACTATACTAAACGAAATAGACCTGATATCGATCAACTTGTTCAAGAGTTGACTGAGCTTGGTGCTACTCATGTTGTTACTGATGAAAACCTTGGTAGTCTTGAAACAAGAAAAGAAATCAAGAGTTGGTACGGCAAAAATGCACCTCTTTTAGGCTTGAACTGTGTTGGTGGTAAAAGTGCAACTGAAATGGCTCGTTATCTAGGGTTTGTCATTTTGGACTATTGCAAGCATGCTAGTCGAGAATACTGATGGATTGTTTTTTTTTGTAGTGCTAACGGCCAGTTTGTTACTTATGGCGCAATGTCTCGAAAGCCTCTTTCTTTGCCAGCATCCTTACTCATCTTTAAAAACATCTCTTTCCACGGTTTTTGGGTGTCTAAATGGGCAGATGTTCATTCACAAGAGGAGCGCTATGCCATGTTGGAAGATATCATTGCATTGATGAGCGACAATAAGCTTGTAGAACCTAAATGGACACAAGTGAAATGGGAAGAGGAAAGCATGAAGCAGTCTGTTGACCAGGGAATCTCTGGATTTGCCACTGGTAAGCAGGTGGTTGTATTTTAGTGTGATCTCAACATGGCCTCTCACTGTATCCCCACTCTGCTTTTGTAATCATCTGTGCTACCACTTGTTCATTTTAAAATAAATAGCCCTTGATTTTTGCTCTTTTCTTCTTCCTCTTTTTCGCTTCCTCTTCTTTTGTATATCATATCATTTGTACATATCTCCCTTGTTTATATACATACATTACACATATCATGAATGTGATTGCACCTTGTCCATTGAAGCCATCATTTACGGGTAGGAACAATAGTAGAGCAGAGCATTGCTGGGTTGGGTTCTATGATAAAATAAACTTGGATGATGTTCAAGATGCTTGTAAGGAGATTCAGCAAATTTTACAGTATCAATCTCATCAGCAACAGCAACCACAGCAAATAGCACGTACTGGCAACCCTTTGGTGCAAGATTCAAGCTTCATTCCACTTCATCAAGCTGTTTCGCAATTGCAAGTGTCCAGGACATCTGAAATGAAACGACCTCGATCCTTCAGTATGGGTGATCCTCCTCGTAATCACCAGTATTTGATGCAGCCATCTGCTCCTCATTGTAAAGCAGTCTTCTAATAGATACATACACATAGCCTCTGTCTCTCTCTCTCTCTCTCTCTCTCTCTTTGTATATACTATACATATATCCACATACATTTTTACACTCTATACACTCTGTTTTCTCTGATTCCCCTTTCTCTGCACTGTTGATACAACCTTATTTTCCATCTTTATCTCTCAAATTCATAATGCCTGCACAGACTTGGTAGTACACGATGGGACAAAAGGAAACACACGCACACGCACATCACACGTGTAATTCTCTTGATTGATTGTAACATTTTTCAGTAATTAATAAAATCAAACTGACAACACATCTATTTACAAGTGGTCCAAGCTTTGTGTTTATCTATGGTACATAGTAGACGAAGGGAGGAGGATAAAGGCGAGAAAGTGGGAAAATGGACCGGAAGAGATCCCGTCATTTATGTCATTTCAATTGTACTGTTGTACACTACCAGTGTTATACAAACAGCTAGTATTAAAGTGGCTGTTCTTTCTCTCGCTGTCTGTCTTTTCATGTTGAATTATTAGGTATTATTGGAATGATTAAAAGAGGAGATGGCCATTCTTTTTAATCAAATTAAAAGCAGAAAAACCAGGGGGGGGGCAAAGCGCTACAGTTGAACAGAGTCCAGAATAATCATCATTTCGAGCGACAGAGACGAAAACTAGTTTTGTTTACATTTACAAAAAGATCCCTCCCCCCCCCCCTTTTATTTTGACGGTATACAGATACACAAGCAGTAATGAAGTTATTTGATCTTCTCCTTGTATTACACTTTGAATGATGCTGTGATCCTACATGAGGATCTGGTCTGCCTGATAGTGAAATAAGATTGGCACATACGCTTCATCCATCTTGGCGCCATCTTACGTTTGGCACCACCATCCATCAAGTTGGCAGGCATGAGAAAAATAAGGAGTTGCGTATATCCACATTGTGCGATTATAATCTAAACGATATAGTTAAATTCCTCTTGATTACATGATGCATTATGTACAATTTTTAATACTAAACGTCTTGTATGATGGAGAGCAAAATGTTCAGGAGGATTACATTTGATCTGATATTCATTATTTAACCAACGAGTGATATAATAATAACAGAGATGTACATGCCTTTATCATACATGTGGTATCCTATCACGCATGTATGAATATGTATGTATGTACATCAGTCTGGTTTTTTGTGCCTGCTTGGCATGGCTGTTTTCTCGCTCTCCTTGATTGTATTAAACAATAATACCATATTCAAGTATTTCAAAAGAGTATTTCAAACGTGAAATAATAACAAAAAGGTGTCTGTGCATAAATTTAAAATGTATTTTTACTACTACAGCACTGTAAATCAAGTTCCTTGTAGTGGTCTTGTATAAATACTTGCTATTAGGTTCAGCACATCTATTCTTTATCACTTTCGTCTTTCTCTTCTACATACCTCTCTTTACTTTCCTTAATTCGCTCATTCAACATCTTCCTCATGAACTTTTTCCCTTCTCCTCCATCTTCACCTCAATTGTCTGCCTCAAGTGACAAAGTAATGTGTGGTTCCTGCAATAAAACATTATCTTCCGATTGGTTTTGTTCAGATTGTCATACAAAATGCTCAACATGCAATCGCTTCTTGAGCGACGCTGATTACTGTACTCGCTGTTGGTGCTTCGATCAGTATAACAACCGTCTTGTGCGTAAGCCTAGTGCCTACGATCAATGGTATCACTATCAGCAGCAATTGAAGCAATGGTACTACTGGCAATACAGCAACACAGCATCGCATCCACCATCACCAACAAACTAATGTCTATTTTTGTACCTCACCCATCCCTATGCCACCAAAACCACTACATTCATTCAACAAAGCACTATAGTATACATGTCTATAACAAGTATTTTAAGTATATATACACCAATGGAGTCACTCTCTATCTCTCAGTATCTCATCACATTATTAGGGAGATTCGTAAAAAAAAAAAAAAAAATCAAGGAGAATTTACTTGTTTTCTTTTTTTTTTTGAGACTCTTTCGTACAGATGATGTATACTTGACAGTAACATCCTACACGTTTTGTATACCACCGGCTATGTGCTTGTGCATGTCAAACAAAGAAATATACAAAAAAGTTTTCTGCTTTAAAAATGATTTAATCGTACATTTGTTTGTATACTTCTTCATTTTCAATTAACTTAATAAATGCTCACATTTCTAATGCAACATGTTTAAACAACAGACATTTCGTTATTGAAAATTAAGATTTACTTGTGGTTATCGTTGTTGTTCGCTTCAGCCGGAGGAGCGCATTGATAAATTTGCGTACATTTTGTAGGATGCGTCAGGAGAATGCAATGATAATGGCAGCGGTTATGTGGTAATATACAGTAGGTAGCCACAGAGGAGACTATAGACCAAATGGCTGAGAGTCTGGTGAGGAGGTTAGTCATTTATTTAGACCCATAGCCGCATACGACAATCATTTCATGTAGATCAAAAGATGAGCTTATGTTTCTCTAGATGAGGCAATTTTTTCGGTAATTTCCATAATTGACTACTGATGTGTGATTTGGGTGTTTTTTAAACAAACAAGTGATCGATCGTTCGGGGAGCATGTTTGTTTGGTGTTGACAAGATTCCTTTGCAAAACACGAGTGCTTTTTTTTCAATTCAACAAGAAATCTTGCCAGTGCTTAAAATTTGCTGTATATCCTTTTTCACCCATCATGGTTATCATCCACAGCAAACAAAGTCTGGAATAAAGCGTAAGCCCGCTGAGAAATCGAGGCGGTATCTATAGTTGTTGAGAAGGATCAAGTCAGTGATGACAAAAAGTATATTCAAGAATCTGATAGGAATGCACATGGCATACGATGCCAGACATTGCATATGATGAGGACAGATGTAACGCTGAAATTTAGGATATATAGCCTCATTAAATTGGTAAACGGCTCTTCAATTTGCATGTATCACAGTGTTAAAGTTGGGCTATAATAGACTAGGAAATGCTGTGATTTCCCACTTACAGGAACCAGCTGGCAGTCATTATAAACAACTTGACACCAATATGATACATACTTTTGCCCTTTAGTCGCTTAAACATATTATCTTCAATAGCAATTAATGCTTTCAGTCCTTAACAATTTTTTGCAAAATAAAATGACGCATTAAATGATACCATTCTTTATAGCAATACAACAGCAATGAGGATCCAGGATAGAATGTTTCACATAGTACGTATCTGATGGAATAGAAGGACATTTGCCAGAATTGAAGCCCACTTTAGGGGCGAAAGGCTACAGGCAATCACACAGCAAAAACCAGGATATGCATCAGCTATTTGATGACACCAACCATGTCCCTTTGCAATGCCTAAATAAAGAGATCTCAATGTACTACGCATCCTTGCTAATGTTCAATCCTTATCATATGTTATACAACGTATAGTACATTTTGTAATGAAATAGCCACCCAAACGCAACTTGATTGAAAACCAAAGTTCATCAAATAGCACTCATTCAAATTCATGCTATTTGGATCTATTAATGAAAGCGCTCAAATGTACATCAAAAAACCATTTAAAAATACTAAAGTAAAGATGCATGCTTATATCGCACATCGTGTGAATGAATCACTCCTGATCACAGTGTATTCAATCACACCCATGATGGTCGTAATAAGTGATGGTATCTTTATCCAAATGAAATCAAATCAATAACAAGCATATTCAAATATGACAACTATGCCCTGCTGCCATAGTTGCACAATATCCCAGATAAAGGATTCCATACTTCAATAACAAACATCACACTTTAAACCATCAAGGTTACATTAAATCATGCTATGACGATAGCTCACCCAAGCCCATCAAGGTTACTCAAATCGACCTTTATGGCCAGTGCTCTTGCATTGATTACCACTTTAAATCACACATCAACAACATTTGCCAGATATCGCAATAGCAGCACCTATTGCTCTCTATCAACACTAATCCTACAAGCTAGATGCAAATGTATAAATACTCTTCTTTTTTTACTCAATTCCAAGATCTTAGTTCATTTTATACACAAATAAAATACAGTTGATTTCCATTGTATTTTACTATTGCTTTATTTTTTTTTTGTGAAATCTATTTAAACCTGATTTCACTGCAAGTCTCACTAGGAGGGCCTTCTGAAGACGTGCCGCATGTTTATGTGGCCCTGATGCCTTCGCCTGATGCTTACAAGCGCCTGATATGTGCATTGATGCAAGCACGCATGGATCGAGCTGTTTTATCATGCTAAGCATAATGTGAGCTGGCCTGAGTTTTCGCATTTATATCGTAACTGCTTTATTTGAGCCTTAAAAATGCCACGAACAGCGCTCATCGTATAAAACTTTGCCTTTTATGCAATGAAGCTCCTTTAAGCTATCAATGCGGATTTATATTACTTACGAATTTGACAATGCAGTTTCTCAATTCTTAGTTATACGCCAGATTAGGACTAAATTTAGTAGTTTTCAGCCACAAATATCTCCTGTTACAAGCCGTTTTGAGCGCTTAAATTGGCATCAAATGATTGCCCTTGATTACCATTGACTTACTGATGCTTTATGTCAAAAATTTTTGGGTCATTGCAAATCCATGGAAATCCTCATTTTTTCATGTGTACTAGTAAGGGAAAATTCTTGAAAATCAAACGATCGCGTTTTTCGCCCGAAAAATGAAGGTTTTTCTTATAATACATATTAGGCCAAGTTGATCATACAGATGCAATGCAACACTGGAATCTTTCTTTATGAGACTTGTATATGCTAGATTTTGACATATTCACAGAAAAGCTGTTTTCATCTTTTTGAAAACTGCTCGTTATTTTCTGTCTAGAAGCTGAAAGTAATAAGCATCAATCAATGCGCTTTGTTGACTCTTTATGGACGCATTAGAAAGTAAAGTATAACAATGACAATTTTAATAGTCAAATTTAGCAAAAACGTTTCAAAAATATGAGATCAAGTCAAATTTGAACAGGAAAATACCCACTGCACAATTTCAAATTAAAGTACAGCAGTTATGGCTGCAACCACGGCAGAAGACTGAGACCAAATCTACTGGTCGTGACGTCGCATAGGGCGTCCACTCATTATTCCATACCTCTGTTTTCTACCCTTTTTGCAAAGCGCGTTTATTATCAAACCATGTTGGTTTTGGAACAACCCTGTTGATTCAGAATAACTCTCTAGCTTCTGATGACACAGTCTTATACTGTTAAAGATACCTGATACTGCTCCTTTGAAGTAGAATATGATAAGTACCATTCCATAACGAGCACTGGAAGGCGTAGAATTAGCACTAATCGAATTTGTTTATTAGGTTTCAATAATTTTTTTGCCGGTTTGACGTGCGTGCTGCGGCCGTTGCTTCTCTCCTATCTCTGCAGTCTGCTTCTTTGGTCTCTGTCTCAAGCGGTTGCATCTTTAATCTTTGCCTGGTCTCTGGTGTCGCTCGTTGGTCGGTTTTTCTATGATGCTGTTGTTCCTTCTGGTGTATCTGCTAGTGTTGCTGCTGGTGCTGCTGTTGGTGTTGTTGATAATCTGGTGTTTCCTGTTCTACTGTCTATTGTATGCTTGTTCTCTGGTATATCTCTGGTGATTGCCCATTCTCTTCTCGTCTATTTGTGTTGGTGATAATTGGCAAGTAACCTCTTTGGTCTTTGTTTGGTCTCTGCTGGTGGTGTTCGTTCTTTGGTCTTTCTACGGTACTGGTGTTGCTGCTGCTGCTGCGAATATGATCTCTCCCGGTCTACTGTCTTTGGTGCCTGCTCGTTCTCTGGTGTCGTTCGTTCTTTAGTTTTTCTATGGTGCTGGTTTTGCTGCTGCTGCTGCTGCTATTCTGGTCTTTCTTGGTCTGCTGTATTTGGTGCATGCTCGTTCTCTGGTCTGTCTCCGGTGATTTCCTATACTCTTCTGGTCTATCTGTGGCTGTGGTAAGTGGTAAGTAACTTTTTTCTTCTGGTCGCAATGATATAAAACTTCTTTGAACGTTTATATTATTGCTTCCTTTCTCATGATAATGCATTCATGATGTTTTCTTTGTTGCGTTTTTTTTTTTCTTTTGTTGGTTGTGTTGCCTCTATGGCTTCACATGAATCAACATTAGTCATTATGTTCTATTGCAAACTTATAATACTACTGTTACTTTTGCAGTTGTGCGTGTTTGTATTGCTTTACATACGACTATTACCATGCATGTTGCTCATGTGTGCATTTTTGTTGCAACAACAACGAGCTGTTCTGAACATCTCTGACGTTGTATTTGTTATGCTTTTCTTTAACTCGCTTTGTGTGAGTATCCCTTTTTTGCCTACATACTACTATATTTCCATAGTACAGTAGTATTTTTCTTTTCTTCTTTCTTTTATTACTATGATGTTTCTTTGAAGCATACCTTTTTTACGTTGTGTGGATGTGCCTATCCCTGAAGCTCAACAAGACTTTATCCGAGGCTAGGAGGTAGATAGGCTGCCTCCACTTGGTTATCACTACTTACTTTAGTGATGATTGAGGGTCTCAACGCCAGAATCTAAAGCTAGGTGGTGTAAGTAAGGCATGCTCTAGCACCTGGGGGAAGTTTGATGATAGCAGCGGCTATATTGCTATTATAGCGGCGCTTAAAATTTTGCCTCACATCCAAACAGGGGGAAACCCTCGCAAATTTTTTTTTAGGTCAGCGGAGTTTTCAAGCAATCTGATTGGCTAGGAGGTTGAAGCAGCGAAGGGTTACAACTAGTTGATTTCCTTGATCTTCTGTCATTTATCATGCTATAGTTTTTGTAATAAAAGGGTCTCTAAATAGATACAACTTAAGTCCTTCTTTATTCAATGTTGTGTCTGAAGGGCTACAACTGTCTAGAAAGATTAAGGTGTTCTTGATGGGTAGACATGTCTGTGTTGTGCAACAACATGGACAAGCTATGATAATTAAAGTGCATCTCAGCTATCTAAATGCTGAGGTTCACCAGATGTGATAAGCGTTGTACAAGATAAATTGCTACTTTGGCATTCAGAACTTAGTATAAATAGAATAACTCTTGTCTTCATCAATAAATCTTTAGTTTTTTGTGTCTGATCTTATTCAAATAAGTCTTTTCTTGTTTTTATAATATCGAACATTTTTTATAAGCTACAAATAATAATCCTTTTATTCTTTGTGCTTAACATTCAAAAAAAAATTAAGGTGCAATCATTTGATCTTGCATGTATTAAACAGTGGCATATGGGGAATGCTTTCTAAATTTCATACGTGATAAAAGTACACTTAAAGGTACAGCAGTACACTATCTACTCAACCAGTTTTTCCTCGTACCAAATGCCGCATCAAATATGCGTTGTTTATTATTGACTTCCAACATCATGCTCCAATTTCGCAATATCTAGTATGAAGGCAATTATAGCTGTATGATTAACAGCACAAACCATCCAAAAAAACACAACGAATGCCATATTTTAGGACATGCTTTTTGAGTTGATGTCAAAAAATCTGCGGGCGCATTACGGATGTGTGTCAAACCAACATCAGTTGAATCCATACACAATGAGACCCTAGCATAATGCGCATTAAAGGGTAGTTTTAGTCAACAGAATCTTTCCAATAATATGGTAAGATGTATGCGTTCATTTCAAATTGCATGTATGTGCACAAGAGTACTCTGCCCCAGACATATGCTGACGTTGAGCTATGAGGTTAGTCGAATGGCATGGCTTCGTACAGCTTTCAGCAGGTAATAAATAATAGGTTGAGTAATATAAATAATGCAAAGCTTCTATGCTTTTTTTATATTCTCTTGAAAGCCGTTCTCACTGTGAAGAATCTACCAAGCAAGACAATGGAAATGGACGTGTCTCCTCTCAGGAGCAGTAGTAGTGTCGATGATTGCCCAGAGCTTACATTTTTTCTAGGCATATTTTCTCACTCGTTGGTCTTCCGGGTATTAGCGCTTTATGGATTTGATTTTAAGCCAACCGACTCCTTGTGCCTTCTTTCTGTGCTTCGTGATCAGTACTAGAAAGGTGCTACTGCCTGCGTGCGCAGTATCCATGCGCATTTTTGCCAGGGTCGAACTGGCTACGAAAACGATATCGAAATTAGCTTTGATGGACCACACTATCTTTAGGAAGCTTTGAGTAAAACATTCTGCTTGCGGGATGGTTGAGGTATTCGGGTCTATCAAACTGTGCATCAACGAGTTAGAAGAAGATATCGTCTATTTGTGCAAGAGGTCTACATCCAAGGTGATGCTACAAAAATTCGCCAGGAGATCAGCGACTATCTAGGCAATTTCGGCAAGGCTACGTCTCTTCATCTTCATTTCATTTCAGAAGGTGGCTAGTTCAAGGGCGATACATGGGGCATCTTGATTATACCTACCAACGGTGATCTACACCGCTGGTATGACCCAAGATTTGATATTGATTTCCAAGAGTATCTAATTAATGACTTCTAATGATAAACTTTTGGACATATAGCCGTATATTGTACGTTTTTCTTAGAATTATGTTTTATGACAAATTATCCAAGCAAATACAGCACTCGTACTTTAATAACCTGCAAGCGACGTATTGCATTGACAAATTGAGCACCTTATCACACAACGCTGCATGCTTCTGAAAATCAGGGATCAGCCGAGCTGACTGCCGATGAGCTCTTCTCCTGGTGTACACTATCATCCAGGGTCGTGTAACGTATGTACACAAACCTCTAGATACTAGAGTTCCTTATCTTTATCATTTGGATACATTCGATGTCCCTTTTTGGAGACTACAAAGACATTTTTTGAATACTGTGTTCAAGCAAACGGAAAGCAGATCCTGGACGACTGGTAATGTTTATGAATCGCAAACTTAGTATCCAAGTGAAGTGGTCAATAAAGTGACAATGAACACTGTTAAATATATGGTATGTAAAGTTACTTTATTATGAAGCGAGATTAATATTATAATACATGAAGTGTGAAATGATAGACGTAGATCTAAAGTATGTGCATCCATCAAGTATGTAAGCGTGTATAAGAGTAATGTGATGATATTGGATTAGTTATTCTTGAAATCATCATTCAAGGCTTCAATGGCAGAGATGGTACCAAAGATCAGACCTACAACACCGAGCAAGAGAGTCAAAAAGGCCAAAATATACTCATACCAAGGCTTTCCCTTGACGCCAGTGAGCTTGTAATAAAAGACAACAGGGAAAATGAAAACCAAAGCACAGTTGGAGAAGGCACCTAGCAGAGACATAAAATCACCAAAGAAGGGCACAAAGATGGCAATGACAGCAATGACTACAATCAATGCACCGCGGAACATAAAGCGAAGGGTCCATTCAACAAAGAAAGATCTATGCTCAGGGTTGATTTTGAGCATTTTTTCTACATCCAGCGCAAACGAGGTCAACAAGATGGGTGTGGTCAAGATAAGATGGATAGTAATGATGATGATGGAAGCAAATTTGGGTCCCTTGTTGGTATCAGACAATGATTCATAGATGGGAGACAGAGATCCAGATCCATAAACATAGTAGCCAGGCACAGCAGCCAAAAAGTAGAGGAGAACACAAAAAGTAAGACCAGCTGTAATCACCTTGTTCCAATCTCTTCTATTGCGCATGGATTGTTCAACATGAGGATACACAGGGTTGCCACCTTGAGGTCATACAAAGCGTCAATATCACTCACATTTCATTCTACGGTATATACACAAAACTTACCAAAACTGAAAGAGATGGAACTAAGAGCAATAGGAAACATGTTCCAGATAACACCATCATGATGCGAGTCTACATGATCAGGTGCTTCTTTCACAGCAACACCTAGCACAATCAGAATGACAACAACAGTGGAGAGCATACCAAAGACACTCAAAAAGGTCATTTCCTTCATGGATCTAAAGAACAAGAAGGGAATGGCGACGATACAAGTACAAATAATGACCCAGATGGGGAAGGTCAATTCTGCTGAAGATCCCTTGGCAACATTGTGTAAATTCAAACCTGAGAGTAACAAGTAGAGTACAGGTACGCCGACCAGCGTAATCGCTGTAAAGAAAAAGGCAACCCAGCCACCAAGCGTACCAAATGCTGCAGTGGCTACTTCTTGGTAACTGGATAAACGAGTTTTACCATCATAGTACATGGAACGGATCAACAAAACACCAGTGTCTAATACAAATCTCAGTATGTGCGCCACTCATCGTGCTTGATGATATGCTTACAAATTGATAAAATCCAGCTGAGACACAAGATAAAAAGACCAATCCAACCACCTTGAGCTAAAGCATAAGGCAGACCAAGAGCACCCGTACCAGCTACCACACATACCACACTATATAATTTGTAAGAAACACTACGATCTGCAGAGGTAATCTTTGATGAACATGCCTGAAAAATGCTGTAAAGCTTGATCCTTGCTTGGATCTATCAATGCCAAATTCTACATGTTCATTCTCCTCATCAAGTTCGTCTTCAGTGATCACTTCCTCCGAGACTAGGATCGTATAATAATAGGGTGAGATCAAGATGCTTAGCCAAGGTTTGATTTGATCTCACGTACCTGGAGAGGAGCCCTCTTTTTTATCGCTAATGACCGATGCAGAATAGCTTGTCGTAGGCTTATTCAATAATTGAGCCTCGTTCATTGCTGGTATTATCTATAAGCAAAGAAGAGAAAGAAGAGGAAAAAGAAAAAGAGGATTGAAAATTTTGTTTCTTGTCCCGTTCAAGTTGCCGGGGAGAAATGTTTCTTGCTGATATGAATGGTAAGATGAAAAATGCTTCCAAGCGGAGACATGGACTGAGACCCACTGAATTGATCTATATCGCTTCCGATCGAATAGAGAAAACGAGTTATTCCTAGATTGGATCTTGATTTACTAATTGATGAATGAGCCTAAAGAGCATCTTGTATTAGAATGCTGCTATCGTTGCTATGCCCACCAAATTGAATTGAATCATGCTACAAATAAGATTGACAGAGAGTGACATCTTGAAGATAGTGTATCACAGCCTAAGGTTGTACCAACAATTTTTTGTTTTTTTTTTAAATCCTGATCTACTTTCTTTTCTGATGAAACCTTAACTGCTTATGACCATTTCTGAGCTCTGAATTCATGCATAGCCTCGGCATGAATCAATTCATTTGCCTGATGTTTTAGCTGTTGACTTGATCTCAATCTACATGTTATTTGAGAAATGTATAAGAGTGTCATATTCTGGTAAGCATTTTTATTCGACCAAAAGCGTGGTAAAAATAATTAAAGGACAGCAGATCACGAAATTACGTTTAACCGAATTGAGAGGCACTCTTGGCTATAAACGCACTACATCAAAACAGAGAGAGAGAGAGAGCGAGATGCCTCAGGTACAACCTTTGATTCGGGTGCCGATCCCTACTCTTAATGAAAAGAAATTAGTAGACAACGAATTGTAGATTACTCGTTTCAAACTTATTGCAATGCTAGTTATAGTGAAATGAAGCAGGGGAGGCCATCTCAGTGTCGATGATGTATATTCAATGCATAAATTTAACTATAAACAAAGTAGAATAAACTTCCCTCTGTAATGCACATGCACTGCTTCTTTTATTAGTAAATTCAATTTTAAAACTGCCTTTGCTTCATCCCTTCCCGGTCCTACTACCTTCTCCCCCTTGATGTTTTGTCTTTATTATGGAACACATGATGCTTGATGGTCATTCAAGTGTTGCTATTGTTTTTGTTGTTTCTGACATCGATTCATCTCATCAGACAAAGGAAGCATCCACGCCTTGTATCCAAAACAGGCATCAGCAGCTCTTTTTTCCGGCCGTAATCAAAACTTGCTTGCAGCTTTTCATTCAGTATACAGCTAACAAACAGGCCAACAGCAGCTTGCCCTGATCCAGTTTTAGCTGCTTTCCGCTCTGGAACAAATAAACAATTCATTGTGTATATATATACATGCCAAAGAAAACGAATAGAATATTCCAGTATTATATAAAAATCTGTTTGTTATGCTTAAATTATAAAACACTCCTATTACGATATCTTTCTTGGTATGGTATAGATGGAAAGCCTCCTTGATATAAAAGATATTACATGTACTTAGTGTTGTTGATAGTGTTGTGGTGAGAGTGAAACGGGCGTCGTGGATCGAGGTTGTTGCTTTTGGTTGTTGTTGGGGTAAGATGACATGGCACTTCCAGGTCGGTTCGTCTGCGGTAAAGATTGCGATCCTGGCGGAGCCATCATGGTGGTATACAAGTTGCCGCTACTGGTATAATTGGGTAATTGGTAGAAGGACGGTTGAGCAGAATACATGCTGTGGTTCATGGGTGGTACAGAAGATCTACCGTTGCTGTAATAGTCGTACATGGAGGGAGGATTAGGAACGTAGCCATAAGGTTGAGGCTGAGGTTGTTGTTGATAATACACTTGTCTATTAGCATGGCTATACTTTTTGCTACCATTCATTGTAGGCACAGGTGAGTTCATATAGTGTTGCTGATGCATTTGTTGTTGTAACTGCTGCTGCTGCTGCTGTTGTTGTTGTTGCTGGATTTGTTGAAAATTAATGTTGTGTGTACCTGGCTCAGGCAATTTACCCAACAACCCTTCAATTTTGACTTTTCCAGGATTCATCTTTGGCTTTTGGCGTTTAGCCTCGGCTCTCTCTTGTTCTCTTTGAATCAGCAGATCCATGCCTGACATGGTCGTCATGCGTTGTTGTTGTGATTGCTGCTGCTGCTGCTGCTGCTGCTGTTTTAGGTTTCTAGGCTGCATAGATGTATTAGCTACATGTTGCTGCTGCTGCTGCTGTTGGAGATACTGAAACTGAGCCAACTGTTGCTGTTGATGATACTGTTGATATTGATGCAAATGATGTAGTGTAGGGGGCACATCTAGACTGTTGGAAGCGTATCTCAAATGTTGGCCAAGTACTTCATTGTCCTCATCATCAGCTTCGCCTCCCTCTTGCTGTCCACCACTTTGCTGTTGACCATCCTTGAGGAATTTGGCTAAATCATCTGTAGAGACGGAACGTTGATTTTGCGGCTTGGTAGCTATGGAGGAACTATGATTGCTATTGGTACTGCCGTCGGAATGATGCATGAATAAATGCTGGATTGGATGTGGTTCAAATTGTTGTGGTAAAGTTGGCGCAGATCGATTGATTCTATAGGGCAAACCACCATGCATTGGTCTTGGCATCGACTGATGGATAGGCAGCAGCTCATCGTCATCCTCGTCATTCTCTTCCTCCTCTTGATCTATACACAAAGAAATGAGTCAGAGACATGCTTCTCGTTTACTCCGATAAATGAGGGTGTATACATTGAATCAGGGGAGAGAAAGAGATGCTTACCTGTATTATCTTCCTCATCACTGGGTAATGGAATGGCAGACTTGGGCTTTGTCACAACCACCTTTTGCTTGGTCAATTTTTTTGGGTTGTTCATCTTGCTGAGGCTCTGTCGACCACTGTCTTCAGAAGAATAGATGGCTTCGTCTTCGTCCTCATCCTCGTCTTCATCATCGCTTGGCATGATGCGCAGATTCCGGTTGCTTGTTCTCTGATAACGGCCTGTACAAGCAAAAATATAAGTCTACTGAGAATGACTCTAATGATAAACTTACCATTGAGCCATGCTTGATGAGGAGAGGCATCAAAATTGATGCGGTTAAAGCTTTCTGTGAGGTTTTCCAGAGTAGACATGTTGTATTTTACAAGAAAGAAACGATGGCAAGGAGAAAAAGAGGAGGATGGTTCTGTTTTGACATGCCCTTTTTATTTTAATTTTTGATTCACATATTGTTTAAGCAAATACCACTCCTTAAAGCCGTAAATAACTGATATAAATAGATTGGATTATCATCAGCAAACAACAACAGCAAACGCCACCACCATTCAATAGGAGCTGGCACGGTGATTTCGACAAAGTCACTTGCTTTAATGTGGCTTACTACCACATTAGCTTTTTGACCATTTCCTTATTCTGCCTATCTCTCTCTATCTCGCTTTTATACCCTTTGAATCTTTTAGCATGTCTTTGGAAAGAGAAGGTGAGAAGAGTAGCGCACAATCAATAAATGCTTATGATAAACTGACCAAATTTGATACAATCAAGACCGCAAAGGCAAGAGGTCCTTGCACCATAGTCACTCGTACACTACAACTGCATCCACCAGAAAGTCAAGCTATCACAGACAGGACCACAAAATCATGTAAGCAAACGACAGTACTTGTGGTAACTGGTGCCTGACACATTCTTGTCGCTAGGCCGTATAGAACGTCGCATCCACACAGACAAGCGCGTCCTCAATACAAAGCATCCAAGAGATACAGTCGTGAACCAGCATGTTCAAGGCATCGATCGTACTCCAGAGGATCTTATTCTGACGACTATTATATGGATGAGGATGAGGAAGAGGAGGAGGACAGAAAAGACTATTGCAAAGGAGGCTATCATCCAGTTCATGTGGGCGAGAAATACAAAGATGGTCAATACATTGTGATTCGGAAGCTAGGATGGGGCCATTTCTCCACTGTATGGCTTGTGAAGGACCAAACGTAAGTTGCCGTTAGTGTGGGGTATGAAGAGAAACTCATGCGCTATGTATATCTTAGTACCGGAAAGCATTTTGCCATGAAGGTTGTAAAATCTGCAAAGCATTATACCGAGACAGCCATTGACGAAATCAAGCTTCTGGAGCGAGTCGCTGAAGCAGATCCCAAATCCCTGGGCGCACGATTCGTTACTGCAGTGGTAGATCATTTTATGGTGAAAGGTCCCAACGGTACACATGTTTGCATGACATTTGAGGTGCTGGGCGAAAACCTTTTATCGTTGATCAAACGATACAAGAGTCGTGGCATTCCCATAAATCTGGTGAAACAAATCGCAAAGCAAATGCTGCTTGGCCTTGATTATCTGCATAGAAAGTGTGGCATCATTCACACTGACTTGAAGCCCGAGAATGTGCTCATGTATCTGGAGAATGCAGAGGAACTTTTGAAGAAATTGGACACGGCCAAAGTTGACCTTGACGAGTCTGAAAGCAACCATGCCTCTGTGAGCTTCTCTCCTGACAGTCGTAGTAGAGGAAGAAGTCCAGTGAGAAAGAATCGACATGTCAAAATGGTGGCTTCACAGCCACTGTCTTTTGAAAATGATACCACTACGGCATATGACGATGAACGGGGTCGAAGAAACGGGTCAGGAAAGCGATCAAGGTCTAGGTAAGCTTCGTTAGCTACAGTGCTTTCTTTGTCTCTAACCTCGTATGTATCAATAGATCAGATTCTCATTCTCGACACAGCATAGACGATAATGGAGAGAGTATAAAAATCAAGATTGCAGACCTGGGTAACGCTTGTTGGGTCAATCATCACTTTACAGAGGATATCCAAACAAGACAGTACCGATCACCGGAGGTCATTCTAGGGGCTAAATGGGATGCTGGAGCAGATATCTGGAGTTTGGCATGCATGGTAGGTATACACGTTATGAGTGATTCAGACTGTCCGCCTAATCTGTGTTTGCTAGATTTTTGAACTGTTGACTGGCAACTATTTGTTTGATCCACAAAAGGGCTCACGTTACAGCCGTGATGAAGACCATCTTGCACAGATTATTGAACTTATGGGACCCATTAACAAATCATATGCATTATCAGGCAAAAACTCGTCCGAATTCTTTACGCACAAAGGCGAGCTTCGACACATTCATCGTCTTAAATACTGGTCGCTGGAGGATGTGCTTCATGATAAATACGGATACCGCAGACGAGAAGCAGAGGAAATTGCAAGCTTTTTGGACCCTATGCTTGCCTATAGTAACAGAGCAAGAGCATATGATTTGGTGAGCCATCCATGGCTTCACGGTGCAGATCCCGTCTTGCCAGAAGAAAAATCAGATAAAGCCAATTGGAGAAGCGATTGCCCCTGGAGGGATTGGGAAAGAGATCTCAAAAGAAAACGTCATGATTAGCTGATACAACACCTTTATATATATATATACTATATACATCACTTGTAAATTACATATAAACAAAATCTATATCTCGACTTGCTATACAATATATTGAACGTTGAACATATTAAATACGGAGGTGGATATATCGAAAGTATCTATAAGTATGAATCAAGTGCAATGCTGCAGCGAGATCAATAGAGCTCATAAACGCATCTGTTGTGATTACTCAAATGCTGTTTGGTCGACTGTCAAATCTGTCAATGTAGCTTTTAGGGTTGTAGTCTAAATGCGTTATCAGTACGCGGCATTTGGCAGCGATAATATCATTTTATTTCAAATGCAAATGATGTGATGTATACTATGTGTGCCACACAAGGGGCGTACTTGAGAACTTGACTGACTATGCATACTATTCTAATACCATGGCAAAGCTCCCTCTTGACGATCGAACGGCACCATGATAGCAAAACGTTATGATTGTGACGTCTACAAATCCAATACGATGAATCGCTAGACGCATGTCAAAGAAATCAGTAATGTTTGATAAGAGTAACGCTGCATTTGCCTTATTCAGGTATGATTCTTTCAAAACCCTTGGTTGATTAGAATACACGAGAAAGATGAGTGCTTGCGGAATAAACGCTTTACGATCATACGGTAGTGTTGAATCTACAATATGCATCGTAATCACTTGGAGCCTTGCGGCGTGCCCATGTAACTTAGTGAAGGGGACAACGTATCTTTTGTTGTCATTGTTGGAGTGAGCAACCAAGTTTTACATTGCTGCTTACCGTCAAGAGAATAGTTATTAAATTAAAAGAGGGAAGAGTGCAGATTGAAAAATACAGAAAAGGATATCCAGGTGGGGACTTCTGGAGACGTGGTTTTATGCTTAAGATCTCTGTGTAATAATGCCTCTAGGAAGCATGATCTGATCAATGATGATGGTGTGAAATTAATGAAGTCCTTGTTCTGAACCATTAACCACCACTGCTAACAATTGTAACTTATATTTCTCTTTTCCTCACATTTTCATTTTCATCTTCATTTTTCATTTCTTTTTCAATGCATTCGCAAAAGAAGCAGACAGATTCTTTGAACAGGATGAAAGATTGTACCACCTCAGGTAAAAAAGAAACCCTCAACTCTTTCTTTCATCCTTACCTTTGCATGTTTCGGCACGTAGAAAAAGATAACGCGTATAGAAGCTGGTTTGAGGATGCAAAGAATTTGGAGGAGCCGTATAGTTATTTTGAATTTGCAGACAATTTTAAGATGGACCTGGATACTTATTCAAATTAAAATTCCTCAAGCTACAGAACTGCCTTTCCAGTAAATTGCAGCTACCAAAGATGTGATTTATGCCGTGTAAATAAACTCTATAAAGCAATACATAACCAAATTTAACAGCTTTCAAGCTTTCATATCTTGACATGTAGACCTTTATGAGCCACCGGAATGACGCCAAACAATCGTACCTGAGTAGTAATAACTTCCTGGCACCTTTGCTCAACTTTTTGGACCCAAAAAAAAAAAAAAAAAAAAAAAAAAACATGGCCAAAAATCGACCAAAAACCATGAGGGGTACCTCATGGAATTGAAAGGACAATTTCTTAGCACAAATACGTTTTTTTGGGGGAGCTTTGCCTCATAAAGGTGTCTTTTGCAATGACAATACCTCAAAAAAGTCGCTGTAGATCTGATAGAAGTCCTGTATTTACACATGGTCAGCTTTATGTCGCCATCTATTAAGAGCATCAGCAGCAGCGAATGATATGGCAATTCTGTTATCAGAAAATGGTGATTGCAATGTACAAATGCTGCATAAAATATTGAATTCTCTTTCACATTGTCCCAATAATAGTTTTGTTTGATATCAGTGTAAGCAAAAAGGATGCTGAGGGAGCTACCTCCTCTCCTCCTCCTGGCTCTAATATAACCTTTCTTTTACAAACTAATAATTGGCAGTTTAAAATCTACTTGATATGCCAAAATCTTATTATATCTGATTTAAAATGTCTTTGGCGAGAGCCCACAGGGCGACGTCGACATCGAGCGTAGCGAGATAGATCGGCTAGTATAGACATACTGAATAGTATGCTACTCACATTTGACTTGAAGGCTAGTTTTACCAAGGATCTAGGTCATTAATATTGCTGGGTATCTCTGGTTTTTCAGTGGATTGACTTGGGTTGCAATTCGTCTCTCTAGATTGCATCAAAGCATTCGGTGGATTCAGGCACAAATTATGCTGTTCAGGCGCATGAAGCAGAGATGATGGCGCTTGGTTCATTGCGAGAAACATTGGCTGCGTAGAAATCGGCATGATTTGACACATCTTTCAAATCCAAGCAATTACCCGTCTCCTGCCTACCTTCACTATATATTATGATCAGTGATATACAAATGTCAAACATTAAAAATACAAAAAAAGGGAGTATGTGATGGTTACGAATTTTAATAATAAACTATGTACAAATGAATAATAGAAACGAAATGATAAGATCTCAACAAGACAACTACTACGTATTAATTTCAAGCAAAAGAAACAAAAAGGAAAGGTATGTCAATGATGGTAATGATGTATGATTTACAATTTTGAGTCATCTGTGATAAATGAGACACCCTTTACAATATTGCTCTTCAGCTCTGGAACAGCAGATGTCAAGAGTTGATATTCCAATCTAGACATTTTACCAAGAGGCAAAATACGCTGAATACCTTCACGGCCAAATTCAAGAGGCACAGAAAAGTACTCCATCTCTTCACCAGCAATACGATGAACAAATTGAGCTCCTTCGGGATCAGATGCAAGATTGACATAGGCACATTCAATGCGAGTAACACCATGAAAGACAGATTCAATGAGATTGAGCGTAAATCGAGCGCCAGCATAAGCCATCGATAACGTGGCACTACCTGCACCGTTCTTGGCTTTCACCACTTCATCACCGGCAAATTGGATGCGTTTGGTCAGATCCTCCAATTGCTTTTCAGACAGTTTGTCTGTGCCAGGTACTTGAGATAAGAGAGGAATGATGGTAACGCCGCTGTGTCCACCAACCACAGGAACATTGACTTGTCTAGGATTTGCTTCCAAGAGTTCGGCTAAAAAAGTTGATGAACGCACGAGATCCAGTGTAGTGACTCCAAAGATTTTGCGAGGATCGTATACATCGTATTTCTTGAACACTTCAGCAACAACAGCGACAGTGGAGTTAACAGGGTTTGAAATGATACATATGAGCGCTTTGGGAGCATAATTGGCTGCTGCTACAGCAAGATCTCTGACGATACCAGCATTGATTTTGAAGAGATCGTCTCTGGACATGCCAGGCTTTCTAGGTACACCTGCTGGAATGACAACTGAACAGAGAGGGAATGGGTTAGTGAATAGGGCTCATAAATCAACACATGTGCCATCCAATGATCCTTACCGATATCGGCATCTTTGATCGCTTCTTCTAATTCAAGGGGACCAACATGGCCTGTGACCTTGCTGCTCGTATCAATATGACTAAAGATAAGACGTATTGTCATCAGATAATCAAGTCTTTTCTATTATCTCTTGACTTCCAAGTAAAGGAATTTGTAATGTTACCTAAGGTCTATAGCAACACCATGAGCGTTGACAATATCGTATAAAGCGAGATGAGAAATGAGGTTGGATTGTTTCAACAAAAGAGAAAGAGGCTGGCCAATGCCACCAGCAGCACCACAAACAGTAACTTTAACCATTTAAGCTACGAAAATTTTAATGGAGAAGAAAAAAAGCATACTTTTGTCATTTTGAGCTTCTTTTATATACTGATTTCGCTTTTTGAATCAAGATGTCTCAATACCCAGTTCGAGTGGTGTTCCACTCTTATCAAGACGTAATTGGTTTAAGCTACAGATTGACTCAATTTGCGCCATTCGTTTTTTAGATCTGTTTCTTTTTTGGATACACCGTGATGATGAAGTGCAAGGTGCATCAAGAAGTGTGCTTGCATCGCTTGTGATGTTTTGAGGCAATTAAGAGAGCCTGGCATGATGCTATGGAAAATATCATGCTAGTTTATGGAAAAAACCGAACATTGTGTCCTATGAAGATCCATATCTTAAATTGATACATGGAAAAAAAATCTTTCTTTCCTTCCACTCCAACATTTTGCTTCAATTTTTTATCCGAACTGGCAGCAGTTGCATGGATTGCTTGATGTCATTGGCATAACCTGTATTTCTGTGCTACTCTTTGATTTCCCAGTTTTTGCCATCAATTCAACCCAATGCTTTCTGCCTAAACAAGCATTTTGTATGTGGATTTCTTCTCAGACATAGGATCCATAGTGTATAGCCAACACCATTTTTGAAGGTATCTCGAGCGCTGCAAATTTCCATTCGAAATGCGGATCATCTGTAATGCCGAGGCATCAGCATTTGAGCTACATGCTCCACGTTTCATCTTCTAACCGAATGCCATTCAAATGGCGATAATTTACCACTGCTTTCCATTGAGATGACATTCTAGTTTCTATTAATAAGCAATGTATGTGGTAGAGCAAGCTGGTTTGTGCAGCTATGTTAAGGCATAGAACACAAGTGAATGCCTCAGGGAGAGTGATTCAATAACATTTCACAAGGAACATACACTACTATCAAATGTACATGATGTAAAAAAAGTAGGCCTGATACGAACTACCTTGAGAAATTCTTATGGACCGCCTACTGACTCCACACTCATAGCACTTGATTGCAATATGAGGTATATTGATTCGTATAAGACAGAATGTTATACATTTACACTTGTCTCTTTCTATGACGACGCACATGCTTGAGGTCTAGCTTGCCATTTCTTTACATTGTTTATATATACGGAAATGCTGTTCTGCTTTTAAACCAATGAATGAAACGCATACTGCCTACATGCCATTTTGAAGTGCTGCAAATCATGATTTCGAAGTTGCGATTACGTATTTTGGTAGTGAGCGAGGCTATCTGGCGTTGGCAGATACTGTATGAAAATGCCCAAAAGAAGCAAAAAAAAATGTTTGGGCTAACCGATAGTCGTTTCAAATTTATGACCCCCATTTAATCAACATCTTGATCCTCATTGTCATTATCAGAAAGACATTTTGGGCAGCCAGTAGCAGCAGCAACACCACCACCAAAATTTATTCAAGCTCAGGGTTTTTTCTGCCCAAGATTGGCCAAATTTTGCTTTCTTCGACTTGATTAACTTATTTTAAAAGATTCGACTATATAAACTGTGGTGATCATTGAAAACTTGCTTAAGCTTTCTAAGAGTGCTTTTTATGGCGCATCTAATGGTGCTAATCAAAATAAATGTTGTGAAAGAGCTTATTGAGCAATATCAGTAAACATAAAATGAGATTTTTAGCCAAAATGTCGAAATTTTGTATACGAAGACCCTACAACAGTGGCTTCAAGGGTTGCTTTGGGTCGAGAGAAACATTTTAATTCAATATCATAACATAATAAATGTTCAGTCCTTTTGCACTTTACAATCCTAATATGGAACCTGAGTTTCAAGGCATCTATCAGACCTGGCTCATATCATCATAACATAATAAATGTTCAGTCCTTTTGCACTTTACAATCCTAATATGGAACCTGAGTTTCAAGGCATCTATCAGACCTGGCTCATATCATAACATAATAAATGTTCAGTCCTTTTGCACTTTACAATCCTAATATGGAACCTGAGTTTCAAGGCATCTATCAGACCTGGCTCATATCATCATAACATAATAAATGTTCAGTCCTTTTGCACTTTACAATCCTAATATGGAACCTGAGTTTCAAGGCATCTATCAGACCTGGCTCATATGAGAATAATGATTTTACAATCAATCAATAAAAACCACTATTATTTCTATCCTCTTTCCTCTGCTCAATGCTACCAACGTTTTCTTTGAACGACAGCTCGGAGCCTCAGAGATTTCACTACTTACTGCAGACATTTTATGCAACCCATGCATTGTCAATGTCCAGACTAACGTTATTAAATATAGAATGCAATAAAATATCATTATGAACGATATAGAAGGCAATAAAATATCATTATAAACGATAGTGCTATGACATTCCACCTACTTTCTATACGCTTCAAGGACATTTACTACTGTATTGCCTTATGAAAAGGGCATGAGTTTTCCAGCTGGCCCCACCAGCCAAAATTAATTCAAACCCAGAATCATAGTCTGTCCCAGATTGGACAAATTTTGATGATTCTGGACTCGATCGAGCTATTTTTGCAGATTCGACTAAGTGAAGTATGATAATCACCCCATGCTTCCTTAAGCCACCTTTCTTTCGTCTAAATTGTTTTTAGGGCCTTTTAAACCCCGAAAACAACATCATCAAGCAGTAAAGATCCAAACAAAACCGACAACAAACACAGTTACAACAAGCCAGTCAGGTCTGTCAAGCCAGCCGACACCTACCGTTACCTCCAACTCCCGTCTTACTTTAGCCAAACAGACGACAACCGGCAACCGAACCTCTAAACTTCCCGTTGCTTCTAGGAAGCGGCGCCACTCCACTATCAAAGCTACCACGGTACCTTTACGTAGATCACCGCGAAGCCAAGCAACTACTACTGACTTTATGGACACTATGAATATTGCAACACCCGTTGCTCCTGCACCTACAACCGCTCCCACCAGCTCCACTATCAATATGGTCGTTGAGCCTTCCACTAATGCGATCAACCCACCTGCCTTCCTTGAAGGCATGCACCCACCTAAACCAGACGAAATCCATCAGTCTCCCCTGATGCCCACTTGGATTCAGGAGATCTATTCACGTCTTGCCTCTGTCACCACTCACTTGCAGACTCACGACTCACAACTGGAACAGAACCAAGCTTTGATCAAACAGACTCAAGAATTGATCAAAAAGAACCAGGAACTCCAACTGGCTTTGGATAAAGCCCACCACGAGATTGCGCAACTCAAGTCGGCTGCCAATCAAACCTCGACACCTCCATCTGCTACTACGCCGGTGCTCGAAAGGAGCTCCGAGGGCACCTCAGCCTCTCTATGGGCAGATATGGCTGCCAAACCACCAGCGGATGAAGCAGCTCCAGCCGTTACTAAACGCAAGGATTCCAAGCCCAAGGCTTCCACATCCACCAAACCAGCTCCCAAGGCCAAAGCCAAACGGCCATTGACTTTAGAGCAGGTTAGCCGGTTCTACTCTCTTCCCTCGACGACCCACGGTTACCAATTCCTGTACTTCACCTCTCGTGGACGTGAAGCCATCTCGAAAGTCCGTGCGGGTTTCCAGGTGCTTGGTTTATCTCAAAGCCGCATTCTTGATATCCATTACCCTACTAATAACATCATTAGTTTCTTAGTTCACAACGACTATGCCTCCACTGTCGTGGAAGCAATGGCTCAACTCCCTGACTCTCAACGGATTACCGACTTCGACCCTTGTGCACCCACCATCCTCAGGGATCCCAAGTACGCCAACCATGCTGATCCGCTCTTTTTGCAGTCTGAGGCGGCACGCATTCACCAAGAACGTTTGCTCCGCATGATTAAACGCCTCAACACTCCCAACATCAAATTGGCCGTCGCTCGCGACTTCTGCTTCAAACGAAAATGGATATCCGAGACTATGTATCAAACATTTTACCGTGAGATCTACCCTGCCAAGGCATCCAAGACTGCCTCATCTTCTTCAACGGATGATGTTAACATGGATGATGCTCCTGCTTCTCAAGATTCTACTTCCCAACCTGCTGCCTCCTCTTCCTCTATTAGCCCAGCTGACGGCGTCTCAGCCCCCTTGGTCTAATGAGTACTACTACCTTTGAATCACCCAACTATGCGAATAATATGCCCCATTATGACACGAATACTAATTCTTTTATGCACAATCACAATCTAAATATAGCTTCCTTGAACTGCCGCAATCTCGTCAAAGCATCTACGCCCGAGATTAGCTCTGACTTCATCCGATACCTCCGTTCCTTACATTTGGACATCCTCTGTGTTCAAGAATCACATGCAGTCGAGGCAGTTCAAGATCAACTCAATTTACAATTTCAAGCTCATGACACCTTATGGACCCAACATTGTGGTATTATTTCATTCAATCCTTTAATTCAATTACATTCGTTAGACTTAGATCTAGATCAACGCATCATTGCCTGTAAGGTTGTCCATGCCAATGCGTTGTTTCCACCCTTTACGCTCCTTAATGTTTATGCCCCAGCCCAGTACTCACCCCGAGTTCGGTTCTTCAGAGACCTACTAACGTTGCCCCTTTTCGACATTCCTTCTTCAACCTCTCGGGAATCCCTATCCTCTTTATCTACCTTGCTCGATTCTGATCCTTCCAATCTTTCTCCCATGCTTCTGATGGGCGATTTCAACTACCATGCTACCTCCTATCTGACCGACGATAGTGATGATCCGGAACTTGATACTGACAATATTACTTCAGGAGCTGCTATTCACAGACACTTCCACCGACTCATCAATACCCACCTCTTTGAATGCACTCATTCCAGGGAAGAGGGTCCTCTATTACCAACCTATCGTAGACGAACTGGTCAATCTACTATCGATTACCTTTATGCTTCTAATTTCCTATTTCAACATCTACATTCGTCTGAAATTATGTTCCTTGACTCCTCCTGGACGGATCATGCTCTACTACGGGCTCGATTTGTCTTTTCTTCGGATCGTCAGGGATCAGGCCTTTGGCGTGCTAACCCAAATCTT